ACGGATTATGGTCGCTCGCTAATTTTGAATTCTAGTGTCACCCTAGTCAGCATCCTGCGATTGAACTCCCTCATCCATTTTGCCTCGACCGACAACTTGACATGTGAGTTACTGTTTGTTTTCTCTCGCGGGATTATGCTTTGCTAAAAATTTTCCTAAGGGGACTACGTGACTATTGGTTATTGGAGCACTATTGAATGCGACGTCGGAGTTATATGCGCTTGTCTGCCAGCAATCAGATCTCTCCTACGCCAGGCTGCCCCTGGAATCTTTGGCGATACTGAGCAAACTAAGTCATACGGGATGAATTCGCATACTCGTGGAAATTCTCGATTGGATGGCTCGGTCTATGTTCAAGGCAAAGGGGAAAGTCGACAGTTCTACCCACTCGGAGATATAGAGACCTCTAGCCAAGCTCACTTACAGCAACGGGCCCAGTGAAAGGGTGGAGACAGCCGGGCTTCACAGTCTTTGTTTTCTGGCCGAGGGAGAAGGGATTCCTACGGTGCTTCGCCATATCACCTGTTCAGTCTGTTCATGTTCTTTGTCTCTTCATCCCTCTTGTTGAAATTTGTCTAGCCGGTCACAGGTTTTCAGAAAGATAGGGAATTTTGCCTGGGGCTCTGCTTGCTCAATTATGTAGGCATTGTAGTAGAAACTTGTTCCCTGGACAGTTGGCTCAAGTGTATTCAGATTCCTACCCGGCAGAATCATAACTCGAATGCTCTTGAGTAGATTTTCAATAATTATACGGTGCAAAGTATCTAAGACAACTTGAAACAAACAACCTCCCACAACGGGTAAATCTGCCTCCGCATTGAATATAGAAGGGTTTTTTTTCCCAAGACTTCAACAGCTGTATCACCAATTCCCAGTGTGCGAACAAGCGTAGTTCCACAAAATAACACCTGAGGTGATTATTTGGTCATATCTTCGAAGGTTTCTGAAGACAGTGGGCCCGAGATCATGAAGCTCTCGGTTAAAGCTACTCTACATAATGAGTGACAGGTGGGTACTGCCCAGCCATCCTGTCTTAGCGGGAGCTCCACCTCCTCCACAATCGGTCAAAGCCCTGAGAGCGGCATTTGCCAATTTCGCGCCGTTGAACAACAATTTCTAGAAAGTTATGGGCCCACTGTTGGACAGGGGGCTCGAGTTCCGCATGGTAATCTTAATCCAAGACTGGGATGACACTACATCATTAATCCAGGAGGTTCGATCAGCAGACTCGGCCCGCAGGAATTGCGGTGCGGGCTTGAACAGAACCGCGTATTGGAGCTCACAACGTTACCCCTGACTATGAGATGGTATAGCCAATCAGTGGAGCGTTTACTTCAAAGTTTGCCTTTAGCTTGAACTCGTATGGCTATACTAGTATGTCTCTTTAGCCTCTTTGAAATGACGATCACACGGCATCCAGACGCCACTAATTTACCGGCAGACTTCCGTTCTTTTTTGACATATCTTCTCTAGGGAGCAACACGTGAAATAGAAACGTCAAAAGACAGCCCCCGGCGGAAAGAAGCTATCGTAGAAATAGCAATCAAGTGTCGATCAATTGGCTATATCACGGCAAACCCGACGCAGTCAACCTGTGAGGAATAGCGCCTTTGAATGCAGTCAGTGTTTGGCTTGAACCGAATACAAAGGGATCCTCAGAAGCCGTGAAGCGATCTGTCCCTTATTCATTTTCGTTTTATGCTTGCTTTCACATTTGCGTTCAAACTTTCCTTTACGCTCTTTCCAGCCATTCCTCTCTTGACATGCGTATAGCTGTGGTTTTCGGGCTACTGTCTGCCCTTCCAAATGCTCTAGCTTCGTGAGTAACCCACGAAAAGGCACCAAAGCAGACCTTTCATATCGTGACGAAAAACCAGATGAGGGGAACTGACATCCAATGTAGCGATCATGGGTATTTCCATCATCATGAAGCTCATAGGCGCACTACAAGCGTCGAGTACGATTATGTTGTTGTCGGCTCAGGCCCTGGAGGTGGTCCATTAGCCGCCAGACTAGCCATTGCTGGGTACAGCGTCCTTCTTCTGGATGCGGGAGATGATCAAGGCAATGCCACCACACAGCAGGTTCCAGCTCTGCAGCTGCAGTCAACTGAATATGAGCCCATGAAGTGGGATTATTTTGTCAATCACTACTCGAACTTAACCCGACAAGAGGAAGACTCCAAGATGACTTACCGGACTCCCTCCGGTGATCTTCATGTTGGAAAAGATGCACCTACGGGCTCCGAACCGCTGGGAATTCTTTACCCTCGGGCTGGTACCTTGGGTGGATGCTCTGCACACAATGCCATGATGTGAGTTATGTCCGGCCAGTTCAATTCTAAGTACATTCAAAGATTCGTGTCCTGATACGCCGATCTCTAGCACAATCTATCCGTACGAAAACGATTGGGAACATTTGGCTAGCCTCACAGGCAATAGCTCTTGGTCTGCGGCAAATATGCGTCAATATTTTGAAAGACTAGAGCGTAATCGATATATGCCCAGCAGTGTAGTCGGCCACGGCTTTGATGGATGGCTCACAACAAGTCTGACAGACTTGCGTCTTGTGATTGAGGATCAGAAGCTCTTGTCATTGATTCTGGCAGGAGCAACTGCTGCAGGTCAAAGTTTGCTAGGAAAACTGATCACGACAGTCACCGGGCTTGCGGGAGTTCTATTACGTGATCTCAATAATGCTCTGCCATCGCGTGACTATGCCGAGGGCCCATATCAAGTGCCTCTTGCTGTGGATGTCCCTGAATACAAGCGAACAGGCCCCCGCGATTTTGTTCTCAAGACAGCGACTGCGCTTAACTCAGATGGCACTCGCAAATATCACCTTGATATACAGTTGAACACACTGGTGACGAAAGTTCGGTTTGATACCACTGGCAGCAAGCCTAAAGCTACGGGTGTTGATTACCTTATCGGTCAAAGTCTTTATCGCGCAGATCCGCGGGCCTCTCAAACACCATCCTCCACCGGTACAGCGGGTAGCGTCAATGCGGCCCGGGAGGTTATTCTGTCTGCGGGTTCTTTCAATACCCCGCAGCTGCTAAAGCTGAGCGGGATTGGCCCACAAGACGAGCTGTCTCAATTTGGAATCCCAACTTTGGTCGATTTACCCGGAGTGGGATCCAATCTTCAGGATCGATACGAGACTGGCCTCGTCGGCAAATCACCCACCGACTTTGTTCTTACCTCCAAGTGCACCTTCTTGTATTCCCTTCCCGATCCTTGCTTGGAACAATGGGAGAACGATTCCCTTTTCAAAGGCACATACACTACCAATGGTATCGCCATCGCTATCATTAGAAAGTCATCGGTTGCGGAAGACGAGCCAGACCTTCTCATCTCAGGAGCTCCTGCCAACTTCCCAGGTTATTACCCGAACTACTCTTATGAGGGCCTCAAAGATGCTCAGCATTGGACATGGATTACCCTGAAGTCACGCAGCCGTAACAATGCTGGAACTGTGAAACTTAGATCTACTGACCCTCGAGACATGCCGCTCATCAACTTCAATTCCTTTGACGCGGGCGTCACTGCAAACGATGCCGACGAGAAGGACTTGCAGGCTGTGTATGAAGCCATGAAATTTTCCCGCACAATCTTCGAGGACCTCGTTCCACTTGATGGAGGCTTTGAAGAAGTCTGGCCAGGACCTAACGTTACCACCGAATCTGAATTGAAAGATTTCATCAAACGGGAGGCCTGGGGTCATCATGCTTGTTGCACTGCTCCCATCGGAGAGGATAGTGATTCACAAGCTGTTCTAGACTCCGACTTCAGGGTTCGTGGAGTTGATGGTCTGCGTGTCGTCGATGCCTCCGTCTTCCCCAAGATCCCCGGTTATTACATCGCTCTTCCAATTTACATGATCAGTGAGAAGGCAGCTGAGGTTATCATTGCCGACGCCAGGTAAATTCGATGCTCAGACGGTGTCAACCTATCCTGCAGCTTTATTTGTCATATCTTACTTCGAATAATATCCGTGGAAAATTTCAGTCTGTCTCATTGTTGGGACCTTCCTCAAAATCTTCCACGTGGAACAATTCCCTGGCGTCTAATACCCCTTCTCGTGATTCTTCATAACCCTATTTATTGTTTATTGACCATCAAATGAGCTTGAGACTTAAGAAAATGTTTCTTGCGGAAGATGATTAGAAGGAAAGGAATCTATGTCATCGGCGAAACGGTGAACCGTCAAGGCGAAGTGGCAAAACAAAGAAAGTGACACAAAAAATTGGCACTCGATAGCAGTTTGCCCATCTACCCCGCTCGTGGTTCCCAATGGATGCTCAGCTTATCTCTCAAACCCCTAGGATTCATGCAGAGAGAATTGATGAATGCCTCCGCGCTAGATATCGTGTTCGTGAACTCTCAGTATATTAAATTTCTAATCCGCGAAACCCATGGCGCCATTGAGCTAGTTTTTTTGCTTTTTTCCCTTTTCAAATATTTCTGATGCAACGTTTAATCTGCTATCCAAGTTTACATCTCAAGATTTGTGACGAGCTCGGTACTAATTTAGGCCGTGTGTTCATCCGATCGGATCAATGCATACGGACGTATGTAAACGGGTTGATGAAGTCGGAAGCCGAAGTCTTGAACTTCTCTTATCTTTCGAAGCTAATTTTATGCCTGTTCAACATTTCAAGAGGCTTGTGAGAAGTGACGTGATCACTGAGATCAGTTGAGTGATATCTTGCGCACTCCCAGTTTAAGGTTTGCGACGACTTCAGCACTCATTTAGGTGGTGCTTTCACCCGATCGGATTCAACACATATTGGCGTAAATTTTCGTGTTGATGAAGCCGATCGGACGTTGAAGTTCTGACCTTCTCTTATCTTTACACGCTTAATTTATCCCTAAAAATCATTTTAAGGCTGTAGTGAGAAGTGACGTGATTACGGAGAGCAATTGAGTGATGTCTTACCTGCGTAACTACTTAAAAAGAATCAATATCCATGGCCAAAATCACAGGGCATATTCATCATGGAGGTGGACGCAGAGACCCATACCCCTCAAGAAAGCCTGGTGAAACCCACCAAAACATGGAGAGGCTACGTTTGGGACACGTTGGATCTACCAAGGGATCAACGTTGGCTTCTATTTAAGTTGGATGCGTTTGTGCTTACTTTTGCATCAGTTAGTCCTCGTCTGTTCACGAGATCCAATTGACCCCTCCTTACTTACCCTACCTTACCACAGATTGGTTACTTCCTCAAGAATCTTGATCTAAACAATGTGAACAATGCTTTTCTTAGCGGTATGGAGGAAGACCTAGAGATGTACGGCGATCAATTGGTCACAAGTACAACTATCTTCACCGTGGGCTATGTCATCGGTCAAATTCCCTGCAATCTACTCCTGACCCGAGTTTCACCCAGATGGGTGATTCCTTCAGTAAGCGTGAATTTGGAATTTATATGTCAATGATGGTATGCTGACAACTACTACAGCTCGAGGTAGGTTGGGGCTTAGCCGTTTTCTGCATGGCTAGTGTGAAGTCATACCAGGCTCTTTACGCGCTTCGTTTTCTCGTCGGCCTTTTCGAGTAAGCACATTATACTCTCAGAACACCTCCAAATACCCGGCTGATGTGTATCCTAGATCTGGCTTTTATCCTGGAATGCACTACTTGCTTGGGTCGTGGTACACACCACGGGAAATTGGCAAGCGCGCGATGATCTTCGGGCTGGCTGGCACGACTGGCACACTTTTCAGTGGTTTCTTGCAGGCAGCAGCCTACACCAATCTAAACGGAGTTCAAGGCCGTGCAGGCTGGCGATGGCTTTTCATTATCGACGGGATCATCACGCTGCCACTTGCCATAGCTGGCTATTTTTTCATTCCAAATCTTCCGCAAGGAGGAAAGAGGACTTGGTGGACAACCGAGGAAGAACATCAGCTTTCCGTCAAGCGAATGCAGAATATTGGTCGAGCTGGCAAAGAGCCCTGGACTAAAGCAAAGGCGAGAAGAATTTTCTCGAGTTGGCATACCTATCTTCTGCGTATGTTCTCCTGCAATCCTTCGGATTCTAGACTTTCCTCTCACTGACGATGGAATTAAGCTTTACTCTACGTCGTATGGAATAACGGTTGGCCACAGGCCGGCATGGGATATTGGTTAAAAAGCTTTGATAAGAAGCCTGCTCCTGTCCCGGGCATTTCCTTCTCAGTTCCACAGATCAACAACTGTATGTCGTAACACTGTTGTTCAAGTGAGAGATAGTCCTAACACTTACATTAGTGCCGCTCCTCACTACCGGTCTCTTTATCATCATGGCCTTGTCATGGGCCTGGCTCTCAGATGGTCTTTGCCGTGGCGCCCGGTGGCCTTTTGTTTATGTCGGAGCTGTCATAACGGTAATTCTGAGACGTTCCCAATTCTGGAAATTTTATGCTTACTTTCTCGATCCTAATTATTCAGACTGTGATATGTGTGCTGTTGAGGCAGATGCCATTATATAGCAATATAGAGGGTCGCAAGATTCTTTATTGGCTAAGCAATATCGGAGTCGGTTCCATTCCCACGCGATGTTGTCCAGATAACTCTTTGCTGACTTTCAGGTAGTCCGGAGCCGGACCTCTGATTCTTAGTTGGATTAATGAGATATGCTCGGACGACACGGAGAAGCGAGCCCTGCTTGTAGGAATGGCTAACGACCTTGCATATGTGGTTCAAGCAGTGGTGAGTCATATACTGTCAGTCAAACGAAATCATCATTGACCAGAGCAGGCTCCAAACTTTGTATGGAAAACCACGGATTTCCCTGCCGCAAAGAAAGGCTATCTCTGGGTATTTGTTATGCAAGGATTATCGAGTAAGTTTAGTTGCTGTTCATCTTATTCTAACAGAGATTGGAGACTGACTTTTCCCGTAAGTTGTTGTGACTGCTGCAATTCAGATCGGTCTGCGCTGGGATAAACAGCAAAAGATCAGGGCAGAAACCAGTAGCTCAGCGTCAACATCAACACCGTTGGAGCAGGAAAGTGTTCAGGAGAAGAAAGCCGCAGTCACGGCGATTACACCAATCACTGTGGAGTAAATAGTGTGCATGAAACGTTTGAATATGATTATTGGGGATGGTGAATTAACAATGTCGAAAACGAATGAGCAACAAAGTCTCTCAGAATACGTCATAGAATATACAGCAAATTCCAGGAATTTTAGGGCTCATAACACCAGTGGCATAAGTTGCCATGGAGAAAAAGCTTTTGCTTCAGAAGACCATACCCTTGACCTGGGGAACCTTCTTGAGGTCGATGTTTTTGATCATCATGGTCCAAACGAAGGCCAGAACCATGATACCGGTACCAACAGCAAGCATTCTGGTCTGGGCATAACCATATGCATGCTGGATTGCGAGTCTGGTTGGGGTTCCAACAGCGTAGCTCAACTGAGTGTCGATATCCTCATAGATCATATCAAAGTTATCCATGGCTGATTCCGGGAGGTACTTCATCAGCGCGTTCGGGTAAGTGTTTTGCCAGATCGCACTGGAGATGGTCGCACCCATAGCATCGCCGACGGTACCAACAACGTTGAGCAGGGCAAGCACGGAAGCAACGTGTTGATGGTCAACTGCGGCCAAGATCGAAAGCTGTTCGACGATAATGAACACACTTCCACCAATAGAGATGAAAACTTGGCACATGACAAGGTAGCCGACAGACTGGTTGGGGCGACGGAAGTAGATCATCAAGCCTTGAGCAAGGATGTAGAGAGGAACTGCGATCCACAGGAGCCACTTGAAACGGCCAGTCTTCCGGATGGCCACACCAACAATCAACAGCAGGACGCCGGACACAACGTCAAAGGTGTTGCCAACATATCCCGCCTCGGCGACTGACAGATCGTTGACCACCTGCAGGAAAGAGGTGAAGTAGTTGTCCCAGCAGTAATAGCAAAGCTGATAAGTAGCGTCAAGCAAGCAAGCACCGATAACAGTCCGGTTGTAAAGGAATCCGTATTGGAGCAGAGGCTTAGGGGCGAACCAGGTCTCCCAAATGATGAACACGAAGAGCAAGACGAAGCCAACGACCAGCATGGCAATGATGTACGGAGTTTTCCAACTGCTGGGAGCGCTACCAGCAATATCGAAGGGAAGGAAGAACAGGACGAGACCGGCGGAAAAGAGCAGAACACCCATAGCTAAATCAAAGTCAGCCTCTTGAACCGTTTGGTGGAATTCTCTCTGACCTACCATCGAACTCAATGATATAGTACCAGATGCTCTGAAGAATTGTCCGTCCACTACTTGGCTTAACAACATGGCCTTCCTTCACAGCCTTTCGGATATTGTACTTCAGAACGCAGTACAGAGGGGTGGCAACAAGAGGGAAGATGATGGCAAAAATTCCGAATGGCCAGCGCAAGCCAATACCGCTATCGCTCACAGCATCGTCGGCTGCTTTTGAGCCGGCGAAGGCCGTGATAATGTACGGAGAGGAGGTAAATGCATAAGCCAGACCTCGACTCTTGAGCATGGAAGCGTCGGCAGTGATAACGTCAACACAGTAAGTCATACCACCGAATCCGAGCGAGTAAAAGACCTAAGTTCAGATTAGCGCTTCCTGATTCCTACATTCACTGGCAATTGACGGCCGGAGAGTCTCACATAGGCGGCACAAAATGTGGCAAGGTTGTTGCAGGCGGCCATCATGATCAATCCCACCGTAGCACAGATGGTCATGAACAAGAAACCCTCCGCGCGACCCCAGACGTCCATCATTCGTCCCAGAGGAATATAGCAGGCGGCAGTAATCGCATCGGCGACAATATAGATTGTGTTGAGGAGTGAGTGGGACTCCCATTGACTGGTAAGGTAGGGGATTAAGCTGTAGAGGATCGAGCTTTGGAACGCATTTGTGAAATAGAGCAGCCAGATACTATTGGAAAATCGGTTAAATCCATGCTTCAAGGCGTGTACTCAACGGGTTGGGAAAGTTATCATACTTCAAGAAGACTGCAATCAAGGCTCCCTTTGACCAGGTTTTGACCATAGCTTCAACATCGTGAACACCACGGTGAAGCTCCTCCTCCGGAGTCTGGGGCGGCTGGTTCGCGTCGACAGCACCATTGTTCTCAGCGGCGACACCATCGGCAGGAACGTCCCTCTTACTCTCCTCGGTCGTGTTCACATCAACCTGAGTGAGAGTATCCTCAGTCGCCTGACGACGAAAGATATTTCCGAACCCCATTTTGGTGGAGATCTCACAATGTGATAACAATGGATGAACAGAAATGGTCTTAGCACACGAGGGAAATCTCTCGCCTTATACCGTATGGACCAATTTCTACTATCGCTAATCAGATGGTAACCGCTGCGGTACCGTGCCGATGAACTGATTGATAACTCGAAAAATGGGCTAGTGGGGGAAGCTAGCTGCACGCCACGCAAGCCGAGGGACCGGAGAATAGCTCGATCACGCATCGTGATTTGCTGGTAACAATGGCGAAACAGGAAAATTCAATCGATGCTCCCGGTCACCGGTGGTGTCGGTGGGGTCCTTTCTTCCACGAGGGGCGCAAAGTGTCTGGACTTGGGGATCGTTCTAGCAGTAAATCAGATAGTAGTAGCTTAGTGTGGACTAGGATGGTGGATTTTGTTAGCCTCCGAGCAACGAATGGCTTCTTGGCAGCATTTCTACACGACGACTCGCCCGGCATGACTACCTGCATTAGAGCATGGACCCGTGTTGACGGGGATCTGTGCTAGTGTCAGCGGACTAGAAAACTTCTACGAGATGAGGGCATTTCGGAAAGACAATGAATTCATTTTACGAAGCCAAATGGTGTGGGCTGACATGGGGAATTACATCAGTTCGGTAACAACAGCCCATTTTTGCTCGTTATTGTGGGCCCTTTACTAGCTCGGTTAATCTGGGAAGCAAGAACCAACGGTGTACGGAGTATGTGGTGATGCTTCTGTCCCATCAATCTCCGACATTCCCCACTTATCTGATCCTAACATTGCCGAAGCGATAATCCAAGGATCGATGCCCAAAAGGACCACACATCGCAGGGCTGACTTGTTAGAGGTCTAAGTGCGCATTATTATCATGACCACGCCAAAGATATGCCGTGCCAAGAATATCGGTAAGTGTGAAAGACATATGCCATGCATAGTGCGGCAAGAGCGCCTAGCTTGTCCCCATCTCATGCCTTGGTATTGCTTGGTATGTGCTTGTATCGTGGGTCTGGCCGAAAGTAGGAACTCAATGGTCCTTTTGGCCCCGAAGACCTCCGTTGCAATAGCCAGAGTAACCAGATGGCAGACACATGGTACTACTCGATATGTGCTCCGAATAATTGGGGCCCGTGACGACTGATTCTATTTGTCTCGGAGCCGTCTCGGGGCTGATCCATGGTCTGGTAAGGATCTGATAACTTTCTTCGCTATTCGCGGTCCTCCTGCAAGCCTGCAAAGTGGACCCCGTCCACGCCAATAGATTTTTCTCCCCCCTCCTCCTGCTCCAGAAGGGACCCTTGCAGGCGTGGTAAACATACGAGAGAACATGGTCGGGAAAATCGCTCTGAGTACTCCGTAGGTACCTGGCCAAATCGTTCCTGGTGAAGTCAAACACCCCAATGAAATCTACGTTTCGATCTGATAGGACTGGTAACAGGTTCCTTGTGGGCACGACCTAGTCTTAATCTCTCAGGCGCCTTTGGATAAAGATGGACCCAATGGAGTTGGGAGGAGAATTTTCTCGGCTGTAGGCGAAACGGATCTGATTAGATCACTCGTCGGTCTAGTTCCTCATTGGTGTCGGGTGCCATTTAGTGGCGCTCATGTCCCGCCCTGGTCGATTATTTTTTTCCGTTGAGAGGGGGTGAGGGAATTCCTGCTTGCCGCAAAATCCGAATGTGCTTAGTTTTCTGTATTATTCCTGCAAGAACAGACATCATTAGAATTTTTTTGCTGCTGTAGTCGTGCGGTGGTCAACGTCCCGGTCGCGATCGCGGCGATGGTGTTGGTACCCTATCCATCCGTGCCAACTTAAATGTGTTGGAACGAAGTGGATCGCTCTAACGAACAGGAAAAAGGCCGCCAAGCCGATCGCGGAAAATGCCGACAAGTTGCATTCTCCTCCCCTCGCTTCGCCGCGAGATTGGGCGTGAAATGACTCGGTCTGGAGAGCGTGTGGCAGCATTATTACTAGAAAGAAAAGTACTATAACCCATAACAATAACGTATTGTGGCCCGAGCTAAACGGGAGTATCGGGGAAAGACCTGAGCCGACATCGGCTTATCAGATATGCCCCTGCATTCCTTGTACCAAGTAATAGCAGAGTCTTCGTCGTGAAGCAAGGGTTCCCCCTTCTTGGATTCGTTTTCCCGGGCAGCTGTCTCGCATTCAACTCACTTGAACAATTGCAATACTCACACGAAACATTTCAAGCACAATGATATTGGATGATATTGTTTGAAAAAAGAACTCGGTATTGTGCAAAACAACAAAATGCAACTCTATATAAAATGCAAGTGGTCGGGTATCAAGGACGCCGGCGTCCCACGCTAAACTGGCACATGATCATGTTCAGCATCATTCTCAGCTTCGTCCTTATGTACGACTAATCGGTACAGCCCGTAGGCATCGGACCGGCGCCGTCGCAACTGACGATTCACGGCACAATACAAGCCACACCCGAGACAGACCGACGCGATAATTGCAATCACGAGCACCCCCCAATGGACTGTCAAAAAGTTTCTATTTGCTGAGAAGGAATCTCGTTGCAGGATTTCTGTCGTGCGTAGGATATCACCGTCCGCATTGATGGCAGACACTCGGAAGAAAGAGGTCACCTCGGGAGGCAGTGGAATCTCGGTCTCGAACCCATCACGGTCGACTTGATCGACCGCTGCAAACATCATGTTTTCCAGCCCTGCGCCGTCCCAGGCTTCAAGTCTCCAAGAGACAACCTCGGTAGCGCCATTCCAGCTCACAAAGACACTGTCATCGGCGATCGCTGCGTCAGGCATTGTGTCCGGTGTACCGACCCAATCGCCCTTGGAAACGCGATATGAAACAATCCGGCCGAAGGAGAAATACGCCGATGCGCCGAAGTGAGCGTCACACAAAACGTCCCCCTCGCGGGAGAACTCCGTATATGCAGCACTGTGACCCCAACCAACAAGAACATTCCCCGTGTCGAGAACCTGCACATTACCCTGCGAGGTCGCCATTAGGTCTTGGGGATGATTGTAGCTCGTCAATAACGTCGCTTGGCGAGCAGGAATGTCTAATTCGATCAAGGCGCCGTGACTGATTTTCTGCAGGTCGTAGTCGCCATTGGCCGCATTATTGAAGAGCGTTATTCGGTTGGGACCATGCCAGCGCGCATCATGCTGCCATTCAAATTGAGTAGCTGCCCCGTCCGATGCATCGGAGAATTCGTTGTCCTTGCCGCCCAGAGTCCACAGCACCTCGCCAGTAAATCCGTCGATACAAGTGACGGAGTGGGTATGCCGCCCCGAAACCAGGTAGCGACCTTGATCATCCTTGTCAATGCTGTTCATGTGGAAGTAGTCATAGCCCAAGGTTCGCTCATGACCCCGGTCGTTTAGTGGCTCGTAGCTGCTGCTGGGTGGGAAAAATATGGATGAGCGCCACTCGAAGAGGAGCTCGCCTGTCTCAATGTCGACTTCCTGGAAGACACCCTCGTAGAGCCAGCCAAGTTCGGGTCCGCCAACGGATGTCAAGTCGGCCGGGATAGGGTCGTATATCGTGATCAGAGCCGTATCATTTACAGTGATATGGAAATCGTGAAGATCGCCATCCATTGCGCCAACGGGGGAGACAATGTATTTGGTAGCGTATGTTGAGTCTAGCTGTCATAACCGTGTCGCGTTAGCTGCCAGTGACTCTTTCATAAAGTGTTTCCGTCTTCGATCCTACCATATACCATGAGCCTCGGCCATGTCCATCTTCCTCGTCACCTTGCCAGTATGTGATGTAGTCTTGGCCCTTGTAGCGTTGAACTCTGAAGTCCTGTGTGGTGCCCCAATTATATTTCATCCACACCAACTCCCCCAAAGCATCCAAGATCATGGGCCCTGGGTGTGCCACCGAGTCGCCTCGTGGCGCAAGAAAAGTATATCGTGGATCGCATTGTGCACCAGGCGGGGAAATTTCAACGATTGGCGATTCCTCGTCGAAGGAGACGTAACTCTGGGATGGACCGAACCCATATAGTCCCAGATCGTACCAGCTCAACTCGGAGCGGAACCGAAACCTCTTGAGCTGGGGGACCGCGTAGAGGTAGAATAGAACAAAGGCTCCAATAGCGGCAATGGCGGCAGATATCAAGCGACGGCGAGCGGTTAAAATTGTCCGATCTCTGCCAGGCCAGAAGCACAAGCTCAGGGAGGCGGAAGAAGTCCGCAAGGACATTGGCGCATTGCGGTCCTTAACAAGGTAGTGGAAAGTTTTCGAAGTCAAGAAGCCTAGAGGCCATCCGGAGAGAGGGCATTGGAAGAGAAGTGAAAAACCGTGAGGTTGGACTTCCCTACATATGTTATTTGATTCTGTCGTCTCTCTAACGTCAGCGTCCCACTAGCCACCATGAAAGATTCTATGGCGAGGGCTTCCCCGCAATAAAGAATATTCTTTGCTTGGAAACCGAGTGGGATCCCTCTCTGGACGCGCGTGCTAATTCGGTCATTAGGAGGTTTCCCATATAAAAACTCCTATCTGCCAAGAGGAGGGTGGAGCGGTAGCGCCTCCGGGATTGCGTATGGAACCAACCGACGGGGAAGACAATTAGCCGGCGGGCGCGTTGGCGGATCTAAAAATGTTTCTTGACTCGAGATTCGAGAGAATCAACCGAAAATCAGCCAGTGAGGTCGATCAGTTGGAAGACTGTGGACTCTAATTTTCTCGAGACTCCTCTACCAAGCCCCAATGACCGCAGCGCCACGAGCCCACGCGTCCTTCTTTGCCGAACGACATGTTACGCCCGAACGGTTCGTAGTGGGCTACACTGTACCGGTGGATCCAATCAAATCTAGATAACGTCAATGTGCTCATTTGATGGCTAACCAGGTTCCGACTATCCGTGGCTGTGGCGGTTCGAGAAGGCGCCATTCCCACAGATCTAATCTATGTTTTCTGATGCAGTTGATGTGTGAGATGCGCCCTCTTTGCTTTCTTTTGACCTTGTCGTTGGAGTGGTACACGATTGTGACTGATAGAAGCGTTAGACCCCGACAGGTTGACCCTGAAGAAGAGCGGAGCCTTGCCTGTCCACCGCGAGTCCGCCCCTCCATTTGGTGCGGTGGAACTCATGCCCAGAAAGGGAGAAGGTACGAGCGGAGCGAGAACGGAATTACGGAGGGCTGCGAAAAACTCGCCCACTTTAGGAAATAGTTTCGTGCCAAGGCTAATACGTAGTTCATCTTTCAGGGTGATCTCTTTGCCGATAGCAACAACGTCCATTATCGCTCGCTGATGAAGGACTACTGTGCACTCGCATGCAACGCTCGGTCTAGAAAGCCTGATTGAGTCAAACCCGGGCATCACTGGCCATCGCGATACCTACTCCCTGTAGGATTCTGTTTGCTGTCTTTCATTCATTTATCTTATCGGACTAAATCTGGATACGGTTCTTGTTTTCCAATAGTAGCGCATGGAGTCGATATTCACATATTGCTGATGAATTTTTCGCTACTCTAGGTAAATTCTCGGTGCACAAACATGGACTTATCTACAAGAATACGGTGCAGAATTCCCGAGAAAAAAAAATGTAAATCTGAAGGGAGAGGATTCACAGTCTGATCAAGAATTGTAACAAAAGAACTCAGCTGGCTTGAGAGATCTATCTTGGAACGGTGGTACTGTGAGATGTGACGCGTACTCAAGAAATTGCCCGCTTGCTTGAAAGGTCACGAGAAAATTAGCACGTGACAATAGAAGCAGATCGACTTCTTATTCGCGATGAAAAGGGGCTGTCTGTGTCTACAGACACTGGGGCATCAGAAAGGGACGAAGAAGACGAATAGGACAGTAAGGCAACATATTGAACTATTCATGAGGAATAATGAGAAAAGAGAGAAGATCTGGCGGGAAAAAGAGTGCGAGGTCACTTATCAATGAAATTGTGCAAGGACATCTCTTAGGATTTTATTCATGCCCTCCGTGGTAATATACTCACGGTGTGCAAAGGCCTCCTGAAAATTCTTCCGACGAGAGGCAATCGATCTAGGACAGTCATCACTAAGGTCCCTGAAAGGTTTACGCTGGCCATGATAGGGGATGATGCTTTTTCGGGCCACCGTTGCCCTTCCAATCCGCAGATCCTCAATATATTTATTGAGCGGCAGAAGAGTGATTGGAGCGTCTAGGGTCAAAACTTCCCCACGATAATAAAATGCAGCACTAAACCCAATGATGTTGATGTAAATTACAGGAAGAAAAATCTCCTAACAGAGCTGAAGCGAATAGACTTATTTATTCCCAGTGGAGGGAAATCCCCTGAAGGCAGTCCAACCTGCCTTAAATCAACTGAAATGTGGAGTACATCGTTCACCTCAGTAATTTAAAGAGAGGCCTCAAACTCTGAAAGCATAGGTTTAGAGGCCGGGAGCAATCTAGAGGTTAACCACATTTCGAACAAATAGTGGCGGGCTATCTGGTACTCTACTCCATATACATTCTCGATAGTATCATCGTACTATGTACCGCGAAGTCGATGCTGTGCTATGGATGATCTCAAAAATGAGTTCAGTACAGTAGACTTGCCTAGCAGACCCGCCACCCACTTACCCTTGGTCGAGGCCCATCCCCGAAACTATTCACCTCGGGTAGTGTACTCCGTACTCCGTACTTTGTGGTGCTTCCTCTCTCTTTAACTTCCGCCGGGATCCTGTCGGGATCCATTTCAAATCTTCTTCTGCCTGAGACAGTGGCTGGCGGTAGGTCCCGCTATACCTAAGATGTTCCAAGATCAATGGTTTCTCCACTCGTTGCGACCGTGTGGCCCAAATAGGGAAGATACCGTGCCGATCACGCCATGTTGTGGCCATGAGTTGCTCCGAGGATGCAGGAAGAGGGGGTTTCCATATGCATATCCTGGTCTTTGAGCTACCATTGACCGTCCCACGGCCGGAGCAAAGAGCAATGTTATCAAACCCCCGTCACTACTATGTATCCTCGCCCGGTCGCTGATTGAGGGCCTCGTGGGTGAATGGTCCAGTCACACGCGCCCTTAACGCAGATCATATACAAAAAGAAGCTTAAGGATGCAACAAAACGGCTCAAGACCAGCCTTCATGAGGAAGGTCAAAACCAGCGGCACCAATAGCTAGTATTGGAAATTTGTAGATGCATCGTGGCGCGAGCACTAACGGGAGAACAGCCCTTTTTTTTAGACGGGCCATTCTGACCATCATCCAAGTCTCCACTTTCGTCGAGTAGCTCGGCCGCGAGTCTGTGATTGGCGCTCGGCGAGGTCTCTCCCAGAACGCCCCTTAACACCACTCGTCTCCTGCCCAGATGATCTCGAAATCTCTTTCCTCGTCTTTGCTTACTTTGAAGTTTTGGTTGGACTGCCTGTGTATGCAAACCACTGCAGATTATGGCCGATGGCAAGGAGGTTCTGGCCCATGAGGCCGGTCTGGATGCGAATTCCCAGGATGACCGAGATATGGAGCGTCTGGGGAAAGCCCAGCAGTTCAAGGTCGGTCGCGAATGGTTGAATGCGGGGGAATGGCGCTTTGGGCTGACCCGCTGCAGCGAAACTTCCGATTTTATTCGATTCTTGGATTTACGACGACGTTGATGGCCTCGTGGGAGTCAATTCTTCTGTAAGCTGAAGGGCGCCGTCCGTCCCACTCGCAATTATCGTATTGACCAGAAATGTTTCCATCGCAGCACGAGTACCTATGGCCTGATTGATGGTGGGCGAGCCGGCATGATTTATGTCTATCTCGCGTCGTTTGTGGGATTTTTCGCATCTGTCATTTCTATGGCAGAGATATCCTCGATGTATGTCTTTGGTCATGCTGATTTTAAATCCGGAGTTGGACTGGATCTAATGACTTCATACTTAGCGCCCCAACCTCCGGAGGTCAATATCACTGGGTTAGCGAATTCGCAGCTCCGCGCTGGCAAAGGTTTTTGAGCTATCTGACCGGTAGGAAGAAGACCACTTAGCATTTCTAGCGTACACGGGTTCTAATTTGTTCAAGGGTGGCTGTCCGTTCTGGGATGGCAAGCAGCCTTTGCCAGCATTTGCTTCCTCTGTGGAACCTTGATTCAGGGCCTTCTCGTGTTCAACTACTCCGGCACCGAGGGGTATATCTATGGCTATGAGCGCTGGCACGGAACCCTGTTAACAATGGCGATCGCTGCCGTCGGCACGTTGGTCAATACCTACGGCGCCAAGTTTTTGCCTCCATTGGAGGGTATCATTCTGGGCCTCCATATCTTTGGCTTCGTTGCCGTCCTGGTGCCGATGTGGGTGATGTCGCCCGGCCAGGCCCCATCATCTGAAGTGTGGACTGTGTTTAATAACGATGGTGGCTGGACAAGCATGGGTCTGGCGTGTCTAGTGGGCCAGCTGACTCCTATCTTCTCGTGGACAGGGCCCGATGCTGCAACTCATATGGGTAAGTCAGGATGCACTTGTTTGAACTACACGCGATGCTGATTTCCAATAGCCGAGGAGGTCCAAAACGCAGCTTTTGTTGTTCCATGGTGTATGGTTTCGACTGCCTTGATCAATGGTGGCCTTGGATTTGTCATGCTTATCACTCTTCTGTACAATATGGGCGATATTGCCGATGTTCTCAACCCGGCGAGCGGCTTTTCGTTCATCCCAGCCGTCCACCATGCGACAGGCTCTGTAGCCGCTACCAATGGGGTGGCTGCGATCATTCTGGTTATGGAGGTTTGCAGTGCGATCGGTATCCTTGCGACTGCCTCCCGACAGACCTTTGCTTTCGCTCGTGACAACGCCCTCCCCTTCTCTCGTTCTTTAGCCCACGTCAACCGTCGTACTCAAATTCCCGTCACATCCGTGCTTGTTTCGACTATTATCACCCTGCTGCTAAGCTTGATCAACATCGGCTCTACAGCTGCCTTCAACGCGATCGCCTCGGTCATGATTGCTGCACTATTCACCACGTATATTTTGTCGATTGGTGCATTCATTCGAGCTCGTTTCCAGCCTGGTGGAATCCCCCCTTCTCGATTCTCCCTCGGAGCGCTGGGATTGCCTATCAATGTTTTCTCTGTGGCGTATCTCTGCTTCGCTATCATCTTCACCTTCTTCCCGACTGCCGCGAACCCTACCACCGTGGACATGAATTGGTCGATTCTAGTCTTTGGAGTGGTGGTCATTTTCGCTATCTTCCAGTACCTTGCCCACGGCCGCCTTGTCTATCAGGCTCCGGTAACTCAGGTTCGGAAAACGGAATAGAACTCAATGCAGTCACCATTAAGAGCCGAGGTTTCTGGAATTTTGGTGATAATTCGAGTCCGAACACAATATATAATAAACTCTTTGTCTTGGGCAGGCCCCTCATTTTCTTCACCAACAAGATGTCACTTAATTGATTCTTTCGATATACCCACTCTACAATTGCGCACTGAAGTTGAAAAGATGCATAATTTCGAAAAAAAAAATGAATTTCACAAGCTAGATTTGCTGTGCAACAATCGCGCAATGCTTTCTCTAGTTAAGATAATTTGTTGCCAAGCTCAGAATATCATCCAACCCATCCGCATAGTCAATACCCAACGGCATCATTAGATCAACACTGGGCATAATTCCCGAGATATCTTTCGATACTCCAGGCCAACCACTTTGCCCTGTAGTTCTTGGAAGAAATGACCGACCAAGGGCTGGTCGGCAGTGCCCGGCAATGCGCGCTCGATTTTGTCGATAAAAAGTCTGGATAATGGCTGCAATGTCCAAGCCAGTTTCTCTGGGTGTGCTGTCTTGTATGAACGGTGATTCTGGTGGTTCACCCACTACTCTCCTCTCTCGATGTTGATTCTGTTCAGCTTCGAGCATTGCCCGAAGAAGCGATACACCTCGTCGAGCGATCATATCGGTATCACAATGAGATAGAATTTCAATCCCGTCTTCAATAAGCTGCCGATGCTCGGAGGCTTGACGATCTTGGCGAGGCTGATGGAACATATCTAGACACAAGATGATCTTCAAATAGTTAGGAATTAGTTCAATTACGAAAGAGGGGAATCTCGACAACTTACGCTTGCCGTGACACTAAATGCTTGATGTATCCATATCATAGGGCCCCCATTACGCGTAGCTTCCTTTTGTTCCTTAATTATCGTTCTTGATGCAGCCACGCAGGTTTTCCGAGTGAATTCGAACATTGGATTGACGAAGCTCAGGCTAAGAAACTTCCTATGAATCATGATTACCTTGTGTGAAGAGCTGATGGCTAGGCTTCGCCGCGCCCATTTCACGTAGCATGGCCACGATGGGTCCAGGGGAACATTTTGTAAGTAGTATGGTAAATGTTGAGTCGCCAGGATTCGTAAACGACGATCATATTTGAGGACCTCTTCGTACCGGGTGTATAGAGTATTGCACGAAGTTATATCGTCTTGGAGGTCTGGCATTAAGGCAGCAATCTTGTACTTTAGTCGTGAGTGGCTCGTCACTGTAGGGTGGTTTTCTGAAAGGTCCTTTATCTCATCATCGCAGTTTAGGGGCCTCTCCGTGCTGAAACATGATCGATGGATCAAATAGCTTTCGGTGAATGGAATGGAAAACCAGTCCTGAAGGCAAAGCTGACACCAAATCCGGCGACCAATTTCCCTTTTTACCGAATCAATTGGATGTGAAACATCGTCGCTTCCAAGTTGGTGCAGTCCAAGCCCCTGGGCGATCCGTACGGCCGATGCTAGTAGCACGGAGAAGCCGTTGGAATGGCCGAGCATGTGGGCTGAGATAGTAAGACTGGCGATGGCTTCGAGTGAGTAAATTGAATGATTTGCCATATAGTCAGCTTGATATAAACATGTTATCGAAGCTTTCAGCCACCGCTTGGATAAGGTATCTCGTTCTCGCTCACGGAAACCCCATTCCTGGGCAGTCGACCTTGGCGCACACGCCATCGAGCCCGTCAGGACTGCGAACAAGAAGGAGATCCATTGCAAATTGACTTCAGGGTCTCCTACCATCCCGTTTGATTTTTCGTAGAATTCGTCCAGTTCTTGTAGGAAGGTAGCTGCATGAAATGCTCCATGGTACCATAGCAGGCATTCGCAGTGATATTTGGCGAGTTGGTAAACCTTTTGTCTGGTGGGAAGTAGTGCCTGACAGAGAGCAGCGACCGGAGGTCCTGGCATTTGCATATCGTCCCATTCATCGTCAGCGGGTACATCCCCCGGAGAATGATCTAGATTGTTTCGTCTAACAATCTCATCCTGGTAAGTAGGATCTTTGCGACGACCCCAGGCCAGAAACTCCAGAATTGTCGCGGCATCTTCCACCTCTTTCGGATCCGTTTCTGATTCAACATGCACCGAGTAATGCGAAGGAGCAGTCAGACGGTCGACAGATACTGTCTCGGCCGGGGAGAAAGAGGCATCGTGTATGTCAGCATCGAGCGCGGGAATTCGCGGCCGAAGTAGTGAGTCCCTGGCCTCGCTGAGCGAGGCTTCAAGTTGGGCAACCCTATTTTGCAGTATTTCAATGGTCCTTGAAGCATCCACGTTCGTCTGTGATGGGATCTCTCGCTGACTTCGTCCCTCGAATTGAGAAATGCTCGGGTTCGGAGAGTCCCGCTCGCGCGGCCGAGTACATCGAGACCCTTTTCTGGTGCAATTACGACATGGAAGGATCTTGTCGCACTTGACTTTGCGGCGTGTGCATTCGACACATGCCAGACGTGCTCGGTGAACCCCGCTGCTCATTCTGCTTTTGACTTGGATGGGATGAAGTCGAAGAGCAAAGGCTATAACATGACTGTCTTATCTGCCCCCTCGGAAGGTTGGTGACTGGCCGGGTTTACGCGATTACGCAGCAAATTGGTAATTTCTTATCTTTACTACCCTAATTAGTTCACACCTCAATAAAAGGCCCTTTGAAAGGGGAACAGGGGTCTATAGACACTCAATCTTGTCGAATACACCTGCAAAAAGGCAAATTTGATATTTATCTCCGGTCGCTTAACCACGTAAGCGCGCAAATGTATTGTTGGGGCCTTCGGCCGAAGGCTCTCCAAGCAACACATCTCTCTTCTACGGAGTAGATAGAAATCATCCCATATTCTAACCTTGGCGGATCATTTCAAATCGTTGGAATGTAGAATTGTGCGTAGAAGATTATTCCCAACGTCAATGTTGTTTGGTAGCTGTTGAGTGCTTAGGGCGACATCAAGGGTGACCTACAAGGATGAAGAGCTCGGCCGAGCACCTCGGCCGAGGTTGGAGATAAGTAATGCAGGGATCGGAGCAATGAACAAAAGTCACAGCCAACTACAATATATATATGACTGCACCGGTCGCATCCTTGTGTTTGTGCTATACATATTAAAAGGCATCGACGCGCTTCAACTCACCTACTATCGATCATCACGAGCACGAGCACGATGGCTCAAACTCAATACGTCGAGCGCCCAATTCCCCAAATCTCACTCGCCGACTTCGAGAACCGAATCGACAGAATCACGGCAGAGCTGATTGATGCGGCCGAAAATGTGGGATTCTTCACATTGATCGATCATGGGATCTCCAAGGAAGACATCGACTCTATTTTCTCGACATCAAAGTCCTTCTTCGACCTACCTGACGACGCCAAAGCGACCGTGCCATGGAATGCCAACAATGTCGGATGGGAAAAGAACTCACAGATCAGACCATCCACTGGCAAGCCAGACAGCAAAGAGTCCTATCAACTTCAATTCGGAAACAACATGAAGGGATTATGGGTCGCTGACGAGCACCTCCCGGGGTTCGAAACCACCGCCCTGGCATTTATGCATCGCGTGCAACACATATCGGAATCTCTTATGCAGTGCTTTGCTCGGGGACTGGGGTTCCCGGACGACTTCTTCATCAAGTGTCACGATGTGTCGCGGTCGGACTCCCAAACCACCATGAGGTTACTTCATTACTTTGCGTTGCCGGAGGAAGCCGGTGGGAAAGAGTATCATCGCGCAGGGGCACATGCCGATTGGGACTTTCTGACTCTACTGTTTCAGAAAGAAGGGCAGAGTGGGCTGGAAATTTGTCCCGGTCGGGAATCTGTTACCGAGTTCGGCATTGGAGACAAGTGGACCAAGGTGGAGGCGAAGACTGGGGAAATCGTGTGTAACATTGGGGACTTGCTTATGTCGTGGTCGGATGATCGGTTCAAGTCAACGTTCCACCGGGTTAAGGCGCCGTGTGAGCCTGGGGACTATTTTGGGGATCGATACAGCATTGCATACTTCAATCAACCCTGCAAGGACGCGTTGATCCAAGGGCCGTTGAAAAAGTATCCAATGGTGACCGGGGCCCAATTTACCGAAAGTGCGATGAAGAGGAATTTTGCTGCATTGCAGGAGAAATTGAGAATGGTCGCAGCGGCATAGATTGGAACGGGATTTGAATCGCGTGAGGGATATCTGGGCAGTAGTAGTTAGGCAGTTGCTTCGGGCCGAAGCTAGTGTAGTAGTAGCCATAGAATCTTGTGAGATCCTAAGGGCTCTTTGGTATCATCTTTGTGGACCTGAAATGCTCGCCAAGTGAGAAATAGAGATGGATGAATGAATATTATACTCTTATAAGTTTCCAAAATCCCACCAGGTGGAGAATCCGTCGACATTGCCCATCGTGGACTCTGACTCGGGATAGCCAAGATTATCCATATCGATGAACTGTAAGGGCTCAGTCCAAAGCCAAGGGGTGTTGGCCATCAGACTATCGGCAGGCGCAACGAGTTTTTCTCCCGTAGTTGTGCTTGCCGGCGATGCGGGCGCCGTAGCGACGCGTGATGGTAAATTAGGTGGCAGATGGGCGGCGGATCCCCCATCGGCGGTATTGACAGTAATGTCGGGGGACATTGCAACGATGATTTCGAGAGTGGATGATGGGTTTTCCACTTCCTCCGGAAAGACGGCTGGACTGAGTGAAGGGTGTAGCAAGCTAGCGGTGGATGTCTCTTGTGAAGTTGGCGTGCAGTTTATTTGTAGGAGCTCCCACATAAGAGGAATACTGAGGTGTATTTTTGATGGTTCCCAGTCAATATCCACCTTCTCGGAGCCGGATGCAATGCGAGTCATTTTGTCCAACGTTTGGTTCTAAATTTGTTAGTCTTGAAATTGCGTGTCTGTTCTGCTGTGATTTGACATACTAGTTTTTCACAGGCCGGAGAGAAGGACACGAAGCTTTTCAGAAATTTTCTGCATTTTGCAAAATCCGTTTTTGATTTGAACTTCAATCTTGGATCGGAGGCACAGCAGTAGTAAAGATGGACAGTAGCGGCAATTGCGGCAGCGTGGCCGAAGAAGGGGTCGATTAGTCGCATCTTCTTTTCAGATACCATATCGATAAGTCGAACAATCCATGTAGCGTGAAGTAGGACTAGCTCGGATGATCTCCTCCAGAAAGTGTTTGGGATTGTCAAGTTGTGGTTGTATTGAGATGCCACAATGTAGAGGAATGGATGATTGAGGACCGTCAAAATGGAATGATAGGTGAACTGCAGCTTCAACCAAGGGGCCCAGTATTCTCGATTAACTCTGAGCTCCTCGGCCCTGCGCTCATAAAACTTGACCGAGTCATATCGGTGGCACGGTGAAAGTTTATTTTCCAGCTCCGTCAGGTCGGACAGTACCATGGCGTACAAAGAGTCATGTCTCCAAGGCTCTTTCAAGCGGCTCTGAGCACAATCAAAAACGTACGATCGCACTCTACTCCAGACCCACCCGAAATGCAGAGCTAAATTCCAAATTCCAAGGTCAGATGAGCTTGTGCATCCAATTTCGTCGTTTGGCAAGGGCGGTGGACTCGTGTCAAGGTTCTTGAGGAGCTCCCGATCATCATTCGTAGAAACGTAAAAGGAACGCAAGACTTCTGATGGTACGCCGAGTATATCATTGATTTGGCCATATGCTTGCTCAAGGCATTGCAAACTCCAGAAGAGTCTTTTCTTTCGTTCAGCGGAGGGGCATTCAATGCCATAAGTAGAGTGAAGGTCTAACATTGCAGAGCGACAAAGCTGGAGAGCTAGACCGAGATGGAACCTGCCCAAGTGACCATTTCCATCTGGAAAATGATGAGTATTTGCAACCTGGGTTTCATAGCGGCTTGTCACATACCGAGGAAAGACGAGAATGAGAGCAAACATAGGCTTTCTATCGTTTCAAGCTCTACAGTGCCATTGGCAATCCGGAGCATGACGAGCGTCCGAGCGCTATCGCCATAATGCTGCAACTCATCGTGCTCTTGCGAAAAACGTGAGGTGAGGGTCAGAATGCTACAGACGAGCTCTTCGGAGATGTAACTTGTGTCTTTCACTTCTTCACGATCAAAGCACCATATTGGCTGTCTGTGGCAGTATTGGAAGTATAGATCTACTGCCTGGGAGATTCTGGAAGACGGGCTTATCTTCGAGTCTTCGAATCCCATTCCAAGCAGGAATGGATCATTGAAGGAGGGCCCAAAGTCAGCTGACGATGGACAAGAGGCTGCTGAATACGTTGTATCAGCAGCTTCATTGTTATTTCCACTATGGTTATGGTCTTGAGGAAGTGACCTGAAAAGACTGTCAGAGCTCGCGAAGTAAGCAAGCATCTTGAAGAAAGGGTTGTGTACCTGCCACCATTCAAAATAAGATTAACCTTCTCCTCCAGATAAGCGAGCCTGTCAGCCTATTATGAAAGTGAGCAACCTGTTCATCAAAACACTCGGAATCGCGGTCATACAGAAGGGCCACTCCGAGAGCCTCTTGGCACGGCTGTGTACAGACATTGCTGGTTCAAGCGAACACAGCTTGAACATGCTGGCTTCTCCGCCGGACAACGAGTCTTCTTTCTCCTATACGGTGTCAGAGTCACGGAGGCGCGCATGCGTTTATGAATGAGAAATACTTACCTGCAATTCAAACAGGCTTCATGCGATCGCAATCTTCCCCGAGTGGCTTCGCGTGGCATTATATGACGATCGCGACTCCGGAAACTGTGAATTTGACCGGATAGAACAAAGACAATTGACTATATCGACCGGAAGCGATAGATTGAAGGTAGATTTGGTCCAATACAAAAGGGCAAAATTTCCATCACATGCGATAGCAGAAGAGGTCGTGAAAATGGGTTGGGAGGCGAGAGGGGTTTTGGATGACGGGGACATGATAACACACAAGCCGTGGAAGAGCGGGGAAAGAGGGCCCAGTCAGCGCCCGGCAATAAAGGAGAGAACCAGCGACTAATGGATCTGGACAACAATGGAGGGGCCAGTACATTTTTACATTTTACTCCAAACTCGACCTAGTCTGCTCCTGGGCGCTAGAACCACGTAGGCAGGATCGTGATGGTCGGAAATAGTCCGTGAGTAGGTACTACAAAATCGGTGATGTAACTTTAAAAACCTTACTAAAAAAGGCAAAAGTATCCTGCGCCCGTTACAGAACCCCTCTAGAAGGCATCCCTGTCGCAGATCGATGCGTAAAGACTGTGTATCGCTCCAATAAATACTTTCCTAGTACGCCGTTCATGGGTGAATGAATACTGGCAGAAAATTGGCCACTGCATCATTCGATGAAGATAAGGTTCTTCGATCCCAGCGCGTTCGTTGGTTCTGCGATTCCTTATCTAAGTCTAGAAGCAAACACTATTCAAAGATAGCTTTATGGGCCTACGGATACGACATGAGGACCAGGGGCGGGGTCCATAGTCGATAGCCGATAAGAAAGTCTATGATTCGGGCGAGATTTGCATTTCACTTTTTGAGATGCAGACCGTGGCGGATTAAATTTGGGGTCAATACATAATTTAAATTCCCCAAAAACCTACTTGCCCTTGATAAGATAGGTCTAAGAAGGTTCCGATCAAAATGTGATCTTTTAGTCAAATAAGTTTCATAATCATAGGCGTAGTAAAGTCTCATTATCTATGCAAAAATTGGTCAAATGTTCTGGGGGCTAAAATGCGAGCAAAACGTGAACGAAGCCAAACAGCGAAAAGGATTCAATAGGCTAAAGCCGGATTGCCAGACTGGCATGCTACACCGCCGCAACATCCACCAACCTGAGTTGAACAGTCTCCATTGGCCGGGCTCTTACTCTGCAGCTTGGAGCAGAAGTCAATATCATCCTGGCTTGTCTTAGCCTCGGATGGTAGTGTTTGTCGTGAAGGCCACATCTCATGACCAGCCTCATCTTCCCGGCTGTGGAACGCGGTCACAAGATCCCTGACCATGTTCTGGAAGTGAAGGGGACCCTTTTCGAGGCGAGGGTGCAACTCGCCACTGACAAATACCCCACTGTTGAGATTCTTCTGGGCGTTTTCGCAGAGGGCCTTGTCTTCAGACATGATGCGCTTGAAAATTGAATTGATCTTCTCGAAATCCTCGTCGTGGGATTCTTTCTTGCGATAAACTTCGTACTTCATGGAGCAGCTGGTAGATGAGGTAGGTACAACTCGCTGCATGAAGAAGCAGTTTGGCGACACTGTCATCGAGGCATTAGGGAAGTAGTAAGTGCTGGCAATCTTCAGGCCCTGGGCAATCTGCTCCGGGGTGGCGTTTGGGTCATGGATGATGCTGGCATTTTGAGTGTCGACAGAGTAAGAGCTCGAACCGGCCACTGAGGGAGCGTCGGGGTGAGCTGTCCGGGAGTGATAGCTTTCGTTATAGTTGTCGGCCAGGATCTTCCAGTTGTAGTCGCCGTTCAACTCCCAGGAATGATCGAATGAATAATCCTCCAAATTAAATGACTTGAGTTGCGTTTGCAGGTCAATTCCCTTGAAGTCATCTTCCCAGGAGATTTCCGGCTCCTCGGCGCCATCCAGGTTCACCCAAATGAACCCATTGACATCTGTGTGAACGTGAATCGGGAAAAGGCCGTTCTTGCTCTTATCAAACCCATCAAGATCCTGATAACCCGGCGCCTTGGCAAGCTTTCCGTTTAGCCCGTATGACCAGCCATGATATTTACATGAGAAGATTCTTGAAGTGCCTCCCTCCTCGGTAACAACTGGGAATGCACGATGGCGACAAACGTTATGGAATGCGTTGACGGCGCCTTCCTTATCGCGAACGAGAATGAAGCTGAAGCCGGCAATATCGTATCGTAACCAATCACCCGTCTTGGAGAAGCGCAGGGTATGACTGGTCAGGAGCCACTTGCGGGAGAAGATAGCTCGTCTCTCAAGTTCGAACATTTCAGGCGATTTATACCAAGAGGCAGGAAGCGCCCTCGAAGTGGAATTCTCCATCTGTGTGGCATCATCGAGGCCCGGGTCGCTTGTCGAGATTGGTGGCATATCGAGTGTTCGAAAGTATACACTGCTGGTGGATTATTGTAGGAGAAGGGTTAGATGGTCTTGTTGATTAATATTCTACCTAGGGTTTCAAAAAGCGTCATATATAGTTCTCTATCAACCCATCTTCTACTGTCTTTACTGTTGCTCTCATGATGGCGTGTGCCGAGTAATCGTGGGTCGTAACGGCATATCAGGGCAGTTTCCGATCACAGGATCGGAACGCAGACTGAATTGGGACGGGCGCTAACGGCTTGGGTTCTAAAATCAGTGACCCAGGGGCTGGAAGGGGGGCCCATGGCCCACGGTGAACGGCCTTCGCGACCGGCTCTCCTAAACGCCACACCGGTCTGGTCGGAAGGTAATACCGGCACCTGTTCTGCCATTGAAAGAAGATGCATGATAAGCAACCTTAGCCAACTGCGCACGTCAAGAAATATGTTGCACAAGTCAATTCAAAATGGAGACATTGAACCCCCTTAGTGCGTCTTGAGCTTTGTAGTCGCTTTCCAAGATTCACTGGGCAGCAAATGGCGAACACGAAACAAGCGTACCTCACACTCTCACCGATCAGCACATCGCTGTTCAATATCGATAGCACATATTTGCATACATGAAGTTCCTGAGGTTGATCAGAGAGCGAGGCCCGTCCTGTTGGAGAAAATCAAACTTGTCTACATCAGGATGGGTTGATTAACTGAGCCAAAGGACTTACTTACAGCCCTACAGGTCTGTCCAAGTAACGAGGTACGTAGTTAGTCTTCCTGTAGATCCTCTTATCGAGTAGCTTTACCAAGTCCAGGCCAAAGAGTCTCCAATTTGACTCCAAGTGGCGGGCCGCTCGTGACTTCCCCCGCAATAACCTTCCCAAATGCTTGTCATGTGCGCCCGGGCCGATCACATGAGCATTTCTGATCAAAAAGCAATCTGTGCTCAGCAGGCTGTAAAGTACTGCCTCGACTACTCCAATGTTGTTTCTAATGTGGCGCTTCTCCAGCTTTCGTGATTGTACTCACGACCGATCGACGTGACCTACCAGCACTCATTCCACCAATCAATCTCATTTTTTGTACTCATGGACAGTGCTCTAGTAGAACATTCATTGGGCTATATCTTCCATTCACAGCCTTTACAACACGGAATGCTCCGTATCTGCGGCGTCCGCATACGGTACTGTTGGCTTGTTGACTCCCGAATACATGAAATATATATCTGCTGCGGGGCTTTCAGGTGTCCTCTTACTAGACCCTCCTTGAATTGATATTTCCCCCCACATACTGAAGCCTGTACTACGTGGATCGCTCGGACGATGAATCCGAGCTCCGCGGTGCATTGGATGGTGGCTGGCGACGCGTTCGCACAACGGGGGTCACATTTGGAGAACTAAAAATAAATGGTGAATAATAGAGTAACGTATTTCTCGATTGGGAATCACCTTCCATGTACGGAGTACTTGAACAAGGGAGCTGCTCAGCATTATTCCTTTTGGCGAGTCATTATTTTCAGGCTTATCAATTGTCAAGTTGATGTACTTACTTACGCAAAGAGAACTTCTTTCAGAGACCCTCCCAAGCAATCAACACGTGTCCCTCCTCACGGGGCGGCGGTTGTAATCCTCCAAGTGTTATCTGCACGACGATAACTGTTACCCCGCACACGGTAGGATCTGTTCGGTGGAGACAAAGGGGACCCGATAACCGTGGGAATTCGGTGCCTATCGGCCTTCTGGGCCCAAGGAGGGTGGCCCTCGAGGCGGATGATTTCGCATGAAGCCGTCTGGTTCGTCGGAGTCTCTCCGATTTCGCCACTTTCCTTTTTTTCTGCCGACCGAGCTCCAACTTGCGTCATCTCGATTTGTCGTGACTCCAAGAACAGCATCGCAGCTTTATTGCATAAGTGGACAATGCAATGAGCACTTCGAATGATAATTACACAATCCACAAGGTTTCTCTCAAACGTACGCGTCAAGCATGTGGTCCATGTCGGTAAGTGCACTGGGTTCTCAAAGGAGCGCGTAATGGATGCGAGGACAAAGCTCGAAGCTAAGATCACATCCACTCTTGTAGTCGCAAGAAAGCTCGCTGCCCGGGTGAGAAGCCCATATGTTCACTATGCGATAGGCTGGGCCAAAGGTGTACCTATGGATCCCAGGAAACGACTAGTCGCACCCGAGGCCGTACGACATCCGCGAATGATGAAAACTTAAATCTTGATGGATCAGTCGGGGTATGCTGTGATAACGGAGCAACTAGATGGACACACATAGCTGAAATCCCGACCTTATGATATGCAGGGCGCCGATCCGGATGTTTCTTCTGCGTGGCGTGTCCAGCGTCTAGAACACAAGCTGGACGAAATTTCATCATTGCTTCGGTACGAGAACAATTACTTGCCTTAGACTTGGCCAAAGGGACTGATTCATCTTGAACGATATCACACAGGGAACGTCTTCCACCGAGCGATACCTTGATGGAAACTCTGAATGGGGCTCTACCCACAGCTCTAGAGCATATTCAAACCCGGCCTGACGTGGGACTTAACCTGGGTGAAATAGTAACGGTGGACGATGAGTTGACAAGGTATGTGATAAAATACTTGAGCGTCAAGCACATGTAACTCACGAATCCAGCTGCCCGCTATCCCCTTCATTTATCCACGGTGAAGTCGAGGTTTATCTCAATAAATTTCACGATCAGCCCTACTGCGTGTTCGTCGAGCAATGGCTTCGGGAAAATGCGAGATCTTTGCCATTGGAAATCGTCTTCGCTCTGGTCGGCCTTACCCGACGCCTTACGGTCAATTCTCCTGGAATGCCCAACCTGGATACACCCACAGGAAAGTATTGTACGGAGAGAGCTTGGAAAATACTGTCAAAGCAATACCAGCAGGGCAAGAAGGGCATTTCATTCCTACAGGCTACGTTTCTTGTCGCTCAGCTAGACTTTGCTGATGGGAATGCGCACCGCGGTTGTGCTTCGGTTGCTGTTGGTCTCCGAACAATTCAGTCGTTTGGGTTCAACAAGGGCAAGACACTCTCCTCATTCACCAAGACCGAGGCAGAGGCTAGAAGGCGAATCACATGGGCATTTTTCATGCTCGATCGCACTTACAATGCTTCGCGAAACTACTCGCTATGCCTCTCTGATAATCATTTTACGTTGTTTTTTCCTTCGGCCTCGGAAGATTCCCCCGCGCTGGGTACGCTGCATGAGAAATCAATGAAACAGGGGCAAAAGGTTGATCAAGGCATTGTCGCTTGCCTCCTCAGGCTATACTCACTCTGGGGTAAAGCAACAGAATGGGTATTCGAGCCTCTTCCCACAAATACTCTGCCCCCCTGGCGGACCGGCTCGGCTCTTGCGATACTCGAATCGGAGTGGATGATTTTCGAGACCCAATTCGCAGATGTCCATCGCTACATGAACGTTGACTTTAAACGACGAGCGCGGCAGGATCCTCAATCTCGGCCATACCTGTCAACCTGGCTCTGTGTTCAATTCTTGTTTCATTCGATCCAGTGTCTTCTTCACCATCCCTTTGTGACTATGATCAAATTGCGCCATCTGAGTGAAAATCTGTCGGCAACCTTTCTGCAGAAGTCCTTTGAAACATCTTTGCTTCACTCTCGATGGATTGCAAGATTTATCAAGGAAATGGCAGAGGTTGATCTGCATCTGTGTGACCCTTTCTTTGGATATCTGGCCGCAATCGCTGCTACGATTCAACTTGAGCACACTGGAAACAAGAATCCGCAAATTGCACTTTTGCTTAACAATGAATACCGAGTCCTTGTGAATTTTATCACAGAACTCTCCTCCCACTGGGAGAATATGGGCGTATTGGTAAGTGACACAGCAAGTGTTATTTTGGAAACAAAGCTAAATGCAAGATAGGCGCACCGAATAAACGAATTAGCGGCTCGCCATAGCAATTATGGATCTCTGTTCTATAATCAAGACGGCTTTTCAGGAGCCTTGTCCAGCATGCCCACGCCTGCAAACCTGCCCAGAATGTCAACGGAAGACGAGAAATTGATGTGGGACATTCTAGATTTTGCTTCTTCCTCTAGCCCCCTGGAAGCTACGGAGGCTATTTCGACAGCACCGTCGAGGAAGAAAAGAAAAACAACAAAACTGCCGACGGGACGATTCACGCGACAAAGAAATCTCAGAGAACAAGGAGACATGGAGAATACACCTACTCCTGGCGTGCCCTCTCACGAAGATCATACCTTTAACGGATTGAGCGGGCCAATCGTGAGCGATGAATCTATACATGATTGGCAATTCCCCGATCGAGGTGGGAGTAATGGTCCTGGGTCATTGGTACCCGATATACCTGATTGGATGATCTTTGGAGACTTTATGTCGGAACATCTTTGAGTGTAATGCTTCAAGATAATATGTGTGCGCGGCACATCGCCTGACGATGAGTTGAACCGTGGCTGTGACTACGAAGCTGAATCGGAAACTTCCTGGCCGTCCTTGTCAGTTTCAATGGCGACTTTTGTATCATATAAAACATCTCATTTCATGACTGGCTGGTATGTGGGCATGCTACTTTTCTCATTAGATCTTGCTCTGTCTGACAGAAGCTGCTAAAGCAGAGTCGAAGGTGATCCGCTCTTTGGAAGTCAACTCCCGGCGCTCGGGACCACCGCGACTCCCATCGCCACCAAAGACTTCTCCCTGGAAACGCTCGCGGAATTGCGTTGGGAACTTCCACTTGTTGAGAAGGTTCTGTGGAAGCTTACGCTCGAAGCTGCCCACGATGTACTTTCCGATCACTGGCAGGAATTTGAATGCGCTAGAGAGCGTGTTAGCACCGTCATCCACTTGTAATTCCGAATGTTATGTCAACGTACTGCCCACTTCCACCTGTTGCGATGAAAAGATTCTTGTGCTCAGGATGGTAATCCAGGATGAAGTCACCGGTGGGTGTATCATTGTACCAGCAGATTCCAGTTCTCTCGAAGCCGCGCGATGCGAGATGGGGGAAGAGATCTTGGAGACCGGCTTCCATCCTCTTCAATCCCTCTGACGGGACAAAATTGGCTCGTGCTGCAACGGAGTTGGTGGGAGGTGACGACACATTCGCTTTCTCGTCATTCCGAGTGTATCCAAAGCCATGAACGGCTACCTTCAAAAAGCCAGTGCCCCCGTGTGGCGGAAAGCAGAAGAACCCAGTTGAAAAATTGAAATAAATAGGCATCTTCTTCAGTTGGACGGCTTCTTCAGAAGTGAGTCGAAGATAACCGACGATCTGACCGGCTGCGAGCATTGAGTTCCATGCTGGTACCAAACTGGGAGTCCATGCACCCGTAGCCACGATGAACTTATCACCTTCCACCCTGTTGCGATCAGCTGTGCGAACACACTTGATGCTGCCATCGGCACTCTGCTCAAATTCGGTGACGTGGCCATTGGGACCAGTCATGAATGATACCCCAGCATGAATACAGCGGGCAGCAAGACGAGCGATAGCTTTGCCGGCATCAGCCCAGCCGGCGTTAGTATTGTAGAATCCATCAAAACCGGTCGTGGCCAAGCGTCCCGTGAGTTCAGGAAAGCGTTCCTTGGCTGACTCCACGCTCGTCACGGCATGCCATGGCTGTCCCATTTCAGTCAGAACTTGCTTGGTCTTTGCGCTATACGCTTGTGCTCGAGGCTGAACTGGTTGGTCGGCAGTACCCTCCTGGCATACCCAGAGACATGGCGTGGGGTAAAATGCATCATTGAACTCTGCGGTCTTCCACAACTCGTACGCCTCTCTGGCGATTTCTGCATAGATAGCATCACCATAGTCGAATCGTATGATGCGAGAGATATCGTTACTCGAACCATCCGGTACCGGTGGCATAGAGCGATCGAGGACGGTGACTGAAGTATAACCCTCTTCCTTGAATCGTAGAGCTGCTCCAAGTCCGAAGACGCCGGCTCCAATGATAACAATTCGTTGATTTTTGTCCATTGTGAATTTGATGGAGGAACTTGAGCGAGGGAGAATTCACCAAGATATCTTGCTATCAACTTTAAGTAGTCAAAAAGATAACAAGTGCAAATCTGGCCGTGGGATAGTACCGTTCACGGACCGTCTTCCGCCGGTTGACGAAGAAATGGATGCAATCACACGGCCCGCTTCACGGCCCGTCTGTACCTTAGGACCACCAAATAAGTAAAACAACAATACCTAGGACTGTAGACCTTGAAATGAAATAAATCGAACTGAAATGAATTTTTTTTCGGATCGAAGCAATTCCGGAGAGTAATTGTAGATGATGATAGGAAGAGTGACATGTGGACACCGTCACTTCTCTCTCGCGATCCGTATCCTCGATGGTATACAGCCATTTCTAGATGGTGACACGCCGGCGTTGGTCAAACGACTCAACAAATCTCATTCTTTCAATAAGGTACAGCCAGGATATTGCAAGCTGGTCAGTTGATTGATTATGCAGTATATCCGATAATAATTACAATCCACATGTTATTTGAATAACTCTTCGCTAGCTGGGAAGAGCCGGCCGACCATCTCGACCATCCAGTAGCTCCACCTTTTTGCTGCCATCGCGAGGAAGAACGAAATTCAAAACGACCCCCACAACCGCGGAGATGATGAAAGGAGTTTCAACCATGAGATTGATACCCTGTTCAAAGCCCTGCAGTCGTACATTTGACCCCTCATAAGCCAGAATCTTAGCGAACCAGCTTGGAGAGACAATGTCCATAAATCCAATGCCCAGGGCGGCGGTAAGTATGAAGCGGTTCCGTCGAGTGAACTCGACTAGACTGAGGACCTTGATACCAGCGACGACGATGGTGCTGTATAAAAAGACTTGCATTCCTCCTAAGACGGATGGAGGCATCGAGCCGAAGACTGCGCCGAATTTACCGAAGATGCCCATGAGGACTAGAAACGCTGCAGCGCACCAGCCTGCTCTTCGGCTCTGCACGGGGAAAGGAGATTAGCTCTAAGTCATTGCTTTGTTCATTTAGAAGTAGTTGAACACATACCGCACACCCTGTCAAAGAAATGACACCGTTATTTCCCGCCTGGCTAACCATGGGCAACCCGGTACCCAAGGCACTCACCAGACTGCCCACACCGTCGCACAGAATGCCGCCTTGAATTCGACTGTTGAATTCGATCCCGTCAATATCGACTCCCGAGATCTCCGCAGTGGCAAGGATGTCAGGCATGCAGCTGACTGCCTCACAAATGAACAAAATTAGAAGGGGCAACGCCAATGCTCCATCCACCGACAACTTGAATGTCTCAACCCAGAGGAAGGTAGCAACGGGGGCTGCATCGATATTCTCTCGCGACCAGTACCCAGTGGCACCGGAGATAGCGCAACCCATAGCCAAGCCAAGGACAACTGACGCAGAACGCATCAACGGAGATCCAAACAGCTCGACAAAGATAATCGTGATGAAAACGCTGAAGCCAAGGCCTATCAATTTAGGATCGCCCCTGTACACCCGTTAGCAATTAGCGCGTGTGAAATTGGTGTAATTTCACGATCTCACCATGGTAATGGCCTAGGAGCCGCGATGTTTGGGCAAAGTGCATAGTATCCGCTACCGCCATCACAGTTCGAGCTACCACCCCAGTTCTCCATACCACTCGAAATCAGGTACACGCCAACGAGAAGGAGAAGTGTACCAGTGACAACTTTGGGGAAGATCCGGTTCAAAGTCTTTGGTGGGACAAACGAAAGTAAAATCTGAATCCAGACAGTGCAAAGAACAGTTCCGAGCATCGCACCCCATGCATCAGGGCACGGTAGCTTGGATCCATCCGATGATGTTGGACATGTCCCGTTTGCATAGCGCATATCGGAATAACTGAATGCGATAGCTAAGACATCGAAAGTCGGAGCAACCACTGATAGAAGACCAGTTCCAATATAGAAGGGTGTCTTAGCGAAATGTACCCGCGTCACTTGGAGAGCAGTTGCAATACCCGTGGTGATGAAAGCTGCAGACACGAGATACTGGCTTTTCTCTGCGTCAAGGTAGAAAGCGCCGCTTGCAATTGCCAGGGGAGGTGATACGACCGATCCAATCATAGTCAAGGCATGCTGCAGACCGAGAATGATGGTAAGAAGAATTGGCACTTCATCGTTCAATCCGTAGAAGGGGGCTTGATAATCCTTGTACTTTTTGTTCAGTGGCCAAATATTCGGTGTCACAAGATATGCATAGTCCTTGTTTGGAGAAAGTTAGTTTTGAGGAATCGAAGCGACATGCCGCCCTCGTCCGACGTACATAGTTGCCGACCCATCCATCCCAAGTAGTAAAGTAACGGCGAAGGTATTGCCATCGGGTCTCGGCGACGGGCGCGATCTCGATGATGCGTGAGTCTCTGTCGGCCATCTCTGATGTATCAAAAGAAGTGGTAACCGGCATATCGGACTGTTCTTTCTCCGGTAGCCTCCGTGTGGCATCCATGATGACCATCGAGACTTAAGAAAAACCTGGTTCCTTTTGCAGCCGACTGGCAGGCATGGGCTCTCGCCTCGACGGGACGTCGACGGCGCCCGATATATACCAGATCACCAAGCATTGTAAGGCAATCGAAAGATGATAGTCATATCTCTTGCATCATATCTTATCCCCCGGGCTGTATCGCGGAGGATCACGCTAAGCTATCGGGGGCCCGTGGGGAATGATAAGCGAACGAGATGGCTTGGCCTCGGCCGAGGTCCTGAGGAAAACCGAGATGCGCCTGTATCCGCGATATGGAAACCCTTCAAAAGGATTTTCAGCTCTGAAACCAACCTATTAGGGTTCCACTGTAAACAATTGAGACTGTGCACCATTTGCTACGCCCATTATGTCTACAACAACAGCTATTACAGGCTGCAAACTCTTTGAGCGCGCAACCATCATCACCGTAAACGAACGACGTGAGGTGATTCGTCAAGGCTACATCCGAACCGATAATGATCGAATTACCGCGGTCGGAAAATGTCCATATCTAGAAGAACTGCCCTCGGATGCAGAGAGGATCGATTGTGATGGGAAGATCATCATTCCGGGATTGATCAACACCCATGCACATCTGGTTCAATCTCTTCTTCGAGGACTGGCAGAGGATCTTCCACTGCATAACTGGCTGTGCGATGCGATTTGGCCGCTGGAAGCATCATTCCAAGGAGACGATGGAGTCCGAGCTGCACGCCTGACTATGGCGGAGATGCTCAAGACTGGGACAACGTGTTTTCTTGACCCAATGCTAACATATCGTGCCGGCTTCGATGCGATTTGTCAAGTGGCTGGGGAGATGGGAATCAGAGGGTGCCTCGTAAGTCTTCAAGTCCAATGCCACTCACAAGAGACAAGAGAATAGTGCACTAATCAAGGCATTTTTCCTCGGCAGGGAAAATTGGTCAAGTTCACCGAAACAAATCGACAGCTGTCAATCACCGATCCGAGAGACCAAGACCTTCTCGCAATGTCAATCCCGGAACTACTGAAAGCCCACGAGACGCACCATGACAGCCACGAGGGTCGAGTCCACGTATGGGCGGCCTCCGGTACACCGCGCGGCACCGCTATCTCCCATTACCTCGAACTGGGCGAGACTTGTGCCAAACATGGAATTTCCGCAACAATGCACTGCGCGGAAGCCCCACGAGACCGAGAGATATACTGGGATACGTATCAGTGCAGCGCCATGGAGTTCATTCGAGACGCAAAGCTTTGCGGACAAAAGACACCGTCAGCCCAAGGCTCTGAACAGCTTTCTCATCGACTGGTGTTAGCTCACATGGTCAACCTGGACGATCATATCGATATCCCGTTACTGGCCAGTACTCAGACCTCGGTCGCGCACAACCCGAGCTCTAATCTCAAATTGGCATCCGGCGTGGCTCCAGTGCCCGCCATGCTTTCAGCGTCATCACCGGTGAACGTATCCCTCGGCACTGATGGTGCACCTTGCTCCAACCACTATGACATGTTCCAGGAAATGCATTTGGCTGCAATTCTTCACAAAGGAGTCCATCATGATGCGAGTCTCATTCCTGCCGAGACTGCCTTGGAGATGGCTACCATCAACGGTGCAAAGGCTTTGGGGCTCGAGACGGATATTGGGAGTCTCGAAGCAGGCAAAAAGGCCGACTTTGTGGTGGTGGATCCATATGGAGCGGGTGGGCTTGGGGCCGTGCCGTGGAGCAGCGGATCTTCGAGAAATGTGGTTAGTCCCGTCACCACGGTGGTTCATGGATGTACCGGTCGGGATGTGGATATGACGGTAGTGAATGGGGTAGTGTTGGTCAGAGAAGGCAAGCTCGTACGAGGAGGTCGGGCAGAAGAGATGGACATAATTCACATGGCGCAGGAAGCCGTCGAGGGTCTCCTCCAGCGCTGCAATACCGGCCGTGACCAGGGCCAAGAGATTGGGGGAAAACTGATGGCGCCGTGGAATTATATCTGAAAACTAGGGCATCAAGTCATCGTGTAAGCAATACCACCATGATAGTCCAGGGGAGACGGGGGAGGTTGATCAGGGAACGGTTCCGCCCCACCCGAACAATACGAAGAACAATATCAAACCCCAGCCCGTTGTGCGGCAATTGCTTCTCATTGATCTTCCCCAATTTTAACTTGATCTTCATTCTCGAAAATGAAAATTTACTCCCTCCCTTCCTCTTACTTCCTTTCCTCCTCTACCCATCATCGCCGACCATGGATCGTGTGGTGATCGTAGGCGCCGGTCAGTTTTGTGCCAGCGCACACGAAGTATACTACTAACTAAATCCCAGGGCTGTACGGTCTCATCGCGGCAAAGACCTACCTCCAAGTCGCAGGAGCCTACGATAATTCAACACAAGACAAGGACACAGCTCAAACTACCCACACACTACCCAATTGTTTCTCCAATACAAGACAAAACGTGGAGCATACGCCCGGATGTTCTCTACTGGTGATCGACGCAGCCTCGGACATCGGAGGAACCTGGGCAGAGGAGCGCCTGTACCCGAACCTGCTCAGCCAGAACTCATATGGAATGTACGAGTTTAGTGACCTCTCTCTATCACGAGTTGTCCCCGAGGAAACGACGGGCGTCGGGCAGCAGTTCATCGCGGGATGGAAGATCAACCGGTATCTACATGCCTGGACTGAGAAGTGGGATCTCAAGAAGCACATCAGACTCAACTGGAAGGTAGGTATTGAATCTCTGGATGGCTTCGTGTACCTGACCGTGACCAGGTCGAGAGTATCTGTCGCCTCGATAGCAAAGAATGGGAGCTCAAAGTGAACATCGCGTCGCGTCCCACACGGGAGATCAGGGTGGTTTGCGACAAATTGATCCTAGCTACGGGTCTCACTTCGGTACCGAACCTTCCAAGAATGAGCTCCCCGTTGAGCATGACGACTTTGAGGTCTGTCATTCACGCCAAGGACGTTGGTGAATGGGCTCGCGAGAATCTGGGATACCAACCCCTACCATCTTCCGAAGCGTCACCCCAGTCAAGTCACCCAAATGACGACCAGAACCACCCGCTCAAGTCTGTAGTAATTTACGGAGGCGCCAAATCTTCCTTTGACCTGGTGCATTTCTTTGCCACTCTCCACCGAAAAGACCCCGCGCTACACCTGCAAGTAGCACCAAAGGACCCAGTCACAGTGCATTGGATTATCCGCAAGGATGGAGCAGGACCGGCATGGATGACACCGCCAACATCCTCGCTTGTATACGGTGATACCGTTGCAAGTGATAAAGCGGCCAGCAGCAGACTGCTTCACTACCTGAATCCAGGTTGTTACGAGATTCCCAAGCGCCTGTCCCGAGATCTGCGTCTGGAAGGATCATGGTTGGTTCGTCTTCTGCACGGGAATACCCTCGGCAGATGGTGGATACGCCAGTTTTGGCGCTCGGTAGACCGGGGATTGAAGGACTTTGCACAGTATCAGTCCGAGCCGAAGATGCAGTTGCTTCGGCCGAGCAATAGGTTTGTGATATTCGACTTCCATTTGTACAGTAACGATGCTGACCGAGAGTAGCGTCGTCTCATGTGCCTCTAGTATTGGGATCACCAATCAGCCCGATCTGTGGGAGACAATCCGGTCGCCACAGGTGAAGGTATATCGGTCCTCTATCGCGCAAATCTCACTTTCAAATTACCAGGAAGAGGCACAGCCGAGCGGCAGTGTGAACGTATCTCTCAGAGACAATACATGTCTCGAAAACGTGGATCTTGTCATCCACGCAACGGGCTACAAGCCCATCGTTCCGATCGAATTCTCCCCGCCCAGCTTTCGCCTTGTCTTGGGCATGTCAGGTCTCATCCACAAAACCACAGAGAAAGACAGCGCCGTTAATCATAGCGATCTCTGCAACGGAATTGAGATCCCGTTAGGTGAGACGGCAAAAAGACATATCGCACACTGGAAAGCGCTTGACCGGCAGTCGGAAGAGTTGGTGAGGAAGACACTCGCTACGACCGGGTGCACGCCTACAGATCGAGCCACACCCTCGTGGATTGGAGACTCCCAACTTCTCTCATATCGTCTGTTCCGTCGCATGGTTGCACCGGCACTTGTCGCGGACGGAGATCGCTCCTTTGCAACCATCGGCGTTGTGCTCACGTCCACTATCGCAGTAGTCGCAGAGGTTCAAGCACTTTGGGTCACTGCATTCTTGACCGGTGGATTGAATGGACCTCCTGCAGGCTGCAAATCTGAGGGATTGATGGCACTCAATCTGAACGCTTTATCTCAAAGCGCCATGGAGAAGGCAGTTTCTGAAGATGTAGTACTTGGGTCACTGACTGGCTCTGGGCTCGAAGTCGATGCTATTCAAGTGAGGATATTCCTTAGTCATATCAACAGCCTCCGTGTCTATGTTCAGTTGAACAAGGCTAACGTTATTTTAGTACAATGACATCCTAATGCGTGATCTTGGGTTGAACCCACAACGTCTGGGAGGAGGGTTCTTGAAGGAGCTGACGGGTGTGTATGAACCATCTGCATATGCAGGAATAGTGGATGAGTGGAGAAAGAAACAAGGCCTTATGTAACATCAATATGTACTTCGATTGCCAGATTCAAGGCATTTTTCAGTGATGTCAATAATCTCATAATGCCAAGTAGGCGATAGATACCATTTTGGGGCCCCCCGCATGTGACCCTCCACGTAGCTCCACGTGACCGGTGCGTAGGCCTTCCTCTTTCGTGGGCGCTCGCCTTTCCCGTTTTTGTTTGTCGTTTCTCCAGTTTCCCCACGTCTCAGCGGCCATGACCGACGCCAAACGCAGCGCTCGACGGCTGACCCGATGCCGGACGGGGTGTATGCGATGTCGCATACGACGACGAAAATGCATGTTATCTATGCAGTGAACTCGATATCAAATTTTAACAAGGAGTATAGGCGACGAGGGCAAACCGCGGTGTCGAAATTGTATCGATCGGAACTTTGAGTGCCAGTATGGCCCGCAGTTGACGTTCTTGACGAAGAATGCGCAGACCGTGCAGCCGTCAGAAGTGGGGAGTTTATCGGCTAGTTATGAAGTCATTCGAGTGAGTATAGAGCAGATAGAAGAGTAAGAAGTATATTGCTGATCAAGTAGTAGTTTGTCAATGAGGACCCTGAGAATGCCAAGGATGAGCTTGATGATGGAGAAGATGAACCATCTCCTCGGGCTGAGGAATCTGTATCTAAACGGCCGCACGAAGATCCTCCCGACTCTAACGTGGGCAGACAAACAGAACCAGAACCAGTCTCAGAGTTACCTATCTGGTCGACCGATGAGCCATCTACAATACCAACCCCGCAACCCACAATCACAATGTTCAGTGACAGAGACGAGTCTGCGGTCGCCGGGCTATTGGCTTTAGGAACAAGCACAACCGAAGCGATGGTGCAAGATCTGAATTTGACGGGATTTGCGATCTCGCCTCTCACAAGAGAACGGCCCCTCGCTCAAGCAGTGACTCCAATCAACTTTCCGGACTATTCTGTGACCTTTTCTCCGAACCATATGTCCCAACCGGCTCCTCTCAATCCAGAGATTTCGCCCACGCAGACACTAGAACTGCTTCGACATTATCGCTACGAAGTAGCCCCATGGGTATGTCTATGCAGAATGAAGAGGAACATGTCAATACTAACATAGACAGCTGGATATATGTGACCTCGGGCAAATGTTTGGAATCCAGGGCTTGCAGCTTGCAATGGTATCAACCCCGGTTCGGGCAACGGTGCTTGCTGTCTCGCAGGCATCTATAGGCTTATTACGACCAAATTCTTTACGGCCGAGAACAGAGAAAAGCATTGGAAGCCCTGCAACTCAAGACGGGCAATTGGATATCACCACGATCGCCTTTATGCGGGCCCTGGATAGGATCGGATACTGCATTACGGAGATGCCCTCAGCATGGTCTTTGCAGAGGGAAAGCGATAATGAAATTCTTGAGCCATTGAGTGCACATACAGTCGGCAGAGATCTCAACTCGGCGATATACTGGCTATTTATAAGGCTAGGTATGTTTCTTGAAAGGTTTTCAAGCCGTGCGGTAGAGACTGACAAGTGATTATCGCAAAGATCTTGGAGCAGCGCTGGCCACAAATACTTGTCTCCAGATTCAAATCCCTCCGTCGCCACCATATCATGCGGAAGGAGATCTTGGTACTAACCCATTTGGACTGGTCTTCTCATATGCACATTGCCCTCTCTGGCTCTGTGCGCGGGCTATTGAATTCATGCACAATGAAGATCCCTCTCCGCACCTGCCCCCGCTTCGAGTGTGGATGAGAATTGTCGAGGAACTTGAGCAGTGGTACCGAGAACGACCTCAGGAGTTCCAACCGATGCTGGAGATAGAGACAGACGACCAAGCTGCCGATCCGAGCCAAAGCTTTCCCGTTGTTCTTTTTGCAAATGGGGCTGGTGTTTTCTCTAACCAGCTATATCATACAGCCATGTTACTGTTACTACATAGTCGGCCGCGAACAGCGCACATCGCAGACATTCGTTCGGCCACGATGTCTCCTCTGTGGCATGCCCAGCGAATCTGTAGTATCGCTCTGAACAACGAGCGACGCGAGTGCTGGGATCCATGTCTGCTAGCATCATTTCTGACGGCCGCACGCCGCATGACACATGAGTCGCAGCAACAAGAGATTTTGCGAGGCTTTGAGCGCATCCGGAAGATCACTGGCTGGAATGCTGGAGAGCTTCTGCGAGATCTTCAGGTAGAATGGGGCTGGCCGGAGGCATAGATACTTGCGTATTCGTCAGGTAAGATGAAGCTCTTGGTTCGCAAATCTTTTATCCAGCGACTGGTGAGTGCTGTGTACCGGATTTTCGACTCCGACTAGTCAGTTGGTACCCCCAAGCAAGTTCTAGGTCGCGGATCCGCCAACAGGCACCCCATCCTGTCTCCGCTTCGATCTTTCGAATAATGTCGATGATGATCGCATGTTCAGAGACATGGCTGAACAGGCGCCCGGCAATCCATAGAGGCTGGATAGCATTGTTCAGACATCCTTGATGGGGGTTCGCAAGGGATATGCCACAGATCCGCCGAGCATGCCACAGCGCTGATACAATCGGCGCCGATCGTAGCTTGATGCTCTTCGGCATGATGTTCAGCAGGAGAATACAGGCAGTGTGGTAGAGTTGATTAGAGGATATGGCGGCCCAGTGCAGGAATAAGATGTGTGGAAAAGGTTTGGTTTGGGTCGTCTGAACGGGGAGCAGCTCCGGTGGTCGGTCCTCGATCCATTGCTGGAGGTCGTCCCAGAGGCGAAGCCAGCGTCCCTGGTAGACATCGCCTGTGCAGTCATTCTGCGCGCCTAGTTCGAGAAACTGTGTACGATCGGCAACCAGCTCGCAGGTCTTTGCGCACAGGTAGACGGCGTAATTCGCATGCATATCTGGGGACTGGGCCGCCTGGAAAAGCTGGGCTGCATCCTCTTCCGGACAGCCAGGGGCAAGCCACTTGCTGGGACGAAGCAGAGTGCTTTGAGTCCCGTCTGAAATCAGTGCACCACATAAATCTACTTGCCCAGTTAGCAATACATCCAAGGGATACACTTTCCACGCGTTCTCTGAGCCTCACCCATGCGCACGTAACACCAGAACACAGCCTGCAGCAGCCCGCTGCTGAAGCCATTGATTTCAAAGGCGTCGAAGAGAGCCGTGCATCCTTCCAGGTGGCGCCGCCAGTCCTGCGCTCGTGCTGACATCATCTCAAGACAGCAGAGCAAGACGCAAGCCGCGATCACTTTAGGATCGCGCATCTGCAGCAAAGGACTGAGCAGGCGAATAGCCTCCTGGTAGAGCTCAATACTATCGAACGAGTCCTGGATACCGTCTTTTCGCTCCATTTGGCGAGCGGATATCGCCAGTATCGCATTGAGTAGAGCAGGGAATGTGCGAGCAAGGGCCGGGATTTGGACGCGAAACGTGCATTGAGAATCGAACATGTCGAGCTAGAAGATCACATTGCGTGAGCCAATCTTTCCAATCACGCTTGTGACCGCCGCAAACCAGCGCCCTTCTTCGCTGTCTGACCGTAGTCATTAACACCGCCCCATGTGATAGAACCACTTACCCATGGAGCCACTTGCCCCACGTAATTCTTCAAGTACTCGACCCGCCGACGACTCGAAAGCGCCGATCGCATTGGCAAGGGATCCCTCTCTGTCCGTCTATCTCCCTCCTCGTCATCCTGCCGATTCCCATCCGGACTCGCCGCCCTCGTCGGTGCCGCAGACTGGGCGATTGTAAAGAGCATACATCGCAGCTCCTCCTGCGACGCAAGGAACCCCGGATCATGCGAGAACCCGTCCTGGCCCCAGCTGGCGGCACCTAGTGGAGAAGGGAAGGCAGGGACATCAGTCGAATCCGAAGGTGTATATGCAGGTGCATGTCGCTGCGGGAGAGTCCAGTCGTTGTTGAGTCCTGGCGCAAAGGCTGGTGGCGAAGAGAGCCCCGGTGCGTTGTCGAGCTCGGTTGGGAATAGGACGTCACCCGTGAGGCGCCGGCGTTTGGGATGCGGGTACATGATGCATGGTATGTGTGCTGCAGATCACTGGAGGGCACCAGAGACAAGCCAGGGGAGAATGAAGAGGAAAAGAATGGGGAAGGGGCGGTGGTTAGTTTGGGAAATCAACATGAATTGTGGGGAAACCCCCCAATCGGCACTTGTTCCTTTCCTTAAGCTTGGTCTAGCTCGGTCGAGCTTGGTCTGGTTTTTTGGTCGGGTGTATGGCCGGGATGTACTTGCGCCAACATCCACAATCAAAATCTATTGATCGACTGTTCTGATCGAAGTAATTCAGTTATCTAGCTTGATTTGAGGTTTAAGTCTTGACTGTTTTTTACGAACTCTTGTTTCTGTTCTCGTCTAGTACTAATGACCCCCTACCAGGGCGTGTCAGTGTGTACAAGATTGGTAAGTCTCATTATGTCCATGACAAAACTCGAGTCCCTCTAGATAGTAGAGTAAGTAGAGATCATGTTCAATCAGGAAGTAGTAATATTTTGGATGGTTCAATGAAACACGCTCAAGAAGATTCTAACTCACCCAGAAGTGCATAGAACGGACGAGCGTCCAACAATATCAGTAGACTTGTAGAAACACGATTGATTGTGTCGAGCGTGTTCGGATCGCAGTACACATTCCAATCCTTTACCAGGAACCAATCGTTCCTGCAAAGGGAGACCCTTGCCCCGTAAATCACTTGGCTAGCCTTAACCCTGCGAACACGCAAGGGATGCCACAAAACGGACCGCTCCCAAAGCGCGGAAAACTGCATCGCAGAATCAACAATTCCCCAAGATTCCACCCACAAGCGTGGTAGCCCTGACCGTGTCGCATTGAAGTTTTGACCAGCAAGTTGCATCTGCAAGCGTGAACCATGTACGGCCTCAAACAACTTGCTGTCCTGAGCTTGATGCTCCTGTCTGTCACGGCTAAGGAAGCGAAGAAGACGATGGTGGGTGATTTCGCTCATGGATACCCTTGACTGGTTCTCTTGGAGAGCATCCAAGTACTGACTCGGCATTTAGGTTGGCTTCGAGACCGAGAAGGCCAGCTATGGCAAGGATGTCGAACTCGAAGACTGTACGGAGATTGACGAGGAGTATGTCGCCAAGAACGGATGGTGGTATTGCGGTTGGACTAACTGTTTCCTAGGGAGGTCTACACCATTTCGATTAAGAAGCATTGTCGCGTATTCACGTAAGTTGAATCACATTTCTGTCATTCCAAGTATGATGCTCATTCGTCTAGTGGCCCTCTCTGCACCGGTCGAAACACCCTTCTCAAGCCCGGCGACCATTCGAACAAGGAACCCGTCCCGATTTTATCTATCTTCTGCCACGCAAAGAGGCCGTTCTAGGACACATACACAGTTTGGCTCTGTGGGTGGTTTCATTCGCCCTGGCTTAGCGTGGCTATCTCCAAACTTCAAATAGAATAATGAACATTATACCAATCACGCTTCTCATAACATCTAGGGAGGGCGTGTAGAAAAGAAAGGAAACAACAGCCAATGGAAAAGTGCTTTTTAGTAGTTCTATGTGCATTTCAGAGTGTTTGAGTATGTGCGTAATAGGCATTATGTTCACAGTCTATAAGGAAGCCTCCTCCTCATCCACCACCAGAACCTTAATGCTCCCGTTACGAGGGTCAGCGCAAAGGTATAAGGCCTCCTTTGCTTTCTCCAATGGGAATACATGCGAAACCAGCTTCTTCAAATCTAGGATACCACCACTCAAACATTGAATAGCTGGAGGCCATGTGTCGCGGTAGCGGTTGATGAAGCGCAGATCGATCTAATAGGATTAGTATGAGTTCGATGGAGAGACTGCTGCTCCTCGAAGGTCGACTCACCTCTGCGAGGGAAAGATGCATGAAAGGTAGATTATTCATAATCGCCTTGCCTACTCCAATGACCATCACCGTACCCCCCCGTCGGGCAGTATACGCAGCCGTACAAACACTGCTCTCAACACCGGTACACTCAAGAACGGTCTCCGGCGCAACGTACTCGGTCGGACCAAACAAAGCCCGAATGGCCTGCGCGTTGCCTTCGGCGTCATTGTTCCGGTCAACCTGGTAGGTGATGCACGAGGGAACAAAGTCCTTCGCGAACGCCAAACGGGAGGGCTCCAAGTCAGTGATCACGATGGGATGAGCACCCGAAGCACGAGCAGCAGTCAGAGCGATCAGACCAATAGGACCAGCACCACAGACTACAACACCGCGGCCCAGACTGAGTCCAGCGGTCTTGATGCCATGCATCACCACTGAGAGAGGCTCAAGGAGAGCTCCCTCTGCGAATGTGACATTGTCGGGAAGCTTGTGTAGCCACTTTGCGGGATGCACTTTGTATCGCTGGATCGTACCATGGTAGGGGTAGACTCCAGCAAACTGGACATCCTCGCAAAGATTGTAACGTCCATCATCGCAGAGGAAACAGTGCTCGCAAGGAACACCGGGTTCCACGGCCACTCGGTCGCCTACACGACATGTATACATTAGCATCATGCACATGATAGACGTGAATCGATCAGAAGGCCTCTTCTTACCAGGCTTCAGATGGCTCACACCCTCACCACACTGCAAGACAATTCCCGAGGCCTCATGGCCGATAATACAATCACCTTCAAACACCAGCGATCCGATGCGGCCCGTCTTCCAGAAATGTATATCCGATCCACAGATACCGGTCGCCTTGATGTGTACCAGCACCTCTCCCTTCCCGGGCGCATAGACAGGCGCTTCGACAGACTTGAGCTTATGATCAGCTGTCACTTGTAATGACGGGTTCGGATGTGAGGCCGTGATCACTCTGCGATCGAGCGACTTAGTCGCAACCGCGACGGGCTCCTGCTCTAGCTGATCCACTAGTACTGACGGGGCCATGTGTTCGATCGGGAGTTCTCCACACTATAACATCAAAGGTATCTGGGTAGTTGGAGAGTGGGGAGAGGCGTGGGAATTTTGACCGGACAAGGAGATTTCTTAAGTAAATGCCACACCGTCGGCAATGTATCCTGGTTGGGGATACAATGTTTTGGTGGTGGTTCAACTTGCCGGTTTTTCGCGGGCGGTTAGCACTACCACATTCGTCGACTGCCTGAAACGGTTGTTTTTGTCGACGTCCACCGGGGCCTATTTGAAGGTCGAGTTGCCCTGAATAGAAGGATTTTGAAGCTACGACAGACAATTTTGTTGATCGATTCTTACTGTGTCATTATGACTGTTGCAACGAACGGCGTCCACGAGTCTATGCTATCGGCTCTGCCGTTGGTGCAGAAGCTCTCGAAGGAGCATGACTTGGTGCTCAAGACCTTCCGTCTGCTCATTGCTGACCTGTGCCAGCAGTTCAGCGGTGGTCACCCTGGGTATGATTGCTTTCTCTTGTATTATTTTAAGCTGATAAATTAATGATGACTTGATAGCGGTGCCATTGGCATGGCCGCAATTGGCGTGTCTTTGTGGAAGTATGTGATGCGCTACGCTCCGCACACCCCGGACTTTTTCAACCGCGATCGATTTGTTCTTTCGAACGGTAAGGACAGATACTGACATAATATAATTTGATCGCCAATTGAAACATGTATAGGACATACTTGCCTTTTCCAATACAGCTTCCTGCACCTCACAGGCTACAAGGCCATGACTTTCGACCAGCTCAAGTCCTACCATTCCGACCGCGTGGATGCGCTGTGTCCCGGCCACCCCGAGATTGAGCACGAGGGAATCGAAGTCACAACCGGCCCTCTCGGCCAAGGAATTGCCAATGCTGTCGGTCTTGCTATGGCCACCAAGAACCTGGCTGCAACCTACAACCGTCCGGGCTACGACGTGGTCAACAACCACACCTGGTGCATGATCGGCGATGCGTGCCTGCAGGAGGGTGTCGGCCTCGAGGCCATTTCCCTAGCCGGCCACTTGCGTCTAAATAACCTTACCGTCATCTACGATAACAACCAAATAACTTGCGATGGGTCTGTTGACCTGACTAACACTGAGGACGTCAATGCGAAGATGCGCGCGTGTGGCTGGGACGTGATCGATGTCGAGGATGGCTGTTTCGATATTGAGGGCATCGTTCGTGCTTTGGAGCAGGCTCGTGCAGCACATAACAAGCCGACATTCATCAATGTCCGAACTGTCATCGGTCTCGACAGCCCCGTGGCGGGCACTGCTGTCGCCCACGGTGCTGCTTTCGGTACCAAGAGCGTAGCTGACATGAAGGCTCTCTACGGCTTCAACCCCGAGGAGGACTTCGTCATCGGTGAGACCGTCCGTCAGTTCTTCCGGGACCTTCCCGCTCGTGGTGAGCAATTGGTACGAGAGTGGAACCGGCTGGTGGCCAATTACACTGCCCAGTTCCCCGAACTTGGTGCTGAATTCCAGGCTCGCGTTAAGGGTGAGCTGCCCATGGACTGGGAGAAGTACATCCCCGAGAGCTTTCCTCAGAAGCCTACCGCGACTCGTGCTTCTTCTGGCCTTGTTTTTAACCCCATTGCCAAGGAGTGCAAGAACTTCATGGTCGGAACCGCTGATCTGTCCCCATCGGTCAACATGATCTGGCCCGGCAAGGTTGACTTCCAGCATGTAAGTATCAATTTTGTCGCTCCACGATGGATTTTCGCATCCTGACTTTCTTCATAGCCCGACTTGAAGACCAACTGCGGTATCAACGGAAATTACTCCGGTCGCTATATTCACTACGGTGTCCGTGAGCATGCCATGTGCGCTGTTTCGAACGGCATGGCCGCATACGCCCCCAACACTATCATTCCAGTCACCTCCTCGTTCTTCATGTTCTATCTATATGCCGCTCCCGCCGTGCGCATGGGTGCTCTGCAACACCTTCAAGTCATCCATGCCGCTACTCACGATTCAATTGGTATGGGAGAGGACGGCCCTACTCACCAGCCTATCGAACTTGCCGCATTGTATCGTGCGATGCCCAACATCCTGTATATCCGTCCTGGTGACAGCGAGGAGACGGCTGGTGCATGGATCGCAGCCATCGGCGCTAAGAAAACATCTTCCATTATTTCCACCTCCCGCCAAACGCTGCCTCAACTGTCCCAAACTCGCCGTGATGGTGTCGCCTACGGTGCCTACGTCCTTTCAGAGGACGAGTCTGCGACCGTGACTCTGATCGGTGTGGGTGCCGAGCTTTCCTTCGCCTTGGAGGTTGCCGAGAAGCTGAAGGCCGAGAAAGGTATTACAGCTCGTGTAGTTAGTTTCCCCTGCCAGCGACTCTTCGAGCAACAATCGCTCGAGTACAAGCGCGACACCCTCCGTCGTCACCGCGGCATTCCTGCCGTCGTCATCGAGCCGTACGCCCCCAACGGCTGGGAGCGTTACGCCGATGCTGGTATCTGCATCAAGCGCTTTGGCCACAGTCTCCCTGGAAAGGCAGCTTATAAGTTCTTTGGCTATGATATTGATACGCTGACCAGCAAGGTAGCGGGCTACCTTGACCAGTTGAAGGGTGATGAGTTGCTCCGCAATGAATTCATTGAGCTGTAGATGTTTTACGAACTTGTCTTTAATTTTGGGAGTTGGCACGGATTGCATATTTTGAACATAGAATGGATGGGAAAATCCACGAATCGAGTTGAATGAATTACAATAAAAAACAAACATACCAGAAATACTGTTCCCGTCTCATTTATAGTGAGAACCACCCTTATCACGATAGTTCGTGCTGATGCAGTGGACGTGCTGAAATGTAAGCTTATCGCAGGTATGTGCTGGCCAAGGGTCATATGCTGCCTTGCTCCATCTACCCGCGATAAGAAGCACCAGATTGCCCACCACAGAAGAAACGGTCCTATTTACCCCCCAGAACTCCCAGGGAACCAATAGGAGAAATGTGGGACGAAGCTGGTGGAGGGTGGAAACGCATCTGTTCTCCACTTTGCGAGGGGCAGTCTAAATACGGTAACTGGAAGCGCACAGCTGATCGTCTCCGACTATTGGCGGGGTGGAACTTTTGGTGGTAGGATGAATTCTTACCTTGGGAGGCGGAAGAGCCCGAGACTCTAGATCATTTGAACTATGTGATATCAGCTGACTAGGAAAATGTGTTGTTTAAAGATGTGTTGTTTCAAAATCATGATCTATCAACTGAAAAAAAAAAAGAAAATTGACCTGTTTTATGCACCAAGCCCATTGCACCGAGTATTCTCACAAGCGCCATTGCCAAAGTCCAAGCCCAAGCGACTCTAACGCTTCATCAATTCCCAATTAGACTTGGTGGCCATAGTATCTCGTGTCTTCATATCTTTCATCTGTTCGATCGTAAATAGGCCATTGCTGCTGGTGCGGCTCATCTTCGTTCGAATGATCCTCACTTGCATGGGCCCGAAGAGGAGATCCTTCGTCAATGACATCGTCTTCGTGCAAGCCCTGCTTCTTTGGTCGTCTCTTTTCTTCTTCGAGCATGTTTTTGTGCGTTTTCTTTTCTTCCTTTGAAGTTTTCTTTTGCTGTTTCTTTTCCTTCTTAGCTTCCTTCTCGGCACGGCGCACTTGTTGGAATCCCGATTCTGGTCCCTGGAGGATGCGACCGGGATGAATTATGTTCAAGGAGACGAGGGCGAGGAGCATTGGGACGGCATCGAACACGTATTCATACCACTCGTGCGTAAGAACTGGGTTCGTCGGGGAGGTTCCTTGAGCATACTGGCTGATTCGGAAGATAATTCGAATCTGTGCGAAAGAATGGTCAGCAATACTATCACATGCGGGTGTGGCACAGTCCCAAGATTATATCAACTCACGGTTATCATTCCCAATGCGAAATACAGGGCATAAAAGAGCCATCTCCAGGAGAAAGGTCCTCGACTGAGCCTTTCGTTAAAGACTTCTTCGGAGCTCTCGACTTTGAGCAACTTTCGGTGAAGGTAAATTGCCAGCGCGGTGAAACAAAGAATGAAAGCCTCCTGAAGACCAATTCCACCCATGTAAATGTGGAGTCCGGTCACCACGATACTTCCACCATCTTGAATACTGGTCATAATAGCGCCAGTTGCCTGGACGATAAAGGCGAATATATCAAGGCAAACGAAGAGTACGCCAAACCGGCGTGCGGAGACGCCGACGAGTTTCTGACCCGGAAGAAAGAAGTGTATCATGCGTCCGAGAGTCATATAAAGGAAGGCATTGATCCCTAATCCGACAATCATCAGTGAGGAGAAGAGGAATAAAGGGAGTTTTCCAGGAATGACAGCTTACATATCGGCGCGAGAAGGAAAAAGAGCGTGTAGAAGGTGGCCCAATTTTCATTATTTTGTTGGCGTGTTTGAAGGGTTCGAAAAATGAAGGCGAGAAGTTCCCAGGCTCCACCCATGATCACTACCCATGCATACCCCTAGGAATCTGTTAGCCCCGATGGTGTTACAGAAGAGCACATTGTACGGACCTTCTCGTACATCACGGCCTGAACGCCATGCAGAAGGGTGGTCATCCCGTAAAACACACAAAATAGGACCGCAGCACCGAATGAAGGGACATAGTAGAGAAGGGCATCGCATGACTCTGGCGGGAGATATCCATTTTTTCCAGGGGCAATATTGAGGCAAGTCGCTGAAGCTGTTAAAGAAATTGTCGTAGATAAGGCGGAAGTCGTTGTGGTAGGTGCCATTGTATCGAATCGTTATGAGTTCCCTGAAACTAGAATGCAAAGATGATTTTTTATTCTGGATGATCATCACGGAAGCCAGGCGAGATGCCTCATAATAAATAGCTTCGGGCACGAAAAGCTCGAGCATCTCGTTAATTCCAGGCATCATAGTTCGTGATGTTTATTCAAGAACACAGAGGGGCTGAGCCCGACCTCGAACATTATGGCCCCCATGTTAGACGAGCCGGCCAATCAGAACGCGCGGACCCGCTCGACGGATCCTGAAATTATTCGAGCAGACCAATTGGAGGCCTTTGAGCTCCATGCTTACTGTGTTCGCTATATTTGGAGAGTATCAAAGATTGAATGACGGTTCAAGACCTACATCCACTCCCTTAACTTGCTCCCTTGCTCCCCTCTACATCTTTCTCTCAACAATTTCTCGTAGGCTCTCTCAATTCAATCTAGCTACAGCACTACTTATATAATATACCGTAGCTAATAAAGGGTACGTAGAAGAATTAGGCGAAAGTGTAAAGGGGAAAGGAAGAGTATTTACAAATTAATTACTGCTTGGGTTATGGGCCATCAAAGTTGTGGCCTCTCATTGGGCAGGTCCGAATTCCTGGCTGGTGACTGTTGATGGCCTAGATTTTGAGGATTAAGGCAGTAATCTAGCCTAATTTGGAATTCTGCCGTTGAAACTAATGTAAACGCCACTTGCCAACAGGTGGCTGTTGTCGGCCACCGTACGCATATTACAGGCCAACTTTCTTTTTCTTTCAACTGACAGATCATGATTTTGAAACAACACATTTCCTTCCAATGGCATGTCTTTGCGTTCGGAATGTATAATGCGAAGGCTCCCTTGGGTGTCCAGGTCTTCATTGAAAGAAAAGTCGAGACATAAATAATCTCTGTACTCCAGCATGTTTACGTTGACGCTTTCTCACCATGGTCAGAATGGGGAGTTGTTACCCAGAAATTGACCAAGTCTAATTGGCACATACTGAGTTCACATTTTTACAACCTATTTGGTGCCTGGTCCACTCATGTCCCACGCTATTTCGACGACAATCGGACGCAAACTGTTCGCGAAGCTCTAGCTAGTGTCCGATCATGGTGAGAAGAGAAAGCATCAAGAGAGCATTCCAGCCATAGATGGATGGAATTCGAAATGGCTGTAACTGCTCAAACTGGGCACAGGCGCAAACGGTTGCGAGCGGCAGAAGGCCGCAGCGCTCAGTAGGAAAGAAGAGTCAACAACCGGAGGTCGAGCAAGAAGCATAAGTGACAGCCTGCAGCCGTGTGAATATAATTTTGCAGATACAGCGGGCCAACCTGAAGCAGTGCTTCTCTAAGATTTGAACATAGCAAGGGACAGGTATGGTTGTTTCTCAATATCCAGCTAGCAAAATCCTGCATTTCGATCAAATGTCCTGGTCGTGGAGGGCAAACAGCGCCTTTTCTTGTCTTCCTCAAAGTCCAATCTCACTTTTTCCGCAAGTTCATCTCGCTTCAAGATACTCAAACCAGCGATAGCCATCCCTTTTGATGCATGAATGCTGAGATCATGAGACTCCTTGGTGCCAGCTACTGCCGTAAACCCAGGTGTGTGGTTATTTGCTCCAGGCTCGGCAGGGAGACCAACATATGCTTGAATGCCCGGACACTCGTAAGTTACGTTTCCTACCAACATAGTTTGCGAATCAGCGGAGGTCGGCATCTTGGCATTCAGTGAAAGGGGATAAGACTGACCTTGGTCGGTTGAGCCAGGGACTCCAGATGAGTTGAGATCGCACCGGACAACCTTTCCCATCTGAGACATCGCTTGCGCATATGCTGTTGCCATGGCTTTGTTGGGTCGCAAATCAGCGTAGGCGTTGTGTCTGGATCTCATGTCAGTTAAAGCTGACTTCGAAGCAGGACAATGGGGATGACACAACCTTATAATTTCCAGGGTACAACCAGCTTGCAAAGCTGCTCCATCGAAGCAATTCTTCACTCTTACAAAAAGCTCTTCGGCCATTGCTAGGTTGGGAGACCGGATGTAGCAATCCAGTGCCGAGGAGCCGGGAATGATGTTTGGCCGCAGCCCGCCATCGGAAATGATACAGTGCACGCGATTACAGGGATGAATTTGCTGACGTAGTACTCCTATGCTGTTATAAGATAAGACAGCTGCATCGAGTGCATTCACCCCTTCCCAGGGTGCCATGGCGGCATGTGCGGTTTTTCCGGTGAAGCGAACACTTATCTTCAGGCTTGCAAGGGTAGGCATGTATGCGTCTCCTGTGAAGCCCGGGCATTCAGTGAACGGACCGGGGTGCACCATCATGCAAGCGTCAACATCCGTATAAGCTCCGGCTTCAATGATTGGAATCTTGCCTCCAAGGCCCTCTTCGGCAGGTGTTCCAATGAGGCGAACACGCCCAGGGATCTTTTGCTGCTCAAGAGCTCTGGCAACTCCGAGGAAAGCGCTGATAGACATCATAGCAATGAGATTGTGCCCACAGGCATGCCCGATCTCGGGAAGAGCATCTACCTTGTTTAGATATTTGCTGGATAACATAGAAATCAACCACGTACCATACTCCGCGTTGAAAGCTACTACTCGGCCCCCCTCGCCGTACTCCGCAACGAACGATGTATCAAGACCAAATGCGTGCTTGGTGACTTTGAAGCCTAAGTCCTCGAGCATCAAGGTGATGTTGTCGTGGGCTAGCTTCTCCTGATAACCGAGTTCTGGATTTTGATGAATCTATTAAAATCTGTTAGGTGATTCTTTGGCAAGGCCAGTAAGTTGTACCTTTTGGTTGATTTCCCATAGCTGCGAAGAATATGAATCGATTATGCGCGAAATCTCCTCGATATCCTCGACAGTATGGATTTCTCCATTTTCAGGTCGTTCACAGGGTGTGGTTGACATCGTTTCCTCGCCTTTGAATGAATCCACTCTCAATAATACCCCAAAAAAGCAGGGAGAAAGGAAGGTTTTAAGAACACAGTTATAAGCCGATCTCGGCGCCGCTTGACTTCCTCGATGTACATACATCGGTTTCGACTCGGCTCGGTCGGGCCGAAGCCGAACAAGGATTATTTCACATGCAGAACGGGGATTTGCGGACGTGTGTTTAGTCCGCCAATAGGTAGGCTCAATTGTCACCTGAGATAAGCCCACAATGCAGTAAACCGTGTGCTAGGATAGATAGGTTATGGTGGGCCGATCGCTGAGGAATGTTGATATCTGGGTTGTAAGGCTGTAAGGCCATAAGGCCGCAAGGCAGGTACTGGGGTAGGTGGAGAGATTGGAGCTTATCGATCATGCAAGAACCCGGCAATGCGGCTCTCGGATCATCTTTCTTTTCCCCTCACTTCCGCCCCAAGTGGCATTAACATGTTAATCGACAACGATGAGCGAACCACATAGGTATGCTTATTTTGTGAAACATATGTGAAGAAACCTCACTCATCTCTCTCTTTCTCTCATAGATCACTCTCGGCCTGTCTGCGTTGCAGAAGACAGAAGCTCAAATGTGGCGGTCCCAGCAAAATACCATGCCAGCGATGTAAAGTGAGCCATGCGGAATGTGTCTTCGTCCCTCCAAGGGCAACACAGCCTGCGGCTAATGTACTGGATCTTGAGTGAGTCCCGACAGGAGTGATTCATATCGGTTTCCATCTTGACAGGTCTCAATGGTGGTTAACAAAACCAGTGCCAAAACGGACCATCTCGAGCGGCGATTGGATTTGATGGAGCGACAGCTTCGATTAGAAATTGAGATATTGCGAACAGGGCTTGCTCAAAATTCACCCACCGTGGAACCAGCAAATCCTCATGACTCATTATTACCGCCTAATACAGCCGTTCTATCAGCCGTGTCCAGGGACATCACTTCTAATACCGCCTCCCCGACAATCACTGCTGGAAGTGAATGGGATGAGCTGTACACATTTTTTCGTGCTAATTGCAGCACGGTAATTGCCGTGATAGACGATCAGCTATTTCTGACCAGTGAAGCGATTAAGAATCACCCCCTCATGTCAGCTGTCATACGTACAATTGCATCAAGGGCTATGCGCCCCGAAACATATCAATCACATGTTGCGGCGGTTGATAAACTGATTATGCATACGTTTCAAGGCCCAGTGCCTGATTTTCTTGGTGTTTACGCCATGATGCTATTTGCAACATGGACCGGACGAACTCGCCTGATGGGCTACGTTGCCTCTGTGGCCACCGAATTGAGGTTGCACGAAGCCGCTGTTCTAATCGGAAACAAGGATATTGATCATACGCCAGAACTGGTTGAAAGTGCAAGAGCCTGGTTCACCCTATGTTGCTTAGACCTGCAGTATGTTTGAACTCTGTATTCCTCTTGCGCTCTTAGCTGAAAATTCGCAGAATGAATCTCAGTAGGCCATTTGTTATCAACAACATGAAACAATATCTGGGTTTTGCAAAGCATCTCGTTATGTCTCCTTATCACCGCCCAGTTGATAACCGCATCTGTGCCTACATCCAAGGATTCACAATAGCGGGTAAGCTTATTGTGTTGTAGATTTACCTTACCGTCACTTGGCAACACTGATAGTTCGACAGGAGATTTAAAAGGAAAGCTACAAGACTCTCAGATGAGGTGCAAGCCTTTATCACAGGCCGCCGTTGATCTCTTGACTTCTTCAGATGAGGCCGTTGATAACTGGCTTCATAAAATGACCAATAAATTCCACCCGCTCTACCAAGCCTTCCCAGAGAAGCAGGATAGAAATCGCCTACTAATCCCATTTGCCTTCATGAAACTGTGAGTAATAAGCTCAGGTATCTATGATTCACCCAATTTCAAAAAACTAACCACGTCGGTCCTTCCGCCAAAAGCTATATCAATGGCCTCGCCTTGCAAGGCATGGGGTCAGTGGATGACTTGAGTTTGGATCCGGTCCGAATAGGATTCATTCAGCGAGCTTTAGACAGTGCCAGTCTAATGATTCAAACTCAATATGAGTCCCCGGGCTTCAGGCGATCATTCAAATATACCATGGTAAGTGCGGACAAGGGTAACATGACCTTGAGCAGCTTTCATCTCGACTAATCATCGATCGGGACATGCTATGGTAGGACTATTCTGGCATACCAGCATACTACGCAATCCTCTTCATTCTGAAAGCTCTTCCTCTAGCTCACAGTTTCGTCGATTCTCGGCATCTTCTAACCAGGGTCCAACAAGCTGCGGAGATGTTCGAAGAAGCAGGAGCTCAAGATACTGCCAACGAGCTTCGACGAGACAGTGATCTATTAGCGGAGTTAACTCAAACAGCCCTAAGTCCTCGAGTTGCCCAGAATTCTAGCAGCGATATACAACTCAGCGAGCTCTTTGATATTCCCAACTTTCTTGAAGAGATGGTACGACAATTCTGACTGGAATATCCATTTGCACTTTAGTTAGCTAACAATCCCAGCAGACATGGGACGAAAACTTCCCTGCACTGGGTATATTTCCCTGGGAATGAACACGAGATGGCTGGTGGAAATCTTGAATAACTTGGCTTCTACTACTATGGTGTAAATCAATTGAATATATCTTACCGGTTCCAGCGGCCGCCCTTTTTCATAACCGCAATAAACTCAGCTTTCACTTTATCTGCGAAATCATGATTGATCAGGACATCGAGGGAGATGAGAGCGTTTGCCTGGCCAGCTTTCAGTGCCTCTTGGTGGGCAAACTCCCCAGCGGATGCCTCACGGAACCCAATGGAATGAGGGAAGTCTGTTGCGTTGATCGAGAACATGGCTTGAATTCCCGGGCAAATGTAGGAACAACTACCGAAGTCCCTGTGGCAGATCAATTAGACTATGAGACACGCACGGTTTGAATAGACAGCACTTACGAGCATCCCGGCTGATCATGAAGCATTCGGGATTCCTCTAACGTGAGTAATTGTTCAGGCTCTATGCCCAAGTGCTGTATCATGTAATTGCGATACTGCTCAGCGAGGGTTTCGTTCGATACGACATCTTCATACAGGGCGGTCCTGCCGTCAAGGTAGACAATAGTTAGCAACGCAATCAAGACCATGCATTAGGGCAGGAAACTGAACTTACCAGTCAAGCTCAACGCTACATCCTGTTGCAGCAGCAGCGGCGCCAAATATGGGCTCAAATCTAGACTTCAGCTCATCCAGCTTCTGCATGGTAGGAGCTCTAATGCTGAACAAGCCCTCGGCGTAGTCGGGTATAATGTTGGACGCCTTTCCTGCTTCGAGAATACAGCCTTGAATAGTAGAACCTTTCTCGAGGTGTTGGCGAAGCATCGAGATTGCAGTATAAGCATGCACAATAGCGTCACAGGCGTTCAATCCTGTCCACGGAGCAGTGGCAGCATGTGCTGATTGACCATGGAATCGCGCTCTTAGCTTCCAGGAAGCCTTTGTTAAGCAGAGAGGAGTGCTGAAATTGCGCATTCCGTGGGTCATCACGCAAGCGTCGAACCCTTTCCAAGCACCATTTGTTGCCATAATCCATTTTCCGCCACCTGATTCTTCTCCTGGAGTGCCCATGACGACAATTGTCCCCGGGAAACGATGGGTTTTGAGTACATGCTCGAGAGCAACTGCAGATGCCAAGGAGGAGGTAGCAATCAAGTTATGACCACAGGCATGTCCCAGGCCAGGAAGGGCATCTATCTTGCTTAGACACGCATTAAATCCACGAGGAGATGTATCTAAGCACTTACCATACTCTGCATTAAAACACACTGTTCTTCCCCCCTCAACAAGAGAGAATCGGGCCTCAAACGCAGTTTTGAGGCCATATACACCTCGGCTAACTTTCCACCCTCGGTTCTCGAGCCAATTTGACAACAGCTCACAAGCTTTGAACTCGACAAAAATTGTCTCCGGGTTGTTGAAAATCTGGACCGATATGATTAGTATCTTTTCCACTCAGAAATTGCATCAGCAGATCGACTTACTTCAAGGCTCAAGCGCCGCAGCTCATCACTGGCGGCGTCAACGGCGCTCACGACCTCCTCGATCATGTCGACCGACTGCAAGGTCATATGTTCCGCCATTATGGTCGCACGGGGGATTTGAAGGTGACTGAAATCAATGACCAGTAGCCAGATGGCAGCTCCCCATCAACGGGGTTTATTTAAAGTTTCTGGAACATCGTTGAAAGTTGCATGATTATACTATTTGGCTAGCATAGCTCCCTATCTACGCCAAGTCGGCCGGGCCGACCGATACCGAACAAGCCGATTAGCCTTCGACCAAGCCCGGTTGGTGGCAACGAGCTAAGTGTGTCCAGCTACCAGTATCTTTCAATTTTTCGTCTGCGTGTTATTTAGAGCCATACCGCCTACCATCGCCAGGCACACTCCGCTGTCATAGCTGTGTATGTTGTTCTGAGATCGAAGAAACCCCCACGTGTGCGAATCATCATGACTCAAGCAACCTTCTGCAATGATCAACATGGTTCCAACCCTGCCGACTGGGGAAAGTCCGATATGAAACAACTCCAGGCTGTTGATGTCGGAGCGACAATACTCAATGGAACTGTGGATAATCTGCAAGTGCAGAGTGATGAAGACCGACGGGTCCTCCGAAAGATTGACACATTCTTACTTCCCATCCTTGCTTTCACTTATATGATTCAGGTAAGCTAGAAACCCCACAGCAGAAAATGTGGACTCTAATAATCGGTTCTGAAGTTCCTTGACAAGTCTTGCATTTCCTATGCTGCACTTTGGGGGATGAAAACAGATGCACACCTGGTCAACGACCAATATTCTTGGCTCACAACTATCTTCTACCTGGGATACATGGTTGGGGAGTTTCCCATCAATCTGCTCTTTCAGAAATTTGACATTGCGCGGACATGTGGTATCTTCATCATTCTCTGGGGTTGTGTTCTTCTTTCCATGACCGCAGGTCATAACTTTGCTGGTCTGGCTACTGCACGCCTCTTTCTGGGCATATTGGAAGCTGGAGTGAGCCCCTGCTTTGTACTTCTCACAGCGATGTTCTATCGAAGGTCAGTCCTTTGAACTTGCCAGCAGTGCTTTCCTAGGGCTTACTAAAGTCACAGATCGGAACAGCCCCTACGAACGGCCATCTGGTTTTCCATGAATGGAGTTGCAAACATCATCGGTGGGCTGATTGCGTATGGGATCGGCCATTTGCATTCGGCTCTTCCGGCATGGAAGTTTCCTTTCATAATATTCGGCTCTTTGACGGTTGTCTGGGGTTTTGTCTTTTTACTAGTGACCCCATCGAATCCGACCAAGGCCAAATGGCTCTCAGAGAGAGAGAGGGAGATTGCAACCTTGCGCGTTCTTCAAAATGAAACGGGTATTGATAACAAAACGTTCAAGATGGAACAAGTGAAGGAAGCCTTGCTTGACGTTCGATTCTGGTTAATCAACTTGCTCTGTCTGGCAAACACCATTCCGAACGTTCGACTCCCTTGCCTTGCTTTTCTCGCGCAATTATACTAATTCCGCCCAGGGTGCCGTGTCCGCATTTGCGCCGCTGATTGTTAATGGTTTCGGATTCTCAAAATTTACCTCGACTTTGCTTGGTATGCCATCGGGTGCCTCGCAGGTCTTGGCATTGTGGATTTCAGGGTACGTTATGAGCATGTGGCAACGCTTCTCACACAGTTGTCATTGACACCGCTACCTGCAGTTATTTAGCTTCAAGTTTTAAAGGTATACGTCACTTCTTAATGATTGGTGGCCTATTGGTGGCTCTCCTTGGAGGGGTCTTGATCTTTACCCTACCTGACTCTAATCGTGTCGGTCGGCTACTGTAAGTTTCACCTTTCGTTAAATGGAAGAGAGTGAGTGGACACTAAATTTTCCAAGCGGCTACTATCTCCTTGTTGGCTTTAGTACTACCTTCGTCATATCTTTGACCCTGCTGCAATCTAATGTAGCAGGTCGGACCAAAAAGACTATTTTTACGTCCGCATTCTTCGTGAGGTAAGTGACAGCTACTTCGAAAGCTGTCAATATATACTCACGTATTTCTGGCCAGTTATTGCGTCGGTAATCTAATTGGGCCTCAACTTTTCTTCGACCGTGAGGCGCCTCGGTATCCATCCGGATTTGCGTCCATGATTGCGTGTTTCGCAGCACAAATTGCCATAGTCAGCGTGATGTACGTGATAAACGCTCGAGAGAACAGAAGAGTAAGTCAAGACCTTTGGCCTTTCCTTCACCCAGTAGCGCTAAAGAATCTGCAGCGTGACCTCCTCACGGCAAATGTTTCCGAGGATAATCAAGCGGCCGCGGTATCTGCGGGTCTATCCGACATAACAGATGTAAGTGTCCCGATTAATTCTGTACACGCAGGAGGTGTGACGCTGTTTCGATATTGACAATTTTCCTAAGGTACAAAATCTGCACTTCCGATATGTCTTGTAACATTACGCAAGATAAGAGAGACTTGGGTCAGTTGGCTACTTGCAGCCGTGCTCCAGAATTTGCAATAGTTGTGGACACTGTCCTGGGATGCTTGTCAGATTGTAAACCTGCTGGTTCCTGATTAATGTCTGGTCGTGCTCCGCTGAAGGATATTTATTCTGTTTTCGTACGCTACAATAACATTTCAAATTGAACTTTAAGATTTATCACTGAATCGTGGGTTGAAAAGTGACTGTATGGTAGTTCTATCTGAGTTCTCTAAGCTTTGTACCCTCAAGCTATGCCCTCAAGCTAGCTATGTGTGCTTTACGGCTACTAATACTCTTCTCCCCCAAACTGTCGACAGAATTATTCACAGATAGTGAGTACATAAGGTATCGAGCCATCCATACTAATTATGCTATAATTTACTCATCATAGCTAGTAATAACTCGACATGGTAAATGTCTGAGGCGCATCGAGCCAGAAGGGCCGATTCAGCATAGAAAAGGATGCTCCAGGTTGACTCCGAGTTCCCACAAAGCTGTTGTCTCTTTCAGAAGAAGCGTTCGGTCGGTCGGGACTCGGCCCGACCGAAGGCGACATATTTTGAGTGTACTCATTAAATTGCAGACCGGACCTATGGAATAGTGTTTTGAAGAATTTCAAGTACCTCAGTCTCATTTTTCCTTCAAAGTGATAAAGGCAACTGCTCTACTTCACGTGTGCCAAGGCAGGCTGTTGTTGTTGAGACCACTGATGCGGGAATAAGGCGCCCATAGGCAAGTTTGAATAAACATTGAGTTCTAATTGGTTGAAGCAATGCCTGTGCAAAAGACCAGCCAACAGGATGCGGATGTGGGAGTATTGGTCCCTTCTTGCGTCCAGTGGGAGTCAGACATTCGAAATCCATACAATTGGTCAGCAGTAAGCCTCTCATCGCAGACAATAAGCAAGGCATGGAAGTTTAACAGAACTACAGCTTAGGAAAAGCTCCATTTTCGTCACGACGATGTTGGTTGTACTCAACAGCAGCATGGGGAGTTCATTAACTGGCAACGCGATCCAATACATCACGGAGGATTTTGCTGTGGAGTCACAAGTTCAGAAGGCTCTACCAATGTCTATATTTCTAATCGGCATGTGTGAAATCCTTCAGCGTTACCCTACTAAGATGCTAATATTTAACCAGGTTATGTTTTTGGTAAGTTTAAATCATGATCAGTATTCAATATTCGAATGGCCGCTCATGTTGAAAAAAAAGGCCCGATTGTATGGGCACCACTCAGCGAAGAGTACGGGCGCCGTTTAATTGTTATCGCGACATTCCCTCTATTTACGATCTTCACAATGGCCTGCGCCTTAGCGCCGAGTTGGTCGGCGTTCCTTGGGTTCAGACTCCTGACTGGAATATTTGGAAGCTCAATTGTGGCACTTGGTCCAGGAATTTTGGCCGATATTTATCGGGATCCCAAGGCTAGAGGTTGGAGCATAGCGGTCTTCATGGGAGTATGTCAAAACTAAAAACAGACCTTCTTCTTTTTCATGTTTGACACGGATACAGGTAACCGGGTTTGGCCCTATGCTGGGACCAATCATTTCGGGATTTACCTCACCAGCCAAAGGCTGGCGCTGGTCTTTCTGGATCGCTCTGATACTTGCTGGAGCGACATTCATATTTGTCTTGCAGTTTCCAGAGACCTATGAGCCCATCCTCGTGAGAAAGTATGCCTCTGAGAATTTGACTGGGTCTCCATCGAAAGACTCGCAAAATTCTAAGCAGAATAATCGACCGTGGAGATCAATCCTCGGTGAAGTTCTACTACGGCCTCTTTATCTTCTCTTCACAGAGCCCGTTGTCGCTGCCTGCTCTGTGTACCTGGCACTGTGCTATTCCATCTTTTACATGTCATTCCAGGTCTTCCCTTACATTTTCCAAGAAGTTTATGACCTATCTCCGGGTCAATGCGGATTGGTTCAACTAACAATCGGGGCTGGCTGTGTCTTAACCTTGCCTGTTTATTGGGTATACGAGCGGCTGTTGCCCCGGCTAGTTGACATTCCTTCCGCTCGCAGCAAGGAAGAACTTTTTCGCTTACCACTTGCATGTTTGGGCGGCCCATTATTCGTGATTTCACTTTTCTGGCTGGGATGGTCTTCCCATGTCGACGTTCCTTTCGCAGTACCCATGATAGCTGGTATCCCCTTTGGGATGGGCTTCATGTGTGTCTTCATTGCAATTCTGTATTTAACACGATCCTGAGCAAATCTGGTGAACATATGCTGATTTATAAACGAATTAGCAACTACGTTACCGACACTTATCGACTGTTTGCAGCATCTGCTAATGCTGCTTCAAGTTGTAGTCGCTCATTCTTCGCAACCTTTCTGCCCCTTGCCAGTTACCCTATGCTCTCACGCCTAGGGATCACCGGAACTTGCAGTTTGCTCGGGGGGCTCAGTGCATTGTTATCAATTATTCCTTTTTTGTTGATTTGGAAAGGCGAAGCTATCCGTGCGCGGTCGCGCTTCTGCAATACCCTCAAGAATCGTGATAAGACCTCCGATATATCACACATGAGCCGTCATCCAGTCGAGCACTTGGTGGCCTAGAATTCAAAGATTTCTACTACGACACTGATCAATCACCTTTTCTACTCCAAGAGGAATCTTTCCAAATGTTCCATGACTTCGCGGCGGAAAAGCGTTTCATCTATCCACCGCCGAGAACTTGTCAGAGCAACACTAGATTTGTGTCAAGATCTACGCTGAAGGATGATCTACACTAAACTTTGTATATACATTTATATATCCAAGTCATCATTTGAATCGTCGGATGAGTAAACGTTATGTCACACTATCCGGAGGAATCTTGAGCCTGATTCCCCTCGAGAATAAAGATCCACCGCCACCCAGCATAGCCGCCCACGCCGTCCATTTTCTAGAGAGCGTAAATAAGATAAAATTAAAATAAGGTCAAAATTGGGACTCGTACAGCAATACCATAGGCAAGAAGACCAGAAAAGGCACCAGCGATGCTAGCGACACTGAAGAAGTGCCTGACGAAACTAGGCGCAATGGCGAGGATACCACAGGGTAAGATAGTAGGCAATTCCGGGGTATAAGCGAGCTTCTAGACCATAAAAGAGTCGTTATTAGGATTTTAAGAAGTCAGGAAGAGCATTATCACCGTCTAGCAGACCCACCTACAACACCAAGGACGAGACGTACCGTCAAAAGTCCAGCATAATTATGGACTATACCCATCAACGACTAATTTTCGAGAATGAGCTTTGCATCACCCTTAAAAGGATAGCTTCAATAGAGGATACGTGCCATAGTAACCCCTCAGAGGAACATAAGAAGAGGCAGCCATCGTGAAGGTTTTAGTCTCTTGGGGAGCAAATTACTAGGCATTTCAAACGTAACGTAGGTAAAGAAGAAAACAGTTACGAGGTATATTCAGTACTCTTACTCTATCTCGCAGGAGAAATACACCATACAGGCCATACTATATTACTTACTGAACATACGCAAGTCTTCCAGCATCCCTTCTATCTTTGCATTTCCGATATTCCCGCGATCTAGGAAGGCGAGAAGATAAAGGAGTGCGAGCATTAGGATCAGGCGGACATCCATTTTGCGGAGAACCCGCTTCTTCATTTCTTTGTCCGTAGCCAACGGAACACTAGCGACTGCTTTTACGTCGGCAACTCTTCCGAGGGGTGTGTCGCCTCCATGTTCGAGAACACTCACGCTCGGTTTTATGATATCGTATGCCGTTGTGGGCTACATGGCGGGGGATTAGAGACAAGAGAGTAGACAACGTTGCGAGCAGCGACGGGGTGACAATGAGGACCAGGATTGGGGTTTAATTTGAAATGCCTCCCATTTACCTCAAGTCTCAGTTGATGTTCTGCTTTTGACGCATTTACCTGTCTCAAGGGCCACCCACTCATGAGGAAATACCCCAGTGAACTCTATCGGATCCGAACACGGATCCGACTCGCTAAGCCATTCGGATCAGCCCAAACTCTCTGTACGGCGCTGATTGGAGTTCCTCCCGAATACCCCACATGTTCTTCTAGCGAGGTCAGGGGTAGTTATTTCGGGAAGGCTTGTATATCGCCTTCCCGCCTACTAGGAATGGTACTCGGCTAGTGGCATCATTGGGATGATCACATTACTGGGACTAGGCGACGGGTCCCGACAGGGCTCTACCCTTTACTTCGGTAATAAACCTTACTTGTTAATGACTCCGCTGATCAACCATGATTACTCTGCGTCGACAAACCACAAAAGAACGGTAAATTCTGATAAATCATATAGATCCGTTGCTCACTAGCTAGATATGTTGCTATAAAGCCTTGAAAACAGAACATATATATCCCGTTGTAATGCCTTACAGTATACGGCTATGAAAATACCAAATAAAATCTATGCATTCATTGGTTAAAGAGACCCAAAATTACAGATCTTTCCCGGGACTGCCCCATCAAATCTCTTGAAGCATTTTTTCTACGTGAGTAAAGGACTGTGGTATCCGTGCAACTCTCAGAGAAGAAGGATTAGTGAAGTTTCACCGCTCGGATCTAAATCCTCAAACAGCAAAAAAAGCCCCGTGTTTAGATCCGATAACACCAAAGCCAGCTAGTCGTAGCACACCCTGTCATAAAGAACCAGGATGACTCAGTAAGAATAACTGTGTTCGATGTTGTGGCTGACAAGAATAATATTGAGAATGGGAAAAAGGAGAATGAGAGAGTTTCCAACCTTAGCACAGGCAACCAGGCCGCTACACCAATTAACGTATCCAACCACTGAGTGGGAATGATTGATTGGCGAAAACCACCGAGCGGCGAATCCCAAAACAAATAGTAAATGCGATGAAATACAGCACAATATCTCAACAGCACCAAGATGGATTTGCTGTATTCTAGGTTTCCAAATGATTTTTAGTGGCAAAAATAATATTGCACCCATGTGGTGGTCATCGAAATATTATTCAATTCTATAAGTTACGTGGTATGACTATGAATCCAAATATCAGCGATAATAAAGAAGACGTTATCTTGTGGTCGTGGAGGTATCGCGCTATATGTTATCGCATTTACTATTGTTCTGGGATTCGCCGCTCGGTGGTTGATTATATGATAACATCGAGACAATATCTCTATACACTAGACCCCCCGATTCTGCCAATTCAACTCCAATTCAATTCAGTTCGGTAATTACTCTGCAACTGAGAGCTTGGCATCTACCACTGAAACTTTCTGCAGGTGTCTTTAGAGCTACTCATAACCCTTTTTCCAGTGGCGATTGTCTTCTTGTATTCCCGGACCCCTTATGGCATGCAATCAGTACAGATGACAATAGTTTCTTGTCGGACAGAATATGGGCATAATACCTCTGGGCTAGAAAGGCACTATAGGCGGCATGCTTAGTCCATACAGTCATTTTTGTGCTGACATTACTCTTCAAATTAGAAATTCTGGAAACGAGCGGTTGAATCCGAATTGTGGATACATAGGCGATATATATACTTGAACACCAAGCCCTCCAGAAGCTCGCCTACGTTTCCCGCAAAAGGAAGATGCGGGGAACATCTGAAAAGGCCAAAAATAGGCGCTAACCCCCTTAAAACACGCGTCAGTTACGCCATGCGGGGGATGAACCCACACCATACCTCCCCACAGCCTGCGAAAAGCAGGTACAGAAAGATTTTGAAGATGGTATTCACATTTGAAGAACTGAGGGTTGATATCTGACCACGGGGAACAGACTGGCTCAGTATCTGCCCCAAAAAAATAAATAGATTGCGGTATAACGTACTATCACTAGCTGTGAAGCTATGAAAGGCTCGAAACAGCATCTCCTATATAATCCAGCAATCAATTACCCCTCTAATAACCTCATGCTAGCACAGAGCATTTTCTGTCATGTAAAATAATCAACACAGCGACAAACCCTAATTATTGTGGAACCGAAAACATCCCAATGAACCAAATTTCGGAACCGAGAGAGCCCAAGAAACCATAACCTATTTCGGAAGCTGCTTCTGATGCATTTGAGGTCATCAGTGTTTCTTGTATCAAAGTAGTAGGCAACATTTCAGTCAGATCTAGAGCTGGGGGGGGGGGGGGGATAATATAAAGGTCGAGCAATTTCCGTCATCAAACTCACTTTCCAACCAACAAGCAACTTCACCTGCAAATCTCTGTTCGTCACTTAACTGCACCATTCTCATTATGATCAACCCCGTTGCTGCCGCGGGTCTTATTGCCCTTGGTGCGACTGGGGCAGCGGCAGCCGCCCTCGGCGCCTACAATGTTGACCCCAGCAGCGTGTCGGTCTCTGGCCTTTCAAGTGGCGGATATATGTCCGTTCAGCTTGGAGTGGCATACTCTGATATATTCCAAGTCGGGTTTGGAGTTTTTGCAGGTGGTCCCTATGATTGCGCTCGTAACCAATATGTATGTGTCTACACTCACCAATGATTCAATTTGGCTTCTCACTTAAGTCTCCCTCACTTGGCAGTATACGTCGTGCATGTACAATGCGAATCCGTCCACTACCACGCCTGTTGCCAACATGAAGTCTCGGAGTGGATCCCAGATTGCCACTATCAACAACCTTGCGCAGCGCAAAATCTATATGTGGGTTGGTTCTTCTGACACCACAGTTGGGCCTAATGTCATGAGCGCGCTGTAAACCCAGCTGGCAAACTTCGATGCCTCAGCATATGTCTCATACATTACAACAAGCGGCGCTAGCCACACCTTCCCGACTGACTTTGATGGCTCGGAAGATAATTCTTGCAGCACTTCCTCTTCTCCTTATATCAGCAACTGTAATTATGATGGTGCTGGTGCTGCGCTGAAGTGGCTATATGGCTCTCTTACTGCTAAGAACACAGGCACATTGAGCGGATCGATCGTTTCATTCGACCAGACTGGCAATTATGTTTCCAGTGGTATGGGCAGTACAGGCTATTTATATGTGCCAGCAAATTGCCAAGGAGGCTCCACAGTCTGCAAACTGCATGTTGCCCTACACGGGTGCCTGCAAAGCTACACTTCGATTGGCTCTAAATTCATTGACAACACCGGTTACAATAAATGGGCAGGTATGACATCTTACCTAGAAAGCGTTTCTTCATGCTATAACCTTTCATTTTATTAACCAACGCGAGCCTGCAGACACCAATAACATCATCATCCTTTACCCGCAAGCTACTACTGATAGCACCTCCCATACAGTCTGGAATGGAGGTAGCCTTCCCAATCCTAACGGTTGTTGGGACTGGGTGGGTTGGTATGGAACCAATGCCGACCAGATTGGAGGTGAGTTCACGGACCGAGCCTCAAACAAGGCTTGACATGCTTTCAAAGTGAAATCTTGGTTAACAGGTCGGTGCACTTGCTTTCTTAGGCGTTCAAATGTCTGCCATCGTGAGTCAGGTCAAGCAGATCATTAGCGGGTACAACAGTGCCAGTGGTAGCTCATCCAGTACCACATCAACAACATCGGCCACTTCTCAGTCTACTCTCACTACCACGACCACAAGTACTGCATCGACCGCAACTGCCACTAGTTACGCAGCACTATACGGGCAGTGCGGTGGAATTGGCTGGACCGGCCCGACTGCTTGTTCAAGCGGCGTTTGCACAGCCTATAGCGCATACTACGCTCAGTGTTTGCTTCCAGTGAAAAAGTAATCCTATAAAAGATTGAAAGGAAAGCAGCCAGGAAACGGTGAAATATGCTGTTCCTGGTTCCTCTGCTCGTGCTCACTGGAACATCTCTTCTACCTCTTGCAGCTTCCTCTGATTGGAAGAGAGAAACCATATATCATGAAATGCCTGCCATACCTTAATACTGTCGTCTGACATATTCCCATGAGACATGTATTTAGCGTGTGGGATAAGCGGTTTCTGGAGCTCGGGGTGATCTCTGTTGCTTACACAAGGGGCGGTATATTCAACATATATCAGTGTTAGTTCATTCAGCTGGAGCGAATTCACATTTTTATCAGTGCTAGAAACGTGAGAGTACTAATCTTATACCACTAGATGCATCGAATAGCTAGTGTCTTGACGCTTAGTCTTAAGGGAGGAGAGCTCAATGAGAGTTCTTATACTGTTTCTAAATACGAGCCGGCTAGTTACGATCTTTATAAGTTATACTAGGATATATCCTGGAATCAATCTCGCCCCCTAGATTCATTATGACGATTGTGTTCAACTGAAGGAAGGTAGAATAGTTAGGCGAGGTTGGTCTTAATACTTGACCAAGCAAAGCAAATTGTAATACGAGGTCAAGTATTTACCCCTACAATAGCCGCAGGTGTACTGCTTATCCAGGCAATGGGTGTAACGGGCCTATGTTTATATATGGCCACATGATCGTGCCTTACTTCTCCTTTCTGCAATATTGCAACACGACCGGGATACCATGTGCGAATGCCCGCCTCCCGGTGCTATTTTCGGGGGCCATAGCACGGTTTCCCTAGAAGCGTGGATTCTATAGAGACTTGAAATTCCGAACCTGTCAAAAATGCTTAATGCATTAAAAACTAGACTACTCTAAGAAAAGAGCTTGGCTTCAAGTGTTGGAACACAAATTTGAAAAAATGTATCTACCATCGCGTTCCGGGATGGCCTAGAGACTTGTGGGGCTTGGTCGGTGTTGGCTATTTTGTTCCAGTTCCTTACGGTACAGTAGACCATAGACTTAACTTACGCGACCTACTTACCCTAATCCGACATCACCCCTATGTCATGAAGTCAAGGCCGGGCCATCGATCATCCTTTTGGTTGACGGTTATGGCTTTATTGTTTGCATAAATTCAGCCTATGACTGATCCAAATCCAAATTGAGCTTAGTAGCAATTTCTTTGGACTGCGAATCGACTCCCTTCGGTCGACTGACCAGTACGTTTGGGGTCTGAGCTAAACCTAGATTGCGCTTAGCATGTACCTCCTTAGGCTCCGAAACAACTTTTTTGGATAACCCATAACAAGGAAATGTTACTACTTCTTATTCTGCTTTCATTACTTACTCATTAACAACTATTCACTATCAACGGCCAAAATGTGCAGAAGACTGCTCCAATCTACTTATCAACTTTTCCAACGGCCGCCCCCTACGTGGGTATGGACCACGGTGATAGTTGTGTCCGCTGTCCGAGAGCGTCGCCTCCAAAAAGGAGTTCTCCTCCTCGCACATGAAAATTGCCGCCTACGACAAGCACTATCGCTCACCATCGATCCGAAAGAAACGCCGGGATTGGGAGAAAGAATCATCTGACTCGGCGCTTTGAAAGCACACTGATACGGGTTATTTGAATTGCTTTTTCTGCTATGTCATGTCTTTACGCATGAAGTATTCCTCGCCGCCTGTCAGAATGCGATATTTGGTTGGCTTCGCTACCTTTAATTCGAGATTTGTGTCATTGCAATTCACCAAACGGAGCATACAACGCCAGTCACTTAGGCTTTCAATTGACATACCTGATCATTGAAAAGTTCCGGTCCAAGTAAATATTGGCATCTGAAGAATTCTTCGTTCCAGAAGTCACTTTTCGACATAATGCCCCGAAATGTAGACTTCCTGTCTTCTAACTACTTGGATCCCGCCATCGTTAATCATGGTTCTCACTCGAGGCCCTTATATTAGGTTGGTACCTGAATCTAGTTCATCATTACGAAGCACCCCAAATAGATGGAATAAAATCTCTAAAGGTTGTTGAAGCTCAGCTGTTGTAGCTGAATGGGATTCTTAGTCTAATCTCATACCGACTCTGGTTGAGGAAATAGCTTCATTTTCGATTGACAACGGGTTTTTTAGATTAATTACATTGAAGTGCATTTGTTACTGAGAAGCTCAATGAACCTGCGTATTCACAAGATCGCGTGTGGTAGATAGAGTGACAAGCCGAGTTCACATCCAAGCAGCTCACTGGTCCCGGAGGGATCTTTGCTGTCGGCAATGAAGGTGAAGTGCGCTTTACCGATTTTCAGATTGACACGATCATGAATCTTGATGCTGAGTGTTGGATGGCGAAAGTGGGAACGATCAGCGACCCCGCTGGTGCCTCCTACCTCAATAGAATCATAAACAGGAAAATTGACCACCTCGACGCCTTCCAATATTCCGCAGTCGTTCACACAGATCTTCATCCCTATCAGCGCCTTTTTGGTCTTCCTCCGAATCCTCCGCCCGGTGGACCACCCCATCCGCCACCATAGCCTCCTCCATATCTTCCTCCGTATCCCATGCCTGTTGCTATACTCCTCCTGAGACATTTTCTCGGTCGATGTGTGTCGGATTGTGCTCCAAGGCGCTTCGGAGGGTGCAAGGTACATTCCACTGACGCATCCAAATTGACGCATAGCCAAGGAAGTGGTAGTTGTTGGGTGACTGAATATCATATTGAGTTGCATGGAGCTGGGCTTGAGAATGGCTGTTGGAGGAGCTCTAAAATTCATGATGCTCCAAGACCAGGGTGACCTGCGTTCAGGCAGATCTCTAGATCTCAAGTCGCGATGGAAGCTCCAAGTAAATCCATGAACAGCAAATCGGGTGCAGTATCTTCGCAGGCGAGCTTCTGCTCGACAATGCGCCTCCCAGAAAGCTTCCAAAGAGACGAACCATATCCGCACCAAGAAGTTCTCGCTTGCAGAGGTTTAAAAGTCGTACCTTCCGCCATGCCCAGGATTGTTCTCGTGGCAGAATGCAAATGTGGAGAATTTCGAGCGCACTTTTCAATTTTGGAGGAAAATCAGGTCTTCGTAGCATGGCTCAGATCTATGCTTTCCGCGGTCAGTCCGTGGCATCGATCGCTGAAGGAATGAACACGAACCACATAGAATTTCGCAGCCACGCCGGTGATATCGCCCACAAAATAAAAGTAGGAGAGTTGGTAGTTTGGGCCAAAGCCAGGTCCTTGCCTGACATCTGCAGATTCTGGCGAGGGCAAATTCGCTGTTGAATTCTGCACTTGACTTAATGGCTCTCGTGTGCAGGTCAAACACACTGGGTAGGGGAGCGAGAATGTGTCGTTCGATCACTTGTCGGCATAAATTGTCTACAAACGTTTTCATGGCAACCTAGGTTAGATCTCAGTATAGTTTTAAATCTCAAACGGCGGGGGAGATACCTTGTAGTAAGCATCGAGATCTATTGGGCATCTTGGGCTGAGCATGAGTCCGCAGTGTTGGCACGACAGCTCAAGTAGGTTTCAAATAGGATGGCATTAACGACACGACAGAAAAGTTCATGGGCATGACAAGGCTAGTCCTAATGAGGAGCGCCACCCCTTCAATACAGAATGCTACATTCGAGATTTACAAAATACCAGTAGAGTCCTTATATATGTATCAGCCTATATTTTGGGAAAAACCGTGGGAAAGACCGTAAAAAAGAGTGATAGTAGGAGGGGGTGTAATATAATAACTTGACGAGAAGTATTAATGTGAGTTATACGTAATGACTCGGTAGGTATTTTGGGAATTTCGAATGTAGCATTTTGTATTTAAAGAGGGGGTTTCCGCATTAGGACTGGCCTCGTCGTGCCATGAACTATTCTGTCGTATCGTTCATGTTACCCTTGAAATAAATCGAAAGCAATTCCCTTAATGAGTAACAAGGGACGTCGCGAGTCCATTCGTCCCGATTACATGAAAATCGTAGCAATAAATTGAAGTAAAGTTCGTTAGTGTGCAATAACGCTCTAAAATATGTCCAGCGCAATATAAATACATGTCATTCTATTTTCGAATCATTCCAGTCCATGCCATCCTTACTTCGTAATCCAACCCCAGACTCTCCAATACCAAGGCTTGGGAGGACTGATGTCCTTCTTATACTCCATTCGCCCAGTATCAAGGTCAGCCTCGGCAGCACGAACAAAAGCGGGCCGCATGATGATCTTGTGTCCCAGGTAAAGCACCACGAAGACAATGATGCAGATGTAGGCGATGAAAAAGTCGGTGACATCGAAAGTGGGGATGAAAGCTGTGAAGCCCTGGGTGAGAGCAATGAGGACGTTGAAGAAAAGACCGTAGTAGGCTAGGTAGGGTTGCAGAATAGCCTTGTAAGGAAGCGTATCGCGAGAGATGCCACGAGCTTTCAATGCGCGCATGAAAGCAATATGACATGCATTGATCGAGGACCAAGTCACGAATCCAGCCACACTAGACAAGTTCACTAGCCAGTTAAACACCTGGCCCGCGTTATTGGACACGTTCATGAAGCCCAGAAGCCCGAAAAGGGCAGTGAACATGACACTGTTGTATGGAACGCCTCCTTTGGTGGTACGAGCGAAGAACATGGGAGCAAAACCCTCGTGTGCGAGTCCAGTCAAAATTCGGCTGCCGCTGTACACATTGGAATTGGCTGCCGATAGGACAACAGTCAGCAACACGGCGTTGATCAGGCTAGGCAGAACCTTAACACCGGCCAGATCGGCAGCAATGACCATAGGCGAGGAGGAAGCGTTGGTCTTGGCAGTGGTCAGTCTGTCGTTGGTGTAGGGAACGACTAAGCCAATAAAAAAGATGGTGAGCACGAAAAAGAGGAGGATTCGCACGAAGGTCTTGCGAATGGCAGAAGGCACAGTCTTCTGGGGGTTCTCGGTCTCTCCAGCAGCCACACCCACGAGCTCCGTTCCTTGATACGAGAAACCGGCTTGGATCAAGACGGCCCAGAAACCAACGAACTTGCCTACTGACACTGGCTGCTCAATCAAATGGGTCGCGAAGGCACCAGGGTTGTGCCAATAACGGAATCCAAGATAGCCCTGCGCGCCCACACCGCAGTCGATGCAAATGGCAAAGATCATGAAACCAATGACAGTGGCGACCTTGATCGATGAGAACCAGAACTCCAGTTCGCCATAGAAATTCACAGGAAGGAAGTTCAAGGCGGTAATAAACACCCAGAAGACACCTATGAAGATCGCAATGTTCAGACTAGGGTCCCAATACTGAATAATGGTTCCCGTAGCGGTGAGCTCGACGGCGAATGTAGATGCCCAGTTGAACCAGTAGATCCATCCCATAGAGAAACCAAGACTCGGATCGATCAGACGAGCAGCGTACGAGGTGAAGGCGCCGGGGATGGGAATGTAGGTCGCGACTTCGCCGAGCGAGGTCATAACGGAGTAGACAATTGAGCCGACGAAGATGTAGGCAAGCAGAGCGCCTGCGGGGCCAGAGGATGCGATCGCAGTTCCACTTGAAATGAATAGACCTAGAAGAAGTCAGATATGGTCACCTTCAAAACGAATCAATCTTCCGAGTCTGTACCGGTTCCGATAGTTCCACCTAGAAAGTGAGACAGTACTCGTTAGCAAGATGTAATTGTAGCCTGACTGGTATGCAGCTATCTGAACGAACCGATTGCGATCATCTGCAGATGCCGACTCTTCAGCTTGCGCTTCAGCTCTCCGGGAGGAGAGCTCGAGTGATTGCCCTCCGCATCAGATGGTTTGATATCCTGTGCAACATGCTTGGTATCCGAGTCGAAAGCGTCACCTTTCACCGCGTTGCTGGTGATCTCGGGCGCGGGGGCAACATCTTTAGCTGCCATGAGGGGCTAATGGGTTGGAGACGGCGCAAAAGAATGGGGGCAATCGTCAAGTGCCTATTGACACCCCGGATAGCAGATCAGTGAGGGATAGCTGTCTGGAGAAAGCGGGCAAAAATTTTTCTCGGCCTCCATCTTGCAAACTTCCGTTTTCGCTTGCACGTCCCCGGTGCGGTTCCGCGAAGGCAAAAAAGGACCCACAACTCCCACGCGGAGAAAATTTTTCTTAGGTAAAATGGAAGAGAATTCAACGAGTGACACCAGTCGGCATGCCGAGTTTGAACCGGACATCGTCCGGTGCCGGCATGACTCTGTCGAGCAGCCTGGCTGGCCCCGCAATGCTTGTTGTTGCTCTGGAGGTTGTTTCCAAGCTAAGTGTGAAGAGGCGCAGAAGAGGGAAACTTTCGATCAGAGCCAAGCCTCAAGCTCTCGACGGGTCACGTGTTCTCTAGATGGTCACTGATCTGTCTCAAGGAAAAACCTAAATCGCTTTCACCGTTCTCATAATAAATAATAAATAAACATGAACTCAGAATGGCGAAAATCCACTTTATTATTTCCCGCGAGAAATTTTTTAGAGATGCTATTTCAAAATGTGCCTTACTGGACACTATCTTGGAACAGTGATGGCCCTGCGGTCTTGTGAACAAGATCTATATATCCAGATCGCTCACTGTCTGTACCAAGTTGATCAAATCTTCGCCTTCGACTGCTCCTTTGCTTCCATCTCTCTCTTCTGGGGGCCTGCGAATCCAAATATGTACCCGGCAATCTTTCGCATCTGAATCTCCTCGGCACCTTCCGTGATCCGATAACGTCGAAAATGGCGGTAGATATGTTCGAAAGGATAATGACGTGAATAACCATCGCCGCCGTGGATCTAGTTCAGTTAGTGCAATCCTTGGAAGCACATGTGGCAAGAAATACCTGAATTGCTCGGTCGGCAGCCTGGCAACATAGTCGGTTGGCCCAGAAATTACACATGGCCACCTTGTCGCTCAGTTGACGCTCAATGGCGATCCACGGTGGCTGCAATACTTCTCCAGTTTTACTTGCAGCTACAATTCGATCCATATCACAACTGGTTTTCAGAATGAGAAGGCGCAACATCTCCACTTGGGTCATCAACTCAACAACGGGGAATTGGATAGCCTGGTTGTCCGCCAGCATCTTGCCCTCGCCCCATATCTTTCGCGAACGAGCACGCTCAATGCTTCGATCGAGACAGAACTTGGCCGCGCCACAGGAACTTGCTGCTTGGCGTATACGATTCTCATGCACAAAGGTCTGCGCTATGGCTAGGCCTTGATCGACGGTACCAAGCACGGCCGACTCGGGTACCCAAACGCGATCAAATTCGACGGTTGCGTGGTCTGTTGGCATGTTCAAGGTCCATTCATAACTAGCGATTTTGACTCCTGGAGTATCGCGGGGTACAAGGAAGGCTGTGATGCCTCTTGCAGATCCTGCGGCGCCCGAGGTTCTTGCAAATATCAGAAAGTGAGTACAATGATGGGCGCCTGTCTGCCACTTCTTCGCTCCGCTGATCTCGAACCCGCCCCGTTGACGACTTGCTACTGTGGACATGAACGTCGCGTCACTACCGTGATCCGGCTCTGTCAGTCCAAATGTCGTTCGAAACTCTCCTCGAAGTCGAGCAGGGATTAGTGTCTGCCGTTGTCCTTCGCTGCCAAAATGATGAAGCATAAGGACATCGGGGAAGTTTCCAACAATGCTGTGCTCGTTCTGTAAATCATTCGCCAGCCCTAGACCACCACCATATACTGGATGTGATGATAGATGGAAGCGAATGGCAGACATCCACAAGTTGGTATCAGGATGCTCCTGGCCCCCGTATTGTTTCGGGAGTGCAAATCGATAGAAGCCCGCCTCATCAGCCAGGATACGAGCCTGGGCTATAATCGAGTAACAGCTCAATATCTTTCTTGGGGTTTGATATCCGATTCTACACAAGACTTACTCAGTAAAGCTTCCCATTCTGGACGTGGGTTACCATTTTGATCCCAATCTGTTCGGGCATGTTCACGCCGATGGTCGAAGAAGCGGTTGTTGTCGTTCGTGTTCTGTAGTGGGAGAATGCTCGACTGAATGAACAAATCAATTGATTGAATATGAGCTTTTAATTCGCCTGGAAGTTCAAAATTCATATCGACGATTGTACGAATTCGGAGTGTCGAGCGTGATGCTGTGCCCAGCTTATGTATGGAAGCAGAGAAGACCTACGCCACATTTCCCCGCATTCGGACCTCGGCTTCCACTTCGGTTGCTGCTCCAGTTGTGCATTATGGACTCGGCGGGTAAGAGATTATCGCTCATTATAGTATGATAATTTTGCTTATTCGCGTTCAAGTATACTATTTTCTCTTCATCCAGAGACATTTACTAGTTGTCATGAGCCGAAAGTCGCAATCATTTGCCTATCGCCGGCTTGCTTTAAGTGTAAGGTAGCTTTCGATAGATCAAAAGAGGTGTCAAAGTTGAAGACAAGTTGAGCAGAAAATGCCCCGGGGGTGGCTCCCAGCGGAGATTGTAGTGTATTTGGCGTGACGTCCGTCTTGTGTCTAGCTCTTCACCATGAATTCGAACTCCAGTTCGTTGTCGGGGCAGATTGGAATAACATAGGATATCAGCTGGCTAGTTAGATAGATAATAACTTGACCTACATTTCGAAGAAAAATTTCCTAGGAGTTTGACGAGCCCGATGTCGTATACGCCCCAGGTCCCGACACCTAACCGCAGACTCCTTTTTGCGATTGTTGCCAACGTAACAAAGTCATATCAATCCTGACTAGATTCATGGGGATTTCATCTGTCTCTCACCCAAGGCCAAGTTGGCGGGAAACATTCATGGCTTTCACATGGTTCACGTTCACAATCCATGTTGCGGGTAGCGCTCTAGATGTGTGAGTAACATTGTGATTATGAGGCTGGGAAGATTCTCAATGGTATTGTGTAACCGAACTGCTTATGGATACAAGAGTCTCATTTTGCATAAAGGACCAGCTTTTCTTGAACCAATTCATTTTTATTGGATGTCACACAACTACTAGCAGTCCATTGCTCAAGAAAGTCATGCTAGGCTACAAAATATAGATAGGTATGAAATTTGCGTCATATGATACGTGGTTTGCCGACCTTGGTAGAGCTCATGTAAAGGTTTTAGGCTAATCCCAGTGGGGAGCTAGAGCTGCAGGCGAGTATGAAATGTTTCAAATAACGCGACGAGGTCCGCGCAAACCATGAATTATACCGATTATTTGTCGACTATCGAAGTTATCCCTAGGTTACACTCGTGTCTGTTTCGTCTGCTCATTCTACTGAAACCAAGCTAACAGCTGTTGTGAGACTCTGGCTTTGTTCACGCCTTAGTCTGGAACAATCGGTGAGAAAATCGTGCGGTAACATGTATAGCCCCACATACCATAAGGGGATTATCACAGCGGCATCTCTGCCTAGTAATCAGAAAAGTTCTCCGATCATCCGAAGACGTGTTAACGAGCTTCTGTTACCAATCGTGTGCCTGAGGGTCCACATAATCCATAAAAGTTTATGCATGTGTGCATTTAAATACTCAAGGATGTCCTTAGCAGGATCGGTCTAATGGGGCTGTCATACTGATCATCTGGCGCCTGAGTTTGGGGCATTTGTTCACCATTGGACCCAATGATCCCTGTTTATAGTTATCTAGCAACATTCCCAAATAGCTAGAAGTTGAGTTTTCCGTAGAAGTTGTACAAAACTGTCCCGATTCGAATATCTGTAGAGTGCAGCGATAGAAGCTGCATTTAGTTGCAAGTTTTCCTCAACTTGAGCTACGAAGGCTCTAGTATTATCAAATCGGTACAATTGTCATTTGGAAGTCATATCCAAAACGACTTGTATCGACTTATCTGAAAACAAAACCTCTCGATTACTTTTTCTTCTATTCTAAAATGGCGTTTTGCGAGAGCCAGGTCATTGTCGACCAACGCAGACTCTGGGTCGAAATGGAAATTTCGAACATCCACCAAATGTCTACCACTTACTTGCGATTTAGCTGCTCAAGCATTCCTTTCAAACAGGACTATTTGCTTCAGTCCCACGCTTGGTCTTACATTCAAGCAGATGATATTCCAATCGGCGAATTGGAATCTTCGTGCATAGAAACAAGAGATAGCCATGTGTGTCTAGAAGTATCGCTCATAATACGGGCATGTAAAGCTATCTACAGTTTACCAAACGACTCGCGGCAATCAATGGGTTTCCTTGGTCTCGTACTATTCCAATGCATCCGGCTTTGAACTATCGGCAGTCCCGACGGTCTGCCTGTGATCGATGTCGTGGATTCAAACTTCGTTGCGAACGAGATCGTGTGAGTGGCAGATCGTGCGAGAGATGTCTTAAAGCTCAAGTCGTTTGTACCACGAGTCTGGGTCATTCGACCTCGGGCTTTTCATCGTCAAAAGCGAGCGCCCCCACCCTGCCGAGTGAATATGAGGAGAGCTTCTACGGTCATGATCGACTCTTTATGCCGGCTCTTTATAACCCCACTCTTTCAATGGTCAGAAAGCCAACCCGGCCGTCTGGTATTTTTCGAATGCACGACAGTCAAAGTTTGAGCTCCTGGGGCGACTTTGATTCAGGCATATATCTCAGAAATGGAAGCGCGGCTTCACAGCCACATGATTTTGCTCTGCCGTTACAACAAAGCATCTCCTTATCTGCTCCTCCTGAGCACTTGCTTGATGCAAATACATCTTGGAATACTACCTTTTCAATGGTCCGTATCACAGCACTCAATTATAATTTCCAACTGTATAATAACTAATCCGTGGTGATTAGCAATCGATCGGGAAGAATTTGTTAGAGCCTGGAACCTACAGTGGATATCAGCTTCCAGTCTCCAATGCACTCATCACCGGGCCATTGTCCAGTTGTTCGAATGAATACGTCACAAATGGGATATTTTCTTCCAATACTTATCCCTGTATCGAGCCTCACTACAGCTCAGAAGAGGATGCTGTCTGGAATCCAACTTGGAGGACATGGAATGCATCTGCAGGCGATGATGACGCTCCAGTCGCTTGTCTCGAAAATTCGGCTTTGGCAGGCTTACACACTACGCAGAAAAGGCTGATCCATTTGAACCTAGAATTGATAGAGGATATTGAGCTCCTCGAATGGGAATCGACTGCTCAGTCATCGATGAACTTCTTCAGTGACAATACGAATTCTACAATCGGCAAACTCGATATACCAATTTTTCGCATGCTGAACCATTCAACAAGACTCCTGGAGATCTTTGACTCCGAAAGACACCGGTCTGGTGGCGATACTGGCATATATCCTGCTACTGTGCCCGTTGAAAAATGCTCCCAAGACATTACTCAATCGCCAAAAAGATTTACCACGGACGAAACGACAGAAACCGGAATAGCCACTGTGTCTTCACACGATTCTGGTTATCTGACAGCAATACTATCTCCCCAATATTCAACTAATATCTCGCTTTCCAGGAACAAGTTGCCTGTTTTTCTCAGCATGTTAACCACATACTGTCATCTTATTCGACTCTACCACGCTATATTTACGCAACTATATCAAATCTTTCTGATCATTCCCCCTCCTGAAGATTCGAGGTTCGTTTTACTTTCAAACTCGCAATATAGCCAGATTGGAATGGACGGAGGACTGAGTATTCAAGTCCAAAGACTCATTGAAGTCGGCTTTGATATGCTTGAAAAGGTTGAACAAGCCCTCGACTGGCAGTCTGAATTCAGTTCGGAGGCTGATTTAGCATCAAGCCCCCAGGTCTCTATAGGAGACAAATTTTCATTGGCAGCCATTCGAGAGCAGATTGTCGCGCACAAAGGTTTTCTTCCTGGAATACCATTGAAGGAAACAATGCACTGCTTGAGTCAGCTTGTGAAGGCCTCAGCTGAATCTTGACTATCCAAATATAAAACCTGAAATGGCATGAGTATGTATTTCCGTGTTAGAACAGGAATGTCAACCACTCTACGGTCTGCTTTTTTCCTCTGGTTCGCGACAGAGTTCTTCCTTTACAAAAAAAGCATCCCCTCATCTGGCCCGCCATTGGTCAGTCTATCTACCTAGTTGCGCCTCGGGTAGAATCTATTGGGCACCCAGCTCAGCGGGACCCAAAAAAATCAACAGGACCCAAAAGTTCTGACTAATTTTGGGTCCCGCTGAGCTGGAACCCGATCTCTCATGGAAGTGTCGGATAAGCCAGTCAACTGGAAGTCAATAATATTATTCTACAGTGCTTCATCTTGAGCGCTGTCAGATGTTTCCTATCATAAACATTTACTAAACCATTTCAGATATGGCAGTCAACAGAGTACATATAGTGCAGTATACTGAGATTACAGCGAGAGTAGAGATCAGAACCACATCTACATACTCTTTTGAAATTTGCTTTTGGAATTTCATGCTTCCTCCTGCAGTAAAACAACCAGCTTCTGACCGGAGATGGCTCCCTCTTTCAGCAGATTCAGCCCTTCGATAACTCCCTCAAAGCGCCCAGGAAGCAGTCTGACTGGGCTTGGTCGCAGTTTACCAGCGTCGACTAAAATTTGAACCGTTTTATACCACGATCGAGCCCAATTTCCGATTTCAGGCCGTGGTGGGATTCCATACGGCTCTGGTAGCTGCACGCCATTGCCAGATATAGCACCTCCCATAACTAGATCGTTCTTGACCGTCCTTCGAGTACAGAGATGCTCCTGGTATTGCTCCAGCGCACAGTATCTTCCCCCTGTTCGGCCAATGGCATCCTGGCATAAGCGCACGGTACTTGCCTCAGCAAACGGATCGAGAGCATAGCGAAGCGTGTTTTTTGTGGCAGCCCGGATGTCTTGCGCACATGTGTCAGACTTATAATCGAAAACCAGATCGGCACCATAGGACTTAACCAAATCGATGTTCTTTGGGGAGCACGTTGTTATTACTCGATGGCCGCATCTAAGCAGTATTAGTCGCAAGCATGCTAGCGTTGTGAGATGAGATCAATTCAACTCACAGCTTTACCATCTGGATGGCCAGAAGTCCAATGGTGCTGCTTCCTCCATAGATGAGGACATCTTCGGGGATAGCTGACGGGTCTTCCAAGCTTCCAGGAATCTGGAGCGACCAGAATAGGGCAACCCCAAGTGTTGCGATGCCAGTACCGGAGATTGCCGGTGCATCCTTGAAATCTACCCCTTTCGGAATATGAAATGTAAAATCCTCATCAATCTGCAAGTATTCGCAATAGGACCCCGAGGTTGGGTCAGATTGGTTTGACCCTTGAACAGCGCCGAAGACCTTGTCACCAATACGAAATCGACCCTTCTCGGCCACTTTTTTACCCAGGGCGACGACGGTACCCGAGAAGTCACATCCATCCCAGAGTCCGGGGGTGGGAAACCGTAGGGGCATCTTGAAATCACAAGGGTTCAGTGCCACGGATACGGTTCGCACAAGTAGATGATTAGCCTCCAACTCGGGGATGGGCAAGCCCGAGGTAATCTTGAGGCTTCCATCATGCTGTATGATGGCCGTTTGTGTTGCCGGAATCTTCGGTGCTGATAACATTGCGAGATCTCAAATCAATTGAGTACATGAAAGAGGGATGAAAAAGAAGAGGGGGCCGTTCTTCGTTCGCATCGAACACCGTTCATTGTCCATGTTTATATCTGGAGCGAGATAAGGTAGCTATTTTTGACCCAAGTCCGATTTGTAACGAGAGTCATTTGGAAACGGGCACAGTTGAGATCGGCCTACTTTTAAAGATTGAAGCGCCGGCGACGTATGAAATCGTTGACGGTGGCTAGCAAAAGGAAACAGAACTTGGATTGTGTCTGACAAAAGAAAAAGAAGGGAAAAAAAGAAAATTCCCTATTTTAGGACTGATCCTGGAGACAGCCGGCAGATCAGTCAGCAAACAGAAGTGAACTTACATCGATAGATCCCTTTAATTAGTTTAAACAGTGAGGTATCGTTTTTTTGTCAATTGGCTAATCGCTCCAGAGAGTATTCGCGTCAGCGCGCGCCACGGCTTGTGGAAGTAAAGATCCATGCCGGTTGCCGGGCCAATCCTGCGAACAGTCATCCTCCTCTCCCCACCCCTTCCTTGGGGTACCTTTAGAGGCTTCGCAAAGATGTATGTTGGAGAAGATTGAGCGCGAGGATTCCTGCACGTCTATTAAGCTATCCACAAGGCTTGTCGCCTATATTATATCCCTGGTGTGGGAGTGAAATATGAATTACAGCTGAAACAAATTATGACACAACATATATATCGATCACTACCGGAAGGTGATACCAACTCAAGAACAGGCACCTCAGCCACAAAATACGCATGATAGGTAGCTTCGTCAGGCTCATTCTCCACTTGGCTCACTATAAGCATGAGTCCAAGCCACAGGGCTGCCAAAATTTGGACTTCCATCGCTATGAGTTCCCAATAACTGAACCATTGTATACCTACTGTCATTGCAAGCGCCGGAGCTGTACTCTGTGGCATGATAAACAATCCACGTTTGGCTCGCATCTGGGCTTTGGAAGAAGCCATTGCTTCCAGTCCCATAGTTTCCATTTGCCGAAGAGAATACACATTCATTGCTCTTGGACCAAGCACTAGCATCGGTGGGATCCGTAGAGCCGTCCCATGTCAACAGCCCGAGGCAATAGTCCGCTGTCCAGCAGTATGAAGCCGAGTATGAGATGTAGGTCGAGCCTCCGAAGTAAAGGGCTGCAGGTGCTTCGTTCACAGGCGTGCCGCTCGTTTCCCAGGACTTGGTAGGCTGGGAGATGACATAAATACTACCCGTTAACGAGACATAATCGGATCCTAGCTGTTGAATGCAGATTGATTGATATGTCACACCGTGGAAGCACGAAAACATCATGAAGTTTCCGTAGTTTGTGAACCGCAGGACTGACGCGTCAATGGACCACTCGGTGGTGAGTTGACCCGTATACGTAAAGTCGTCCCAAGGGGTGGAGCCACCTAAAGGATGATCATGAGCGATATGAATACAGTAAGTTCTGATTCATGGCCATGAGGAATTACCCGTTAGGACGTGGAGCCGCTGTCCATCTAGATCATTTGTTTCCCCAGCGGTATAATAAATATACCATGTATCACCCAAGTAGTGGACCTCCGGAGACCAAACATTACAGCATCGTGATGCTGTTGAAGTAGAGTAGACAGACTTTTTAGTTGCAGTCTCCAACCCAGCGATAGTTGTTGCTCGTGCAATCTCAACATCGGTCCATGTTGTAGTCAAGAGGTAGTAATACCCTCCGGTGTAGACAAGAAAAGGATCACTGCCGCCAGGGTTGCGAATCGGATTATACCACGCGGCAGTCAGTCCGAGAAGGCATGACAAGCCTACCAGCAAGATGTTTCCCAGGGAAGCCATACGGAACAGAGAGAAACTAGGACTGCAATATAAAGAAAATATGCCTCGATTGTGGCTTTTTTTTCAGCTTAAATAGTCCCGGCCTTTTGTACATTGCTTGAGGTCGCTCATGTAAGAATACCCAAATGTGCAGTGCTGCAAACTATTAGTGGAAAGGATCGCATGATTCAACTTCGTTGAGCCTTACGCGGCATTTGAAATAATTCCTCGCATGAGCAAGCTTCACAGTAAATGATCTACCCCGCCACACTCAAAGCTGTCGAATCCCACCGGGATGTTGCGATTTTGAGAAAGCAGTAATTCTCCTATTGGCGCGAATGCACCTTACCCCTTAGCGATGCCACCTTTAGAATTCTTCCGGTCGCTTCAACCCGGTTGGAAATAGACAGGTAATTTTGAGTCGCCTCAGTTCGATATGGGTGATATCTTCTAGTCTCTAGTAATCTCTACCCGAGCACAAGCCAACTTCTGAGAAAAGATTCGTGCCATCCGAGCAGATGCGCTTTTAGCAATCCTGCCGGCTTCAGCAATTGGATGTTTAACAGTTGGAGACTTTAGTCCAGTATGTATCGAGGGTATTCGGTATTTGCCTTCTTACTGTCGGAGCTCTGGACAAAATTGCTTTGTTGCAAATCTTATTACGGAGTCCACAGCGTCTAGACTACCATGATCTCCTCACCCCTGCCTAGAAACAGGATGTATGAAGACAGTACCATACTGAATGGGGCTTATAAATTTTGACCCTTTCTATAGATATGAAAATCCTTTTCACTGTGGAGCAAATACACGCGCCACAGCCCCTCGAGTCCACGCGGCAATGATTTGCAAGTGTACATAAACCAACATGGCGCCTCGGTAGCCCCGCTGTTCCCCGCTTTTCTTCATTCCGTCATTGAGGGCCTACATGTCACCACATCGTGGGATTGCCAGCCGATCGATCGTTATGTAGCCGATGGCCCGAACTTTTCGATTTCATCAACTTCACCCTCATTTAACAACGTCGTTGAGGGATTTCAAAATATTTGTCACAGAACATGGCCACTAGCGCAAGTCCTGGGGCATCAAAGGCATCAAGGTCACGCTTCGGTACGTCATTGCTCAAATACAGATTCTGTTACCATGATAATAATAAACACAGGCTGTCGCACTTGTCGGGCGCGGAAAGTGAGATATCTCCACTGACCTTGAAGGAATAATCCCACCCTAACCCTTCTCCATAATAATAGGTCAAGTGTGACGAGCGACCGGGAGAGTGTGGTAATTGTGTTAGACTACGCTTAGTGTGCCTAGGCTATGGTACATCACCAAGGCATCAAGCTCGAGACACTTCACAAGACGTGACGGTCAGCTCCAAAAGAAAAAGGACATATCGATCTTGTACTGCTTGCCGCGCCTCCAAAACGAAATGTTCAGGAGAGCGCCCAGCATGCCGGAGGTGTCAAAACAAGGCTGTCGCATGTGCCTATTCCGAATCTTCCCAACCTAGTTGGGTAGAACGTGTTGAAGCCACACCACAGAATAGTTATAATCTTCTCCTCACCCCAGACAATGATATTCGTGGCGGAACATCCGGAAATCTTTTTCAGTCAACTCCAACAGAAGTCGTTGAAAAGCAAGGCACGCCACAATCCCCATGCCCATCATATCATCACTCATATGAAACGGAAACGGTCGGGTCGCAGATACCATCGCTAGCTTGGTAAGAAAAACCCCTATCAAATGCATCGACCATGGGCTGAAAATCCAGCAGGATAAATGCACGTCAATTACCAAGCCCTTGGCACATAAGACTGCTTGTCGAGGAATACTTCAACAACATCCACCCCCTACGCTGCTTTGCTTTCATTCACCGGCCTACATTCCTGCAGAGACTTGATAAAAGCAGTCAATATCAGCATAATGCCCTGCTCCATATAATCTGTGCTCTTGGTGCCCAGTAAGCTTGCAATTCGACCGTGCACCAAGTGGGCACCTCTGATCGTTACTACAGATTCCATGCACTTTCCTACAGTGAGACGGTATCGCCACTTCCGTCGAAATTTGTTTTATTGGCAGGGAATGAGTGGGCAAAGTCTGCCCAAAGACTTATACTCCAGTCGCTAGATGCTGTCACAATCGAGAACTTGAGGGTCCGTCCATCCTATCGCTGCTTTCCGCGGCAGTCTTACTGAGAGCCATTGACAGGCAGCGGTACTTTTAAGCGACTATGCCATCCGCATGGGCAATTTTGCAAATGCCTTCATGCTTAGTGGTATCATTACGCGCATGACCCAAGCGTTGCAAATCAACCTGGAGTACAATACAGATCTTCTCTGCCAGAATAATGAAATTGGCCCCTCCATCACTGCCAGGGAATCTCGTCGGCGGCTAATGTGGAGTTGCTATGTGATGGACGCTCTGGTTGGAAGTGGAGTTGATCAACTGACATTGATTGACGAGAAGGACATGAAAATTCAGCTACCTTGCAACGAGCGAAATTTCACTCAGCAGATTCCATGCCTCACAGAAACACTCGAGCCTGGAAGCTGGCTGACGTTTGTTCCCCAAGAAGCTGACCACAGCACGATTCTGCCGAACATGGGAATCATGGCATACTTTGTTCGGCATGTTGCCGTTCGCAAAAGGGTCCTAAGGTAAAACACCCCTCCCGTGATGTACAGAGATAAGTTTTGCTAATGTCGAGTAATATAGGTATATCAAACATCTCGATCATGCCATGGTCCCGTGGGATCCTAAGTCAGAATTTGCAACGTTGGATGCAGACTGTCGCGAATGGTACGAATCATTACCGCCGAGTATGCAGTTCACACCCAATGCAATATACATTCGAAAAGATTCTGCGCAACTTGGGGCTCTTTGCGTCTTACATTGTGCGCATTACCAAACGATATGTGATTTATACCGATTAGGTGCCCCAGCACTTTACAAGTTGCGAGCTGCCTTTGAATTTCCACCTCAACAACAAGATTTCCTGAGACACCTACAACAAGTTCTCTTTGATGCGGCGAGGACACTAGCGAGCATTATTGGGGAGACAGCCCACCATGGTTCGCGCATGCTGGCAGATTCTTGGCTTCCCACTATCACATATGACAGCTGTCGAATCATGGTTTACCATTTGACCCAAATTCTGGACCCACGTGCTGAAGAAACGAAAAGGTTCACCATCGAGACGATTCCTCTCCTACGAAGTAATATCAATTGTCTAAAACTCATGGGATCCCTTAGCATGATTTCAAACTCTTTGGTAAGCCCGAAATTGACAAAGAAACCGATAACGACATTCTAATTAACATTACTGTCCAAATAGTGCATTGCGGCTGAAAAAATGCTTGACCGTTCGGGTATAGGTTCAGATGTTGTAGCTCAAGACAGCATACCTGATGATCCTTACCAGCCTCATGGAGAAGAGGAGCAGACGTACGTCTCCCATTTGTTACTTATCCAGCCGAGATGCTAACTTGACAATAGTGAGAGCGTTCCGGGAACGCCAGTCCAGAGTGCACCTGACTACGTTTTGAATCCGCTGTCCATATTTCGCATGGCACGCAAGTCTATCCCCGAAAGACACGCTCCTGAAAAGGCCACGACCTCCTCGGCTCCCAATAGTGCAAAGCCCAATTCGACCACTTATACAGATCCGCCTTCGGGTGGCGCTATACAGCAAGCGGTAGACACAGGTACCTCCCACGATCCCGAAGTTGGTTTGGGCCAGGCCAGCCTCGAAGAGCTCCAGACATTGTTCATGTCCGACTTGGGCTGGGCATGGCAACCAGCAGATACAGCCGTTGGCTCTGGTATCGAGGCAGCCGGACTATTGCCGTGGGCTGGTGGCTTTTCTACCACCCAGGCAGAACCGTGGGTACCTGCATTTCCGTTCTCGCAACAGACCTAAACGCGAGATTCCATAGCTAGACCCACAGGATATACCGGAGATTCCGTATACATGTTCTCAATCTTAATAATATTCACTCCAATAGAGACTTTTCTTCTCTCAATTTTCCCTTATTGGCAATATCACTACGTTCGGTATAGCGACTTCTCGGCCTGTCACCAAAGCCGCATTTTCTCATAGTCACAGCATTCTTGTAACCTCTTCTACCTCTAATGATTATTGCGAAAAGCAGCGACATATCGTTTAAGCTCGTCTCTTTGAATCGTAAGACCGCAATCGCATTCGAGTCATGCAAAAGTAAAGAAGATGTTTGGTATAGAACGATTATATTATATACAAGTAGTCATCTTCATAAGCTTGACAAAGGCTTACTCCGCATCCAAAGGACAAACTGGGGGTTGATCATTGACTTGAATACCGCCGCGCTTCTTCTCAAGTGTGTCATGATACGGAAGTTTCCAACCACCTTCGGACTCGGGCGCAGACAGCCAAAGTCGCATCAGGTGTCGTCGCCGGGCGGGCAGCCCATCTTCGTCGACCGCACTGGGGGGATGATCAGTGTAGGCCGTCCGCGCGTGGAACACGTGCGAGTTGCTAACGAATTGGATATCACCAGGGGCGAGGATCATGTGTAGAGCAAGTTCGCCACAAGTCTTCTCGAAGATTTCCATCGCATACTTCTGCTTTTCGGAGAGAGGGGGAATCTTAGCGTCTGGTCCCGAGTTGAAGCGTGACAGAGAAGTGACATTCATCGGGTCAAATCTGGCATAGACGCGAGGGTTGTCACCCGCACGCTCGTTCTCAAGGTAAAAAATGCTGCCGCGAATCCAAGGTTCTTGGCCATCCGAGACCTCACCTTTGCGGTCAAAATACCAGTTGGGTTGGACCAGAGTTTCAACAACGTCCGGGTGTCTTTCCTGGAGAATATTGAATACGTGGTGTGTAGACACAATATCGGATTCTCCTCCAGAAAGAGATTTGGCTATGCAAAGAAGGCCAACGATGTCGGAACCGTCTGTGTGGAAATATTGGCTATTTGAGAGTCAGTCATAGCTCGATAATACTTGGAACTGCCTCATTATTGAAAAAATACCGGGCATTGGTACGATAAATGCGGACTCTATCGGTTTTCGTTGGATCTTCTCCGAGATCCTTGACGTGGCCTAGCACATGTCCACGGCCATTCTGGCTGGTGAAGTATCCCAAATAGGTTCCGAGACCCATGTAGGCCGTTGCACATTTACGAAGATCCCACTCGCGAACTGGAATTCCTTTGAATAGGAAAAAGCCTTTGCCATCGATCAAATCTTTCCGCAAATCTTCAAGTCGTCTTGAGAGCTTAGGGAGCGGGAATTTTGCCTATCTGCAAATTGAGCAACAAAACTTCTCCTCTTTTGATTGGAGATACTAACCTTGGAAATACCCGTCAACGGCAAGTCTTTCTTGATGAAATCGTCTGTCACGGCCCCAAGCTCTTCAATCTCCTCATTGGTGAAGTGATGGGTCCAAAGCTCCGGATTTTCACGATAGTCCTCAGCCTTCCATAGACTAGGGCCCCCGTGAACCTTTGGAAAGTCGCTGTAGGGCCGAACTCTTGAATAAACGGGTGGGTGTTGGCCTGAAGTCTTCAGTCCATCAGGAAAAGCGGAGAGATTGATAGTGGTAGGAGTAGCTTGTGAAGCTTGTGTCTCTACCACTGTTGATGCCATAATGAGATGCGCTCGGTAGTTATGCCTTTCAAATCCGAGTCCCAATGCAAACTTCAATTCTGGAATTCAAACAGCCCGGGATTGTTTATTTCAACTAATCCAAAGATACTCTCGAGGATCAATTCAATATTTGTATATCCTCCGCATCGGACCGTCGGATCGATCGGGTGCTGCTATGCTGGGCTCCGAAGGTTTGAGCTTATGTCATCACTGCAGTTCAAGTCGGCTCGTCGGCTCATCGGTGAGAACCCCGGTCCTGCCACAATCACGCAAGATGATGTGATTCTATCAAGAATTAATAGACCACACCAGCCACACAAGGCATATGTCAGGAATCAATGGTAAGGTTCATCAGAACGGCACCAAATCTCTGTTCCCCACTGAATAGCATCGCGTGGTCTTAGGACACAGTGTCCGAAATCTAAGCATATATACTTCGACGGTCAGCCTTTTCCAAAGCAGAAATTTTCTCAGTTTATTCCTTTTCGACATGTTCACAATGGCATTTTGGAGGTATAGCCGGTAATGGCCGGCAATGTAGAGAGAAGCACGTTTGTATGTTCATGAATTATAAGTGTGGCGAGTTTAGTTACAAAGGTCCACCTTCCCTTATCACATCTCTTCGGCATGATTTATGTCCTTCGGCAAGGCTTTAGCTTGATAGAGAATGGATGGAAGCGTGACCTGAAAATATCTCTCATTCCGAGCCGTGAGGAGAACATAACAGCCGCTTAAGCGCGGAGCACGGTGGATGCAGGGGAGGCGTCTGCAGCAGCCGCCTCGACATCTCCCTTTGATGTCGGTCGAGTGGGAGGGTCTGTCTTCTTGCTCATTCCAGTGATAGGGAGAGTGTTCAAGTCAAGCAAATACATGTACCAGTAGTACGTACCTAATAGATGTTTAGTAAGTCTTTGATTCCCCGGGTATCACAGATCAGGGACTGACCGCAGAAGAGGCCTCCGCCAAGGATGTTTCCTATCAAAGTGGGGATTATGCCCTTCCAGATATACAAACCAGCACTGATTCCAGGAGCCTCAAGCCAGATTCCTAGGGGAACGAATGTCATGTTGGCGACAACGTGGTCGAACCCAAGAGAGACGAAAGCAAAGATGGGCCACCAGATACCAATAATTTTAGATCCAAGGTCACGTCCTTGCAAGCCAAAAAAGCATCCTAAACAGACAAGCCAATTGCAACCAATTCCTCGGAGAAAGATCGTGTGGAAGCTAGGAGTCACTTGCTTCTTTGTGGCGAAATTGATGACTGCTGACTTGAAGGGATCCTTGGAGAAAACCTCGCCATCTATTTACGCAATTCAGTTGCGTTCGGAGATAGAAACTCTGGTGAAACACTCACAGCCAAAAATAATTGCAACCATGAATAGAGAACCCGCCAAGTTTCCCAAGAAGGTCACGACCCAGTGGACAAGCATCTTCCACCAGGGTAGTCGGCGTTGCAAAGCAGCAACGGTAGTAAACTACTTGATTGATAAGCGATCGGTTGGAAAATGGTTGAGATGCAATGAATAATTGACATACCATAAAAGACCCGGTACATAGATCGGCGCCAGTCAAGATGATCATACACAGTCCGTAAGGGAAAACCAGGGCACTGATAGTGCGGATCAAGCCAGCAGCATTCTCTTGGAACCAAGGAGAAGCATTGGTGCTCAAGACAGTTCCACATGCGAAGGACAGCAAACAACCAGCTGACACAGAGCTAAAGAAGACCTTGTCCAAGCGCATGTTACCCTTGTACACACCTGTGTTGGCTACCGCCTCGATCACCTCTAGGGGTGAGAAGGAGTCGAACGTCATCTCAAGCAACTTGATCTCCGTCAAGAATATTTTCGACGAGAATATTTGGAGAGAATGTTAATTCTTTAGAGGCAAAACCATGCAGAAAATTTGAAAAAAAGCTACCTGCCTCGAGAAAATTTTAAGAGTCAAACAGAAAATCTCCAAGGCAAGATTCCATTGGCATATATAGCCATTGCTAGAGAGGAGCGCATGCTTACTTCGCGTTATAGTCCGTGCACCTTAAGGGACCATTGAGTTTTATTTCAAACGGATAATTAGTCTCTGATAAAGCAGCTGGAGTAGATCCCTTCAGCCCCATCATTCATTCGTGATGTGGAAACGATAAAGAATAAGCTCAAGTTCGTGATGGAGGTGGCACAATAGCAGGGTCGGATCCATAGTTGATCCACACAGCCAATGAATGAACCGCAACTTATCATTCTTCGCCAAAGATAAGGGACGTCAATGGCATTTGAGTGAATCATCTCCGCGGACGTGTGATATCGGAATGCAATCATTAGCAATTCCAAGCAATGTGTTGCTTTTGTTGGCGCAGATTAGATCGCCCTCTTACAGAGCATCGTTGTAAAAGATTAATGATAGCAATCGATAATTTGAAGATTCCAAACCCAAGTGGACGCCTCCACGACAAGCGAACATTTTGCATGCCGGTTGTATAACATTGTATATGCATCCATTTCAAATTAAACTTCGTAATCTCGATTTTTTCCTTACTCTTGCAAGAGAGAAGAAATTTGGGCTAATTTCGCGAATTCTGTGGAGCTCGAACTACACGGTGATTTTGGAGTGATCGACATGGCATACCATGGGGTGGAGACGAAGATCATTGCCGTTCAGTATTGCTTATCTCATGGGCGCGCCAGTATGAACGAGAGTTGTTATCTGAGGAAAATAGACTATTGAATAACAAGAGATAAAGTCTCTCTTCACAGGAACTGAGCAAAAACTTGGCTCTCGGTCGATCGTGGGTCTGGGGTTCATCAATACACCGTGAACTAGTAAAAGTTTGGTTGAGGTCAATGCCTCCTGGATGGTCATTATTTTCTTATCTCTGTGATAGCAACCAACACTATTTAAACTATTCAAAATCATGACTGCCACAGTAATGACCCGACGCCTGAGCGCCAATGGCTTGACGCCCCCCGTACCCCATCTATCTATGGAGCCGGCTTACATGTGGGTCCACCGGTAGAGGGGTGAGATGGCGAGGGTAGACCAACCAGCCCTAGTGAGTTAATTAGGACAACATCCAATGTATCGATTTCATTCATTGATCGAGAAGTGAGATTTGATGACGCTTAAGTGCAAGTTCAATGAACCTTTGTTTCATCTATGTAACCCCATACCTTGAAATTGGCCAAGATGATTTCCAAGGTTCACAAGGAGAGGTGATGTCACTCCCACGACACGAACCCACCAGTATATAGAAGTGAGGGTTCTTGAGTTCTTGAGCTGCAATTTCTTGTTCTGCAAGAAGACTTCATCCCAAAAATATTCTATCAAAATTTTCATAATGGTGAAAGACAAAGACACCGTGATTAAGTAGGTGTTCTCGCTGAGTGACCGCACAGCAGTTAAAGTCGTTGCTGACGCTAAGCAAGTGAGTTCAACGAGCTTGTTAATATGACTCCGAATGAGCTTCGGGAGTGGCTCAAAGAAGAACAATCACAGTCGTCAGGTTGGAATAATGATTCAGGCGAAACTATCGGTCACGAGAGGTAGGTTTGCCAATCTATAAAACTCTACCACAGGCGAACATGGTCAATTCGCAGAACTAAATCTGATTGAGATTCATTTTTTAGTGGCCGGAAGATAGTAGATATCCTGGAGCACAACCCCAGTCGCAACCCCTCTGGCTATGACGAGTCCGAAATCGATCATATGCGTAAGGTTGTATCTTACTGCAAACGTCATCTTGCCCAGGAGGAGACTGCCAAAAAGAACCCCGACAGCAAGAGCTATCGTTCACTCAAGAATTGGGGACACGATGCTTTGAAGCAGTAACCTTGGTTGAAGTTTGGTACACAAGCAAATAGATGCTGTGCGATTGCCTGCCTAACATGTAATAGCAAAGATGTACATTATCAATTCAACAACCGATTTCTTTTATGGCTCCATCCTTTAAAAAATTATCAAAATCCCCGTTCCTACCCCATCTGGGGATGCGACCATTAATGCACATTTGAAGCAGCATTTGTCTCCTTCCCTCCTCCAGATGACGGCATTGGTCCCCGTTTGGCAGCACCATGCACGCGCAAAGACCTCGCTGGCAGGTCCTCCGGTAGCGTTCACTACTATGATGGCCGTATCAGTTGCTGGATCACCCTTGTGAGAGATGCGCGCTAGTTCTTCGATTCCTTTCACCACAAACGTGTAACGGCCTGCCGCACGAGGATCAATCTTGTGTATGCCTCGACACGGTGGAACGGCAATAAAGACGCTGTTGGTGTAAAGTGTAAAAGTATCAAAGGTACGACTGCGCCCCAGTCGGAAGTCAATCCGCGCTGTATAATAAAGCGCATCTTTAGCGCTTAAGTCAGCCTTGGGTGCCTTTGACAGTCGAACGGTCTGAAGTGCGACTGTATCGTGGGATACTTCGGGGGGCGTCGGTAGTATCCACTCCCGGCCATGACCTTGTCTACCAATGCTCGACAAGGTCGTACCAGCCGCGTCACCGATGCCTGATACCACTTCCGGGGGAGCGAAAGGAGGTTGGCGAGTTGACAGAGAAACGGTAAGGCCAAGTCTGCATTCTGGGAGGGAGGGCGAAGGGCAGGGCCCAACCCAGCCACCTAAACAATGAACCTTCGGATGGTCTGTTGCCTGAAGCCCAGACAGTGGAGCCAATACCTTGCCTAGTACAGAGCGGACATTCCAATACGAGGCCTCGGGATAGACAAGACCGAAGTTTGCCTCGCGAACCTTGACGCTCTCGGTCGGCATGTGGGGTCGCAACGTTGGCGATAGTTTGTACAGAACACCAACGAGAGTAAGAGGGAAGTGAGCCCCTGGGAACACTAGTCCCCCTATCCAGTCATGTATTTGCACGTCAACTTTCATTTCCTCGGGCTTTGCCTCGAGCATATGATTCACTGCTTTGCGGATTTCATCCGCGTAGGGCCAGTGCATCTGATCGACGAATCTGATGATGCCATGCATCTGGCGTTGAGATACAGTCTTGGATACTCCATAGCCTCCACCTGCGGGCTTGATTTCCATGTGTCGTGCCCACAGATCAGCGGCTATCATATCATAGATAATTCTGCGTGTGATTCCCCCATACCACCGTTGGTTGGCTTGCTGGATGCGTAGTGTCAACTCTCGAGCCACGAGCATCTGCCGCATAAAATCGACGAGCCCAAAAGGCGAATTTGGAACAATCTTCTCGTAGAATGCGACGAGTGCGATACTGCCATGCTCTTCGAAGCTGGGTATTATCGAGTTGTTCAAGGCCCCGATCAGGTCGGCGATTTGATGTCGCAGCTTGTACCCTTCTTCCGGATCAAGCCATGTGTAGCTGTGGAGACGTCAGCGCCAGACCTCTGGACTTTATTCAATAGAGGGATTTTCTCGTAGACGCACTCGCTAGGTCCTATCAGCTCCCGCACCTGCTCGTAGCCCTTCTTCTCCGTAAAATCACCTCCAAGCCCTTCTTGCACCACTTGCTTCCATCTCTTATCAAGAAAGTCCGAGGAAACTTGTTTTGAGGTTATTCGTTGCCAGCTGGGTGGAGTCGCTGTCTTTTGCAGTTCTGGTGCTCTTTTCCAGAAAGTGGCCTCTCTGGCAAAGCCATTCAAGGAGACTGATCCAGGAGACCACCCGGCATACTTTCTGTCGCCAATGACGTCCACCTCGAGTAGACTTTCTGCAACGCCTGAGATGTGGTCTGGGATATATTGTAAATCTTTACCAGGGTCAGTCTCGTTAGCTTACGGGAGGAGAGAGCTCGCACATCTTACCGAACACGATGTCGGAGACTGGTTGAACTTCTGCCAGTTCTTCAGTCTCACCCGCCGGCAGTCCAACCAGCCAGGAGAAGCATGCTAGACTGTCAGCTTTACGATAGGCTTTGTGAATAACCAATGCTCCGGTGTCATCATAGAGATCCCCTGCTAGCGCCGTAGATACAGAAACAGGACTCGGGTGATCTGCGACAGTTGCTGCAATTAGATTTTGCACTACAGACCTTGACCCCGACGACCCCGATTGTGTAGACGGATTATTTGAGTCTCGCTTTGTCGACTCTGTAGACGACGATGTGACTTGAACCACCTTCGGAGCTGGCTTTGCGGCTGCTTGACCCGATATTGACAGCATTTCAAGTCTCAAGCTCGCTGTCTCGGCTATGAGATCTGTTGCCTCATCAGCAGCAGTGACTAAATTTTGCAGCTGATCCACATCATTGCTCCGCATAATGGCTGTGCGCATTTGTACTCGCGTCTTAGCCCTGATGGCTGGAAGTAGCGAATCCAGCGAGTCGTTGACTGCCTTGAGCTCCGCAATGAGATTTCGAAATTTCCGTTCATCTGTAACAGCCCATTTGGCCTTTTTGAAAGTCGATGTGCTTGCCTGGACCTTTGCGGTACGTTGCTGGAAACGCGAGTAGGTTTTCTGAAAAGTGGTAAGAAGCATCTGTCGGGTTGGTGCTTCCGTCATCACCGGCGTGCTCTCCTTCTCTTGATTTTGCCTTTGCGTACTGAGGCCATATCGACTTCGTAGCTGCTCGATGTCCTCGAAGTAATTTGAGAAGCAGGCCAAGAGCCCTGCAACAGCTGAGCGTAGGGCGGCACCCCGGAGAGACTCGTCGAGAAAATCGCGGTCATAGGCAGACTCGTCTTCTGGTCTACTGGGGTCGATATCAGTTAATCCTGCAGATTCCCCCCAGATCATGAGTCGGAGCCGTTCGACTTCAATCTTTGTGTGTAATATCTCACGATCCACGCTGTATCTTGCAGCCGCAGCAAGTGTATCCAATGTCTCTATGCAAGTACTAAAGAGGGCGGCTAACCCGACCACGCCAATCGCAGTACTTGCGAGCTCCATTTTGTGGAATGCTGCCGGAACTGCTGGTAACAGCTCGTTGTGGTGAGTGATTACAGCATAAATTAGGGGGGAATAGAGTAAGCATTTTGCAAGTGCTGGCGATCACAGACACAGCCTCTTGCCAAGCCACTTGGGCATGAGGTCAAGGGGCTACCCCCGTTAGCTGCGAATTTATACGAGGTTGCGGGGTCAATACTGGGATATAGCAATGGCAGTGCAGAAATGAGGCTCAGCAAGAAACATGCTATGCAGCGTGGCTAACCATCTTGATCACTGACAGTCTTCCAAAATTTGAGAAATCAACCGAGTGGAAAGGTGTGCAATTTCTCTATTTACAGCGTGCTTCCAGATGATCATGATCTCCTCTTTCCCAATGTTACCATCTCAAGAATTGCTCATTTGTTCAACTGATATGATAAAAGGATTATTTGAGATCGTTCAAAGACTTCAAGAATATGGAATACCATAAAATTGTAACCTTGCCGGTACTTGATAAACATGCCATGTCTCAAAATCACGATCTTGACCAAATAACACAGCCGATAACAAGACCACCCTGACTCGCAGCCTTCACTGCACACGCAAAGCAAGTCCCCTGTCCTCTAACAACGATAGCATGTTGTCCATTTTGAGAGCACCATGCGCGTGCGACTAGTTCGCATTCGCCGCTCCCAGTAGCGTCAATGATGAGCACCCTCTTGTCTGTGTGAGCGTGATCGGGAAGTTGACTCGTCTTCAATACGTGTTGTATCTTGGGGAGATCTTTCAGACGAACAGCATGGGGTCCATCTATACATGCCGGCGCCGCGATGAATACGGGATTGCTGTAGAGGGTGAAGCTTGCTGGGCGATCGTTGATAAGCATCTCGAGAGTGGCTCTTTGCTCAGGCTCCAACTCGTCGTTCAGATCACCCTTCTCATGTGTGCCTTGCAATGGCTGTGAGTTGCTGTGCAAGCCTATGCTCTGGAGACGTAGAGCACGGAACTCGACATGATCTGACGATTCAGATGGCCCGATCGGCACTGCCCATTCTGAACGGTCGCCCATGCCGCGAATCCATTCTGCCGCACTTGAACCTTCCTCGCGGCCAAGAAATGGAGCGAATCGACCCCCGATCGCTGGTAGATCCCGGGCCATGAAGCGGGTGAAAGCCACGTCTCTCGCGTGGACACGCCACCAACCCTCCTTGAGCAGGTCATCCCGGACATCCACCGGAGCCGGGAATGGCCCAACCCATCCATTGGCCGCTCTGACCCCCTTCATCCCGCCCAGGACGCGCCCCAACACGGTTTTTGTCCGCCAGTATGATCGGTCTTTGAGCACTAGCCCCGAATCATAATACGCTGCAGCCCCCAGTCGCTGTAAACTCGGGGTGGCGGCAATCAATGCGGCCATGATCGCAAAAATGAAGGAATTCCCGGGCAGCATGAGACCATATAGCCAGTCCCAGAGATGAGTGCTAGTATTAGGCACACCCGCCTGGATACCGGCATACGCCTCCTCAGCGAAGCTCCGCATCTCCCCAAGAGCCGGCCACGCCATGGCTTCGGCAAAGCGAACAAGTCCCTCAACCTGTCTCTCGTGAACAAGGCTATGCAGGTCGACATAACCTAGTTCCTCTTTTGAATCGGGTAGTTTGACATGGACGCCGTCAAGCCATCGCTCCGAGGCGTGAATAGCGGCAATAATGCGGTGACTGACATTCCCAAAACCAACATCGGATAGTTGATGCATGCGCATGCGTAGCTCACGAGCCAATACCACCTGCAGAAGGAAGCTATACAGACTATCGGATGTGCTGAGAGCGATGGTAGCTAGTGAGGCTCCGTCAAGTACATCTGGAAAGTCTCTGCGGCGATTAAGAGTGTACAGTAGTTGTGTGACTTCATCCTGCATACTGTTTCCCATTGCGCTGGGGCCGATAAGCTCTTCGAGGTCGTTGTCTGTATTGCGCTCGCCGGGACTCCAGAATCGGTCGTCTTGAAGCTGTGCGCGGCGGGCACGCTCGACTAGTCTCTCAAATGAGACATTCGGTAGGGCCCCTGTTGTATTGAAGAACTGCTCGGTTTTGGGATTATTGTTGCGTATCCATGTGTTGAAATCGGCCATATACCCATCAATGCTTCGCGTTCCAGGAAGTTTTCCTTCATAGCTTCGGCGGCACTGGGCAATGTGAACTCCGGTCAGATAACGATTCGAATGGTCATACACTCTCATACCTCTGTATCTAGTTGGCTGAAATCAGCCTGGTCATGTCTTGCTCTGTCCGACATGTACATTAATGCTGAACTGGGAATTAGTAAAAAAGGTGCTTCTGAGGTCACCCCCGGGCTCGTGACTTACACCATGCCAAAGTGGTATGCTTCACATATTGAGCCTCCTTGTGTCTCTCGACCATCCAATCTTTACTATCCATGCCATAAAACGAGAAGTCGGCGAAACAATCCTCCCCCACGATTGCGGCGAGACTAATCTGCAGTCCCCCTCGCAGCTCAACTCTCTTGCTCATTGAAGCCTCGAGCTTACCCAATTGTCGGCTAAGACGGTTGACATCAATATCAACAGTACTATCATCGGTTTGTGTGGTGTGATCCTCTGAGATACTCTGAGTATACTGGGACAACTGCGTGATACGGACACTCGCCGCTTCCACGAGCGATTCCCCTCCGTCCAAGTCAGCGACGGCTTGTTCAACGATCTGAAGACCGTTCAGGTCGGTAGACTCCTTTATCTCATCTGCCATCGCCTGGCGTGCCTGTGCATCTATATCGGGAAATAGCAAAGCCAAGCTATCATTGAAGCTGCGAAGATCCTCAACGAAGCGCTCAAAGCGCTTCTTGTCCTTGATAGCCCATCTCGCCGCTGCGACCAGAGTCGATCCTCGTTGAATCCGCGAAGCAGATGCTTGCAGACGGACATAAGTTTTATGGAATGTGGTTGCCACTGCATTCTCGCCAGGACTGACGGTGATCACCCCGGCCGTCGTTGATTCCTGTAAACCATACCTCCTTGTGAGGGAGCCACTGTCTTCGAATAACCGTCGCATGCAATTCAAGATATCGAAAACAGCCCTGACCATGCGCGGATCAACGAGGCGAGGATCAACCCCGTCTTCTTGACCGGACCCTTCCTCCTGGTCCGGTACCAGTCCAGTAAGGCCCACGGAATCTCCCCACAGCGCAAGACGAACACGTTCAATGCCGACTTTGGTCGATAAAATTTTGCAGTCTTTTCCTAGGTTCTTTCCGTTCTCAAACATCTCAAACAGTTCCAAGCATGTCTTGAACAAAGTAACAAGTGAGACGGCTCCGACCGAAACACCAAGAATGTCCATGCTGAGCGACAGTGAAATACACGATTTTATCGGGTGCTCGACGAGGAGTTCTCGTTCAGAAAATGGCTGTCTCGTTTGAGCCGCAGCCCAGTCATGCTCCACGTCTTCACGCTCGTATTCCTTCTCTCGGGGCGCTCTGATGCCGGCCAACTAGTCTCAAAGAGGATACTGACCAGCCCTCGGCAGTGGGGGCATTAAGGGGGGGTAAGGCAGCCCGTTGAGCTAAGTGGTGCACAGCCACCTCGTCCTGGTCGGCGGTTTGATCATCGGCGTGCTCGAGTTGTAAAGGTGCACAATTTACAAAAAGGCAATTTCCTCCACTGTTGATGACTGTAGCCACATTTGTGAAATCTACGCCAATCTTATCGCAGGCGAGAGCCTTGTGTAGCTAGCTCACATTCACAAAATGCCAATCCCAATGCAAGTATCGCTTCAGTTGGCGCTGCATCTTTCTACCCCTCAAACGTACAATATAATAACCGACGAGCGTTGGAAACCAGGTGAGGTATGTAGGCTGCTACTCTTCGGCAGGAAATTCAAAGAATCGAGGCCGGTCGTTGACATGCACTCAGAAATTACATCGCTTCGCTCTACATGACTTTGCCTTCATCGATCAAAATTCCGGTCGGGCTCAGGCAACCTTACTTTTCGCTGCCATCTTGCGTGATATTTTCAATCACCCAGATTGGTCACAGCTACATGCATTCTTCAGCAAGCGATTTCCTCGGGGAGAGGAACCGACCGATGCCAGCCAGAGGACTCTAATCCCGCCAAAGGAGCAGTCTTGGAAACAGCCCACCGTGGTCGACTTTTTGACAGACCCTAGCTCCGTCGGCCTGGCGAATGATCTAGTCACGCTGCTTGCATCTGCCGGTCGCACCTCACGCGGACACTTGATGGGACCCGATCCGCAGCCATGCGCAATCGGCCCTGCCATCAGTGTTGCCTGCGGAGCAGGGGCCTACATGGACCTCACCTATGGCGGTCGGCCACCGGGGCAATATGAGGAAATGACTTACATAGGCGGTGATCTGTATGGATGGAAGAAAGGAAAGTTCGATGTCATAGCAAGCCCGATCTCTACGACCGAAAAGGGCGGGCGGGATCGATACTGGGCTGAATGGGCAAGTCTCTGGTCTGTCATCTCCGAATGGGTGTACGAGTATGACAGTACGTCACTTCAGCTAGGCCATCTGAGCTCACATAGCTTCAAGTACCTCCTCAGTCCCGAGGAGGAGCGCTCATTCGACCGTTTCGGCAAGATCCCGCGTAAATTTCTCAAAACGGATGCCATTTCCGCTGCGGAGGCGATTCATGCGGTCTTCGCCCAGATGGCTAAAGAACCGCAGCGTTTTCAGGGCGTGGAATGGGACTTCTTCGAACTTGCCGTCCCAGTCGAGTTGAGAGAGGCGTTCCACGCGCGATTTGGCCAAAAGAGCTCCGATCGCAACGAAAACCGTGCTCGGCTGGTACAGAGGGTCCCTGGACCTGGCCAAGACTCCCTTGCGTACGGAGACTCGCTCGCCTATGAGGAAATGAGCCCGATGGCATTGAAGCGTTGCCCGAATGATTTCTTTGGTGCGAGCTGGGAAGCATGGCTCTTGTCAATTGAGGGGGGAGACGTTGTGGTCGTAGAGACGATCTTTCAGGTGAGCCAGTCCAGTGTGTAGTGTTCGTCTCCACCCCGACTAATCTCTTTACAGGCGCTTTGGGCGGTCATGTTGGTGGCACAGCTTCCGTTGAATATCAAGATTATCGAGCAGAGTGGCCGATTCCCCAAGTATCGCGATCCCGAGGACTTGTACATCTGAACGGAGAACACGAGGTCGAGTATCATGTATCTTATCGGGCTCCGTATTGAATTCAGATGTGTGGTCGTAGCATTTTCTACTCCAGTTGCCGTCGGGTAATCCTTTCGGAGTGCATCCATCCTTCAAAGGGTCGGACGAAGGTTGGCGGCAAGGACCATACCCTGCCTTTGGCGTTGTGATAACGCCACGTCTGACAGGCCATGGGGGTCATTTGCCGACATAGATCTCCCACGCTCAAGGTCTTAGGCATTGTCATGTATGGTGTTGGTCCTTGCACCTAACGCGTGGGGGCGTCCATGATAAGGTAGAAGGCTTATCGAGAAAGACCAAGATTGTGAAGGGGCGCGAGGCGCCAAACAGGGGGCTTTGTGAAAAACAGCGAATCGATGACGAGTGCAGGCGGAGTTGACCCGAGTGGGACCGGTCGAAAGGATGGAAGCCGAATGATTCGCCTCGCCCGCACACTCCAGGTTTCGGAGAACCGTATGATCATATGAGCAGGGATCCTGTAGTGTACCCCGTACATTGTGGATCGCGGGATCGATTCTGGCCGGCTGGCCTCGGGAGGGCGGTCACGGGGAAGCGGCGTGACACTCAAAGCCGACACGGGCAATCCAGTGCCCACCACTTGATTGTTCACTCTATCTTTCGCGCTAGCGATTTTTGTGTAATTAACAGTATTTTATACCCTTAAATACACATACAAAAATTAAATATGACAATTACACGCTTGTGGCGATAGCCACTACTAAATACACACGCGAGAGATTTTCCTTCTTACATACGCACCCATCTTGCGGGCCAGGGCAATCTAACCGGCCATCACCTACCACACACAATCCTAACACTGTTTTGAATAGACAGATTAACCGCCCTACTACTTAATAGGGCCCCCCCTCGGCAGCAATCACGTCCTGCATACGCTGTGGCATGCTGGCTAGATTACGCGTCAAGACCTACCTACCTCATCCCACGCGCCCTGAACGACCCATCGAATCTCATCGCGATCTGTAAGGATTCCTGGATACCACTATTGTATCCAATCCTTCTTCACCCTCTTAACCGATTCAATCGGATTGAGGTCTGGCGAAGAGGGCGTCCATACTATCTACCTACTTGATTGGCCGTCCTATTCGGCAGATCTCAATCCAATTGAATCGGTTTAGAAGGCGATCAAGGATTGGAAATGATCTCGCGTGTAATACTCGCCGCAGTGCGCAGGTGCGTTATCTTGCATAACAATTACACCATGATTTGCTCTGCAATAGTCATATAACAGTGGGCAAACTTGGTTAATATACCGCTCACTGTTGATTCCAACGCCTTTTTCCCGAAGAAGGTTAGTCCCTTTAAATCGCCACGAGACGATCCCCAGAATATCCATTTAACCTTCTTATCAACATTTTGGTCAACACAGTCCTCATTCAAGTCTTCAACTGCCAATTCAACTACCAATTCAACCAGCCAATTCATCTACTAATTCACGACCATTGGACCAAGTCCCAGCCTAGGTCTCATCGGTCCATGAAATTCGTGACCAATCCTCGACGGTCCAATACGCATGTACCGCGAATCCATGTGCATTGGACCGTCCATGATTAGTCACGAATTTGGTGGACTGAGGAGACCTAGGTTGGGACTGGGTCTAGTGGGCGTGAATTGGCAGTTCAATTGGCTAAGTGGTTGGTTGGTTGAATTGGTAGTTGAATTGGTAGTTAAATTGGTCGAGAGAGATTGATAAAGAGCGAGATACTAGTAAAGAAAGATTGAAAGAGAGTGGTTGGCAGAGATTGCTAGGCCTGTGGGTTTGGCTGTCAGCCATCTATCAACAGAAATATATCTACCCTGTGAGCTTTCTAGGTCGCTCAGATCATACAATCTAGCCAATCCGCTTCTAGATCCCTAGACAGTGCGTGTGAATCTACCACGATGCGTGCGTGTAACCTTGAGGTAGAGAATAGGGGTAATATCCTTCGAATCACCTGACTACTGCCTGATTCGGTCGTTTCTCAATACCTATCCTTACCAACAGACTAGAGAGTAAGCGGCTAGCGCGAGAAGTGAGTTGAATAATTGAGTGGCGGGCACTGTACTCACAATAAACCCTTTCTTCCCCCACACCTTCGCATCCTCTCATGGCACTCCCCGGACTCGGTAAGTTCAAAACGATTACATTAAATCCTCGGACTGGTCCAGCCCCTCCGCCTGTGCAGTGTTCCGGGAATGACTCCCAATCATAACCTCGGCTTGCGGCGCCACCGAAAGGATCATCGTGCTGGCCTTGGTCCTTGGCCTAAGACCAAAAGCGGAGACGTGGGGGAACGCGGGGAAAGCATACCCCCACAGGCGAAAGATGGTAATTGTGAACGTGGGGGGTGGCCTTGAGAAATAAATAGGACTCTTGGGCTCAGAATCTCGGTCGCATCTTCATCGTGTCAGTCTAAACAATTTCTTCGACATGGCCAAACCAGTTGCTATCCACGATGAGGGCTCTCATGTGGCCAAGCCAGATCCCAACCTCGAGGTCGATATCCCACATGTACCATTGACCGAGGAAGACAACAAGCGAATCTGCCGCAAGACCGACCGTACGATCTTGGTCGTATTGATTTGGGTCTACTTCCTACAAATTCTTGACAAAACGGTGCTTGGATATGGTGCGACCTTTGGTCTACGGACTGACACGCACTTGACCGGCAACGAGTACTCCCTCATCGGTTCTATCGGCCCAATCGCCCAGTTGGCATGGCAGCCATTCTCATCCTACTTGATCGTCAAGGTGCCGCATAAGATCCTCATGCCCGTCCTATGCTTGGGATGGGGCATTGCTCAGGCGTGCATGGCCGCTTGCCACAACTTCCAGCAGCTGATGGCCGCACGCTTTTTCCTCGGCTTGTTCGAGGCCGGTTGCTTGCCCTTGTTTGGAGTCATCACGAGTCAGTGGTACCGTCGTGCTGAGCAGCCTTTGCGCATTGCGGCATGGTATGGTACCAATGGAATTGCAACCATTGTGGCGGCTGCACTATCTTATGGTCTCGCACATATCAAGTCGGATCTCTTGAAATCTTGGCAAATGTAAGTGGCTTTTTGTCGATGGCAGACATTGTCTTTATTTTTCTGACACATTATGCAGCATTTTCCTCTTCGTCGGACTACTCACTATCGTTTCGGCTCCGATCGTCTACTGGCGTTTGGATAATGACGTGACCACCGCTCGCTTCCTTACCGAAGAAGAGAAGGCACAGGCAATGGAGCGACTACGCGCGAACCAGACCGGTACGGGAAATACGGAATTCAAATTCAGCCATGTGTTGGAGGCTGCACTGGAGCCGAAGACCTACCTGTGGATTGGCATGGCTATGCTCCTCAACATCGGTGCTAGTGTCACCAATATTTTCGGGCCGTTGATTCTCGGAGGCCTCGGCTACGACAAGTACACCACTAGTCTACTTACTATGCCCTTCGGTGCGTTACAGACGATTATGATCCTGCTCGCTAGTTATCTGGCCCAAACTGCCCGTCTAAAGGGTGCTATCCTCGCTTTTTTCATGCTTCCCGTCGTGGCTGGCCTTTCCATTCTTTACGCCGTTCCTCGAAACAATGCCGATCAGGGCGCCTTGCTTGCCGGCTACTATCTCCTAGCCTTCCTTTTCGGTGGTAACCCTCTGGTCGTGACCTGGATTGTTGGCAATACGGCCGGAACTACCAAAAAGTCGGTCGCGATGAGTCTTTACAACGCCGCCTCGTCTGCCGGCAATATCGTTGGACCCCTTCTCTTCGCCTCGAAAGATGCGCCCGAGTACCACCCCGGTCTCCGTGCCTGTCTTGCCATCTTTGCCACCATGGTCGCTGTTGTGCTCCTCCAGTGGGTTAATCTGTGGTTCCTCAACAAGCAACAAGCCCGCCGCCGAGTGCGCAATGGAAAGAGTGCCGAGATCATTGATCACTCTATGCAGTCCCATTTCCATGGTATTGGAGAGGCTCCCGAAGAGTCTGAGACTGGGCAGCACGTCGCTCATGCGGGTGCACATGTGGCCGATGATCTGACCGATCGGCAGAATGATGAATTTGTATATATTTACTGAGAGGGGATGAACGACTTACACGCGCATATCTATTCTTTACATCCCAGGGGCCCCGAGGGACAGCAAATCATGTTCCATGCCTAGAATTATGACCCAATTTAAATATTTTAGCTTCGGCTTGAGCTGGAATTGCATGACTCATGAGTGAGCAACGCTGTCGGGGAAATTGAGTCCAACACAGAGTAGGGTCCGATCGCCGATCGTATCATACTCCTAGTCACACGCACCAAACCTATCCTTAGGTCATGTTTGCATGTTGATTATTAAGTGTCTTCTATAACTACCGAGACTATCAACGACATCTCTTTCCAGGTTGGGAATTCGCGCCAACATGATTTCAAGCGAGGCGCGTGGATGCACTCTTCCGACACGCATTGCAGAAACCCAGCAGTGATCATACGCGTGTCTTGCCCGTTAAAGATTGAAATAGTGGAGCTGTAGTCCTTGACATGAGATCTGAAATTCCCTAGTCATACAGAAGACAATGGACCTTGTTGCACAGGGAGGACGTGCTCGTGCATGGCTTCAGGCGCGTGGCGTTTGACAGGATGCTGGAGCCTGAGGCACATGGTCGCGTCTCCATATACGACAGTTCGATTGCCGATTTGACAACATTGCCTCCCTTAATCTTACTTCGTTTCCGTAATTCGTCTTTCTGCCTCATTGAATGTCGCACAAGCCTACCTGAGTCTCAGCCATGATCGTTGCGCATCACTCTTACCCCTGGACCAGAACTCGAGAGCGGTGCAACAGTAGAGAAAAACTCGATCCTGCATCCGTGTTACATCTAGCATGCTTGCATAGCTCGATTACCAAGTATCCACTAATTGAAATCGAAATTTCGCTTGAAGAAGACTATTATAGCGATACTAGCTCGGAATCGGACTCGGAGTCGGCGAACGTTGGGATCTTGACCAGTCCTAGCACTACATTCATCAGCACAGGGGCGCCCCTGTAGCCTCATGGCAATGATTCCGGACCGCAACCAGGAACCGAGATGCAAAGATTCTCGTGGGACATGCCGGGGAAGGTGAACACTAATGTTCTAGATCTAGTATTCATCGTATGATTCGCCAACTATACTAGCGCCCTTTGGCGAGTGATCGGGATGCAATCCTGCTTCATGGGATGGCTCAAGGACTGTCAGCTACATATCTGAATCCAGATCCATTTCGTCTTGCTATGAATGGAAGCCTCGGCCCATTGATATGCAATCTTCGTTCCAGAGAACCTCCAGTTGAACGCTCACGGAACAATTCTGCCTCGGCAAACCAGAATTGACACTCCCAATCCTCTTTGCTAGCCAACAGCCACACACTGGTCACACCGGGCCGTTGAGCGTTGCTGAAACTCAAATCATTCAATGTCCAGTCATTGTGAGGCTCGCCCCGAGCCTGTCGCCATTGTGGGAAGTGCATGCCGCTTCCCTGGTGATGCAATATCTCCCGCGAAGCTCTGGGAACTACTCGAGCGACCTCGAGATGTCCTCACTGAAATTCCTGATAGCCGCTTCAACTCGAAAGCCTTCTACCATCCCGACGGTACCCATCATGGCACAACCAATGTGCGCCATTCCTATGTGTTATCAGATGATCATCGGTTGTTCGACGCGCAGTTCTTTGGAACCAAGCCGATTGAGGCCAACTCCATCGATCCACAACAACGCCTGCTACTAGAGACCGTATACGAATGCCTAGAATCAGCGGGTATACCTATGGAGAAGCTTCAAGGGTCTAATACTGGTGTATATGTTGGACTTATGACCAACGACTATGCGGATCTGCTGGGGAGGGACGTCCAAAACCTCCCAACATACTTCGCGTCAGGGACGGCGAGAAGTATCCTTTCCAATCGGGTGTCTTATTTCTTCGACTGGCATGGGCCTTCCATGACTATCGACACAGCCTGTTCATCCAGTCTCGTCGCACTTCACCAAGCCGTCACGAGTTTACGAAATGGCGAAAGTAATGTGGCTGTAGCAGCAGGAACGAACCTTTTACTTGGCCCGGAACAGTATATTGCTGAGAGCAAGCTCAAGATGCTCTCGCCAACCGGTCGCTCACGGATGTGGGACAAAGATGCAGACGGATACGCTCGAGGTGATGGAATAGCAGCCGTTGTGCTGAAAACTCTCAGTGCCGCGCTTAATGACGGCGATTATATCGAGTGCATTGTCCGCGAAACTGGTATCAATCAAGATGGACGTACAAAGGGGATTACCATGCCCAATCCCATTGCACAGGCAAACCTTATTCATGAAACCTATGCGAGAGCAGGACTTGATTTGTCAAAGCTTAGCGACAGACCCCAGTATTTTGAAGCACATGGAACAGGTGAGAATTAGCCCAGAGGTTTACATTATTGATCGACTCGAGCTCACAACCACAGGAACGCCGGCTGGAGACCCAGTTGAAGCGCAAGCAATCAGCACGGCATTCTATGGCCCCAAAGCCCACTACCGTCGTACAGATGCTTCTGAGGCACCGCTTTATGTCGGATCAATCAAAACGGTCATTGGACATACCGAGGGTACTGCTGGACTAGCCGCAGTAATGAAGGCTTCTTTGGCGCTACAGCATGGCATTATCCCCCCGAATCTTCTTTTGAATGAACTCAATCCGGCTGTACGACCGTTCTATGACGACCTCGAGATATTGCACAGGGCGAGGGAATGGCCCAATCTCCCAGAAGGGACTCCGCGACGGGCCAGTGTCAATAGCTTTGGCTTTGGTGGCGCTAATGCGCACGCGATCTTGGAATCCTTCGAGCAGAGTGCCACACAACTCGGTGCATCTGATTCGTCTACTGCTATCTTCACCCCTTTCAACTTCTCTGCGAACTCTGAAAGGTCTCTCCTTGCGAGTCTTGAATCGTATGCTTCCTATTTGAAAACTCACCCCGATGTGGACCTCCACAGTCTATCATGGACGTTGAACTGTCGCCGGTCTACATTGCCCTTCAGGCTGTCATTGGTTGGCTCAAGCGCAACCGATCTTGCTGCCAACCTGAACAGTGCTGTATTATTGCCGTCAGATATTCTATCAGCTAGCCAAACTTCGAGTGCTAGGCAGCCGAAGTTGCTCGGTATCTTTACAGGACAGGGTGCGCAATGGGCTCGGATGGGAGCCGAGCTCCTACTAAGCTCGTCCTTGGCCACCAATTGCGTCGCAGATCTTGAATTTGCTCTCCAGACGCTTCCTGAAGAAGACCGTCCTTCTTGGTCTCTGAAAGATGAAATTTTGAAAGACACACAAAGCTCTCGCATTGGGGAAGCTCTATTTTCGCAGACTCTCAGTACAGCCGTCCAGGTGATTCTCGTTCAACTGTTGCGCGCTGCTGGCGTTGAATTCACCGCTGTTGTTGGCCACTCATCTGGAGAGATTGCTGCAGCGTATGCGGCAGGGTGCATCTCCGCACGTGATGCTATCAGGATTGCCTACTACCGCGGATGGTCTCTGCAAAATGCCCGGGATTGTAACGGAGTCAAAGGTGCTATGATGGCCGTGGGCACCTCGCTCCAGGATGCCCAGGAACTCTGTGATATGCCGTCACTGGAGGGTCGAATTTGTGTTGCGGCGAGCAATTCATCGGCAAGTGTCACACTTTCTGGCGACGCTGATGCTATCAACGAAGCAAAGGACATATTCGAGGACGAGAAGAAGTTTGTTCGACTACTCAAGGTTGATAAAGCGTATCACTCTCATCATATGCTTCCTTGTGCTGCCCCCTACATCTACGCTATGCAGAGATGTGCCATCACCCTTCAACCCCGGTCTGACAACAAAACTGCCTGGATATCTAGTGTCTACGGCAAGGAAATCAATGATGTGAATGACAGTCTTACGGATACCTACTGGAGCAATAATATGATCAATCCTGTCATGTTCTCACAAGCTGTCAGCCATGCTGTCGCTGCATTTGGTCCCTTTGATATGGCCGTCGAAGTTGGTCCCCACCCTGCCTTGAAAGGACCGGCATCGCAAACCATCCAAGAAATCTCCGGAATGTCTCCACCGTATACAGGCACTTTGTCTCGTGGCAAAGGTGACAGGAAGTCTTTTGCATCTTCTCTTGGCACGTTGTGGGCCCATCTTGGAGAAAACGCTGTTGATTTTGCAGGGTTTGATAAAAAGGCATCAGGAGATAACCAAGAGCCAGTACTACTCAAAGGACTGCCTTCATATTCATGGGATCATGACCGTGTCTATTGGCACGAGTCTCGCATATCGTCGACCCTGCGAGCTGGAAGTGGGCAGTTTCATTCTCTGCTGGGAATGAAATGCCCGGATGGCACTGACAAGGAGCTCCGGTGGCGCAATTATCTTCACCCACGCGAGATTCCTTGGCTCTCTCATCACCAGGTACAGGGCCAGATTGTCTTCCCTGCTGCAGGGTACATCTCAGCTGCGACCGAGTGCTTGGTTCAACATTACGGGTTGGAATCTATTCAACTCATCGATTTCCAGGATATCATCATTGGACAGGCTTTGGTCCCGGAGGACAATTCTGGCGTCGAGGTTCTCTTTACCCTCACGGTTATGGAAGCCACACAGGATTACGTCCCAGCGTTGTACAGCTGCTATTCTACAGGGAGCAAGGGGGTCTCATCTATGCTATTGCATGCATCCGCGCAAATTCACATTCTGTTAGGAGACCCTGATCCCGAAGCCCTTCCCCCGCGCAATGATTGTCAACACTCCTTTCTACATGTTGACGAGGAGCGGTTCTATGACTTTGTATCCGAGCTTGGATTTGGCTACACTGGCCCCTTCCGTGCTCTCACTGGATTGACACGCAAGATGGATGAAGCCACTGGCCGGATTATTGTACCTGTCGATGATGGGTCCTATAGACCTTTGGTCATACACCCTGGCCCCTTGGATGCTGCTATTCAGTCAATCATGCTGGCTTATTCCTTCCCTGGTGATGGGCGCCTAGGCACTATTTACCTTCCGACCAAGATTGACCGGATCCGCATCAATCCGTCTTGTTGTGTGGGTATGGCTGGACCTGGCACGCGTCTTCCGTTTTACGCATCTGTCGCGGATGCTCGATTTGCAGAGCTTTCCGGTGATGTTGATATATACTCTGCGGATGGAAAGCACACAGTGGTCCAACTTCAAGGACTTCACACGACGCCTCTGCCACCACTTTCTTCTGCAACAGATGTGCCAATGTTTACTGAGATGACTTGGCTTCCCGAGGAGCCAAATGGGCATACCGGCCGAGATTGGTTTACCGAAGATTGCATCCATTCGTTGCATTTGGAGCGGATTGCCCACTTTTACCTAAAGAACCTTCACTTGTCCATGTCTGACCCAGAGCGGTCACGGGCCCAATCGCAGAATTCTCATCTCCTTGCTTATGCTAGTCACTGTACTGCCCTTGTCAAGTCTGGAGATCACCCATTCGCAAAGCAGGAATGGGCAAATGACACGCATCAAACGATATCAGAGATATTCCAAAGGTACATGTTCTCCCTGGTATTGAAAGTTATAGCGCTGACACACTCTAGATTGCCTCAAAAAATTGACAGCGAGATCATGAGCTCTGTCGGTCAAAGCCTTCCGGCGATTGTGCGTGGAGAGACCAGCATTCTTGACATTCTGATGCAGGAGAACATGTTGAGTCGGTTCTATGCTGGGACACTTGGGATCAAGTCTTACTTGGATGAAATGGGCCGCATTGCCGGTCAAATTGGCAATAGATTTCCCCACATCAATGTTCTAGAAATCGGTTTGTTTATGCTCCAGTTCCCAAAATCATGATTAAAATGGTCTGACAATGATATACAGGTGCCGGCGCTGGCGAAGCAACCGAGCCTATTCTCCGTGAACTCGACGCAGACTTTGCGTCTTATACCTGCACTGACTTCTTGGATAGCTGGCTGGATAGTGCCAAGGAGAAATTTCAGTCGTACCAGGCTAAGATGGCATTCAAAGTCTTAGACATAGAAAAGGATGTTGTCGAACAAGGATACGGAGAGGGGTCTTATGACCTGATTGTTGCGTCTCTCGCCTTGTACGCTACTGAGAACCTTCCACGCACTTTATCCAACATCCGACGTCTCCTGAAGCCAGGTGGATATTTGCTCACACTTGAAATCACGGATCCAAATTTGATGCGTCTGGGAGTCATCCTGGCAGGCCTCCCTGGGTGGTGGTTAGGACATCAAGAAGGAAGAACCCTTTCACCTTTTGTATCTCACCAAAAGTGGAATGCTATCATGAAAGAGGCCAGCTTCTCCGGCATCGATGCCTCAATATCCCACGACACAGATCAATTAGTGCCATTTTCGGTGATGTTGACACAGGCAGTCGACAATCGTGTCAAATTCTTGCGGGGCCCTCTTGGGACGGGTCATCCAAGGCTAGATGTCGAATCCCTGACTATCATCGGCGGGAAAACTCCACACACCTCTACAATGGTGACAGACATCAAGAATGCGGTTGGTTGGCATTTTGAAATGATTAGGTGTTATCCTGGGCTCGCGGATATTGGCCCCGAGGAACTTCCATTCATGGGTACGGTCCTTAGTTTGACAGAGCTTGATTCGCCCGCATTGCTCAACACGGACCCTAAAATCTTGAAGGGCTTTCAAGAAATTTTCAGACATAGCAAGAATGTACTCTGGGTTGGACATGGTGCCTTGGGCGAAAATCCAGCGGGTAATCTATTCCGCGGCGTTCAACGGACCATTGCCATCGAAATGCGTCATTTGCGCATCCAATCCCTCAATTTCTCGTCAATTGCTGATGCCGATCCTGGATTGATTGGAAAGAAGCTCCTCCAACTCGTCGCCACTGACCTCTGGGAACAAAGAGGCGAGCTAGCGGGGATGCTTTGGTATACGGAACCCGAGCTGTCCTTCCAAGATGGGAAGATGCTCATCCCCAGGCTCCGGTTGAGCTCTCATCGAAACGACAGATACAATTCGTCCAAAAGGCTTATTGTTGACACCTTTGATGGTAATTCCTCTGCGGTGACAATCTCGAAGGCTGAGAATTATCAAGTTCTAGAGACAAAGACGTTTACCCCTCCACTCATCAGCGAGCGAATCGAAGTGCATGTAACCAATTGTCTTCTGCGTTCTGTCATGATAACCAAGACAGACTACCTCTTTCTGATCGCCGGGAAAGAAGTTCATGACAATCGTTACGTGATCGCTTTGGCGGAACATTTGACCTCTCGTGTGCATGTGCCCCCATCATGGATAATAACGTGGGGAGACTCAGTGGATCAAGCCGTCAAGTCATTACTCAGTATTTATGTTCATGTTCTGGCTCAGTCAATACTGAATCGGATGATTCCAGGAACGGCGTTGGCTGTTTTGGAGCCGGACTTTTCCTTCGCCGCAGCTTTGAAGCACCATGCTCATAAGGCAGGTGTACAACTTGCCTTCTTCACCACAACTAGTCGTCCATGCTCCTATCCTTGGATTCACGTACATCGCCACTCAACACGTCGAGAATTATCTAACAAGATTCCACGAAACATAACTCGGCTATTAAACCTTGGTGGCGACGGTGAGGTGGTGCTTCTATTGAAGCGCGTATTACCAGCCGAGTGCAAATTCGAAAATGAACAGGACCTGACTCGAGATTTCTCAGAAATATCTTCTTCTCTCAATGTGAATCAATTTGTTTCACAAATGCAGATGACTTGGACGAGAGAAACCCAGGACCACGTCCCTATCAATATCAACAGGTTGTCTCGTCTGAGTCTGCGGAACCTGATTGAGACGCAAGGGGATATTCCCCAGTCATTGATTACCTGGGATCAATCAAGGCTCCCGGCTCAAGTCAGGCCTGCCACAAAAGTGGTTCAATTCCCTAAGAACAAAACGTATTGGTTGGTAGGTTTGACCGGTGGCCTGGGTCTCTCCCTGTGTCAATGGATGGCCAACCAGGGAGCGCAACACATTGCACTTTCTAGTCGGAACCCCAAAGTAGATGAGACCTGGATACTCCGAATGGCCGCCCAGGGCTGCACTGTAAGGGTTTTTGCAAAGTATGTCCCTTTTCATCTCATGTTGGACGATGCTGAAATTGCTTACTGACTCTGATAGTGACATCACACATCGTGCTTCCGTTCAAAGCACTCACCGTCAAATTGTTGAATCCATGCCTCCCATTGGTGGTGTTGCGCAGGGAGCCATGGTCCTGCAAGATACAATGCTCCTCGATCTTGATCTTGCCCGTTTCAATGCTGCGCTTCAGCCCAAGGTTCAGGGCAGTCTTCTGCTGGACGAGCTTTTCTCGGAAGACTCCTTGGATTTCATGATTTTCTTCTCATCTATGGCTGCTTTGACTGGAAACCCCGGGCAGGCAGCTTACAATGCCGCGAATATGTTTATGGGCAGCTTAGCAGCTCATCGTAAAAATCGTGGCTTAGCTGGCCATGCCATCAACATTGGGGCCATTGTGGGTAACGGGTATGTGACCAGAGAACTTAACATGGGACAACAATCCTATCTCTACAAAGTCGGTCACAACTGGATGTCAGAACAAGGTTTCCATGAGATATTCGCGGAGGGGGTTCTTGCATGCATGGAGCGGACTGAGACGGCCGATATCTGCAGTGGTCTTCGCATTGACGACGATGATTCCAAGGAGTGGGTCTCCAATCCCATATTCCAACACCTTGTGTTCAAATCAAATTCCCCGATCGAGGACGACAAGAAGGGCAAAGCCAGCATCCTAGTCAAGGCTCGCTTGTTGGAGGCAACGTCCAACGTTGAAGTGATGGAGGCTTTGCAAGGTAATTACGGCTTACCCTTCGATCAATCGATGACAGATTACTTACTGAAATCTAGATGCTTTCACCCTAAAACTTCAATCAGCCCTTCAACTCGATCCCGGCAAACCCATTCTCGACATGAGTCCAGATGAGCTTGGCGTTGATTCACTCAATGCGGTTGACTTCCGCTCTTACTTCATGAAGGAGCTTGGTATTGACGTACCTGTTTTGAAGATTTTCAATGCTGGCTCGATCCGAGATCTACTTTCATTCGTCGCAAGTTGCCTTCCCTCGTCTTTGGTGCCAAATCTGACAGAGAGCGACCTGGGCAAGTCCCTACAGTGGCAGTCGCCCGGCCATTCAACAATTCCTGACGGTCCGTCAACTCTTCCAAGCACATTGAGTGACACCGAGTCGCAGGAAAATGATGAGATCAATGCATTTCACTTGGAGTACATCCCGTCTGTGAATCGTGCAAGCAGCACCTCATCCGCATCAATTGTGGCAGGAGACTCTAGTTCTGATCAGGACGAGGACAGCTCTTCGCTGACCTCCCTTGATAGTGATTCAAAAATGCCGGAGAAGCAGAGAATTGAGCGAACAGTTCCAATGTCATTTGGACAATCCCGGTTCTGGTTCCTCAAGTCCCTCGTCCAAAATCAGAGTGCCTTCAATGTTACTCCAACTTTTGAGCTAAAGGGTGGAATTAATGTTGAAAGGTTGTCACATGCGGTCGAACTTGTTGGGCAGCGCCATGAGGCGCTTCGGACTTTCTTCTTCACCGATGAAAACAAGCGACATATGCAAGGGATTTGGACGAAGTCATCTCTACGCCTATATCATGCCTTTGTTACCGACAAGGTCGAGGTCGATGCAGCCAAGCACCGAATGAAATCACACATCTTCAATCTCGCCGAGGGTGAGGTTATGCGCGTACAACTGCTTACCTGGACACCTGATCATCATTGGATATTATTTGGCTTCCATCATATCAACATGGACGGTTTCAGCTTTGAGAATCTGTGGTTGGAGCTCGACGAGTCTTATCGGGGCATTTCAAGCTCACATCATGCATTACAATATCCCGATTTCACAACAAGACAACTACGCGAGTATGAAGAAGGCGCCTGGTTGGAGGATCTGGAATACTGGAAAAGCGAATTTGCAATTCTCCCAGAGCCAATTCCATTACTTCCATTTTCTCTTCAGCCAGCGCGTCCAGCAATCTCAAGCTATGCTACTTATCGCGCGCAGCTCCGCCTGGGAATAGAGCTTTCAAATGAAGTTGAGAATTGCTGTCGAATGTTCAAAGTCACACCGTTCCATTTCCATCTTGCCATGTGGCAGATCCTTATGCATCGCCACCTCAATATTCAAAGTGTTTGCATCGGGCTTGCTGATGGCAATCGTGCTGATGTCGATATCCTACGAAGTGTGGGCATGTTCCTCAATCTTCTTCCGATGCGGTTCTCACTAGACTCTTCTCAATCATTCGGAGATGCTCTCAAAGAGGCGAAGCGTGTCGCGCAAGAAGCCCTCTCCCATTCTCGTGTTCCATTCGATGTCATCCTCTCGGAGCTCAATGTTCCCCGGTCGGCGTCACACAGCCCGCTGTTCCAGGCATTTTACAACTACCGTCCACGAACGGAAACCTCCCGCCACTTTTGTGGCTGTCAGGCGGAGGGAACACTTCTTACAACAGGAGAGACATCCAACGATCTCCAGTTGGATGTGGTTAATTTTTCAAATGGAGACACACTCATCCATCTTCTCGTTCAGCAAGATCTTTATAGTCTCGAGCACGCTGAGATTCTTCTTCGCAGCTATGAAAATCTTGTCCAAGCGTTCACCCGGAATCCCGCAACCAAAGTTTCATGGCCGCCCTTGTTATCGGAGACAGATATCGAACATGCGATCACAACTGGCAGAGGTAGGTATTACTCTTTTTGTTTGAAGCAGCTGCATTATTCTGACTCTCAAAAGGATCGGAAGTACAAACCCCATGGTCATCCACCTTGGTTCATCGCATCGATGATATGGTAGAGCTCTTTCCGACTCACGTTGCCGTGAGAGAACTCAATGGAACACAACTTACTTATGCACAACTACAAGAGCGAGTAGCGAAAATTTCCAACACGCTTCTTGACAGAGGTGTTAGCCCTGGTACCCGCGTTGGTGTCTTCCAGACGGCTAGCATCAATTGGATTTGCTCGTTGCTCGCTATCTGGCGTATTGGCGCTGTATATCTTCCACTAGATGGAAAAGTTGGGATAGAGAGATTGTCCCTGATGGTTTCTGAATCAAAGCCTGCTGTCATTTTGACAAACTCGACAACCGCCTCGGACTTTATTCTACTTGGCAGCTCAGCAACAGCGCTCAATATCAGCGACCTAGCTACATCATCTGAAACCCTTCCTCCTAACCTAGCGTCACCCAGTCACACTGCAATCATCATCTATACCAGTGGCTCGACTGGTGTACCAAAAGGAATTTCCCTGACTCATTCGTCGCATCTGCACCAAATACAAGCATCAAGTCAAACTTTGAAATTTCCACTAGGCAAGGAAACCGTCCTCCATCAGTCTTCCTATGCATGGGACATGTCTATCTATCAGATTCTGATATCTCTTTGCAACGCCGCAACACTCATGGTTGCTCCGAATGTGACGCGTGGTGACCCTGTCGCGATCACAGATCTCATTGAGTCCGAAAAAGTGACCACAGTACTTGCAACACCAACGGAATACCTCGCATGGCTACGACACGGTAAATCGTCGCTACAACGGTCTTCACTCGCTCTCGCAATCTCTGGGGGCGAACCTTTGACAACTGGTCTTTCGAAGGAATTCCAATCTCTCGGCAAAACGGATTTGAGGCTTATCAATATCTACGGCCCTGCAGAAGTGACGATTGCTTGCAGTATGGAAGAAATTGCGTATATGGAACTCAGCTCGGACTCCCTTGATCCTTGCCTCGGGCTGTCTACTCTCCCAAACTACTCTGTCTGTATCGTTGATGAGCACATGCAACCACTTCCGATTGGCATACCAGGAGAAGTACTCATTGGAGGAGCCGGTATCGCGGAAGGATATCTTGATCCCACCCTGACAAAGGACAGCTTTCTACCTGATCGATACCGAAGTCCCTACTTCAAGAGTCAGGGATGGACAACAGTTCATCGAACAGGGGACCGAGGACGCCTCACCCAAAATGGCCGTCTAATCCTATTAGGCCGCATCAAGGGCGACAACCAAATCAAGCTTGGTGGGATTCGCATCAACGTTGAAGAAATTGAGGCCACCATTATGCAGTGCTCTGCAGGCGCTATCTCACAGGTCATCGTCTCCCTTCGTGGAGGGTCCGAGCATCACCAGGGCGGGTCGTTCCTTGTCGCCTTTGTCATTCTCGCCAATATTGAGACTACTAAAGCTGATTCTCGCTTATTGAGAGAATTACCGGCAAGCTTGCCGCTACCTCAGTATATGCAACCGGCAATGGTTGTTCCGATAGCCGCTTTCCCACAAAATACCTCTGGCAAGGTTGACAGGCTTGCTGTCAGCAAGATTCCCATTTCACAGCCCGTTCCCCCAATGCTCGCCAATGGAGATCTCACGCCAATAGAGCAATCTTTGCGAACTCTGTGGCAAGAAGTCATCCCACAAGACATCCTCAGGTTGCACTCCATTGACTCACAATCTGATTTCTTCCACGTTGGTGGTAGCTCGCTTTCCCTGGTCGACCTTCAAGCTCATGTCAAAGATCGATTTGGTGTCTCCGTGCCCTTGCATCAGCTGTTCGAAGCGAGCACTCTACAAGGCATGGCATTCCGCATCCGAAATATCTCGTCTGAGCAGTATACCTTGTCGGTGGATTGGGATGAAGAGCTTGAAGGTCTGCTTGCCGATGTTTCAATCATTTCGCATGCCGAGATGCCAGACGCACCTTCTGGGACTGGCGCCGTGGTCCTTACAGGTGCAACCGGCTTCATTGGCAAAGAAATCCTCCGTTGGCTCGTGAACGACGACCGAGTCCATGTTATCTACTGTCTAGCAGTCAGAAAACCACTAGCTAAATTACCCGTCATTTTCGCCAATCGCAAGGTTCACGTGTATCACGGAGACTTGGGCTCGTCTCAGTTGGGCTTGTCAGATAGTGACGCATCTTCAATCTTTCAATCAGCAGACATTGTGATTCACAATGGGGCAGACGTCTCTTTCATGAAGAGCTATCATTCACTAAAATTGACGAATGTCGCTTCAACGGTGGAACTAGTCCAACTTGCTTTGCCGCGGCGGATTCCGTTCCACTTCATCTCCACTGCCAGTGTGACTCGATTCGCCTCCGCGGATTCCTTTGGAGAAGTTTCCGTGGCTTCTTTCCCCCCTCCTGCTATCCCGCAGGACGGGTATGCAACGGGCAAGTGGGTGTGTGAGGTGTTCTTGGAGCGTGTTTGTCAAGCATGGGGCCTGCCAGTGTGGATTCATCGTCCTTCAAGTGTGACGGGCTCTGATGCTCCAGAGCTAGATCTCATGAGCAACGTGCTTCGCTACTGTCAGGCTACTAAGAAGATCCCAGCTTCTGAGGCATGGAGTGGTGTATTTGATTTCATCTCGGTGGAGTCGGCAGCAGCGCAAATCATAGAAACTCTGCATGCATCTGGTGCTGCGCCTACCACGGGCGAAGGAGCGAGGTTTCTCTACCAGTCTGGTGAGATCCAAGTCGGTCAACACGATGTACAATCGATGATGGAGGCCGGTGCTGGAGAGCAATTTGAAACTGTCCCTCTGATGGAGTGGGTTGACGCTGCTGAGGCAGCGGGTATGAATGCTCTTCTAGGAGAGTACCTGCGCCAGGCTGCGGATGGCCAGATCCTTCTTCCAAGGCTGCTCAAAGTTGGTGGAGATGATCCCAAGGCTGAGGCTAGATAAGAGTGACATTAGAGTGTATACATAGTGGGGTCATAGAAACAAAATACGAAGTCATGACAACACAACCCGAGTACATCAATGCATAGGAATTCGTAAGGTAGTCCCAATATCTATCGACATGGCACATCGACCGTAACAACGTAACAAGAATATGACGTGATTACAACAGAATCCACAGTAACTAATGAGATTTCATGTCATACTATGCGGATTCAATCACGGAGACTCATTTCAAGGTCATTAACATCCTCATTTACAAGCCCAGCCAGAATCTGGTCTTGCCAACCTCAAACTCACCCTGCAGCTCCTCCGCGCCAGTACCAGTCACAGAAACCTGGTAACGACCCTTCTCCGAAATCCACTGCTCTCGCTGCTCATCCCACCAGCTAGTTGCAATCTTCTTCTCCACCACAAGCTCCACAATCTTAGACTCACCCGGCTGCAAGAAAACCTTCTTGAAAGCTTTCAGCTCGCGCAGAGGGCGGTTGACATCCGTCTTGGGAGGAACAACCCAAAGCTGCACGATCTCGGCACCAGCAATGGATCCGGTGTTGGTGACGGTGACGGTGGCTTTGATAGGTTCTCCGGACTCGGTGTACTTAGCTTCCTCGGGCACGGTGCTGATTTGCAGGTCTGAGCGGGTGAAAGTTGTGTAGGAGAGACCGTGGCCGAAGGGGAACGCGGGCGTGACGTCGCTCTTTTCGAAGAAGCGGTAGCCGACGTAGATGTCCTCGCCGTATAGGACGCGGCCACGCTCGGAGCGGAAGTTGACGTAGGAGGGGTTGTCTTGTAGCCGACGGGGGAACGTGAGGGGGAGCTTGGCGGATGGGTTGACGTCTCCGTAAAGGACATCTGCGATGCCGTTTCCGCACTCGTTACCGCCGAACCAGGCCTGGACGAGGGCGCGAGCCTCGTTGGCCCAGGGCATGGTTACGGGTGTGCCGGATTGGATCACGACGACGGCGTTGGGGTTGACGGCGAGCACGCGGCTGATCAGATCGTCACTCCCGGGGGGCAGATCCATGTGGTCACGGTCGTAGCCCTCAGTCTCCCACTCGCTAGTCAGACCGGCGAAGATGATGACCTGCTCAGCCTCCTTGGCTTGCTCGACGGCCTTTGAGATGAGCTCGTCCTGGCTGACACGGCGGGTCGCGCCGAACCGGAAACCACCCGGTCCAAAGACGACTATGCCGCGAGTATCCAGATCGGAGGTAGGAGCGCTACCAAACTCGAAGACAATCTTGTATGTCTGGCCAGCCTTGAGCTCCTTGACGCCGAGCTCTTCGATGGTAGCAGTGCCGAAGAAGGCAGAGCCTTGCTTCTGGTTCTTGGTGTTGTCAACGACCACCTCTCCGTCGACGAGAAGACGGCCAGTGCCGACTACGGTGACGCCAAAGTCGTACAGGCCATCTTCTTCAGGGGTGAAGTAGCCCTCCATGTCGACGTAGAAAGTCATAGACTTGATCTTGGGGTTAATATAGTCCATCAGGAATCCCATTGAGCTGACCAGATGAAGCTCATCGACGAGAGTGCGATCTTCAGCGCCGTGCGGCTCGTTGTACACCTTGAAGGTGAAGCCAGTCTTGCCATCTTCCGTTTTCAGGAGAGGGCCTAGAAGTGGCAGCTCCTTGTGAGAGTAGACACCCTGTACATACTTGACTTCACCCTGGCTCTTCGCCGCGACTCCGTCGAACGGGCTCACAGTGTAGTATGGAGCCAGCGAGGCAGAGCCACCTCCGCAGTATGAGGCAATCTTAGCATTGGGGCCAATGACAAGCACAGAGCCGTCCTTTTTCAGAGGGAGTGCGTCACCCTCGTTCTTCAGGAGAACAACCGACTCGGCAGCTGCGCGGCGCATCAACGCTTGATCTTCGGGGCGATTGAGGGCCTTTTCCTCGGCTCCCTCGGGAATACCGGCGGCGTCGACTCTGTTAACCAAGTTGAGAACATTGCGCACACGCTCGTCAAGCTTGAACTGAGGAACCTTGTTGGAGGAAACGGCGTGAGCAAGGGCCTCTCCTCGCCAGCGGGTTTTTCCGGGCATCTCAATGTCAAGGCCGGCATTGATTGCATCGGATGTGGTGTAAGTACCGAACCTAGAAAGACATTAGAACGAATGCCCTGGCAGGTCGAGAATGTCCCTCAAGTTCGAGGGGAAGAGCTTACCAGTCACTCATAATGAGACCATCCCATCCCCACTCCTTGCGGAGGATATCGTCAATAATTGCCTTGTTCTCACTAACGTGAGTGCCATTAATCTTATTATAAGCAGTCATGATACAAGCCGACCGGCAAATGCGCATCGCCAGTTGGAACGGAAGCAGATAAATCTCGCGCAGCGCACGCTCCGTCACAATACTGTTGACAGCCATCCGCTCGTGCTCCTGATCATTGCAGACAAAGTGCTTCAGTGTAGCGGCAACGCCCTTCTCTTGCATGCCCTTGCACATATGGCCCGCCAGGGTACCGGAGAGCACACCATCCTCGGAGAAGGATTCGAAACCACGCCCTCCAAGGGGTGAGCGCTGGATATTGATCGTAGGGCCCAGGATAACGTGGGTACCCTTTGCGATCGCCTCTTCACCCATCAATGAACCGATTTGGGCAAGCAATTCGGTGTCCCAGGTGGCACCGAGGGCGGTCGCGCATGGGAAGCACGCAGCCGGAATACCGTTGAAGAAGCGCGTACCACGGACGCCATTGGGACCATCGGACATGCGCAGTGAAGGGATGTTCAGGCGTGGAATGGGTGTCGTGTGCCAGAAATCACGTCCTGTAATATCGAGTCAGCATTGGCCTGTAATGGCCGGGCGTTACAACTGTAAAACCCAAGACTGATGATCGTCATGGCGGGTAAGCACGAAGGGGTTCACCGGGACATACCAGCTGTGAGAGCGACCTTTTCGCCGAGCGTCAGCTCTTCAATGGTCTTTTCCACATCAATTGGTGCCATTTTGCCGTAAATTCAGGTTTATTATAGAGAACAGATACTTTGAAAGCGCAAAGCAAGGTCGTGCTTTACTCTGACCGGCTAAATACGGTACAATAGTTCCAGTTGGAGAAATCAGAGACAGTATCCAAAAAGTGAGAGAGTCAACACGGTTCAAATCGGTTCAAACTTGAACTTGAACATGCAATAGGTGTCTCTCGTTAATCTCAAGGAGAAAAGTAATACGCCGAGTGTCCAGCGAGGGACCTGCACCAATACTTATACCACCGTAGCCTGTCCAAGATTGTGGGACCAACCAGTCTCCCCGCTTCGAATCGAATGACCAGCAAACGTGAACCAAACAAAGAGAGGATCTCAGGCTCACAGTCCTCTTTGGCAAAGGGATCTGAGCAGTCTTAGCGGAGATTTGGTGAAAGGACAAAGCCCACCAGAGAGGACCCAAGAGGCCAGCTCAAACAGGCACGGAGAAGCGCCCGCCGAAGCGCCCGAAGTTTAGCCGGTCGCGGCACTCGCGGAGTCGCGGGCAATCGGGAATTCGGTCCGTCCAGCCGATTTGGGCAATTGGAACCACTATATACCTAGATCTGGGTATAGGCCTGGGGTACAAATGTATCGCGGTGTTCATCGATAGATCAAATGACACTCGGATTTGGTCGTGGGGTCAATTACTGCGGCCAACCAGCTCTGTGTTGGGCGCAGGATATATATCGTCAGGTAGAGTTGGACTTTCTGGTCTTAGTTGACCAATCTAACTAGTCTGTATCTATCTGACTACGAAGGCTTCATGCATGGCTTCCTTGTAGATTCGATCTCTTAGGCGTTAAGGTATTACACTAGTGGTCTGTTTGACCAGGGACCTTTACAGTAGAAACTTAAGAAACATTCTTGTTCGGCGACTCTGCCATTGAACCCCGTGAACAGCTGGCCAGCGCAGCCACAACGTAACCAGCTACTCTGCTCAAACCTGAAGATCCAATAAGGGGCCTCGGTAATCTCTAACCACAAATTTCAGACTATTTGTAGTTACTAAACCACCAATTGTAACGAAGAATATGTTCTGGGTAGAGTTGCATGTATGTACATACGTCATGCCAAGGGTATCCCAATCGGGACTGGGAATTACATAATTCCGAGGCCGAATTTCTTATCGCGCGAGTCAGGGTTGTGTACTTTGGAGTCTGTGACATTGAAGACCGCAGTGGATCTACACAGCATGGCATCGCGACGCCTTCAGGGATTCCAATCCGTCCTTCGGGGCAAGTCCCATCTCTTGCGTCCCCAGCAACGTCGCTGGGCCCAAGTTCACGATGTCCGTTTCCTGGCCTCCCATCATGACCCCAAGCACGTTCTGGAGAAGTACAGGAATAAGTTGGACGAGAAGGCCAAGCAGTGAGTGACCCTGTGTGCGATTATCCTGAAGAAATACTTGAACCGTACTAATCCGTCTACCCCAGGGAGGGTCTCGACTCTATCGACGCCTTGAAAGAGGCCTACAGCGACAAAATAAAGGACTTTCGCCGCAAAGCAGCTACTGCGGCCACCCCAGAGCCAGATGCGCCCACACCAAAAGCCAAGTCGCCATCCCTACAAGATACCCCTTCAGCCTTCCACCCTCCTCCCCCTCCCCCCCAGACCCCATCGGCCACCGAGAAAGCCGCCCGAGAAGTCTCCGGCAGCGGAAGCCCCATCAAACCGCTCAGCACCTACATCGATGTCGAGAAGATCCGCGCCCTGCCCGCCAAGGAGATTGAAGCCCTCTGGCGCCTCCGATTTGCCAACAGCTCGACCTCGATCTGTGCCGCGATTCCTCTAGAAACGTACCTGCGCATCGCCGAGGCCGCCCGCCACAACCCCCAATTCATCCTCCCTCTCCCTCGCCAGACGGCCGAGGAAGACATGCAAACACCGGACGGAATCCCGGCGCAGACCGCTGCGGAAATTCATTTCCTCCAGTGGGCATTCCACCCGCCCGCGGGCGATTTCGTCCCGGCCTCGAAGGAGTCGGTCAACAACCACACCTCGACCGTGATTTTCACCAATCTCGGCGCATTCAAGATGCACGGCTCTTTCGCGCAACCGCATACGACCGTCACGCATCATTTGGATTTGGCCGATGACAAGGGTCTCGTGCTCATGCACGGCCAGGTGATGCCGGACCGGGGCGTTTCTACCACCGAGGCCACCTGGTTGGTTAGTTCCGTGCAGCGGTTCTACGATTTTGGGGGCCAGGCGAGTGGTCGCAAGGGCGAGTTGGTGCGAATGTTCACCCGAGGTGACGTGGAGAATTTCAAAGTGGAGGAGTTGATGGAGGAGACGGAGAGAGTTCACTAAAGTCTGCTAGAAGGAGGGCTTAGACTGATTGTAGTATATAGAGCATGCTCGTTGCTGATGACCTGTACCATATAAACCGTTCGTTTTGCATTTTGGACCTCGTTTATTCTCCTCTAGTCGGACTGGATTGAACTCTTCAAGATAAAAATGTGGTGCTGGCCAGGACGATGGCCGAGCTAAAGCAGCTTGTCAACAGCGAGCCGACACAAACTTTGCCAATCGGAGCTCCTTCCACTACAGCTCGGATATCTTTAAAAGCATTGGCGCCATCGAAATATCCCTCATTTCCCTTGGATACTATCAGCGTCGCGCATCTGTCATGGTCGAGACACCACATGACCTAGATCAGACCTTCGAAATCCAATTTGGACACGCGACGCGCTTCCTGTCGCGTTTTGGATAGATGGGGTGATTGATCGATGGGGAAGAGCAGACTGGGACAGCGGCCACTCCACACAAGTATCCCGTCGTTACTGGTGAACCGACTTGGATCAGGCTAAATCTGTATGGGGCTGCTTGCACATTGCGGACTTCTGTTGCCCAATGAGAAGCCGTAAACCAAGTGCCTTGATAGACGGAGAACCTACGAGTTGGAAATCTGGTTATCTAAGTTAGTGACCGATTGCTATTACCTAACCACCAAGAAAACGATTCTCCGTCTTTGCATAGACCGTCCGCAAGCCTTATCGCTCGAGTAAGATCTCGCAGGGCGAGTTCTAATCCATACAATCCTTGGCAGGCGACAATTCCTCCGAGGTTGTTCCCGATCGCGCTCATGCTGGATTCGATCACCCTCCTTCACCACCTCCGAATACAACGCACTATCGACAATGATACGATAGAAACTTCTTGGATCATTGACTCTTAAATCTGTTAGGAAGACGAAGAACCATCTTTCTCATCTCTTCCAGCCCCCCCTTGGACCGTGGATGCTGAAATTTGAAGGCCAAGGGACGGGGGCGCACATGTTCCATGGGCACCCTCCCGCCATCGGAACTCTACAAGTTACACTTTGCACGCTGGGCGACGCGGAGTGATTTAAATATAGCCCAATTCGCCACCGAATGCCTTCGGTCGGAAACTTTGTTTTTAAACTATCACCGGGCCGTTGCTTCTCGCCTTCTCTGGACGCCAGCAGCCGGTCGGCTTGCCTTGCATAGTTCCCGAAGCCGATTTGATTCAACAAGTGCCTAGATCGTCCTGTCTGCAGGAGATGCACGGAATACAATCGTCTCCGGTGAGCGATTTGGCCCCCCGGCCTAGAATATCAAACAGTATCCTTCTGGCTTCGGTTATTTCATCTACATTAACATCGTTCCTACCCTTACTGGTAGGCTCCTTACTCCACGCAGTGGTGGTAGGCATGTTACAAAACCTGGTGATTGGATCGCGCCACCTCCAGCCCAGGGCAAGGGGCCTTTGGCTCGCCAGATGAGGCTCGGTGGCGTGGCGTGACCGAGACAAGCATAGCGCCTCCGTTGCGGCTGTGGATGTTTCCGGGGGATTTCCTGAGATATCCTTTCGTCGAATCTCTATCTCTCCAGAAAGACACACGGCGTATCCCCGGGGGCTTTCTATGGGCACCTAACCCGAATAGAGAATCATTTTCAATGTGGCCACGTATTATTGACTTGAGAATTCCGGCGGACATCAAGAGTGAAACAATTCCGCTGGGCGCGGGATCTGGCCGAGGGTTTGGACGAGCACGGATCAACGAGGACTCCGTACACTCGTAAAGGGGCATTAGTGCTGTGTTGAGAGATTTGTAGCCGGTCGCCGTGTACGACCTAATAATCTCACAACCCCATCCCATAGCGCCCGGCACGAGTAGTTAGGCCCATGCGGGGCGAATGCGATCATTCCCTACGATAGATGGAACGGCCAGGCTCCAGCGATGGTTACCCCATAAAGCCCGTCCCAAATAACTAATTGGACACGCAGATATCACGGGCCGTCCGATATGACAATGGGACCGAACGGTGCCCGAGTCTGATCTTCTGATTGTGAGTGGGCCGTCTCCAGGGCCTAAAGTGGATAGTGATGTTAGGGGCACTCGTGGAATGTCAACGTCTCTCGTAACCTAGTTAGTATGTCATCGGATGTCGTAAGTGGTGCAACCAACCGACCAACCTACTAACCGCAATTCGGAGTCGCTAACTCGCCAACAGTGCCCGGTCCCACCATGAGGGATTTATTGGTCCTAGGGAGTCTCCCCCGCACCCAAAAAAGTGGGTTGACCAGTTTGAAGCGGTTCAATCGCGGGGGGCGGGTGGGATCGACCCTGTGAATCTGGGAATGGAAACCGACGAGCGACCCACGTCGTATTGATTGACTTTATGCCACGAAAGGAACGGTTTATTCAAAGGTAATAGAAAAGAAGAATCGAGAAAAAGGAAAGTTATGCAAGAAAGAAGTGACTATGAGATGCAAAGGCTCTTCTGATAAGCATGAAACCCGAACATAGATAACCAGTGGAGTGCCCTTTATCTTGCGAGTCGGCCGGTGGCTGGCGGGGGAGGCGTTTCGCCGATCGCGGTAAGCCTTCCGGTCTTTTTGGATTCGCCTTCATCCCCTGAGACTTGAAAGAACCTAAAAAGACGTGGGAGGCTTGGCTCCCCCAGATAACACCGTAAGGGCTCTTGGCAACCGGGGTTAGCCGCGAGGGGGCGAAGAGATGGTTTAAAAGTAACCTGGACGCCCTCCCATTGTTGCAGATCCCAATAGTTTAGCATCAAAATTGTTTTTGCATTCAGTTTCTTTCTCTTCCTCTTTTTTCTCTTTGGTCTCCCGTCCTTATTGCATGTCACGTCATGTCGGAAGAAAAGAAAGAAGACTTTTTGGCTCCCGTGCCAACCCAGAATGGTGAAATCCTCGAAGCATCTCACGATGCCGTCTTTGGTGAAATCACCGAGGATGGTCCTAACTATCGCGCTGTACGTTTCATACTCTGAGCTGCTGACCGTCAAACCCACTCGCTAATCACTTCCTGGTTGGGCTCTGTAGGTAGGATGGAAAGGAACGGCCGTCTTGATGATGAAGACCCAAATCGGTCTGGGAGTCCTGTCTATCCCTGTCGCCTTTGATGCTCTTGGCGTTGTCCCTGGTGTCATCTGTTTGATTGTCATTGCCGGTATCACGACGTGGTCCGACTACATTATCGGTACATTCAAGCTGAGGCACCGAGAAGTCTATGGCATTGACGATGTGGGTGAGCTGCTGATGGGCCGACCGGGGCGTTATATGCTGGGTGCTGCATTCTGTTTGTGTAAGTTGGGCTGTTGGTCTCCCATTGACAATTGTTTCTCTTCTGACAAGTCTCTAGGGTGGATCTTTGTGGCCGGCTCTGGCATGTTGGGTATTTCCATTGGTCTGAACGCAGTCTCCTCGCATGCGACGTGTACCGCAGTCTACGTTGCCGTCGCTGCCATCGTCGCCTTTCTATTTGCGAGTATCCAAACTCTCGGCCGCATTTCCTGGCTGGCCTGGGTTGGTCTTTTCTGCATTTTGACTTCCAGTAAGTATTCGATCGATTATTGTCCTTCTGGTCGGAATTTTCAAGGCTAACCCCCCTTCTAGTTTTGATTGTCACCGTCGCCGTCGGAATTCAAGACCGTCCTTCTGCCGCCCCAACCGATGCCGTTTGGGTCTCGGACTACAAGATCGTCGGTAGCTCGTCTTTTAGCGAAGCTATTTCCGCCGTGTCGACGATCATCTTCGCGTATGCGGGCACCCCTGCCTTCTTCTCCATTGCCTCCGAGATGCGCGACCCAACACACTATAACCGCGCCTTGATCACCTGCCAGTCCGTCGTGACGTGCTTCTACATCGCCATCGGCATTGTGATCTACTACTACTGCGGCTCCTATGTCTCCTCTCCTGCTCTCGGCTCGGCTGGTCCGATCGTGAAGAAGGTGAGCTACGGCTTCGCGCTGCCCGGTCTGATCGTGAGCACATTGCTATTCGTCCACGTAAGTACCCCAAACTATACACCACCGACGGAAAACATCTCATTCCATCGAAAATATAAAATCATACACTAATACTCGACCAGATCACTGGAAAATACATTTTCGTCCGCATGCTCTCAGGCTCCCGCCATCTAACCGCCAACACCGTGAAGCACTGGGTCATCTGGCTCGGCTGCACCTTCGGTGTAACCCTCGTCGCCTACATCATTGCCAGCGCGATCCCCGTCTTCGGAGACCTCGTCTCTCTGGTCGGTGCCTTGCTCGGCACCCCGATGTGCTTCCAGCCCATGGGTGGTATGTGGCTGTACGATAACTGGAGCAAGGGCAAGGACCATCGCACCATGAGGTGGAACCTGATGGTGGGTTGGTCGATTTGCGTGATCGTGGCTGGATTCTTCTTGATGGTCGCCGGCACGTACGGGTCCGTTGTGAGTATTATAAACAGTTACAAGGAGTCCGGGGGCTCGGCTGCCTGGTCTTGCGTCGATAATTCATAGATTAGATTTATGATATATTAGACTTATATCAGAACTTGATGTTCTGAAATGTACGAATCTTTCTCATGTGTTGAATGTGGAATCTCGTAAGCAGCTTAACATGCGAGGCTCTAAAGTTTGTATGTATTACGGCGTGTATCCGACATCTTGAGTCCAGCGCTACTTATATTATTCCCTTTTTCTTCCTTGGATTTTAGGCAGCTTCAATTCTCATCACCCAGGGGCCTGGCGTCGGCATCTCCGTTGACATGGGAGTCCCAATCGAAAGTCCCATTAGCTCGCTTCTTCATTTTCTTTCTCGGGTTCTTTCTGATACTCTTTCCAGGCCTCCTTGAATCCTTCTCGCCAAGCAACCGGGGTATATCAAAGACCTCTTCTTGGGAATTCCTAAAACCGATTACTTTGGCAACAGGCTCGCGCGACGGAACATGCATGGCCTTGATCGTGGCATCGAGGCCTATCTCTCTGGTCATTCCCACGCGTCTGCTGTTGTTCGTGCGGGTCCTCTCCAGGACCAGCCCTTTTATTGGCCTATGTAGGGATCTTCCTTTTTCCCTTCCTTGCAGATCTCTAGTTAGACAAAATCAAACAGCTTCACCCCTTTTCTTGTATTTTTAAGTTGCTATAAGAGACTTTCAATGACTCTCTGTAGCCCATGGGAAATTTTGGAATAAAGCTCCTAGTCTTCATCATGTTGCCCCTCTTGTCCTTTCCTGCGAGGGATAATTCGACGAATTAGGGGACCTTGCAAAAATCTCTCTAGGCTGGTCTGTCTTTCTTCCGTGATCTCGACCTCTTCCTCGTATGCTTTCCAGATTTCGACCACCTTTTGCTCCATACTATAAGCATCACACCGTTTTGTCTCCTCTTGAAAAACTGCGCTTTCCAAAAATCTCAAAGTCGATTCCACTGCCTTGCCCTCACACCTGCTGCGGTGCATTGCGCTCGTGATGAGACGGCTGTGCCATTCCTCAATGACTGGACTTGCTCGTGAAGGTCGGACCTTGCCTCTTCCGCCAATGAAAAATCTATCAGAACCACTGGCCTTTTTATTTGCTGCTCTGCTTTCGGCGTACTTCCTTACCCCGGAGGCGCCTTCTTCCAGATAGGTAAACACGATGCTAATCACACATCCCAGGGACCAGACATCGCTCCTGGGACTCATAATGGGAGGAGTTGCAATTGACTCTGGCGCAAGGCATGTGCCTTTACCTCTGCGTTTGGTGGCTGTCGACGTTGGAGATCTTGCCGTTGTTGACTCACGAGGCCGAGAGAAATGCTTCTTGAGGTCTATGACCCTATCGCTTTCTTCGCCCCGCCGGCGATACTTGACACGGGACGTTTTGAAATCACTCAACTTCCATGTAAGCCTCTGACTGGTGCTTTCCCGGAAAAGCAACACGCTTTCGGGTTCCAAATCACAATCATAACAGACAAGGCCATCCAATCCTTTTGTCTTCAATCCAGAATGTAAGAAGCGAAGCCCGTTCGCCAAACCATGGATATTTTCGAAAAATTCCAGTCTTCTAGCCCTGGTAGCGGGCCCCCTCAGATGATTGTACCTCATGTATTGTCCAAGATCACAGATTGCCAGAGGCATGAAGCGGCTATAAGTTGACGAGCCAATGCCTAAGGCGCCGAAGCTTTCAATGATGGTCTCGCATTTGTTACCAAGTGTTAAAATCGCTTCCAAGATGTCGGGATATTCTGGCAACTCCCGATACATCACGCTGTCACTCCTAATGTAGTCCTTCCTTGCAACCTCTACAGGGTCTTGATTCGCACTTTCAGTGACCGGATCATAGAGGTGACCTCGCGCAATTTTAACCTTGAAGACCGACCCCGGGCATCTTGCACCTAGGGGTTCTTCAAGTAAATACGGAAGCCTTTGATTCTCAAAACTCGGAACTAGGATTGTTGATCCTTTTGTTATCACCGTGGGGCAAAACATTGCTTGGTTGGCAAGAAACGGATACGAGGCAATTTGCCCATCGAACAATTCCCTGAGGATCGCTTGACTTGTTGGTAGAGAGCATCTTTCCGCTGGCCATGACTCTGTGGCAAGGACTTTGATTGCAAATTTTTGGACAGCCTCGATGTCGTACATAGAGAATATCAAGATGGCCAGGAAGTCTTGTAGATGCTTCTCATTTAAACTTTTCGCGAGATATTTCTCTAAGTCACCTTTTGAGAATCTGAACCCAATTTCGGGAAGGTGAAGAGACTCGAAAAGCCGAATCATTTTCTTGCCTTGCAACACCTTCTGAGCGGCTCCTCGTATGATGAACCGATGCTCATAGTCCTCGGGCCGCTCGAGACACCTCATGAGCTCTGCACGCAAATTCTTGCAGATTTTTGCGTAAGAAGTAGAAGATTCATCTTCTGTGGGAGAGGGTTTCGTAGCCGCCTGCTTTTGTTCATCTTTGACCGTATTTTCTTCCGTTGGCGGTGATGGAACGGGGAACTGCAATCCTGCAGTAGTTCCCTCTTGGGGTTCCTGAGATGGCCTGATGGGACGTTTTCCTAGGATACCCCCATGCTTAGATTCAGTCTCCTTGGCGGTTTGTGTATCAGGATCCAAGAAGATTTCAGTAGGGGTAGAATTGGAACCCAAACTGTCTTGGCGGGTCTCTGTTTCTTGTGTCTTATCGGTGTACTTCTCTGCTCCAACTTTCGTCCCCCATGCACCCAGAATCCAATCAGCGAGTCGTTTGACCTGACTCTTAGAGACAGCTTGTGGTAGAAACTTTCTGATCATCTCCACATAAGATTCGCTGAACCAGGGGTTTTCCGACCACCCCGGAGGTACCATGATTGCCTCCTTTGAGCTCTCCGGCATATTGTGTAATGCCCACAAATATGCTGGAATATCAAAACTCTCAGAAGTCTCCCCACAAGTATGGCTCAGCTCTTGTGACTGCCTAAACTCAAGTACCGGACTCATTTTAGAAATAATGCTAGGAATGTTATTCCGAAATGTTAAGCTCAAGCTGTCAACCAAACTTCTGATTTCGGGGTCGTTCATTCCGAAATCGAGTCTCTCGACGAAGGGAATGTTCAGCATTGGTGAGAGAGAGTCGGGTGCCTGGGACAAGCTAGCTGTCTGATACTGGGCTCTCTGATACCCGCCAAAAATGGTGGCTGTGAGGCAATTGCGCGTAAGAGTAAGGCTCAATTCAAATGTTTGAATGAAGCCTATCATGTTTACTTGATCATGAAGCTGCAGATTAAAAACTGCTCTCGGGTCTTTTAAGCCGCCATTCGCCCTGCGATGAACTCTCAGGAGATAATTAAAAAAAGAGATAATCAAGCATCGAGGATCATGCTGATCGAGGGCTATCATGTAATCATCATACCCAAGATCAGGAAATGTTGTGAGATGGCGATCATTGATGAGAGATTCTTGCACTAGCTCGAATTGGGATTTCTGAACATTTGCATTGAGTTCGTAACGGCGCATGATCGTGGGCAAGAAGTTTGCGGCATGATGGTAGTAGGCTGCAACCCGATAGATTGCAGCCTGATAGATCACTGTCCACCAGTCTTCATCAGGATCAAATTTTCGTATTCTCAATGACAGATCAAGAAGCACTTGTGCCCTGCTGAACGACACGGAACACGCAATCAATTGATTCAGTTCGCTCATCTTGCAGAGGGCTTGTTTATTCGGTATTTCTCCAAAGCAGTGCTTGCCAAATAGAACCGCAACATCTTGCTCTCCGAAGAGTGGCAGGGCTTGTAGGAGAAGGATCAGTACTTGAGAAGCACTCCACGTATGCCCGTTACAGCATAAAATTGAGTACCATTGCACAAAGCCGTAATTGTCGGAGTCTTCCTCCGACGCCCACGGGCATTTCATGTCATTCATCCTCACCCAGTTGGAATTCATCGCAGCAAAGACCATAATCCTGATATAGATCTCAAAGACATGAATCTGCTGATTGTCACTACGAGATCAACAAATAGTAACTGATGATGCATCTTACCTCTACATCACTAGGAAGTGCACCTACAGTGAGCTTTACACTCCGCTGATACAGGAACGTCCAGGTCCGATCTGCCTGTATCAAAGCCGGCCGTAATGAACCGCAAGTATGAATGTGAACGAGAGACCTCATAATTTGCAACAACTCAACTTCCTCTTCTTCAAGTACTGGCTCCATGTATTGGATTTGAATATCCAGGAACTCCGAGAGAATTCGATATTTCTCTTGCACCAAGAGTAGGTCCGCGTATTCGGCAATGACTGGAAAGAGGGAAAGATGTGCTGAGAGCATTTCCTTAAATATTTCCTCGGCTTTTTCGTATTCTCTGCGTCGCTTGAACCGTACGAAACTCTCTATCTCTTGTTCGATATCCTCTTCTACCTCCATCGTCACAGACAATGGAGCTGCTTCTTGGCCCGGGAATCTCGACGAACTCCCTAGCATCTTGACCCTCGAGTCGATCTTGTTTTGGAAAATGGCTCGGTCTTCCTGTTAATGCGGGGATGGGATTGACTTAGCTGAAGCGTTGACGACCATCATGGTCATGTGAGTATGCATGAGTGGTGGCGCACTAGTGGCCAAAGCGTATATCATCCTTACGAGAGCCCCTCTTTATGGTTGAAATGAATTTCGCTCTTGTAAAGAGACAAGGGGAGATGGCCACAGACAGTACGGCATTATGTGGAGTCGCTATGTTTTGAAGCGTCGCGTCGACAAGTATCAGCAGGAAAACCGAGTTCTGCTGGAGCAGCATCGACAGAGTTTGGCTTACAGGGAGGTGCGAACAGTCAAGATTGACTGCTCCTTTCTACCCGATTCACGATGGGGAGTGATTGGGAAAGATCCGGCTTCTCCTGCTTGGCTTCTCTACCTAGATGTCAAGATCAGCCAACCCGTAGGCTGCTCCCTCGCCAGTGCAAATGTGGAAGTCATATTCAGGTCGCATCACCCGGAGATACCAAGCAGAACGACTACAACGCGATTGGGACCTATCATTACAAATTACTTTGGACCCCAACATATCGATGGTAAAGTAATCGGCACAGAAGGCAGTATTCGCGACTGGAATGCATCCCATCAGCACGGAGAAACATATATTCTGGGCCCAACGAGCAGCGAAAGAGAGCATATGATGTTGTCAGCCACTCGTGAGCCTCAGTGGACATTACGAGGCTGCTCGTGGCCATTGCCTGAGGACAAAACCGGTCTTCCCCGGCGCATCGAATGGTTGGTGGAGGACGCCGTTGCCTGTGGAGGTCTGCGCTTGGCCCTGGTTCTTCAGCACGACATGAACCCCTTCTCAATTGATGTCCACATTGATGGTCGCCTTCATGGAGAGAAGAACAAAAAGTACCGGTTTTTCCGGCCCATGGAACAAGGCAATATGAAAAACCTGTCAAGGATAGTAACACCAGATAGTACACCTGATTTCCAATTGGATGAAATTGCGTCCAAATTGAATTCTGAGATGACGACGCTAAATATACGAAATTACCGGAGTGCAACTAGAATGGTTTGGCAGCACGAGACTTCTGTTACTCATCATCAAAAACTCTGTCTGGAGCCGAAGTCTGAGGTCAACACTGATGGTTCCGATACCGACCATCAAAGCAAACACTCAGGATATACCCAGGGCAATTACACTGTCGCCTGGATATGCGCTTTACCGATAGAGATGGCAGCAGCAAAGGCAATGCTTGATGAAATTCACCCCAGTCTCTGCGTGCCCCCCAGTGATACCAATCAATATATCTTGGGGCGAATCGGCTCCTTCAACATTGTGCTGGCATGTTTACCGGAAAGGGTGTATGGCACGACTTCAGCCGCAGTGGTAGCCACGCATATCCTTCACACATTCAAAAGAATTCGTATCCGCTTGATGGTTGGAATTGGAGGGGGCGTTCCTTCAGCGAAGAACGATATTCGACTCGGAGATGTGGTTGTGAGCAGTCCAACTGGGCCTTATGGAGGTGTGATTCAACACGACCTTGGTAAACACGTTGGACACAAGATCCAGATGACAGGTTCTTTAGGCAAACCATCGCAATCACTCCTTATTGCAGTTGCCAGACTACGGACAGAGCATCTGCTTGCCGGTGACAAGGTTTCACACTATGTGGAAGAGATGTTGACGAAAAGTCCAATGATGAGGACCGCATTTGCCTGCCGTAGCTCAGATCAGGATCAGCTTTTTGAAGCCGGTTATGAGCACGTTGAATCTTCAGAAACTTGCACTGGATGTGATCAAAGCAGAACTATTACACGGCCGTCACGGTCGTTCGGTCCCAAGATACACTACGGACTGATCGCCTCTGGGAATTAGGTCATGCGACATGGTCTCACAAGGGACAGACTGTCCGAAGATCTTGGTATCCTATGCTTTGAAATGGAAGCAGCGGGGCTTATGGATAATTTCTCGTGCTTAGTAGTGCGAGGCATCTGTGACTATGCAGACTCACATAAAAATAAAGATTGGCAGGGATATGCTGCGGCGACTGCAGCGGGCTACGCAAAAGATCTCTTGACCGTCATTTCTGTCGCCCGGGATTACTCGACCCCAGCAGCAGCCAGAGAGGGAAAGGATGAGAGCGTGTGAGCGGATTCATCGTGAATGAACTCCCTATAGAGTTGGAATTTATCAACAGCGTTAGTTGGAATTTCTTAGCATATTCAACCTTCCACACTTCATCAAAGCCCTTTCTGTATAAAGAAATCTTTTCCCATGGTCACTCTCAGATACCTATGACGATACATAGTTGAACAAATCTCAAGTAAAGAGCACCATCTTATTTAACGACCGACAAGCCCGCTTAAAGAGACATGTCATCTGCTCTTTCACGAATCCTCAATACTGCATATTGCAGTAACCCTGGTCCTCTGACCAAGCTAAGAACTCGAAAATCATCCGTACCATGGCCGGACGAAAAAATCGCCTTCTAGGCGATTAACCAAGGATGTGCGGTTATTGAACTTGTATTTGATTCAGAGATTCTTCTATGTGCGGGTGTATGATTGTCATTCCATCACGCGCGTCATGAAGGAAAGAGCTTTACATGAATAATGATGGTAACAATCAGTTGGGATGACCCTTAATGCAGTCGCTGGTGTAAAATTTTAACAAATATTACAATTTGATAATTATATTTAGAATGGTCTTCATCCACTCAATTGCGCGACTTGAAGATCTGCCGTTATGCCGAGGCGAGCGGAGGCGTCGAGGAGGGGACGACAAGCCATGTGTCTCCACACGCTGTGATATGTTTGGTCAAAGACCAATCGTTGTGATGTTTCACAGACCAATCTTTGTAATGTATCAATTGGAGAAAGACGATGTTGCAGGTTCCATTGAGGGGCCGCTCTGCAGAACTAGCCAGCTACTGATAATTAGTGCTTACCTAGATTACGCCAGACGACAGGGTTCCCTCAGCCAATGTCCAATGATGACCACCCCCACGAACTATATAAGTTCCACGATAAGCCCATGCTAAACCTTACAGGTCAAAAAGTCATCGTCAACCCAAACTCACAACAATGGGTCTTACTCACGAACTGCCACGCACCGGGCTCGCTGCCCTCCTCGCGAGTCTTGATATTCCAGGCGAAATTCAACTTCCGACCGGCACTGTTGTCCGAGTCGGTAGCGACGAGCCAAAGTATCGAGTGATTTTTCGATCTGAAAGTGCACTACGAACACCGATGACGGAACTAGGTGTTGGCCGTGCTTATATTTCGGGTGACATTGAAGTGGAAGGGGATCTTGGTGCGCTATTTGATGCACGAGAGAAACTGCCCGACAAGGTACCTTTGCGACAGAAGTTCCAATTTTTGTATGACTATTTCAGGACCGCGACGGCCATGAACTCCAAGGCTATTTCAGAGCACTATAGCCGAGGCGACGATTTCTATCTTACTTTTATCGACAAGCGATATAGATTTTACTCCCAGGGACTGTTCAAAGGTCCCGAGGAGAGTATTGAGGAGGCGTCAGAGCATAAACTCGAGAGCATGTTCAATAATTTGGAGCTCAAGCCTGGACAGAGGCTGCTTGATATTGGTGGCGGCTGGGGAGGGGTCACACAGTACTGTGGTGCTCGCGGTGTACATGTCACGACGTTGACTTTGACTGTGGACTCGGCTCGCTTTATCCAAAATCTGATCAGCGAGAAGAACCTCCTCGGTGAGGTCTTTTTGCAAGACTTTTTAAACTTCAAGCCCGAGGAGCAATTCGACCATGTTGTCATCTACGGTGTTATCGAGCATCTTCCAGACTATCGAGAGTTTGCACGCAGGATCTGGGATGTACTCAAACCCGGAGGTCGCATTTATCTCGATGGATCGGCAGCTGTCACCAAGTTTGCTGTCAGTTCGTGGACGAGAGACTATATCTGGAGGGGCACGCACACTTTCATGACTGTGCAGGACGTCATGGCTGAATTCTTGTATCACGGCTTTGAGGTCATCGAGGTGGTTCGCGAGACCAAGGACTATGAGCTTACCATGTTGGAATGGGCCAAGAGACTCGATTCAGCCAAGGAGGAAGTCATTGCAGGCTGGGGAGAGGAAACGTATCGTGTATTCCGACTATTTCTGTGGGGTGGGACTCATGCGTTCAAGACGAATACCTTGCAGGCGTACCATTTGGTCGCGGAAAAGACCAACTCACCAGGACCCCGTCCATCAACATATCGTCGACTGGTTCAGTTCCTGGGGACCCTCCGTTGAGCTGCCAATTCAATGCAGAGCAAATCGACATTATCGGTATACTACTTGAGTCATTCAACGTACTGCCTAAACCAATACTCATGGATATACTTCATTCAAGAGCCAACTACATAAATGTACATCAAACCAAGCTCAGTATAGCCGCCGCATCTCCATGATAGAGAAGACCAAATAGATGAACTCAGTAATTCTATAGACAAGAAGATAGAAATGAAGAGATCATCTCCTTCTCTTATGAGGGGTATAACTCGTAACGGGGCACTTGAATTATAGTGACTCGGTTATCGACTTCATGCTTCTCACTTTCAGGCACGTCGGATGAGGCTGCCGGACGAGGCTGCCGAATGACTCGTGTGAAGAGTCGGACGGGTTCCTGGATTCCCGGCGCCTATTGGCCGCCAGCAACTAATAGCGTAGTCTTGGCATAAGCAGGCCCCATTTGAAACCCAGGATTATGGGCTGTGCTTCTCATTCAGGGTTCTAGATTATGCAGGACCCCTGATCCATTAAAACTGGGGTCCTCCCATGATCCTCGATGATCGTTTCTCCTTTTTTCCTTCGTCCCCACCCACGCTCGTTTACGCTCGTTTCCACTGCGCCCTTGATATCATTCTATACTCATTCCTTTTTAAAACAATTATTCATATCTCACAATGCTTTTCAAGTCCCTTGCACTAGTGGCTGGTGCCAGTCTCGCGGTGGCCGACAGCACCGTCACCCTTTTCTTGCCTGGCTTTGACACTCAGTCAATCGACGCGAAAATCCTTGGTTCGGTATGGTTGTTGATATCTACATAGTTGATATAGAATCGATTACTGACCTCCGTCTAGACCAGCTCGTTGACTACCTACCTGCTCAACTGTCCGCCCAACGAGGACTCGAATAGCTGTGGTCTCCCAGATAATGGATACACAGTCACCGCGGGCTCTTCCACCGTAATCTATAACGTGTCCTACGACTCTGAGTAAGCCCCCTTCAACCATCCATACCCTTATAGATTAGCATGTCACTAAACTCACACAGGAAAATTGCCGAAACCTGCAAGTTGGACGGAACCACGTCCGCCACCTGTTGGGCAACGGTCGTCTCTGGCACCTCGACCTCATCCGAGTCCGAGGCGTTTGGAATCGCAACCATCCCCTACGGCGGATTCCAAGCCGTCCACGTCACGGCGACTCAGACCGGCGGTGCAGCGGCTTCGACCGGTGCTTCGGCTTCCGCATCCACGGCCAGCTCAACTGGCTCTGGTTCTACGACCACCGGCACCAGCACTGGAACTGCTTCGCAGAGTGGCAAGACTGCGACTTCTGCTGCTAGCACGACCGCTTCGCACTCTTCTAATGCGGCTATGCCTATGATGACTGGGAATGGTCTATGGGTTGCCGGTGGTGCTGCCGCTGCTCTGGCTCTGATCGCTGTTTAATTAATATCGAACCACCATGTATATGTAATTATCATTATGCAAACCCATGTACTACAGTTGAATGACTTTGCCTTTTTAGCAATATATCCGCGTGAAGCGCGTCCAAGTGCTCCGATGTGTTAGTCTTGGGTGATCGTAATGGTAAACTTTCAGGTCCAACGAGCTAGCTGGTACATGTACATCTGTACCCAGCCGACAATTTCTCCCAAGGCATCTCGAGTCATTGCAACATCATGTCACAAAAAACCACCTATTGGATGCTGAATGGAGCAGCAGGAGTGACTTTCAGGTCAAACAGGCTGTAACAGTCATCAAACACAAATCAGCGGTCATACATAAGGTTTGTCCAAAAGATTGCGGTTGCATCAGTTGCTGACCGAGCGAGCGGAACGGAACTGGCGATCCGCACCGGCCAAACTGTTCTGTGGCTCGGAAGAAGGTCCGCTTCCGAGCAGGTGTCCTCACCACCATCGACCACATTGTGACCGCTTGAATCTGCTACGATATTCTTTGCTTCCACGAATATTTATATAGCATTCCAAACTGCTCCTTCAGCTATCACAGTTTATCTATTTTCAAGCGCCATTGACAGAGGTCAACGCCCATACTCGTTATTTCGTCTCCGTCGCTGCGTAACTTTTGCCCCGCACGCTGTAGGATCGCCTGCAGTCTCCCCCGCTCGCATACATTTCAGACATTCTGCTCGCGCACAAGACATGGACGGCGAACAATTTCGGGCTGCGGCCCATTCGGCCATTGACGATAGTACGCGTGCTTCCCAATTGACCCTCCCAGGACTATCTCATGCTAACGTCATTCTGCAGTCGTCAGTTACTTCGATTCTGTCCCCGACCGTCGAGTCCTCCCCGCCGTGGACCCCGGTTACCTGCGCCCATTGATCCCCGAGAACCCTCCGACCGAGCCAGAAGACTGGGCAACGATTCAGCAAGATGTTGATACCAAGATCAAACCGGGCCTTACCCATTGGCAGTCCCCCAACTTCATGGCATACTACCCGGCCAGCGTGACGTATCCGAGTATCCTGGGCGAAATGTACTCGGCCACTTTCACTGCTCCCGCGTTCAATTGGTTGTGTTCGCCGGCGTGTACGGAGATGGAGACCATTGTGATGGACTGGGTTGCCAAGGCACTGGGTCTGCCGGAGTGTTTCTTGAGTACGTCGAAGAATCTCGGTGGTGGAGTAATTCAGAACAGTGCCAGTGATGCTATCGCGACGATGTTGGTGGCTGCTCGGGAGAGACGCGTGCGCGAGATGGTTCTCGCAGAGGGTCTGAAGGAGGGAACGACCGAGTACGAAGAGCGGAAAATGGATCTTCAGCCGAGACTGGTTGCCATCGCGAGTGACCAGACGCACAGCAGTGCTGCGAAAGGTGCGTTGATCGCGGGTACTCGGTTCCGGAGCGTGTCGACGCGGTTAGAGGAGAATATGGAGATGACGGCTTCCCGGCTCCGGGAGGTGTTGGAGCAGTGTGAGAAGGATAACTTGACGCCGTACCATCTCACGATGACCTTTGGTACGACCAACACGTGCAGCGTGGATCACTTTGCGGAGATCAAGGCCGTTCTGCAGGAGAAGCCTGCCTGGCAGCGCATCTGGGTGCACGTTGATGCTGCGTATGCCGGAGCTGCTCTGGTGGCCGACGAGTGGCAGTACATTGCAAAGGACTTTGCGGAAGGCGTGGATAGTTTCAACATGAACATGCACAAGTGGTTGCTGGTCAACTTTGATGCAAGGTTGGTTTTTCATCCTTTCTACTCTTAACGGTACTCCTCATTAACACTCTACAGCGTTCTCTTCGTCCGCAACCGTCTCGACTTGACCAACGCCCTGGACATTACCCCGACCTACCTGCGCAACCCATATTCCGACATGGGCACCGTGATCGACTACCGCAACTGGTCCATCTCGCTTGGCCGTCGCTTCCGCGCTCTGAAGATCTGGTTCGTCATGCGTAGCTATGGCTTGAATGGGATGAAGGCACACATCCGCAAGACCATTCAGCTGGGCAATACATTCGCCGATCTCGTCCGTGGCCGGTCAGATCTCTTTGAGATCGTCACCAAGCCTGCCTTTGCCTTGACGGTGTTCCGTATCAAGAACCCGCAGGTGGCCAATGGCAGTGCCAACGGTGGGACTGTCGTACACAAGGATGAGGTCGCTGATGGTATCACGAAGAAGGTGTACGAGTTGATTAATGCCCGCGGCGAGATTTTCATTACTTCTACGGTTATTGATGGAATTTATGTCATTCGCGTGGTGAGTGCCAATCCCATGGCCGAGGAGAAGTTTGTGCGCAATGCATTTGAGATCATTGTTCGGACAACGGAGGAAGTGTTGCAGGAGAAGAAATAGACTTTGCTACCGAGGGTGGTAGAATTGTACATATACGCGATATGCCAAAGAGTTGCAGATACATGACGGATCAACCGATTGACCAAGCTAAAAGCCTTTTTTGTTGTAAGCTGTAATTACTACATAACTACCTCAAATTGTACCATCCTGAAGTATGCTATTACCAGATTGTCTACTTCGGCAACCCAACAACACTCCGAATTCACAGCCGAACTATTCCAAGCGGGTCTCGAGCATAAAGCCGACTCGCGGTGGATTCGGCTCGCACAGCTTTCCCCGCGCTACAAGAAGATTGGAGATAATCATTCTCCAACGTTCCAATTGCCTATGATCGCGTGCTATTCAGCGAATCTTCCATTTATCTCATGTCTATTCGCTTCCTCTACACGATGCGACCGCAATTGCTCTGGCGAACACGTCACTTGAACGCCCCTCGCACCTTCACCACCTCCGCACGCTTCTTCTCCGCAGACCCGCCCGCCGCCTCGGTCGCAGCCTCGTTCCTCTCCCGCTTCCAATCGTCCGGACCTCAAACACGAACTCAAATCCTCGATGCGAATCAATTACAACTTCTCACACTCACACTTAACCGTCCCTCCTTATTTCCGGACTCGCCTTCGCTGTCCAACACACCAAATGCGCCTCCACTTGACACTGCCGTGCCTCCGGGCTACCACCTTGTTTACTTCACGCCTGCTTTCTTAGAAGGAGAGCTGGGCGCTGATGGCACCGATGCATCGTACAATCCCGAGTCACCGTTTACAAGACGCATGTGGGCCGGTGGGGAGGTCTCTTGGCCCCGGAGTGCGAACGGAAAGCCGAATCCCCTGCGCGTGGGACAGGAAGTGCGGGAGACAACGCGCGTGCTTAGCGCCGAGGCCAAGGTAGTCAAAAAGACGGGCGAGGATATGATTGTGGTTGGTGTTGAAAAGGAGTTTGCGAATGAAAACGGCGTGTCAATCATTGATCGAAGGTGAACATGTCCAATTTCAATCCCCCCCACTCTATCGAGTTATACTAACTGTGCAACTAGGAATTGGGTATTCCGCAAAGCGCTAGCAATCCCATCAGCCTCGACACCTATGAGCACCGCGCCCATGTCGACCTCGCATCTCACAGAGGCCTCTGCCTCGGCAATCTCCACCGAAGGCACCACACATTCAAAGACCTTTGTTCAATCCCCCGTCACACTATTTCGCTTCTCCGCCCTGACATTCAACCCGCATAAGATCCACTATTCTCTACCCTGGGCCCGAGATGTGGAGGGACACAGGGATATCGTCGTCCACGGACCGTTGAATCTGATCTCAATTTTGGATCTATGGCGCGATGTCCAGGGTCAAAGGAAGAGTGGTGTCGATCCGACTGCGGTCATTCCCCGGAGTATCTCGTATCGGGCGACTAGTCCGTTGTATGCGGGCGATGAGTATAGGGTAGTGTTGCAAGAGGATGGAGATGTGGCCAAGGTGCAGATTCTGGGCCCTGGAGAGACCGTTGCCATGAAGGCGGAGATTCAGGGGTAAATGCTGTACCCTTGAGTATATATAGACCACCCTTTGGAAGCCGGTCGCCTGAATGAATGAGGGCCTTTTCACAATTTCACAAGGTATTGTCCATATCAGACAGTCAATGTTCCGCGTGGTAAATCGACAACTCAACCGAGCCTACTCATTGTAGACCGAAACTAATAGGCCAACATGCCAATCGTGTAGTTCCCCTTTCTCGCCCTCTTCTGCCTTTCCTTTTCGATCAAACCACACACCGTCAATACAACCATCGTGATCATCTCATCTCCCATATCCTCTCTCAGAAGCAGATGCCCACCACTCTTAGTACCCGGTGCAGCCCCGGAATAGGCAGCGTAGACGGTAGAAGTGTCCATATCGCAAAGCTCCAGATTTTGGTACACCCGATTACCCGAAGGAGACGCCGGGAATTCGGTCGTTTTCCATAGAAAGTATTTCTCGTCCGTCACGTCGGTCTTTTCGCCAGCTCGAGACGTTTTCGGGACAGACCACCGATAAGAATCGTGATGCTTGATCCAGACCATGCGTGACGAGGCACCCCCATGAGAAACTATTTGCATCTCGGATGTGCGGAACTTGTTGAAGCGACAGCGACCGAGGACACGGTCCTCCTTTTTGGATCCATTGTACATGGTGATTTCGGTGTTGTCGCTGAAGAGACCGGTAATTTCGATGGAATATAGTGGGCTTTCGCTTTGGTGTTTGGTTGTGATTTCCGTGTTAATGCGCCAGGGGCCGATGCGTGTGAAGATGAGGTCGTTGGGGCTTGAGTGAGCTTTATTGGTGGTTGAGAGGTTGCTTTTTGGTGGACTTTTTGTCAAGTCGGCACCTTGGAGAATGTCTTGGTTATCGTGTTGAGTATGCATGTTGTCGAGTAGTGATATGTTCCACGATGTATAGAAAGACTGTGCAGAAGGGAATCGGCTAAATACTGCAAACGATCAAAGAAACAGCAACAAAGAGAGAGTGGAAACTTATATAAACTTTACGCATTGTTGATGGCGCCTCGGGGCTGTCAGCACAGCCACCTTAGGGGCTAAGGCGCAGCATTCTGCCTTGCCGGCGTCATGTCTCAATTTAGAGACGCTGATCATCCATATGATAGTTGGTAGCAGCTTAAGTCAAGGGAAACCATCATACTGACCCACTAAATAGTTATTCTGTAGCCGGTGCAACAGTTTTGCATAGCTCATGGCTTGAGGTCGAGGTCCTTGTATTGTCAAGACATTGAGAGTTATCACCCACTTCCGGTTTTTCCAGTCACTCTCCCCCCTCATATGGCCTAGTTGGACATACCTTCAGTGGATGGACCATTTGGGTGTGCCCCATGAGGGGAAATCACAGTACCGGTCTCCCGTGTCGAGCACGATCTCCACGGGTTACCGGGCACATCCCTAGGCGGGTAGAGTGGGTGGGCGGGATGCGAGCGAGGTGGTTCACCTCACTCGCGGCACTTCTTCTTTTTCTTTCCTTTTTTAGGAATAGATAATCACTGTCTAGTTCGCTTATATCTTCGGTTTCGATTCTCAAAAATAATATTTGGACGGCATTATAGTGGTGTCGAGGGAGATTGTTTAGTGAGTGTGGTATAGTATCGGGCGGGCCAGCCTCGGAAGTATGTACTTCAGCATCGTGAGATCAGGATGGAGCATGATGGTGAAGTATATGGTGAACTTCAAGGTAAGAAGTTCGATTCAGGGCTCGGAAGTTTCTTTTATTTTCACTCTATGTGACATTTGGCGTATGACCAGCACTGGGCTATCCACCATATGCGGCTATCAAACTTCCACTCCCTCTACACTCACTCTTTCCGATGCAGCTCGTCCAGCGCGTCGACCAAAGACAGCGCCAGATGTCAGCCCACTACCACCGGGGTAATTGTCATGGAAAATACCACCAAGCATCTCCCCAACCGCATAGAGGCCAGGGATCTCGCCACCTGTGGCCTCCGAAATCACCGCTGTGGTTTCGGGGTTTACAGCAAGTCCGCCAAATGTGAACGTGATTCCCGATGTCACTCGGACAGCAAGGAAGGGTGCGCGATCGATGGGCAAGGCCCAATTAGATTTGGGCACTGGAAGACCCTTCGTTGAGAGACCATCCTTCACCGCGGGATCCCACTTGTCCTTGGAGGCTTCCTCGGATGGCACAGAGCGATTGTATTCTGAAAGCGTCGCAAGGAATCGCTCCTTATCGGTCAAGCCTGCCTCGACGCAACGATCTGCAAGTTCTTCCAGAGAGTCTCCGGTAAGGTGACGGGTCACCTCCGGTCGATACTCTTCGCTGCGCAGCCACGGCGTCGTTCGTGCATCCCAGATCTGGAACGCGATCTGTCCTGGCTGCTCGAGAATACGACGACCGATCATGGCATAGGTATAGTTCCGCATATCGGAACCTTCATCGACAAAACGCACTCCGTCTCTGTTGACCATGATTCCCAGGGGATATCCCGACTTTGTGAATTCGTTCGATACGCCGCGATCGCCGGCGTGCGCTGGTGCGTCCGCGTCCCACGCCACGCTATGACAGCCGGACCAGTTACCCACAGCCTTTGCGAAGACGTCTCGCTGTGCGATCTGAAGAAGATCGCCGGTGTTATAAGGGGTCCCACGGACTTTTGCAGCGTCCCAACCTGGACCCAGGTACTGCGCTCGCAATTGAGGGTTTGCTTCGAAGCCCCCCGCAGCCATGATCACTGCCTTCCCTTGGATCGTCATTCTTTGAATCGTCTGAGAATCGGCATTTTTGCCTTCGTGGGCTCGAGTGGCTACTTCAACACCCATCACCGCGCCAGTCTGAAGGTTTGTGACAAGCTTGGTCGCAGCAGTGTCAAAGAAGACCTTGATACCGTGCTTTTGCGCAGCCCGAAGGTGATCTTCAATGAGACCCTTTCCTCCATTCTCAGTCTTCAGCGCCATACCACCCCAAAATTTGATTCGGCCATCCATCTCATACGCTTGACGGTTGAAAGAGAGCTGGAAACGGATACTATTCTGAGCCAACCAGCCAATGGTGTCCCGAGACTCCTCCACAAGTATCTTGGAAAGAGCTGTATCTGTCCGGCCACCGGTCATCCGTTGGAGATCGTGTGCGAAATCTGCTACCGAATAAACAGGTATGTCGACGCGTGACGCTTTATCTGATGGCACATTGTTCACAAGTGGCAGCAAGTCGGCTAGGCCGTTGTGCACAGTCCGGAAGGCTCCAGCGGTGAAATAACTATTTCCACCAACCCAGCTCTTGGGGCATTTATCGATTATGATGACGCTGGCTTTGGGATTGTGTTGAGCGGCTGAAAGGGCAGCAGAGAAACCTGCGTTGCCGCTGCCGATAACAATAATGTCGCAAGCTGATGGTAGTGACATTGCAGGAACTGAGTCAGGAACGATAGAAGATCTTTGCTGCAGATTTTCGACTTGTGGTTTAATCATTAATCTCTTCTCTCATATACCTCGATTAAAAATGGTTGGTTCGGTCGCTTCGTGCCGCCGGGAACCTATCTTCCGCGGCTTGATCCCCGCACGCGGAGATTTACACTCCGTCAGGGAAAGCAGGATAATGTGGAGAATGTTCAAGCTGCAAAGTGCAAGGAGCATTCTAATAGAAAATCCTTAGGTCAGCGTTTCCTTTTTCCGCTCTCCCGCAATCAATTCCTGGTGTGGAATTTCTGCAAATGTTCAAATTTTACAGGCAGCTCCTGCTTGTTCGCCAGAACAAGGAGGGCCGCATCCTTAAGAGCATCCTCCCCTAGCAAGCTATGCAATTCGTCGCGTGCTTCCTTGACACGAGTCAAGTCGCTGCAATGAATGACCAAGACAATTTTTCTTGCCCCGTCAAAAGGATGTCTCTAAGAACTGGGATCTAAGTCTGATCGCCGACATCCCAGACTGCCAATTTCAGTTTTCTACATTCGATAGTCTCGACACAAAAAAGGTAGCAAAACCAGAGCGCAATTCAGTACGGCACGACAGCCAACCCATCCAATCGCAACAGCCGCGGTAGAATGCGATATCACCAAAGTAATAGCCCATCTCAAGGCCAGCTAGTTTCATCGGAAATATCTACGAGTATTGCTCTGCAATACGCTGCGGGAGTCGGATATAAGAAGGTGGTGAAAATGCCTCTTTAAGAAGGTACCGCATTCGATCTAGACGATTGCCATGACAAGTTCCATGCTCAAGCATGGGGTCAACGATGACCATTCTCATAAGCGTGCGGATAAGAACGGGCATAACACAACCGTGGATTTTGAAAAACATGGACCGGTAGAGGTTAATAACATGAAATGGGAGAGTTACCCGCTTCAGAAGTCTGGAATCGTAGAGGCACTTGAAACTATATTGCTGAAGTACCATTTTAGGCGCATATTTGAGGATGCGGCGGGTTACGGCGACACAAAGACACATCTTGTCTTACTACACTACGCAGCCGCTCAGAAGCGCTTCCCTTGGGTTGACTACCTTCGCATTTTCTAGTTTACTACCGAAAAGTGTGACATAAGAGCAGTGCAGGAGCTGGTGGATTTCTGGACGCGGACACAAGTGGAGCAGTACCATTGATTCAACCCGGGTTCCGCTGTTAAGGTGTTGTCAGTTACAGCAAGCTGATAGGGTTAAAGACACACTCTTCGGTGCCATGAATAAGGGGCATCTCGCTCTTATAGATGCATAATTGAAGAAGAAAATTTATTTGGAGAAAGGACTCCCAGAGGGGGGACAAGGGACAAGTCTTAACATCATCGGGTCCGCTCACATTGCCCTCCACCCACACAGCTGCGACTATGAACACCCGGAAGTTTGCCAGCTTCTCCTCGATCAGGTTGCCGTTCGGCGAATAGGAGTTTGAACCGACGGGGTATTGGTTTGCTGTAGATGTCGAGGGCTCTAGAACTTGGATCCGTATGTCTCATTATTAAGCGGAGTTGTAGGCTCCGAGCAGTATCCACTGACGGACGGGTTTTGAAATGAAAATTTCCCAAAAATAAGGTTACTGAGGGGCACTTCGGCAATCATGGCTGACATTTCATTCCCCTTGATTCAGACTTGCTGACTTGCTAAGGGATACTCGGGTTGCTTTCCGATTCCGAGGCTTCAACAGCCTTAGGATTTCCAAGATGAAGCCCGATGACGAGAAAACGCTATTTGTATTTGACAATTATAACTTGAAAGATAGCTAGATGAGCAGGACCAAGTCGAAGTTTACACAGCCTCTTTGGTGGCCGATATCGAAACCAGCTTCTGACTGCATGTGGCATGATTTCGGATACTTGCCCGAGTCTAGCGAGCTGCTGATCACCCGTGATATGAATAATAAGCCTATCCGCTAGGTTTTCCTCCCCGCATTCGATCATTCCACCGGTCGGAATGTGGACCACCTCACGACTAAGTACCCCACGGGGTTCAGTGTCCACATGCTCACGGAGACATCGTCCTATCAGAAACGCCCGTCATCCGTTGCTGGATATTCTTTACGAGATCGTGGGGACAGGTCAATTCCATGTACAAATACCCTACAACCAGCACCAGAAATGGCATTCATCAAGCTTCCTGCCTAACCCAGTCATTCAGTACAGCTGTGTATCACACCACCAACGATGCAAATCATTTGGCGAGAATCGGCGGATACCGCCACTTACGAGGATGCCCGTGTCGGCCGGGTGTTCAATCATCGCCGTCCTCAGCGCTTCCCAATCGCAGTTGTGAAAGCGACTTGTCAGGAAGACATTGTGGCCGCCGTCAAGTTGGCTGCAGAGAAGGACTGTCGCGTTGCTGTTCGTTCTGGAGGACACTCCTGGGCAGCATGGAGTGTCCGCGATAACTCGATCCTCATCGATCTGGGCAACTACAAAAGCATGGAAATTGATGCGCTCAATAAAATTGTTCGTGCCTCGCCGAGTATGACTGGTCGGGAATTGAACTCTGTCTTGGTCAAGGACCACCAGCTCATGTTCCCGGGTGGCCATTGTCCTGACGTTGGTCTGGGAGGCTTTTTGCTTCAGGGCGGAATGGGATGGAATTGTCGCGTAAGGAAATCAAGCTATATCACTGCTAGTGGTACTTGGCGTACTAACGTTGTCTTGCAGAACTGGGGCTGGGCATGCGAGCGAGTCCAAGCCGTTGACGTTGTGACCGCCAAGGGAGAATTGCTGCATTGTGATTCTGAGCAGAACCAGGAGCTCTACTGGGCAGCAAGGGGCGCCGGACCCGGTATGGTTGAATGACTATACACGAAAAGCTTGGTCTTTGCTGACATTTTCATGTCCAGGCTTTCCTGGTGTCGTCACCAAATTTCACCTTAGCTTGAATCCCTACCCGAAGAATGGCTTCCGATCCTCTGGGTATATGTATCCAATTGAAAAGTTTCGGGAAGCTCTCAGTTGGGTGATCTCTATTTCACCAAATTTCGACAACGATACTGAAATTGCTGCGGTCTCGCAGTATCCCGACGGTAGCGACGAGATTCGATTGTTTATTCTTTTTGTGACCATGAAGGATGAGGCCCACGAAGCGGAGAAAGCGCTTCGTGCTGCCCATGATACTCGGCCGGCGGGCTGTGTAGAGGAGTGGTTCTGCAAAGAGGACAGTCTGGAGGAGCAGTACAAAAATCAAGGAATGGCCAATCCAGAAAAGCATCGCTATTGTGCAGATAATGCCTACATTCACAATGACGCTGATGTTCCAGCAGTCCTGGAGGAAGCATTCACAACACTGCCCCATAAGAAGTCCTTCGCGCTGTGGTACGCGATGAACCCTTGCAGTCGAAGGCAGCTTCCTGATATGGCTCTGAGCATGCACTCGGACCATTACTTCGCTCTCTATACTGTATGGGAAGATGAGCACGACGACCCACGGTGCCAGGCCTGGGTGAAGGATGTGATGAAGAGAGTGGAGAGACACTCGGTTGGTGCTTACCTGGGCGATTCGGACTTCCAGGTGCGCAAGACCAAGTTCTGGGCTGATGACAACGCCCAGCGTCTGATGGAGATCCGCCGTAAATGGGATCCCCAGGGAAGAATCTGCGGCTATCTGGACGAGGGTGATTTGTCCGGTACTCGTGGATTGGACAACGCGCACCAGTGGAAGATTTGAAGATTTGACGATGATGAAACGATTCATGAATGAATGCATGTAACCCTGTCTAGACATGAGGAGGAATCGATATTATGGGCCTGTACAATAGTCATAGAAAGAGCGCGAATTTAACCTTTAGGCAACACTGTTTGCATTTCCAGAGGTCTTTTAGTACTAAATTCCCACCAATTCGTTTGAACTCATAGCATCCATTTTCAGCAATGCCGAGCAGCCGATAGAGCAATCTTGCTACAATGTGAAGAGCGGTAGTAATTGATCTGATGCCTCTACGGTCATAGTCTTGAGTAGTTCCCGGCTATTGCATCAACGGTTTCAATGCTCTTGTTCCCCGGCTGGTTAGATTCTGGCAGCCTCTCTGTCTCGCGTGGGCTGGCGTTGATCAAATGGAGGTACCGAAGCCAGTATCGTAGCACAAGAATAAAAGGTGTTAATGGAGGGCTCATTGCCTTGTGCCAGGTGAGAAAATGCCATTTCCTTGTTTGAAGGTTCAGATATCCAGGTGATTCCTGGGATGAACTGTGCGGGCCAGAGCCTATTGACTGCCTACATTCGTGTAAGCCTATGAAAGCTTGAACAAGGGTATTGTAAGAAGTAAGCTCACCCCTGAGATTGTTTCATCCTCCTCATACAGATCTGAATCAACCAAGTATTGATGCAACTCGGTCCCAAAGTAGTTTCCTTCCTTATCTTGGAAAATCCTTGGGTCCATTTCCAACTCTTTTTTCTTTGGCGAATTGGATTATCTTTCCTGTCCCGTAGAGTCTGCGAGAGACGTATAGCATCTTCCAATATTTTTCCAAATCTGGTTCGAGAGGCAAGATTTGAGGAACTTGAGCAAAATATGGTTCAAACTCCTCACCATTGCGCAAAATTTCAGCATATCCTCTACCGTACTATCTTCCATAAGCTCCTCGCGTTTCTGCCTGAGCACAGGAAGTATATGGGCGTCTATACCAAGGGACTTGAACACTGAGTAAGCTGCCAAGTCAGCACCTTTAAGCCCCTTGGGGAGAAGCTCTTGCGCTTGTGAGGATGCATGTATATACGCATGTGAGCAGTGAACCCCGAGAATTCCACCTGTCAGAATCAGCACCGCATTTGCAATTAACCATATTTTTCCCCTTTCCCGGCGGAGTACAAACCTTCCTTCATGAAGCCGGGTTGGGCCAGAAGATCCCTCAATAGTTGATATAGAGGCAACGTTTTTGGGTCGAGATTGACGTTTCGAGGAAGCGATCCACAGCCGGAGTTGGTGACAAAGAGATTGTATGTCAAGGTAACCCTATGCCCCTCCGTAACGTCATGAATTTCAGGCTCACAATCACTGTAAAATGCAGCCCATTGTATCGCCGAATCGCTGCGAGCGCTCCAGTCAAAATTGACTACATTGCCGTGATGCCGAACGATTAGTCTTCCACCTTTGAATGCAGACGGTAGGCAAACAACGAGAGACCCAATCTGCGTTTTGGATCGAGAGGTGTCGACATGTTTCTGAAAGTGGCCGTCTGGCCCTGAGTAAACCTGAAGATGAATATGTCAGACACCTAGATACTAGTAGCGGAATGCTCACGTTGAGCTTATAAAGCTCGGCTTTCAGACGTCGAAATGGAAGTTGACTTTCTCTCAGACAGTTGAAGCTGGGTACCAGAAGCTGCTCAACATCATCAAGTATCTTGAAATCTGCGGGATGGAAGCTGTTCAAGAATTGAGAAGGATCAATTTTGCCAGCGTTACGATATGTGAGATCCACAATGTTTTTCTCTCCTTTACCAAAGCTTGCGACCTCACAGTCGAAAACAAGTTGAGTAAGTCTTTCGGTGCCAACAGGACTACCGCCAGTTATTGCAAGCATTACTTGGTGCAGGCATGAACCATCCTTGGCTGTCCAGGAGATACGAACTGGTGGTGAAACGTCGTGGGTTCCTGGAGGTAAGTTGTCGCCGATGGAGACTGCACCGCCACAGGCAAAGGTTGCAGAGGCTTTTTCGCCTGAGATGAGTTGTCCCAGCTCTTGGCAGGATTTCTCAAATGCGATTTGGCTCAATGAAACTGGCTCTGACTTATCTCCTCCGTGCAATGACTGGCGAGAGCATCTAGACACAAGGGTATCCAGAATGCTCTTCTGTGAAGCGTAGTAAGACTGCTTTCCAAATTCGGAATTGCTCAGATATCTGTTTCCACTCGCCAGGCGGTATACGCGATCATGAAGTTTTTGCTTTAACTTCTCATCCTCGAGAATATTGGATCCAGCGGGAAGATTCAGGAACCCCGGAAGGAGACTATCGATATTCTTTCGCAGTGTACCCGCAGCTTTCCGGAGTTTCCCGGCGTTCTTGCCCCTGTACTCTGAGAAATTTAGGACTTCATGGAGGGCTACACCACGAATTTCTCTGACTTCAACAAGGAATATGTCGAAGCACGCATCTAGCTTGCTCGTCTGTGATGATAAGTAGAATGAAGGAGTATCAATGAGCGAGAATCGAGGGGGTAGGTCAATAGCAAGGAGGTTCTAATACATACCTCAACCATCGACTTGGTGATGAAATGCTTGAGGTCCGCCATAGACATCTTAAGGGACCCATAATCGTCGTTCTCCCAAGGATTCTCGTTAAACTCAGGATTTTCTTCTAACTCCATCTTCCTGGGTTTGGGTTGATTGGGTGGTTCGAATAGGCTTCAAGGCGCAACAGATTCCTACACAGTTGGAGTGTTGGAAGGCAGGAAGCAGGTAACCTTTAGAAATTTGTTGGTAAAGAGAAACTATGTTCCGAGAGGAAAAGAGAAGCCTTGTTCAAGGGAGATTGAGCAAGCGAGGAAAAGAAGCAGGCCTACTTGTAATTCGGATGGAGGATATGCAAGCCAAAAAGACTGTGCAGATATGCCGGGAGGTTGTATGCCAGCCTTGGCATATGCGATGGTGACCACAATTTGACTAGCACATCTGAAACCAAGTCGGTCGCTACGAGGCTCCGGAAAACCGTCTGAACAATCGATTCAGTCGAGGAAATTTGTAATACAGTACGTCCCGAAACCGGTGCAACCACTTTACTTTCCGATAAAATATCCTGCCCCTTACGCTAAGTCACACTAGTATATATCTCACGAATAGACCTGGAATATAAATATTTCTGTAACAGACTCGATACCGTGATTTACTCTAATGAAAATAGGGCGCCTTGTCTTGTAACAGTATTGGGAGCCAAGGGAACTAAAATTTTCCATGAAAATACAAACGTATCAAACACAGAGCTTGAGAGTGCCTCGAGAAGCTGGAGACCTGACGCTTCCCTCCGCCACTCCAATGTCTAAGTGACGGACTGGGAGCTTACTCGGCACTAAACCTTGCAAAATCTTCTCCCATGAAGTGATCTCAAGGGGGCCAAGCTCCGAGGATAGAGCCGTAACGTCCCTAGGGACAGCATTCCTAATCTCTTATAATTAGCGACATCGAAACACTAGAGTAAAGGCGGGACGGTAATAGAAAGTGAAACCCTTCAAAACCTAAAGAAAGTCACCTAATATAGGGCAGTAGGAATTTTTCATAAGGGTGGTTTACTTATAACGAAGGTAATATACTTACTTTTCAGTTAGCGGATGTATTATATAGCTTGAATATCCCGTCTTTCGAATCCTACAGTTATGGAGTTTCAAAATGGCGCCACAGTGATTTGACCCTTCAGGGCTCACTATGGTCCTTATCACTCTATGTTGGAGAGTAGATTAAATGGGCCAACCGCATGACACGACAAAGTTCGTTCAACAGCATGTAAAGTAGTAGACCGGCCAGTTGACTTGTTAGAAACCAAAAGCTTCTGGCGAAACTGACATATTACCAGTTTCTTTTTGAGGGGACTCCAATTTGCGATGGGAGAGGCTAGGTGGATCGCGCAAATCTTACTTGAGGGTGCTAGACCATTCTCATTTCTCTCTGTAGCCAAACTTACAGCATAGGGCCAGGCCAGTATTCATAACTAGAAAGCTGAGGATTGAGGACAGAAGGAGTGCTCCCTTCCGGGCCCGCCATCGGGACCCGCTTTGGGTTTTGGGAGGCTTGTCAATGTCTTCCTGGAACCCACCTGGGGAACAACCCCCTTGGGACCAAAATCTAGCCTGACATACAAGTCTTGAATGAAATTTGGTGAGGTTCATCCAAACCTAAAATTTAGAGCTAGGTTAGGTGTGGAATGACTTGATATCCGCAGTTCTTGTGAACTGCCATTACCTACATACTCGAGCGTACATACCACACCTTAAATTTTTGACCCGACATGCTGGATCCCAAATTCTTGGCCTTACCCTACACATAACTGTATATACTGGACTTAACATATCGGTAAAAAACTCCCATTGCTAAAAAAAATCAAATTCCAAAGCAACTTTAGTAGCCGATAAGTACAATTGATTCCAACCGACCCCTATTGAGAGAGTATCCCGCCTATAAATCAGCCTCCGATTCCTTCTATCGACGCCTGTATGCACATCCTACTTTCTACTTGCGTTTATTAATCATCCAAACTATTCCCGAACATCAGTTGAACACCATGAAGTTAGCTCTGATTTCCATACCTCTATACGCGCTACTTTGCGCTGCCTTACCTCAAGATACAGAGAGTTATCTCAGGGAGCAGTGTTCCAGCAACGAACTTTCCTGTTGTTCAAACCTAAAAAGCACGGCTGAGGCAAATGGAAACACCATTGATCAAGATCAAGGCAACCAAGTTCTAGATGTCGCGAGTGGGGTCGGTGTTCTAGTCAGTGTGTTGACTGGTAACACTCTCACTCAAGTTGCGAACATCATTCCTATTAGCATCCTCTCCGGATGCGCCCCAATAATAGGTACGTATAACTCTGCTACTCTCGAAATATCTCCTGACGCCGGCTTCTGAATGCGGTTTCTAGGCAATGCTCAGATCACGTGTGTGAATTATATCGCATGCTGCGTTCCGGGTGATGATCGTAATGGCCATCATGACAGTGGGAAAAACAGAAAAGTAAGAATACCTAGGACTCTCTCTCATGGAAGATCGCTGAATAGTCATAGGGTGATGAAAGTCAATGCCGAGTCCTCAGGGATACCACGGTCACACGTAACCCTGGGTTGCTCGGTTTGCCTTAAAAGGCATCGGAAGTCAGGAGAAAAGTTTTGGAATATGACTGAAAAATATCAGGGAGTGTTTCAAGGCAAAGGTAGTACTGTAATAAGCATGTTTTATAAGTTTACAAGTTAGTAGTGAATGAATATGGGTTTAAATGCAATGTATTTACGTTCTGTCGACCGGTAGAATTACGGATGTTTAGAGTAACATTCATCCTTACTTATATTGAGAAATTATGTCTTCAAGATCTTGAAAGTTATACATTCGCCCATGTTAAGCAATTAGAGCAGCAGTCTCTAACTCGGGTCTTTTCCGTATCTTCTGTACACCGAGAGCCTCCAACTGTGCTAAAGTCACTCTCATCAACAGACTGCGCTTTCTGCGCGATTTTCCATCCTCGCAGAGCTAGCATACATGTCGCAGCAGCAATGTACATGAATCCAGTAAACAGCTGTGTGCCGAGGTAACTCCCGGTACCGGAGAAAATCTCCAACGCAACTGGCTCACTGAATGTACACGGTATGGCGATGACCAGCCACAAAAGGTTGAGCCCACAAGGTACATTCTCTAGGCCGACGATTTCCGCCACAAGGGGTGCTATTGTCGCCCAAAAGTTGCCAGCAACCAGACCCTCGACTATGGCGAAGAATATCAAAACCCCGTAGCTTTTGGTATTGGTCCAGATAACCAGGGGTAAAACACCGGCGAGGAGTGTCATTGAACCTGCCATGTTGATCCGCCCAGTGGTATCGCTGAAGTACCCGATCAAGGGTCGCCCTATTGCCTGGCCGATGTTGAATAGTGCGCTGGCAACGGACGCCTGCGAAGCATTGAGGCCAATGGAGTTTGCAAAATTGGCCAGGCTGAAGATCAAGATGAAATAGCCCAGCATGCTGAATACACTGAATCCGAGCAACAGATTATACTCCCATCTCCGGAACAGTCTGGCATTGAATGCTACTCGCTTTGATCCAGTAGCGCGATTCCGGTCTTTGATCAAAAGTGTGCAGCTCGTGTTCACGACAAAAGCGATACTCCCCAGAATCCGATAGGTGAGTCTCAATCCTAGGTTCCGTATCATAGCGGAAGCAGCAAGCGAATACACTGCGCCACCAAGACCAGCACCGGCCAGCGAAACTCCGCTTGCTAGTGACCGTTTGGTAGTAAACCACTGCGGGACCACGGCAGCCACTGGGATGAAGATGAGGCCCAATCCCACGCCGAAGACCAGTCCTTGCGTCAGAAACAGATGCCATATTTGCGAAGCCCAGCTTGCACATAATAGACTGGCAGTTTCAAGAACTACACCACAAAACATGGTTGCTCGAATTCCAATCTTGCCAACTGCAAGAGTTGCCACGGGCGAGATGAGCATCAAACAGGTGAGACTCAATGATCCTACCAGGGCATATTGGAGTGCAGTAGCACCAGGAAAAATGTTGTTGTTCAAGTAGTGAGCCAGGAACACCGCATAAGCGGAATTGAAGCCCCAAGAATGCGCGTTGATAGTCGCAGCTGCAACGGTACACACCCATCCATATCCTCCGTCCGGAGGAGAGGAATCGGGAGGATTCGTCAATTGGGAACTGCTTTCGATCACATTACGGATCTGGTCCTCGGTGGATTGCACATCATGTTGCAGTTTCTCGTGCATCAATGAAAACAAAATCGAGGCTGATATCGAAGATTTTGACCGGACTCATGCGATGCCTGTTGGTTCAGACGAGGTGCAGACTCCAACTCAGTAGGCGGCAGGAAATATTTGAAGGATACTCGAAAAGGTATACCCCAGGGAAAAACCTTGCAACCCACGCACGCTACATCGTGAGTGGGGAAATAGAAGGCAAAATTTGGGTATCCGGCTTTTGGTTCTCATGGCTCGGGCCTTGAATTCAAAAGTTGCAGTGTCGAGCCCGTTAATAGAGGTGTGGGTCTCGGCCTTTGATGGGAGCTGCCAGAATTCGGCATTTGTTCGTTGGAAATGCCGCGTGCCGAACTATCACGGTTAGCGAGAAGAGATTTTTGATCCCTATTGGCAGCACCAATTCAAGACATGGGCATCTGAACATAAATGCAGTAGTTATAATCTGCCAAGGCTCGGTGGTTGACAGAAGAAGAGAAAAAAAATATCAGGCGACTGAAATCAAGATTCAATGGTCACTTGGCTGGTCAAGTCAAGGAATAGTACTAATCGATCGTAGAAAAGGCAACAAAGTCATTCAAGAATAACGCCATTGGGTATCTCAAACATACACAGACAAGATCTACAGACTCACTCACCGAAGGGATGATTAAACTTGAGCAGTCCATTCAAACCGCCCACCCATCCCTCGTGAGCTTCTTCACCTCCCATACTCCGGCGCATGACACTTGGTACACCACCCTGCCATTCATTCTCTCCATGCCTCATCTCCTCATTCCATACTCTAGCCTCCATGCCAATGGCCATGCCTTGACCCAGGTTGACACCGTCCAGACTGACTTCTAGTTCTCGACCGCGATTCTTCTCGCTAAGTCGCATTGTGATCGGTGTACTGACAGGAAGAACGAGAGGCCGGAAGCTGAGACTTCTCGCACAAATCGGAGTCAAGAGGACGGCGGGGACCAGGGGATGCACGATACTCCCGCCGCTGCTTAGGCTGTAAGCCGTACTGCCTGTCGGCGTTGAAATTATGATTCCATCAACCACGGCTTCCGTCAAGAACCGCCCGCCCACGAAGATATCCACCACTGCGAGATGAGGCTCTTTGCCGCGGTGAATGAGAAGCTCGTTCATCACGTAGACTCCTTGGCCATGATCGGTCTTGCCCCGGACCGGAGTCGTCTCTTTACCGTCTGCCGTGAAGAGTCCGACTTTCAGACGATTGCGCATGAGTATAGGTGCCCCACGTGTCGCGCCCATAGACTGCCCTCGCACGGATGACCATCCTGTCGGGCCCAAAGATGGCTCTTGAGTCTCCGACCCAGCTGCTGCTTCTGATGATGGCTGAGTCTCAAGAACAGGCGCACGATCCCCAGCGCCGGCGCCAGACATGTACACCTCTCGAAAGGCTCGCTTGAACTCGGAGAACTTCCATTCGCTTAGAAAGCCAAGGGTCCCCATGCTGAATGACAGAACAGGAGGGACATTTGGGCATGTAGCGAACAAAGATGACGCATGCAAGATTGTGCCATCTCCACCCAGTGTGACTGTCAAATCAACCTTATCGTGGAAAGCATTTGGCGCGTCTTCCAAACATGCTGTATAGACTGGGTAGGAAAGTGACTCGTGGACTTCGGCGGCTGTTTTGGATTCGAGGATAACGGCGATGGAGGGGTATGATGATGTGATATGACTGAGAATGAAATCAGTGGTTAGGACAACATTCATTATAGAAAGAGAGAGATCAAGTACTTGGCAAATTCAATCAGTGAATCTGTTACTGCTGGAGCACAGTCTTTCCGCACCAGAAGCACGTTTCGCGGCGGTGCCGGCCATTGTAGAGTCAGAAGCTCGCCTCGGTTTTCTGATCAAAAAGGACAGGTTAGATCAGGAATCAACTCTCGTAGTAAATACTGACCTCGATATTTCGGAATCAGGCGTTGTGATAAAGCACTAACGTCCCGTATTTCCAGACGTCGTGCGGAGGATGAGAAGCAGCGCCGCAGGAACTGCCCCGAGAAGCGGCGTGAAGAGGCGCACTGCATGATGGATAGGGTAGGCTGAGGACTCGTATGAAAGCCTCCTAATTTACCGGTAACATATCCAGTGGGTTTCAAGGCCGATGAAAAGACAAAAGACCCTCAGTTTCGGTGAAAATGCAAGTCCGCTTCATCGCAATGCATTGGATTCTCCGATCGCGCGGTGACGCATGCTGGGCAGAATACGGACCGCCCCACGTGAGCTTCCCCCGAGATGACCCAAGCTCCCCGGTTGTCGCCCTTTTTCTAAGGCAGGATTCCGACACGTTCATAGTTGGTGCTTTGATTTGGAGAATCAGTGAAGCAGTTTCCCACATCGCGATTGAATGACATGCAATAGTGTACAAGGTAATTCGCTAAGTCTGCCAATGGGAAATTTGACGTACTGCATCGAGGGCAATTTCCAAGTTCTCCTTTTATCATGACTTCTCGGATGAGGGTAAACATGCTAAGATGGACGAGCCTCATGGAAACGTGAAGATGACCATGGAAAAGATTTACGGATCTCCTTAGACACACCAGTTTCAGATAGTTATGAGATTAGCCGGGGACTGATCTTCTGTGCGATCATTCTTTCCTCGGAGTGAATGCTGCTCAAGGGGCTCTCCAATTGTAATTAACATCTATTATGCCTCTATCCGTCGCCCTTACTACCCTTCCAGCAATACCTGCTAGCTTCATTGCATGCTCACTGAAAATAGCTGCAAGCCTGGTAAGTGAGTTCCGCAAATAAGCAAGATATTGAATTAACTTTCTACCATCTGCTCAACATACTTGACATGTCTACCCAAAATAGCTGGTATTATGTATGACCAAAATGTGCAAACTTCTAAAGTACTTCCTCCAGTTGAACGTATCATTCACGTTGATGTAGAGTTGACTTCAGGACTTAAGCGCCTCGACTTGGACAATATCTCGTCCTTTCCTATTCAAACGTGTTCGCTTGAGCCTCCCACTCCTCGGACTCTTCCCATCGTCCGGAATCTCCCTTTTCTTCTTACTCCTCCTTTCCTTTTCTTCTTCTCCTTCACTTCTACCCTCTTTCATCCTGCTTCCTCTTCGTCTCATCTTCTGCCTCCAAATCTCAAGACCTCATCATCTCTCACCCCTAGCCTGACGTCCGGTTATTGACGCATTCATCAAACCCAGAGCTCCCTTTTGTCGACACTGTGTGAATGTCACTTCTCTTTGAAGGTGATGTTACATGAGCACGGAATGGATGCAGCCACCTCCCTCACGAATCCAAAGCTGTCGTGGAACATCTATCACCGCCAGGTGTTGTGTTGTCTATACCGCTTTTTCGAGTGCAATCACGACCAACTATCGGTCTTGTTCTCAACGATTTTCCGGAGCGACCTGAGGCACTGTGGTTTTGGTGACCAAAATGCCTCATACGCCAGACTGCATGCACAGTGGGATTGGTTGAAGAGACAGAAGCGCCCAGTGTGGTATCATGTACACATTCACACCGAGTTCAGGAAAGACCGGGAATGGAGAGATATCATCCACAGAATTCGGCTCACCGCATTCGAGCTAGGTCTTCTGCTCCAAGAGAAGTTGTTCGACACGATTCATATCCCTAACGATGACTTTGATGTCAATAACCACACGGATGAATATTTGGGGTCTGTTCTTTTGGCAAACCAGGCCCAAGTGCAGCATTCATCTGGTGGTGATGTCGTGACTGACGAGCCCTTCGCCGGGGAATCCTCCTCCCAGAGTCCTCAATATCCTTCAACTGTTGTCACGGGGACACCCATGACTGATGCGACGCCAATATCTATCGAAGACGAACTCACAGCACCAGATATTCAGAATCCGGTGATGGACGGTCCTCCTCCATTGGGAACCCACACTATCGACGACTCGAGTGAAAATTTTGACCCTTTAGTCACTAGCCATGGCAAGGCCTGTTTCTGGTGCGTAAGGGAAGGTATTCGACTGGAAGATGATACTCCCACGGTCCCCGGTATCACTGTTGATGAAAGCCTCCATGATCATAACCAGGAAATCAATGAGCACAGCCCCGGCCTCGATGCTGAGAATGTAGCTCTGGCAGATCTCAATAACCATGATTCAAGCGACCTCCCCGGACTATGTGGCGTCGATGATCTGCCACCGCTGCTCTATCGCTGGTTCAACGCCAACTCCCAGGGCATCAATTCGGAGACAATCTTTGTTGCGGGCTGCTTCACAAGGACCTATCCTGATATCACTTCCCCAAGCCAAACTTCGAAGGAAGATTTCCTCGAGATGTTCGAAGCTCATGCGAGACGGGTAAAAATTCCGACACCGTTTATTTCGGTGTTCGCTCGACAGTTGGCCCCAATTCATCGGGCACTTCGAAACGGTCATAATGCTAAGATCTCAGTATTTGACCCGCGGAAGATACATACTCCTGTGTTTCAGGCACAGTCACTGGCAAGTACTACTGGAACGGAAGTCTACCATTGGAAGGGGTATGGCGAGTTCGCGGTATGGGGCTGCATCCCTGGAGAAGCAGTCGTCAGTACATTCGATATTACGACTCTGGAACATATTGCCTCGCGAGACGTTGAGATACGGGATTTTCTCCAACTTTCTCTTATCAAGGAGCAATCGATGTGCGACCACAGGCTACGTCGACTTTTACGGGCCAACCTAGAGGCGTATGAGTATGAGGACTGTTACTCGCTCCTCAAGCGACTGGCGCGTGAGCTTGGTATGCCTCGAGAGTTTCATGAGTCTTTTGCCATGGGTATGTATCAGGCCTGGACTAGGGACCTAGGTGGTCTCTGTCGGGAACGAGAGGACCTCCTTTATCCCCCTTCCGTTTCACCAGAGCCTCCCATCACAGATCAAGGCAACGCTCCCATAATAGATAGACTAGATCAGAGATTCACACGGTCTATAAGTGAGTCTACAACATCATATATACCTACCAAGAGTGACGATGGGAGTTGTTCCGAGTCTAGCTCCGACGAGGAGGACACAATGTCCCAGTCTCCAGAGGCTATATGTCCAAGACGGGATACCGCTAGCCCCGACTTCTCGGTAGCCAGTGATACGGATGACTCTGTCGAGTTGAATTTCCGCCCGCACAGTCTTGCAGCTACTAACTATGTCGAAATGCTTGAGGTCGCAGTCCTACCCACACCACCCGGTACGAGCCGATACTTCCATCACTCGAGCAATGTTAGTTTGACTGTGCCTCCGCTGACCTTGGGCACGCTGAATCTATCAACGACTCTGAATGATGGTCTTGATTTTGACGACGAGCCCGAATGGCCCTCAGAGGGAGAAACCTTTGATGGGAACAACACCCCAACTAGGTCTCGATACTTTAACCACAATGGCGGGTACATGCATTCACCTCGCCCAAGTCTCCAGGAGCAAAATCCGTTTGTGCTGAGTGATGATGAGATGGAGCCGTGAAAAAGCATTTTGTGGGAAGTCGATTCTTGAAAGATCTGTTGATGTGCATTGTGGGTGAAGACTCACTACGACGGGATCAGTGTTTGATAAGCTTGTATAGCAATGAATATTCAGAGCTTTTATCAAAGGGTTCAATACACACCGCTAATTACTCGGTAAATGTGCAGATCATGATAGTGAGTGTCACTCGTTGAGCTTGTGATGTGCTTGATTCGCAATAAATGAAGTTAAACTTCAGGAGCTCGTAACAGTCTGTAATGGCCCTATATGTCATGGCTTTATAGCTTCACTGTACTTAATTAACTACCAGCTTGATATCATGGTAGATACCTAACACTAATTCTCAGTTACATTGGAGGTACGTGGTGCAAGATACCATGATCAGAAGAATTTTTGACTTGATGAATATGCTGCGTGTAGAAGATGAGACCTTCAGATAGCTTGTAGACCCAAAGAAGACCTTACGGATTGGAATTTGATAATTCAAACAATCACATTTACGACAATGTTTGGAACGGACGACTCGACCGGGTGACGGCCGGGAGTTAATTTAGTTTCGTTAAAGAAGATGATTAAGCAGATCCCCGGGCCCGCATTGTTTGTTCAGTTTGCAGCCGAGATGATCGTCGCCAAGTTTCCCCGTCACTCCTCTGCTCAGCTTGGGCACCGCATCTGCTTGTGACAAATAACGTTCAAATCACGGTCGAAGCACAAGTAATCCCGAAGAACTGGCTTTTATTCTCGGCACACAACCCATCCATCATGTCTCGCGCTGGAATGTGGACTAAGGCAATTGGAGGGTAAGTGATACGCCTTCTCCCTCCAGTGTCAACCCAGCTAATGACTCGATTGCTCTAGTGGTATCCTCTTTTGCGTCGGTGGACCAGCGCTCGTTCAATATATCCGCCCATCAGACGAAGAGCTCGTCAAGCGGTATAACCCTGATCTACAAAAGCGCAGTGCAGAGCAGGGCGATCGCAAGGCCCAGGAGTTTGATGATTATGTCCAGAAGCTGAAGGAGTGGTCTAAATCGGACAAGTCAAGTATGCTGGGAGCTTTGGACTGAATACAAAGGAGAATACACGGCTGACTCAGTGCTTTGTCTTAATCTAGTTTGGTACGCCGCGCAAGAAGAGCAGGACCGGAAGCGTGCGCAACTCGAGGCGCAGCGTGCCCAGGCCAAGGAAGAGTCGAGGATACAGCGCGAGGAGATGCGCAAGGAGATGTTGGGTGAGAAATAAACACCCTGAAATGTTCTACCATGCCGTCCACCACTTGCCGAAATACTTTACCCCTCCTTCCGAGCCCAAACTCAACATCGAACCATCGTCTCAGTTCTCTCCATTCTTATCGAGATCTTATGCCGTCTGCAAATCTCCTCGGTCTCCCACTGTGTCATCTTTTGTTGACCGAAATTACTCGTGGCGCCTTGGAATAGGCGCTGTGTGACTATAAAAGCGTGTACGATATATCTACCAGCGAAAATCTCTTGGAGAGCGAGATATCAATCTCCGAAGCTACTTGTGTATTTTTAATTGACGAGCGTCTCCAATATTGAATATGATATCAAAAATACCACTCTTCACGGAAACACCGAGCCCTCCATTTTTGTTCTCGGCATATATAGTTGTCTCATTTTGCTCGCGTCTAATTTACTCAGGCTCCTGGTGCAGCCACTTCTCCCGCAGAGCCTTGACATCTACGCCACAAGCCTCGGCCTTCTTGACGATAGCCCGCGCTTTATGCGCAACGGGCACATCAATCATCTTGCCATCCAACGTCCACGCACCTCGTCCCGCGGCAGCAGCCTTGTCATCAGCAATCACAACGCGCATCGCCCACGTAGTCTCGGCCGGCTCCGGCCCGAAGATCTCATTCGCGACTTTCACCTGCGAGGGGTGAATGCACTGTTTCCCGTTAAAGCCCAGTCGACGTCCATCACGGCACTCCTCCTCCAACGCCGCGGGCGGAGACCCATCCGCCTTATCGGACTTGTACGCGGTGCAGACCAGATCGATCGTAGACGGGAGGTTCGCAGCACGGGCAGCGGTCGCAATCGCCGAGCGCGCGAACAAAAATTCCGTCAATGAAGGCGTACGCGTGATATTCAGATCTAGCGCGAAGTCTTCGGCTGCGAAAATCAATCCTTGGAGGAGGTCCGAGGCGGCACAGATCTCGGAGAGATTTGTGAGAGACTTGGCAGACTCGACGAGGGCGAGGAGTGAGATGGGAGGTCTCTTTTCGGGGGAAGGCAGCTGGGACAGGGTGTGGCTGATGACGTCGGTGACGAATGTCAAGTCCGAAGCTGAATTGACCTTTGGAATGACAATGGTCGTCAAGTTGGGTGATTGCAGCTAGATGGAAATGACAAGGTTAGCTCTATATGTTTCTCCTAGTTGTTCCTGGACCCATAGAGCTGCTACTCTACTCACCACCTCTGTCAGATCCCCCAGCGCCAAACCGCTGTCCACCGAGTTAATGCGCACCGCGCGCTCGCGAATGTTCTCCGGCGTCGGCTGATCGATCGCTCTCCGCACCAGCGACCGGGCCTCGGCCTTCATATGCGGTGTCACGCTGTCTTCGAGATCATAGGTGAGACAATCCGCCGCGAGGGAGCGGGACTTATCAAGGAATCGCTGTGACGAGCCGGGGACTATTCATGGCGGGGAGAAGAATCGTTGGTTAGCATCCCTGCGCAGCCCGAGGAGCTCCGCATGGAAAATGCGGGGAAGACGCGGAGCGCGGGTGGTTAGGAGTCTAGTTACCGTATAATAAAGACCGGCGGAGGGTGTTGCGAGCTGCCATCGTGAAGGCTGGGATTTTCTCCGTAGATCAGTGTCAAGTACTCGTGAGGTGGTCGTGCTGGGAAGCGTGGTGGAGGATAATTAGTGTTGCGCGAGCGTGAGGAGAAGCTCGTTTACCGAGTGAAGCTGGGAATTCAGCTGGCGGGCTTTGCTTTTACCCGCTCCAGGAAGTACAGTAGGTCCGCAAGCCGAATAGTGATAGAGTCGATCTACGAACACAATACCTGAGAGGTCATTTAATCTCTCATCTATCCCTATTTGTAGCACTTTTGGTTAAATAGCCTGTTTGTACTTTACTTCTACTTCCATTCGGGTACCTCTCCCTGGAAGTCGCCTTTATGCCCCGGCCTAATCGTCCTCCATACTCGGCGCTGGCCTCTCCATGCCGAGAGTCGGTATATACAATACAGGAGAACAAGGCTTCGTGTACCAGGCTACTAGGGCCGAGGAGTCTCTTGGAAGGAGTGTTTTATAAACCAATTGGTCCTTCTGTACATATTCTGGATTTCTTCTGTCCGCTTTATCTAGGTGCTTGGACATAGGTGAACAATATTCATGTCCAAACACGTAGCTCTTACATGAAGTTCTAGTCAATGGATAACAACTTCATTTCATTCACATACTATTATCACATTTTCGCATAATCCATATTACTCAATCCGTTGGGCACTGGAAACATCAGGCACACCCCGACCCTCGGTGATCTTAGCTTCGATAATCTCATCAATAGGAATCTCACCCAGACGAGACACGACATGGTTCAGGGTTGGCAATGCATCCCATCCGAGAGCATTGATCTCGACCTTGGCATTCTTCGTCCGACGCAGGCGCGTCACTTTAGAAGGCACAACCTTGGACTCCTGTGCATGAGGAACGAAGACGGGATACTCCGCCTCGGCTTCACCCTTGGTCGCCTGACCAACCTTGGGGATATACCGATACACAAGGATTCCATCGTCATCTTCACCACCGATAGTCCCCTTATCCGCGGACGGATCCACATCCTCTAGATCCTCCATTTCAAAGTGTCCCCACACGGCACCCTGCCAGCTGGTCTGGTACCGGTACGAGCCGTTGCGCTCGTGGATGTCAATCGCGGAGTAGAGCTTTGGCATACCGAGTTCCTCCCGGCCAGAGACGATCGGGTCTGCCAGACTCTCGAACAGAATGGGCATATAAGTACCCTTGAGCACTTCGCCATTCTCCTTTTTATACTGCACACCGTGGATGTACAGTCCGATGTGGCGGTAGCCACCGCCGCCCAACCAGTCCATGCCGTTGAGGGTGGTCTGGGAGAAACTGGCGCGGGCCACGCTACCGGGGCTAGTGAAGCTGTAGCGGTCTGATGGGAAAAGGTTCTGCAGGAGGGTACGGCTGGTCTTGAACTTGATTGAGGCGGTTTGGAAGGTGGACTCGAGAGATTTCAGAGCACGGTCGTTGCCCAGGAAATCTTGTCGGGGACCGGGCATGGGTCCGAACACGATGGGTTGGCGCCAGTACATGTGCGGATTTTGGGCCCACTGGTGCTTGCGAAGCACTTGGGCAGAATGGTCAAATTCATCATGGCCATAAATGTACACCGTCATACCGAATGCTATCGATGGAATGTTAGTAACTGATTCAAATGTATATCCTCAGTGTTGATGATAAAAAAAGAAATTATACCTCTCTCAGGAGACAAGAGCTTGACAGACTCGCGAGTCATCTCTTGGATAGTCGTGGCTCGTCCGTGACGGGCCTTCTCATAGATCTTCAGTCTCTCCGGGACCTCGGCGGCCGTAATGCCTCGCGGCAACATGACGGACAACGAGACTGCATCTTCAATAGCCATCGCACCGCCCGAAGCACGGTAGGGCAGGAAAGGATGAACGGCATCACCCAGCACGGCCAGGCGGTCATTCACCCAGGTCGGCAAAGTAGGCATATCGAGGAGCGGCCACAGCTTCAATGTCTGGGGGTCAGCCTTCTCGAGCAGCTTGCGGACCTGCGGGTTGAAATCCTTGTACACCTCGAGAAGAGCCTCCTTTCCAATCTGCTGGTTATAGGAATCACCACCCGCGTCAATGGTGGTGATCGAATCGGGGTGAATGCAGACAAAGTTGAGCAACTCATTGTTCGAGCAAGGGTAGATGACGACTCGGCGGTCGTCGGAATCCCACATGTCGACGGCACCAAAGTCCTGAGCAATACTGTTTGTCTCGGGATCATCGAGTGCCTGTTGACGAGTAATGAGGAAGCGGAACGCATTCTTGCCCGAGCTGACGGGCTTAATGTCCTCAGTGAGCTTGGTGCGAGTGAGGGAGTGCACGCCGTCGGCACCGATCAGGACATCTCCCTTGATGACATCGCCGTTCTCCAACGTCACGGTCGCGTTGTGCGGGTCGACGTCGACTACCTTGCTGGCCGTGTGTAGCACGGCAGGCTCTCCCTTGCCCGGTGCCTGAGCGGCAGTCTTCAGTCCCTCGTGGAAGTGGGCACGGTGGACGAGCAGCCAGCGCTAGTGATAACGGTCAACTCAACTGTCCAATCACGTTATCCAGAGCAATACTCACGTGTCGCCACATGCCCGCATGCTGCTTGACTGCAACGGCGTGAACGGGCTCTCCTGCGGGGGTATACTCTCGCAACTAGATCCACGATTAGTTTGAAGGCATTTCGCCAACTGGACACGCGGTCTTACCAATTCACACTCGTTAGCGCCAAACTTGGTCGCATCGACTCCCAGTCTCTGCAGGACTGCATTGGCATTGGGAGACAGATGAATCGCAGCACCAATTTCGTTTGCGAATCGTGATCGTTCGAAGAGCTAGACGGTGGGTATGGCGGGTCAGCATATCGCAGTCTGAACGATTTGCACTGAGCCACCGATCACACGCACCTCGACACGATGACCCTGCTGGCGCAAAGCAATCGCCGCGGTCAAACCACCGATGCCCGCACCGATGATCAAGACGCGAAGGCCCTCGGGGGCGGTTCCACCGTTCAGTTCCTTAATCGCCATCTTTGGTGCACTTGACTAGCAGAATCGCAACTGAATCCGAATAGCAACCCCGCGGTTGCAGTGCGTCCGGGATAAATATTTATGGCGCATAGAGTCGTCCCTTTTTCGCGTCCCCGCCATCCATTGCGTCCCTCCTTCGGCTTCCTTGGGGCCCCATCGTCGTCAGTTGGAGGGGCGGCCTCGGATGTCCATTTCGGCTCCACCTCCGGGGGAGGCACCACGCGGCCGCGGGCGGGGGAGAAAGGGAATGTATATGAATTGTAGGGAGGAGAGGTGCTACCGCGCTTGGTCTCTTTTTGTTTTGTCTTAGGGTTATTCTTTTTCCTTGTGACATCCTGGGTCAAGACTGTCTTCGAAAATGCCGAACGAAATCAAGGATATCACCACCAGGGATGAAACGTCCTTCCCTTACATCTTCGAACAGAATGTCTCCATCGAATTGAAGGACCAATCCGGGGTGGTGCGATGCAACGTCTATCGCCCCAAGACTTCCGACAAGGTTCCCGTCTTGGTCACCTACGGACCCTATGGCAAGGACATTCCCTACAAGGACTTCCACCCTCAGAGCTTCAGCGAGGTCAATCCCGACCAGCGCTCGGAGCATTCTGCTTGGGAGACCCCGGATCCCAAGTACTGGACCACCAATGGCTATGCCGTCGTGCGCGCCGACGAGCGTGGCACGGGCCAGTCCTTCGGCAAGCTCGATACCATGTCGCGGGGCACCAGTGAAGCTTTCTTCGATGTCGTCGAGTGGGCGGCGGAGCAGCCCTGGTCGTCCGGGAAAGTCGGTCTGCTGGGAATCAGTTACTTTGCCGGCAGTCAATGGCGTGTCGCCGCTCGTCAGCCCAAGGGACTGGCTTGTATGATTCCATGGGAGGGCATGTCGGATTACTATCGCGATCGGTGCCGACACGGTGGAATCTTGTCCAATGCGTTCATCAAGTTCTGGTGGAATCGTCAGGTGGTGAGCAACCAGTACGGTCTGGGAGGTCGTGCGGCTCGCAATTGGGGTCCCGACACGATCGAGGGAGACCTGTCGGAAGAAGAGCTCGTGCAGAACCGCCAGGATCAGACGATCGACAACGAGGAGAACAAGTTCCGTGACGATCTCTACTACGCCTCCAAGGAGTACAGTCTCTCGGATATCCAAGTGCCGCTGCTGTCCGTGGCTAACTGGGGTGGTATTCTTCTGCACCTGCGTGGCAACGTGGAGGGATGGACTCACGCCGGTTCCGAACTCAAGTACCTCCGCTTCATCACCGGTCGTCACGACCTCCCCTTCTACTACGCCGAGGAGGTTGAGGTCCAGCGCAGCTTCCTGGATGCCTTCCTCAAGGGCGAGGACCGGGAGGGCTGGTCGACGGGCAAGGCGCCCAAGGTTGATATGGTGCTGCGCAAGGGCGATGCCGGTTTCAACAATGCCGAAGCCGAGAAGCTCTTCCCTCGTCGTATTGAGCACGAATGGCCCATCGCCCGCACTCAGTACACCAAGTTCTACCTCACCTCCCAGAAAGAGCTGATCACGCATGCCCCCACCGAGCGTCCCAGCAAGATCTCCTACGAGGCTCTGGGTAACCTGGACAAACCCCAACTGGTGCAATTCGTCACTCCCGCATTCGAGAAGGAGACTGAGATTACCGGACACATTGTCGCCCATCTGAACGTATCCATGAGCGCCAATCCGGGCGCTCCTACCCCCCAGGATCTCGATCTCTTCCTCACCCTCCGCTACATCTCCCCCGAGGGCAAGGAGGTCTTCTACACCGGTACCGCGGGTGACCCCGTTCCCCTGTGCAAGGGCTGGCTGCGTGCCAGCAGGCGCAAGGTTGATGAGCAAAACCCCCGCCACAGAGCTTGGCTGCCTCACCGTAACTATTACTCTACGGATGTGCTGCCCGTTCTGCCCGGTGAGGTTTACCCGGTCGATGTGGAGATCTGGCCTACCAACGTCGTGGTTGAGAAGGGTGGAAAGATTATTCTGGAGGTTTCCAGTGGTGATACTCAGGGTAGCGGTGTCTTCCAACATAACTCCCCCATTGATCGGTATGTTTCCTTTGCCTTCATTAGTTTGGTGAGACAGTGCTAACAGAATCTTATTTATATAGCTCCGTGGAACGATTCCAGGGCCAGAACCACATCCACTTCGGCCTCGGCGACAACTACGTGACTCTGCCCATTATTCCTTGAAGGAACACATAATTGGTAGAAAATGATTGTAAACGAATGTTAGAGCACAGCACAAATAAATATATCTCTTATTTTGCATTGATCCAATCACCATATTGGAAGTTCAAATCCATTGCCCGTATTGAAAATCTCCAGATTATATAACTTCAATCGATAGACCAAATTATCACTTGGCATTTACTATTATTAGGATCCAATGACCAAATTTTGTGTCGTGAATATGTAGATTACTGTCTTGGCCTCAAAATTGAATATTGGGGTTGAGTTGTTAGTGTAGTTAGCAGCCACACCATGTACTGTACATCTCTCCAGCTCCGGCATTTCCTCCTTTGGCTTCTCACCGACGTGTCAGACCATACAAATCACAAGACATACTCTGCCCTGCCCGTCACTGATTCCCGATCCAAACAGCCGAAACTCCGGGAATTTTTTTATCGCCGAGTCTCCAAAGTCCGCACGGCCATTACCCCACAGCCGATGTGGTCGAAAGTGGTCCCGAGAATGACGAAGGACGCCCCCGCACGAAAGAATATAGATCAGGAGGTACAAACAAGACTATCATCTCCCAGCCATCAGACAACCAAAACCATTGATCCCTTATTTTCTCTCTATCCTTGCAAAAAAAAAAAGAACAATCAGCCCATCATGACCACAAAGGCTTCCAAGACCCTCCGCCCACTCAACCGGTTCATCACCACCCATAATGCCGATGGACAAGCCATCTTCTCCGACGCCCTGTCCGAGGTCATGCCCGTCCAGGGTATTCCGGATGGCGCAGACTTCAGTCTTGCCTACACTTCCTCCCAGTTCCCCGCAGACCTCAACAACGATGCGGACATCAACGACTACAAGGCCTACCTAACTAGTCCCCCCGGCATCACCATTTCCACCGGCACCGTCTGCCGCATCGTGGATATGCAGCCCGGCTCGTTGAGCCCCATGCACCGCACGGTTTCCCTGGACTATGGCGTCGTGCTGGACGGTGAAGTCGAGCTCGTGCTGGATTCGGGCGAGACGAGACTGATGAAGCGTGGCGATGTTGCTATCCAGCGTGGTACCAACCATGCCTGGCGCAACGTGACGCCCGACGTCGTTGACCCCGTTACGAAGCAGGCTACCCCGCAGTGGGCGCGTATGTTGTACGTTCTCTCTCCGTCTCAGCCTATGGAGATTGGTGGGAAGAGTTTGGGTGAGGTTGTGGATGGTATTGGTGTTCGGGCTAGCACTTAAAGAGGGAATGCAATACAATAGATAGATGGGACAAGCTTTATAAAATGAAAAACAAAGTTCAATGACACATTTCCGGAAGCTTACTGACAGAATGACTTTTCTGTTATTCCAAAGCGTCCTACTCCGCCATTCCAAGTAGATTAGATATACAAAAATTCTCTTCGATTCACCAATTGGACAAGTGCATGTTTCGATAATAGTAGATAAACGCTACGTACAACAAAGAAATAACCGAGATGGAATAGATACACAAGTAGTCAGTCGGAAGCAGCAGTTACCCACGCAGTTTCACAAACGTCCAGGTATAGTATCCCAGCGTCGACACTGTCGCCACGAGCGAGATCAGTGTGAGACTAACGCCAGTAATGATACCTTGCTCGAAGAATCCAATCTTGAATCCGGGTCTCTGTTTGGTCGAGGGCAGAGGGGCCAATGCCTCCCGCCAAAGCGCATCGGACCGTACCGTATTCTCGTTGCCGAGAATTATTTGCGTGGCGTTGGCGGTGGCAGAGGGAATGATGAGTTGAGCGCGAGGCTTTTGGAATTGCGACGTTGCGTAGCGGGTTTGTGGGCTGTAGGGAGTGTTCCGGGGAAGGGCGGGACCGACTGGAAAGCATGTGTTAATAGAATTGTTCTGAATCTGCATGGTTTCGCACTGAAAGTGGTCGAGAGAGGATGGACGAATGAAAGAGGAGCTTTGATACGTACTCAGCATGTGGCTGGGGACGTGGTTCACCCAGGAGATGTCCGCGTCGATAAACTGAGTGAGGTACTTGGCTGAAGCAGGCGCAGCAAAGGCATAAACGGCAGCGAGGTTCTCATTGCTAGTTTTCAGTTAGCAGGGCGCTTCGACCACAGGAGATAGGGCAGTACCACATACAAGCTGACGTCGATAGCGTCATCCAAGCTAGTGACGGGATGCACAAGCAGCACCTTTTCGTCAATCTTCTTCTTCAACAGGGGAGAGTTGCTGGGCACATTAGCATCAACCCAAGAATACCAAGGTATAGTAGCTAGGACTTACCGGTCCTGCACCTCGACCACGCCCCAGTTGCTACCCGATACCAAAACCCGGGCAGTTCGGTCTTTATGGATCGAGTCAAGCACACCCGGTCGTCGCGGCGACGTGGAGACCTGTCTGGCCTCACCGTTCTCACCAGCAAGGTACTTTGAGGCGTGCTGGATGACGGCCTCGACAAATGGTTTCATTGCAAATTCATTCACCAGCACAACGTCGGGGGAGTATGGTGAGCGTCCACCCAGCGCAAAACGAGCTGCGACCAGAGATTGGGCAGCTTCGGCAACTCTGGCGGTTCTGTCGACGATAGCAACACTGCGCGAGCCTGCAGGCGAAATGAGTCCGTGGGATCCATCTGCGCCCGTCTGCACAACCAGCAGAGCCTTGTCGAGGAAGGACTTGTCGGGTCGCTGGCTCGTGATCGCAAAGGTGTCGTGATCCAGGGCATCGGGGAGGATCTGACGCAAGAGCGCTGGCAAAGCCATGGTCGTTTGGGGAAGCTATATAGTCCCATGGTGAACTTCTATCCATGTTTATTCTCTTTCAAAGACTATGCTTACCTCAAGAACGATGCAATTGCCCGCGGCCAAAGCGGCCGTCAACGCAGAAATGACCGAGAAGAACAGCGTATGCGTGGACGGCACGATATAGACAATACCGGCACCCTGTACGTTCTCCGCATTGTCTTTTCCATTGGCAATACGATACTCGATCTCCAAATCCTTCTTCAAGTCCAAGGATGTATAGTGCGTTCGCAGCTCTTGCAGCGCCAGGACTACCTCGGCACGGATTTCCTGCTGGGTATGTCCCGAGTCTGCTCGAATGGCATCCTGAATATCAGCAATGTGCTTGACAAGCACGGCTTGCAGGCGGTGAAATTCCGCTTGACGATACCGCGTGTTCTGAGTGCGGCCGTCGAGGTTAGCGGCGACAATGCGGGTGAGATCCATGATGGGGACGGCGATAGTATCAAGGAGAACGGGAACGGACAAAAATCACAAAAGTCAAGACGGAAAGTCCTCTAGAGCCCTTGAAGAAGTACGCGTCCACTTTCTCCCAGCATCAGCCAGCATTATTTTTGGGGGGCTCTCGGAGCTAGCATGACCAGCAGTGTTTCTCCGAGGCTTCCTCGAGGCGAAGTCCATCGGCATGTGGGGGAGAATGCGGGCGCCCGTTGATTCTCTCCCCCAGTTTGGCCGTGGGTCATGCGCAATCCCCCCATTTTACCCCCGTTTTTGACTCCCTATTACAAGGAGTGACGGGTCGATATGTCGGCTTAGGTATCTCCGGAGCGAATATGAGCGGGACCGGGTCGCTCGCTGCGTGGGTGAAGGCATTCGTCAAACCTCTCTCCAGAATCTGTACCCGCGCCATCATGTCTGCGACTGCTACTACTACTACCACTACTACCACGACACGCTCGTTGTCCGTCCTCGCCGATTATGAGGTCCATCACAGCGGATCGGAGCACACTGGCTCTGCTGTACCGGTGAATCCGGAGCAGCCAACTGACTGGCCGACTCATCATCGTCGTGTGCCGGCGTACCGTCCTGCCAACTCTCAACTCGACTCGGCGGATCGCCCGGCGGGTAATGGGCACCCTGCAGAGTATGCCTTCATTCAAATCATGTTGCACGGTGTGTGGTTAAATGCGGTATGTCAAGAATCAACAATGGAGCAGGGTTTTCGTGAAACGAGAGAGCTAACGGCGGACAGTCCGTGTCGCGACTATGGCGGTTTACCGGTGGAAGGATCAATGACAAGATCTTCCATTACGAAGTGGGCGGAGAATGGTAGTGCATTATGCATGGGCTTGCATGGATATTGTTTTATTTTTTGTTGTCTTTTCGGAATCTTATTTCAACTTTACATCTCTCCGATTCATTTCTTGACCGATCATAATCGCCCGTACGAGATTTGGAGATCGTCCCGGTGCTGCTCCCTTAGTCGTATCTCCTCCTCCTCCTCCTCCTCCTCCACGTCCTAGATTTGATCACACGGCTGCGTTCACAGCTGAATCCGGCGGAATTTTTGCAGCTTCGACATGCCAATCCGTGCGAGTATTAATGTCCCCATCACGCATCCTGCCACCAGGGACGGGAAAGCGTAGGGGTTATCTTCTAGGTAGTTGATCACATTCATACCGTATAAGCCCGCCACGAATGTCGAAACCGCAAATCCCAGCATGCAAATCTCAAGTTGCGCCTCAAAGACCATGATCTGATTTCGTCGCACGTCGAGAACGGATAAGATGGCATCTTGTGTACGGTACACTTCACTCAACAGTGCCCCCGCCGATTCGACAATCGCATCGTGACTTTTATAGTATGCCTCGAGAAGGTACTCGACTTCTTGATGGTCTTCGATGGCATGGGGCCGGCCAGCTTTTTGGTCCGTGAGGTACATTTCGGCGAGATCTTCGTCATTGCTGAGTAGTTCTTGGAGCGCGGTGCGCATCTGTCGAGCGCGTTGTTCGATATTGACGAGCTTTTTCCCGTTCTCGAGTAGCGTCCTCGGTCCGGTTGAAGCGATGTCTTCGCTTTGTAGATCTTTCAGGCTGTACTCGATATCCTTGCGGACTAGAGAGTGCTCCGCCTCTAGGTGTGCGGTCACGGATGCCAATGCGGCCTCGAATACGCGGAGTTCATATGGAAGTGAAACCGGGAACCCAGAGCGATGATTGCCGCACAGTTTATTCTGAAGATCCGTCACGAAGATCTCCTCGAGGAAGGCGTGGGGATCGTTGTCCCTGGAACCCCCTCGGATCAAGAGTGCTCGGTCTGATTGAACGAGAAGTCTCAGAGAAAAAAGACTGATGAAGATCGTGGTAGGTCGAACGACGAAATGAGGGACGCCCCCTGATACTGCATCTACCGTGCGCAGGTCGCGGCCATCGACCCCATACTGGTGAGCGATATTGGCCTTGGTCAGGCGGGTCTCCGATATCTCGATAGCGCCATTGGCGTCAATCAGAGTGCACATCAACTCGGTCGTTCCATTCATACGTCCATGGGAGAGGGAGAGGGACAGATTCAGTATATCTTGCGGCGTGGGCTTTGTATGAATATGTCGGCAATGTTGATAGATGTCGAGTGCTTTTCTCGGGATCTTCAGACATGCCACCCTAGTTGTGAATGGTACCGTCGGTTTTGAGAATTCATTGTAGATTTGCTTGCTGTATGGTTGAGAATAGCGAGCAAGTCCTCGTTCCCACTGGATGCCTCGCGGCCGGCACTCTTTGAACACGCATGATAACGTATTCGTCAAGATGGGTCGCATGATAGGAATTGGGTCAATATTTGCCTTTTGCCGAAGATCCTTGACACCCTGCGTTATATTGTCACCTCCACCGTTTCCCAGTTCAATCGAGTCTTTCCTGTCTGGGTGTGATCCCTGTCGGTTCCTTGCTCGTGGGGAATAGCGTCATCACGATCCGCATCGTCCGCACGGGCCATGCCAACCACGCGGGCCACGCAGGGGAATCCCGCCTGGTTGGTCGATCTGAACTTGTGCGGCCCCCTCGTGGAACTAGCTTTCCGACGTCAACGTTGTTAATGAGAAAGAGCTATGGCCGTCGAGAACTGTCCCCTCACTGATGACATCAGCCATTTGATCGTGGTTTGCTGTCATGCAATCTATATTGGCGGACCAGCACACGGGCTTGAGGAGAACGAATGGTAGGCTCGGTTCCATACACACACGATCAGGATTCCGACTCAATGGATGTTTACTGAATCTAACCGATTTCTGTTGACAGGCTAATCGAGCCTTTCCAGCGCGGAGAAACGCCGACTTTCATCAACCATGCCAAGGCTGGACTACGAGCCCTTGCCAATGATCCCCATGGACTGCTCGTCTTCTCAGGGTAAGAGACCTGGGCGTATACTGAAAGTTGGTCATGTCTAAGTTACACCCTGGATACAGTGGTCCTACTAAAAGGCCTCGAACAAGTATCAGTGAAGGGCAATCATACCTGGTAAAACCGACTCAATCCCGCACGTTAATAACGAGCTAACAAGAGATCCCAGAACCTAGTTCGTGACAACAACTATTTCCAGCACGAGCCGGGTCTCTCTACAATCGACCCGTCTAGAGTCCTTGCGGAGAGTCATGCAACCGACTCTTATCAAAACGTGTTATTCTCGTTACTGCGGTTTAGATCTCATGCGGGCGTCTACCCCAAACGAGTCACCGTCGTGACCCACGAGTTCAAACGTGCCCGATTTATGGAATGCCACTTCCCGGCCATGGGTTTACTGCCTCGCTCTACCACTGAGCAAGTCGTGTACATCCCAAGAGTATCCGTTATTGGGATTGATCCCCCTGAGGAGGTTACTCCCAAAGAATCTTTGATCCAGGGCGAATCCTTCCGGGGAATCGGAGTATGGAGACACGATTTGTATGGCGTCAGCCAGAACCTGGCCGGCAAACGCATCGTCCGTGGATGGATACCGGGCATGGCCCGCGAACTCTGTCTCAACGGGATGTTCGAACCCGTTGTGGAGCAATTGGTCTCATGGGATGGGGGAGAGGGAAACGAATGGTTTCCGAACATAGAAAAACTACCCTGGTACTATGGGCATCCGCCATGAAAGCGATCCCCAATGTGACATATAAAGTAATGCAGCATTCATTAGGTGACACCTGTACATGTTGAAATATGAAATAACCAATCCTGACCCCCCAAAACGCCTATGCAAGCTGTATCCCTCGTATCGGGTCATGAAACGCCACCCAGCACCTGCCATCTAATCCGCCAGTCGGTAGCTGACAAGCGTGCCAACACGGTGGTTATTGGTGCTGAAGCTGCGCAGCTGGACTTTCTCGGCGTTCTTGATCTCCTTGGCATCACTGTCACCCCATTCCACGGGGACATCCGAGTCAGCGTCCGCGTAGACCAGGACGTTGAAAGTGCAATCGCCATCAAGAACGGGGAGGAAGGTGACAGAGGCAGTAATTTGGCGGAAAATGGCTTGAATCTCTTCTTGAATTTCCTTCTCCGTCTTTTCAACGGGCTCGGGGGCTGGGCTGTCGCCGTCTCTGTTGCATTTCAACCGACTTCAGTTAGTATTGCAGCTCAACGACTAAGGGAGGGCAAGTGCAAATTTACCCAGGAGCAGCATTCTCTTTATCACCGGCCTTGCGGGAACTCTGGCTCTTGGAGCTTTTGCCAAAGATCTCCACGTCAAACTGCCAGCGCTCCACATGTTCCCCAGTCTCCTTGTCGGTAATGACGACCACGAGCTTCGAGATTTTTCCACCGGCCATCCATTTATTCAGCTGTGACATGATCTTCTTAATATATGCCTTGACCTGGTCATCCGCGGATACTATTATCAGGTTAGAGTGGAACGGTAAGGGTATTGGTTGGTTGAAAGCTCTCTGTCGGTGGCTGCGAGAGAGAGAGACGCACCGAGCATGTTGAGGCCATATTTCTTGACACTATATCGTGTGAGCATCCTGAAAAATGACTTGCACGGCATGAAATCCAACTTACGTTGTAAAGTCCTCGGGAGGGTAGACACCGCGCTGGAACCTGGTGAGGGATTGCGATGAGCTCCTGGTTCGTTCGTTGGTCGCAAAAGATGTCACTCACAAGATTGAATTGATCGAGTATTCAAACTGAAGAACCATTAGTCCTTGTTCATTCTAGATCAGTACAGGAGTCAGACTCACAAATTCGGATACCAGCTTTGCCGATCCTGTTCATCTCGTAAGCTTCATCGTATTACAAACGAGCTTTCGAACGAGTACCAACCTCGGATCGATAGCTTATGAACCTTGGATTTGTCCTTTGTTTCAGGCATGGCGAGCAATTGGAGGCAGTAGACGGCGCAGATATGTTGCAGAGCTGAAAGGATTGGCAGGAAGCTTTGTTGTTTACACCTCGATCGTCCCCGCGGCGATCGACTCACCGCCCGATATTTTTCCTGCGAAAAGCACACCGCCTTGCGCCAAAAGTTCTCGAGCCTCTCTAGTCGCTGTTTTGTTGATCGTGATCAGCGCAAGGAGATAGGGCAATCCTCTCTTCTTCCATGCCATTGCACGATTCCAGATGCGAGGATGTCTGCAGGTAGCCCGATGGCTGAGCGCAGCACCGAAAGGTCGGATCGCGAGCCTCGCCTCGGCTGGCTTCTCGTCCCGATATAATTCCCTTCGACCTTTCATCCGACCCTTCACGAATTCAACCGTTTGGAGTGCTAGAGCAAAGGCGTCTCCAAGCTCCCCAGATACGGATCTCGAGAAGCGGATCGCTGCAATTCCCATCGACCGGTATCGCAACTTTTGTATTGTCGCCCACGTCGATCATGGCAAAAGCACCCTCTCCGATCGGTTGCTGGAGCTCACCGGTACTATCCAGCCCGGTATGAACAAGCAGGTTCTCGACAAATTGGATGTCGAGCGAGAGCGAGGAATTACGGTTAAAGCCCAAACTTGCACGATGATCTACAATCACAAGGGTGAGGATTATCTGCTGCATTTGGTGGACACTCCGGGCCACGTGGATTTCCGTGCAGAGGTGTCGCGCAGTTATGCTAGCTGCGGAGGAGCTCTGCTTCTGGTCGATGCCAGTCAGGGTGTGCAGGCGCAGACTGTCGCGAATTTCTATCTGGCCTTTGCGCAGGGCCTTGAGTTGATTCCCGTCATCAACAAGGTGGACTTGCCCTCTGCGGATCCGGAGCGGGCTCTGGAGCAGATGAAGAGCTCGTTTGAATTGGACACGGAAAATGCTGTCAAGGTTTCGGCAAAGACCGGACTCAATGTTGCCGAAATACTACCAAGGGTTGTCGAGAAGATCCCAGCGTACGTTTAAACCGTTCCATCATGTGAGCATTGCATTGTTCTAACACGTTTTGCAGGCCCGTCGGAGATCTCTCCAAGCCTCTGCGCATGCTTCTTGTGGACTCTTGGTACGATTCATACAAGGGCGTTATTCTCCTAGTGCGCGTTTTTGACGGCGAGGTCCGACCAGGCCAGCAACTGGTCTCGTTCGTCACCGGTCTCAAGTACTACGTGGGTGAGGTTGGCATCATGTACCCAACCGAGACACCGCAGACGGTTCTCCGAGCGGGCCAGGTCGGGTACATCTACTTCAACCCCGGTATGAAGCGCAGTCAAGAGGCCAAAATTGGCGACACTTTCACCAGAGTCGGGTCTGAGAAGCTCGTGGAGCCACTTCCTGGATTCGAAGAGCCCAAGTCCATGGTCTTCGTCGCAGTATATCCCATGAACGCGGATCACTTTGAACACTTGGAAGACAGCATCAACCAACTCATATTGAACGATCGAAGCATCACAATTCAAAAGGAGTCTTCCGAGGCGCTTGGTGCTGGCTTCCGAATGGGCTTTTTGGGTACTCTGCACTGCTCTGTATTCGAGGACCGGCTTCGGCAGGAACACGGTGCCAGTATCATCATCACTCCTCCCTCGGTTCCTGTCAAGGTAGTGTGGAAAGACGGCACCGAAGACATCATCACAAACCCTGCAAAGTTCCCCGATGATGACAGCGTTCGTCTGAAGGTCGCTGAGGTGCAGGAACCGTACGTGTTGGTCACTATCACATTCCCAGATGAGTACCTCGGCAAGGTGATCGAGCTTTGCGAGGCCAACCGTGGTGAACAGCAAAGTATTGAATACTTCACCTCAAGTCAGGTCATTCTCAAGTATCAATTGCCGCTGGCTCACCTGGTCGATGATTTCTTCGGCAAGTTGAAAGGCGGCACGAAAGGCTACGCGAGTCTGGACTACGAAGAGTCTGCCTGGCGAGCCGGTAACATTGTCAAACTCCAGCTTCTCGTGAACAAGGTTCCAGTCGACGCCGTTTCGCGTATTATGCACATGAGCCAAGTCAACTGGCAAGGAAGACAGTGGGTCACCAAGTTCAAGCAGCATGTCGACAGACAGCTTTTCGAGATTGTCATCCAGGCGGCCGTTGGCAAGAAGATCGTGGCTCGTGAGACTATTAAGCCGTACCGCAAGGATGTCCTGGCCAAGCTACATGCTAGTGATGTCAGTCGCCGTCGCAAGTTGTTGGAGAAGCAAAAGGAAGGACGGAAGAGACTTCGCGCTGTTGGAAACGTCGTGATTGAGCACAAGGCGTTCCAGGCCTTCTTGGCGAAATGATTGTACTATACTTGTATCTATATTATGTATACCCCGAATGTGCTGCTCTTTTCTTTTTGAAACCATTCACTCAGTGCCAATTCGCCTTCCTGTTCGTAAAATGAATCAAGCAAAATGGGCAACCATTCAAATCCAGGCATCGTCTCTAACTTCTACTTCAGACTATGAAGGAAATGAGTAAGATGAGAAAGTTTCTGGTCAAGAGCCAGAACACCTTGAATATGTACAGAACGTCTATGTAAAGGGTGTCTGACCATTATGTTCATGGGAATCCCTATCTAGGTCTCAATAATTGTATCCTCGCAACCAGCTGCAAGGTACTCAACAAGGAATATACATATTTCATCCTGCTCCATTCATTTTGAACATCAATCACAGCTTCGCCCACAGTCGAGCAGGAGTCTTCTCCGGCCGACCATATTGGCCCTTCACTCCCAAGTCCACAACAATGCCCTCGCCAAAGGCAGCCTCCTGGCAATCTTCATCATCGACACCATTCACATGTTGCACGACGACAAAATCGACTCGTCGCGGACCCAGAACCACCATTGGCGCATGCCACGTGCCAACCCCATACGTAACAGCCTGACCACCGCGCGCAATGAAAGCCTTCACGTTGCGCAGATCAGGCGGATCGCGGATGGTAATCGTTTCACCGGCAGCGTTCTTCGCAGTGGCGACCTCGCCCTTCAGCGTCGGCGCAACGACAACCAAAAAGACGGGCTCTTCCTCGCCATCGCCCACCTTGGAATGACTGGATAAGTCGGTAGGGATGAAGGTCTGGTTGGTGAAAGGGTGACGTTCGAGGATGCGCACGTCGAAGACTTCTTTCTCGGATTGTTGTTTGGCACTGATTGTGCGGAGTTTGCGGGGGAAGCAGCAGAACATCGTCATTCGTGCGGAGGCGGGTTGCCCGCTTGGGCAGCCATTGGTGTAGCGGTCGATCAGTGGGGAGATGGGACTGTATTTCAGGGCGGAATTTTGGTTTGCTAGGACTGGTGTTGGGTCGTAGGGCGGTAGTGAGGAGGGTTGAGGAGCCACGCTGATTTCTCGAGGGAGTGGTGAACAGATTGCCGTTCCGAATGGCGCAAAGCTGGCTGGTGTGAGGGGTTCGGGGACCAGTGTGATGGTTGGATTGGAGGTAAGGATGGGCGCCATGGTGGTTGCTTGTTGGAGCTTCGGGGAGCTCTGATTCCACCGTGTTTATTTGTCCTTCCAAAGGATTCTTCGATTAACAAAGCGAGTACGAGAGAAGAAGCTCCAGGTGTTAGAAATCTCCGCCTTTTTGAGGAAGCGGAGAACTCATCGGCGCTCGCCGGGCCTCGGGGTACGATAAGATAAGCGATAAGATAAGCGGCCGGGGCCGAAGAAAGTCACCTGACTAACATGCGAAGTATAGGTTCATTGAATGGGCTTCGGGGAAAATGGAGGTCTAGGCAACTTCTAGGCAGTTGGACTACTCTTATAGGGCACTCTAAGTTGACCATAATCATATTAAAAACCCACTCATGGAACCCGGTTAGCAGCGAAGTTCTTGCCCCAACGAATTGTCTTCGTCATTGATTTGAAGCCTGGCCTCAACAGCATCCCAAATACTCTGAGGCTGATCTCAGTTGATCATTCGAGCATATATCCAATAACTTACATGTACTTCGCCTGATGGATAATAAGGTCGTGATGGTCACCTCTCAACATCCTCCAAGTAGTGCCAAGCTCGTACAGCTTGAGGGACATTGCAGAAATATATAGTTAGGTAGTAGCGTGATCAATCTCCCATCTTCGACCCTTCCCGAAAGCAAAATTATAGATCATCAAAGAGAATTGACACTTGAATCTTGCACACATTCTTCTTGATAACTCAATCTCATGAAATCAATTCATCCGTGTCAAGCCTCGGCGGGTCCTGCCACCTCGGGAGTCGCGGGCCCGCCGTGGCGGTGATGGTGAAGTTGCCGAGCCCAAAATGCGGGCCGAGGGGTCCAAGGTCCAACCTTATCGTATCCGTAACACAGAAACTAGCTAAGACCTAGGTATCGACTACTATTGAGGAAGAGCAAATGGAATCAAAGATACAGGTATTGATAGAAGAACGTAATTTGACAAAGAAACGTGATTTAAATACGTTAACAAATTACCTATGCGTGTCAGCAAGCTAATCTAACCCAATTGGGCTACAACGAGTGGGTTCCGTTTGCTTGACTTCCAGTCCATCCTCTCCTTTTGGCCCATGAGGACGGAATACGCGGTACCGAGCGCCTCGGGGCCGGCGCAATAACTGGGGACAACCGTAAGCTCCAGTTTTTCTTCGAGGTAACATTATGCGGCTAATCAACTGCTAGATGTCTCACGTTGATCTGCCTAATGAACTCTTTTTCATGAACGCGCAGTATCTGCCAACCAATGCCAGCGTTTCAGCGCTGATGAGGACTGATCGTCGGCGGTATAAGCTTCTCCGTGAATACCTTTATGATCAGATTTCTGGCAACAAGAAGAACAAGACGCTCAACTGGGCCGCCAAACATGGCTTTGAAAATATTGTGCGGGCGATGTTGCAACGCGGAGGTGATATTCGGGTTGACGAAACCTCGTACTTTGGTAACTGGGACCCCGAGTCTGGTCCCACACAATGCCTCTCAATGGCAATCGAGCATGCAGCTAGAAATGGGCATGTGAGAGTGGTGAGGCTATTACTCGACCATCAAGCCAGCGCGCTTAATATGCGTTCGGGATACAATACCTGGCCACTTCTCAGAGCAGCTGGCAATGACCATGCAGAGGTGGTAAAGGTTCTGCTGGAACACTCAGCCAACATCCCATCAAATGCAATTACTGACCTTGGCTTTGGCCCTCCTCGCTCCTTCGACTTCAGCAGTGTTCTGCATGACGCATTGAAAGAGGAACGGGAGGAGATCGTAAAAATCCTGCTGGCGGATGACCGCGTGAAGCTAGATGATCAGAGCTTGGCTGCTACCGCCTGGAGTGGGGATGAGACCCTCGTTGAGCTATGTTTGCGTGAAGCACCTCCATGTTCGACCCAGAGCGGATTTCACTCACCACTGGGGGCAGCCGCAGACCGGGGGCATGAAGCCGTCTTCAATATGATATTAAGCTCGGATGGTGTCGATCCAAACATGTGAGACTCACTGGAACCCCTCTCAGTGTCGCCGTGCAATCCGGACACTCAAATATTGCCCAGATTCTCCTCGAGACACCAGGTGTTGAGCTCGACCCCAAGGAAAAGTCAGGCGCGACTCCCCTCACTCATGCCGCCACAAAGGGTGATAGAGCATTGGTAGAGCATCTCTTGGCTAGCGAGGCTGTCCAAGGTGACAGCAAGAGCTACAATGATCATACCCCTCTGTGTGCCGCCGCGGGCAAAGGTCATGAGAAGATTGTCAGCATGCTTATTGCAGCAGGTGCGAATCCTGATCACTGAGAACGAAACGGTCGGACTGCACTGGCATCTGCTGCATTATTTGGAGCAGGCAAAGTCGTCAAAGTCCTGTTGGCGACTGGACGGGTGGACCCGGCCTCGAGGGACATCTCCAAGATGACCCCATTGATACATGCCGCCGGGTCTGGCGGGTTTCTGGGTAAATCCGATGAATTAATTAGTACTCGAGCATACGAAAAAGAAATGGAGAAAGTGATCATCCCTTTGCTGAGAGGGGAGAAGGTAGCAACCTCCATTGCGAATCAGCAGCCGCTTGGGCTAGACGCCACACAAGATACGTAGACGCGAGACGCACTACGGGTGATGCAGCAGCTGCTCGCGCTGAAGGAAGTTGATCCTAATGCGCAAGACAGTTCAGGTCGGACTGCGCTATCTTATGCTACGGAAATGCACGAGGTGGAGGCTGTACGAATACTGGTGAAGGAGAGGCGAGTGGATGTAAGTCTCGCCGACAGAGACGGTTGGACTCCAATGACATGGATCAAAAGGAAGGTGAAGTCGTACGATTGGGATGCATTTGATTGTTTGTGATGCTCCGTTCATTTTGGTTCGCAGTCAAAGATATCAACCCTAAGAGCTTTCACTCCATTCGGGTGCCAAGGACTACAGCCTCACGCTCACCCATGACTACGTTCAATATGCTCCCCGAGTGTTAGGTTGACGCTTTCACCCCACCCATTCTTCTAGTCATCTAAGTGGGAATGAGCGGAATTTGACATGTCTTCTACGATTCCATGTGACTCAAGAACATATTACCCGCAATACCCAGACTCATAGAATTTTACTATCGCTTGGTTTCTTTCTCTTCGTTTAGTTGCAGGCATCTTGTTGAGCATAATTTTGACTGTGGTCAAAGATCTCCAATACTTGACCAGGATGAGTCAAATGTGAAATTATAGATATATCCTCTCTAAAATACAGAAATTAATCTTCGAGACCGGAGTCTTGGATAAGAGAACTTCTAATCTAAAGAACAAAAATGAGAGCCAGAAGGAATGAGCAGGCCGAAAACAAGCCCCCCGAGACGATACTGTTTCGCGACATGGAGCCGCCAGTGTAGACAGGTCCAGTGGAGCTTGCGGTTGATGACCCAGATTCGCCGTGGCCAATAACCAAAGAAGAGGAGGTGGATGCAGGAAGGAACGAGGAACTCGAGGCCTTGGTGATGATTGATTTAGACGACATGGCGGAAGCCAATTTCACGTCGGGAACCTCAGTTCCAACGGCTTCAACACCGACGGGGTTGGTCGAAAGAGTTGTAGGCTTGGACACTTGGATGACAGTCAAGACTGTGGTGGAGATGGAGCCAGAAAGGGAACCGGACTCAGAAATGAGGTTCGAGCTCAGGCTCGAACCACTATCAGAGACGGAGCCAGAGCTGGAACCGGCAGAAGAGCCAGAGCTGGAACCAGTAGAGCCAGAGCCCGACGTAGTCGTTGAGGTAGAGGTTGCTTCGGCTGCGGCCACAGGACAGACAGTAGTAGAGACAACGAGTGTCTCGGTGATGATATCGGTCGTTTTCTCACGCGCAGGGCAATCCGTCACGCTGGAAGGACAAGCTGTGATAGTGGCAGTGCGAGTGCTCAAAATGGTGGAAGTAGTATAGCCTGCATCGGCAGGACCAGAACCAGCACCAGCACCAGCCTTGAGAGTGGTAGAGACTGTGGTATGAGTGGCCTCGGCAGCAGTAATTGGGCAGACGGTAGTAGAGACAACAATAGTCTCAGTAGTAAGATATGTTGTCTTCTGTCGTGCGGGACAGTCTACCACGCTGGAAGGACAAGCCGTGATAGTGGCGGTGCGAGTGCTGAGGATCGTAGAGGTAGTGAATTGATTATTACCTGAGCCAGAGCCTGAACCGGAGCTAGAGCCAGAGCCAGAATTAGAACCGGGGCTAGAGCCAGAGCCAGAGCCGGAGCCAGAGCCAGAGCCAGAGCTAGAGCCAGAGCCAGAGCCAGAGCTAGAGCCAGAGCCAGAGCCAGAGCCAGAGCCAGAGCCAGAGCCAGAGCCAGAGCCAGAGCCAGAGCCAGAGCCAGAGCCAGAGCCAGAGCCAGAGCCAGAGCCAGAGCCAGAGCCAGAGCCAGAGCCAGAGCCAGAGCCAGAGCCAGAGCCAGAGCCAGAGCCAGAGCCAGAGCCAGAGCCAGAGCCAGAGCCAGAGCCAGAGCCAGAGCCAGAGCCAGAGCCAGAGCCAGAGCCAGAGCCAGAGCCAGAGCCAGAGCCAGAGCCAGAGCCAGAGCCAGAGCCAGAGCCAGAGCCAGAGCCAGAGCCAGAGCCAGAGCCAGAGCCAGAGCCAGAGCCAGAGCCAGAGCCAGAGCCAGAGCCAGAGCCAGAGCCAGAGCCAGAGCCAGAGCCAGAGCCAGAGCCAGAGCCAGAGCCAGAGCCAGAGCCAGAGCCAGAGCCAGAGCCAGAGCCAGAGCCAGAGCCAGAGCCAGAGCCAGAGCCAGAGCCAGAGCCAGAGCCAGAGCCAGAGCCAGAGCCAGAGCCAGAGCCAGAGCCAGAGCCAGAGCCAGAGCCAGAGCCAGAGCCAGAGCCAGAGCCAGAGCCAGAGCCAGAGCCAGAGCCAGAGCCAGAGCCAGAGCCAGAGCCAGAGCCAGAGCCAGAGCCAGAGCCAGAGCCAGAGCCAGAGCCAGAGCCAGAGCCAGAGCCAGAGCCAGAGCCAGAGCCAGAGCCAGAGCCAGAGCCAGAGCCAGAGCCAGAGCCAGAGCCAGAGCCAGAGCCAGAGCCAGAGCCAGAGCCAGAGCCAGAGCCAGAGCCAGAGCCAGAGCCAGAGCCAGAGCCTGAACCGGAGCCGGAACCGGAACCAGAACCTGCACCGGCGGTAACTGTAGCTATTTGGGAGCTAGAAACACGAGTCACGCCAACGCCCGAAGATGAAGCGACGGGTCCGGTCGCCGAAGGGAGAACAGGGGTCGAGCTTCGTCCAACACTGAAGGCTGGGCCTCCATTCGGGGAACCTGCGGTTCGAGTCGAGTGAATCAGAGGAGTGCTGGAAGGTTTTGAGGAATGGACAGGAATGGACGATATGCCGAGAGACTTGAGAGGAGTCGAGGTCGAAGCAGCGGCGCTCGACGGCGGAATTTGCAAAGAAGCACTCCGGGATGGCGAAAGAGGAGACGCGGAGGATGATCGCACAACCGAAGACGACGCCGCAACCGGAGGGCTGGAGTGAGGCACCACCAACGAAGAAGAACGAGATACGGCCAATGATGCGGAAGAAGATCGCACAATGGCGGATGACACATACAGTGGTACACTGGACGACAGATCGGCCGAAGATGGGGTTGGAGTAGGAGTCGGCGTGGGAGTCGGCGTGGGTGTGGGTGTGGGTGTGGGTGTGGGAGTGATAGTCACCGTTGTACACGAAGTGGCCGTGGTCCCTGAAATCTTCACATTATCGAAGTTCAATTCCGCATTCGCATACACTCGGGAACTATCAGTGCAGTAGCCGTAGATCTCAAAGGTATGAGTTCCAGAGCTGGACGGGGTGAATGAGCCGGACAAAGTGCTCCAGCCAACGGTTTGCGCGTAAACTGTGAAGCTGGTCTGGGCGAGACGTCCAGCATTCGTGAATGAATCCATGTACATGGACATCTGGCAGCTCATCAGGATATTGGCGGCGTTGGGTTTGGCTTGATAGTCAAAGGAGATAGCGTAGGTATTGCCCGCCACCAAATTTGTGAGACGTTGGTAGATCAGCAATGCGGCGACTTGGGAACCCGATGCTTGGAGGTAGGAGGAGCCATCTGTGCCACTTCCACTCACGACCGAGCCCGAGGTGCCGGAGGCAAATCCCCAGTTGGTGAATCCATCCTCAAACGATCCATTTTCGAGTGCATCCAAGGAGGTACAGGTCACAACCTCCTCCAGTCCCGTTCCAGAGACCACCGGTAGCAGTGGGGTCGCGAGGAGGAGGAGGAAAGGGGCCCACGATTGTAACATCGTCAATCGAAGGATCGAAGGATCGAAAGGTCAGACAGAAACAATGTGACGACCAAAAATGAGTGACAAAAAAACAAAAAACTTTGTAAATGAGTGACAGGGGATCAAATGAGTGAATAGGACATCGCCAAAGAGAGGAAAGAAGGTGTCGAGGGCCAAGCGTGAGAAATGCCAGTCCTTCTGACCCTATATAAATATCAACCGATCCACCTTCGCATCCTTTTGATGATTTCCAACACTTGGGGCTCTTGGAGCGAACCAATCGGAGGGGCCGGTCGACTCGACGAGGGAAAACAGGTCAAACAGGTCAAGCTTAACGAGTGGTCGGCACAATGAACCCGTCTTCGAGACGACAGTGTGCTTTACCTCCAAAGCGAACGGTATTATTGAATTCGCTAGGCTGTTTAAAGATAAGCCCGGCTCCGTTTCTAGATCTCACGGTTGCCATTGGGCGCGATCTCAGCCCGCCGGCCCACCGCAGCCTCGGAGGGGGCGTGGGTCACACTTTGCCGGACACAATAGCCGTTATCGCGAGGACAGAACAAATTGGCATATGTTGATAAGCAGCAATGTTCTGTCCATGACTGCGTCAGGAGGCACGCTCGTGGAACCCATGGATCCTTTGCTCTGTCCCAGAGAGGGATATTCAGAAGGGACAACGGTCGTCCAGTAGATACGTGCAATAACCTGACCGAAGCCGGTCTGAGGTTCGCAGTTGCACCAAAGGAGACAAAGAGACGAGAAGTCACCTATGCCGTGACATCTGATGATCGTAAGGTATTCTCAGACAATAGATCTGCATCGTAGCCGCTGCGCTGCTTCTGTTATAAGATCGTCGTTGGGAGAGACGAGACACGAGAGACGAGAGACGCGTCTGGCGCGACGGGAAACTATGCCTCAGGCTTCAATATGCCCACTGACTCAGCATCACTCGTTCCGAGCGGTCTAGACACTCAACCGCGGCCTGGCTGCATCGCCGGTCCAATTGCTGCGTAGCGGTTTGCTGACAATGTCCGCCTTTCTGGATTGAAGACGGAGCACAGCGAGTCTCAGTCCAGACTGACTGTTGTAGATTAGTCCAAGGCTGCCGCCGTTACCCCTGGCGCCGTCAGTGACGAGAGTCACCCTAAGGTAGATCGCTACTCCCTAGTCAGCGAGCACGCTCTCCTTGAATAGCTGGCCCCAATCTTTGCTGACCTATAGCGGTACCACGGCACAACGGTGGTGCTCGGCTCGTAAGACTGTCTGGTTTTAAAGAGCTCCTAGAGCTTCTGCCGTAACCTCTGGCGCTGTCGACGCAAGCCCTAAAGTAAATTACTATAAGCGCCGCCGAAGGGTCCTAGGTATAATCTCTATTATATAGAGCCGCATAAGGTCTGAATAGATATCCTATTACTTTTTTATCCGTTGAAATGGGCGGTAATCTGGCTGTAGTAACCATGAAAATGCACTTGGCTAACCAGTTTAAGGGGCGAAAGAAAAGTGGTGAATGGTCTCTGAATAACTTAAGGGTTCAGACCATCTGCCCCTATGCACAGTCTCCGTATAGTCCGCCGTAAACATGGGGTCGCAAAGCAAACCAATCAAACACGCCCCGCTCGGAGCCGCCGAGGCACAGTTGACCGAGGTTCCCCGGCTGTTGGTCGCTCAAGTCGACATATACCCCTTCGGCGCCCTCTCTTGCTGCATATATGTGTCGATGCATTCCAGTTGAACCCCTACCTCCAGTTATACACCCCTTTTGATCTCCATCCCCGCAAGCATGGCGGGAGAAGTACGCCAACCGATCGACCTGCCCTCTCTGGAGCGCTACCTGAACCAGAACGTGCCCGTGGTCAAGACCCCGCTGGATTTGAAACAGGTGAGAGCGCACAAGGGAATTGCCAACAGGATATTCACAGGAGCTGACCTTGAATTCTGAATTAGTTCGGCTTCGGTCAATCAAACCCAACATACCAAATCACCACCGCCGATGGACGGAAGCTCGTGTTGCGCAAGAAGCCTCCCGGCAAGCTACTCTCAAAGACCGCACACCGAGTCGACCGAGAATATCAAGTCATTCGGGCTCTTGGAAATACAGACGTGCCGGTACCGGAAGCGCTTTGCCTTTGCGAAGACAGCAGCGTGATTGGCACCCCATTCTACATCATGGAGTTCTTGGACGGTCGCCATTTCATCGACCCAGCAATGCCTGGAGTCAGCCCGTCGGAGAGGAACGCACTGTATGTTTGACTATCTCACCTGTCCGGGGGGTTTCTAAACTAACTCGGGAGTATAGATGGAAATCTGCCGTCGAGACGTTAGCCAAATTCCACGCAGTCGTCCCCAAATCCGTCGGTCTAGAGAACTTCGGCAAGCACTCCGGTTTCTACGATCGACAAATTGCGACCTTCACAACCGTCTCCAAGGCTCAGTCTCAGGTCCTTGATCAAGATACCAAGGAGCCCGTCGGTGAACTGCCCCACTTTAAAGATATGGTGCAGTTCTTTGCCCAGAAATCAACCCAACCACGCGACCGCGGCACACTGGTGCACGGCGACTATAAAATTGACAACGTGATCTTTCACAAGACTGAGCCGCGTGTCATTGGCATCTTGGACTGGGAAATGGCCACGGTCGGCCATCCCCTGTCCGACTTTTGTAACCTGACCAGCCCGTATGTCTTGGATGGCACCGAGCACTCAAAAGAAGACTTCCAGACCGGGCGTATTCCTGGCCTGCCCTCGCGAGAGGACTGCGTTCGCTGGTATACGGCGGTCTCAGGATATAACCCGGCGGATGATATTCTGTGGGGAGATGCGTTCTTCGCCTTCCGAGGGTCTGTGATCATGCAAGGTATTGCAGCGCGGTCTGCTGCTCGACAGGCCAGTAGCGCCCGGGCGGGTGAATATGCCAAGCGGGCCAAGCCATTTGCCTTCGAAGCTTGGGGGCGAGTGAAGCGGGTGCAAGATTTGTCCAAGCAGAAGGGTAAACTGTAAACAAAAACACTTCAGTGAGACGCTCGGGGCACAGGGCGAATTTTGGTCGACACGGTCTTTGCATAGCTTCTGAGAATGATCTTAGAATAAGCTATGGGCTTCGATCTATCAAGTCTCTGTCATCTTGTACATATTTGAATCATTCTATCTCCAAAGCCAGCGGTTAATCCCCCCATGGAGTCTCTCGGCTTTTTCCTCAGCCTAAAAACCCGTGAGGGGTGTATTCGTCTCCACATGTGGAGTCGCGACTCGCCTGTAGAATTGGGTTCTTCATGCGTATCCAAACCTAGGCGACCCAGGATCCGTTAAAAGGGTCCAAGTATGAATCAGGACTGTCTTCTCACTGTTGTTAGGTACCTACAATAGGAAGGAGGAAGTCTTAGTTTTACGACGCGTATTTTCTCAGACTACTTCGGTATACAACCTTGATAGACCATGCAGCATAAATAGTTTCTACGGTTCAAACTTCACCAAATCCATGTAGGTAAATTGAATCAACATTTCCTTTAATTTTTCCCTTATTCTTCTATGCAATCATTCCACCAACTTCATGTTCCATGATATCTTGTTTTCTCGATTTTCTGGTTGGCCTAGGGAAAAGCGAAACCCCATGGGGCTGAGTCAGCACCCCCCAGCGGCAGTTCCTTCCTGCGGTGAATCAAATCACGTTACTCCCGTTTATCCCAACCGTGGCAGTTGCTTCCGGGGAAGCACCGAATCTTGCCGACACCGGCTCCCGCTATTATCTCCATCCATATCTCCTCCTCCATTTTCTCCTCTCCACTCCCCACTCCTTCCCTTTTTCTTTTGTTGTCGTATCGTCTGTTAGGTAAGTCTCCAATCTTTGCAAGCTCCTTATTGAGCGCTCTCAATACTCCCTTTCATCAATACTCACTCCACCCTCCTAGGTCCGCCGGTCGCCCATCATGTCTGACAAGTCGCAACAACCCCTCCCCTTCGTCTACCAGTTTGCCGCCGGTGCGGTGGCTGGTGTCTCTGAGGTATGTATTTCCCTGTCTATAGGTATCACTTTGCTCTCTATGTCAGCTCTAGAGTGTCGCGTGATTGACCCCAGGAAGATGACCAGTAACTAACGTCGCTCTCCCCGCATGGCAGATCCTGTTGATGTACGCCTCCATTGCTCACCCATTCCTAATTCCCCCCGGCGCAAATCACTCGCGATCACGACGTATATCCTTGTACAATGGTAGCATTGTTGGTCACTAATACTGCCATTCTGATAGGTACCCATTGGACGTTGTCAAGACTCGTGTGTAAGTCCGATTCCTTCCCCCATCGGATGCCTCATTTGGCCCCGACCCGGCCACGATTTCATGTTGGCTAACGTAAAATTTGCCCATCTATACAGGCAACTTCAGAGTGGAACCGCTGCCGGCGGTGGTGAGCACTACAATGGCATGCTCGACTGCTTCCGCAAGATCATCAAGCAAGAAGGGTGAGTCCTCCAGTCTCTTCTACCGCACAAGGCTCCCAACGCTCACGCGCCTTCCCATGTCTATAGTTTCTCCCGTCTGTACCGTGGTATCTCCGCGCCTATTCTGATGGAGGCTCCCAAGCGTGCGACCAAGTTCGCAGCCAACGACAGCTGGGGTACTTTCTACCGCGGCCTTTTCGGTGTGGAGAAGCAGACCCAGAGTCTGGCGGTTCTGACCGGTGCGACTGCCGGTGCAACCGAGTCTTTCGTCGTGGTGCCATTTGAGCTGGTCAAGATTCGTCTGCAAGACAAGGCTTCCGCTGGCAAGTACAACGGCATGTTGGATGTGGTGAAGAAGATCGTCCAGCAGGAAGGCCCTCTTGCCATGTACAACGGTCTTGAGTCCACCCTCTGGCGTCACATTCTGTGGAACGCCGGTTACTTTGGCTGTATTTTCCAGGTCCGCGCTCAGCTGCCCAAGCCCGAGCCCGGCAACAAGGGCCAACAGACCCGCAATGACTTGATCGCCGGTACCATCGGTGGTATTGCCGGTACCCTCCTCAACACCCCCATGGACGTCGTCAAATCCCGGATCCAAAACACCACTAAGGTCGCTGGACAGACCCCCAAGTACAACTGGGCCTGGCCCGCTCTGGGCACCGTCATGAAGGAGGAGGGTTTCGGAGCCCTATACAAGGGCTTCATCCCCAAGGTCCTCCGTCTGGGCCCCGGTGGTGGTGTCCTTCTCGTCGTGTTCACCGGCATGATGGACTTCTTCCGTAAGATGCACTTCGAACAATCCGTGTAGTCTCTTCCGGCCGTCATCCTGCAAAATTATACCATTGTTTTCATACGAAGTCGCGTTGTCGAAGGGTTTTCGAGCGAAATGAATCTTTTTCTTCCAAATTTAAATCTCCGGCGATCCACCCGGGAGCCCGGCCTTGATATGACTATTCCATGTGGGATCTGGACTTGGAAAAAGCTGGTGTCTGCATCATTTTTTCTGATTCTTGTTGCGTGCCGTTTTGTCAATACCCTTTGGTTTGTCCGTATCGGGTATCAAAGTAGAGGTTGGGCCTGTAAACGCATATAGAATCGAATTGAGCATATATTCAACCAAGATAGCACGTTTTCCTGAAACTAAGGACCCCTCACGTGCTCAGAAACCAGTTCCAGCTGACAAGGTGGATTTCCGCTCCAGACCTTGGCCCATTTTTGACCAATTGGATATGTCGAGGATTCAATTACCCTCGGTCAATCAAAAGAGCTAGCGGTGGAAAGCGAGACGAAGGAGATGGTGGGGGGGGGGGGCCTTATGCAGGCTGTTTTCCGTGCGGGGTGGAATGGATATTAGCGGGTATATCCGCTAGTCTTTCGGGTATAAAACACCCATCGAAGACCGCTCGAGGGATGTGGCCGAGAGGTAGAAATCGTCGTAGTCAGGATTACGCCTTTGTGAGATCTCCCAGAGGATGTTGGAAGGGGTCCAATGCCATTGCTCCAGAAGTATGAATGCCGCGATTATCAGGATGCGTTGTAGCATCTGCCACGTAAATGGGCAAAGGAGAAAACCATATCCACCATATGTGGGGTCGAGATCTCAATTCCAGCAAAGCTTTTCAATTCTCCGAGAGGCCAGTCACAAGCGACAATGGTGGTGAGAGACGTCTGGTGACCAGCCGACTAGGCCATTGAAGAAGTTGACCGGCGTAGAGCAGGGCCGCTTAATCGTGTTCGCCAGGAGGAAGGACACCCTATTATAGCATAGGCTCCCCAAAGCCGGGCAATCTGAAAGTTCGCAACGGTGCCGATAATACCATTATAAAGAGACGGTTAGGGCAGGAATGTCCCAATGGCAAGATCTCGAGACTTTTAGATGGTCAGATGTGGTTGTGGTATCTCACCGGGGTATAACACTGTCTTCATTTGGTTAATTAACTTCCGGGAGAGACATGGGCGAGATATTATAAGTGGAAATGTTTTTTCTGAGATGCCGTCATATCCGATCTCTTCTGCACGCTTTCTAGAGGTTTACATTCTCTAAACAGCTATTCTGGTAGTTGCAAATGCAGTTACGTCAAGCGCCAACTTTCCGGGGTCAGAACTTAGTGCGGAACCCCCCCGCGTGCGGAACCACGGCGCAGCACCAAGTGGCAGGTCTGGGGGAGAAATGTGGGGTAACCGAGTTGACCAACTGCACCCGTTCGACTGGATGATCCTCCTCGGCACCAATCACTGCCTTTAATGTGGTTGGTCTCGCTGAGATGTGACCATTCCTTAGAACGGAGTACGGAAATCCTGCGCTCCAGGTCCCATACCTGGATATTCCGGCATTCCTTTATATCTCTGGGTTGCGTTCTCCAGACTATCTTTCGCATCTTGAATCTATCGCCACGGTTCACTTTCTCGACATACACCATGGCTATCGCAACGGCTCTCGCTACCCTACAGGGTAGGGTCATTGAAAACCCTTGGCAGTCCCTTGGAGTAGCCGCTTTCCTGGTCCCGTTCCTCTATGTCATCCTCAACGAATTCATTCGGTCTTCTGCCCGGGTAAAGGGTCTCAAGGGTCCTACCGGCCTTCCTTTGATCGGAAACTTGGCACAAATTAGGGTCAACGCCGCCGAACAGTATCGCATCTGGTCAAAGAAGTTTGGTGCCGTTTACCAGATTCAGCTCGGTAACATTCCCGTCGTCGTCGTCAACTCGGCTGCATCGGCGAAGGTCCTATTCGGTCAGAATGCCCAGGCTTTGAGCTCGCGCCCGGAGTTTTATACTTTCCACAAGGTGGGTCCTAAATGACAAACAATCATGACTATCTGTACTCTATTTCGTGTATACTAATGTGATCATCTTAGATTGTCTCCAACACTGCCGGTACCACCATTGGCACCTCCCCATACAGCGACTCGCTGAAGCGCCGCAGAAAGGGTGCTGCCTCTGCGCTCAACCGCCCCTCGGTCGAAACTTACGTTTCCCATCTTGATATTGAATCCAAAGCTTTCGTGGAAGAACTGTACCGCTATGGAGGTGGTGGCAGCAAGCCCGTCGACCCGATGCCGATGATCCAGAGACTGAGTCTGAGTCTGGCCTTGACCCTGAACTGGGGTGTTCGTGTTGCATCGCAGGAAGAAGAGTTGTTCGATGAAATCACCGAGGTCGAGGAGGAAATCTCCCGGTTCCGAAGCACTACTGGCAATCTCCAGGATTACATTCCTCTCTTGCGATTGAACCCCTTCAGCACCAACTCGAAGAAGGCTGCCGTGATGCGCGCCCGCCGAGACAAGTACCTTAATGCCCTGAACAAGGATTTGGAAGATCGCATGGAGAAGGGAACTCACTCCCCGTGTATCCAGGCAAATGTCATCTTGGACAAGGAGGCTAAGCTGAACAACGAAGAACTTACCTCTATCAGCTTGACTATGCTTTCTGGTGGTCTGGATACCGTTACTACTTTGGTCGCTTGGAGTATTGGTCTCCTCTCTTCCCGCCCCGATATTCAAGAGAAGGCTGGCAAGGCTATTCAAGAGTTCTACGGAAAGAACGAGCCAATGTGTTCGGCCGACGATGATCAAAAGTGTGCTTATGTCGCCGCCCTGGTTAGAGAGTGTCTTCGGTGAGTGTAACCCTTATATCTTCCCAAACGAGAATCAAGCTAAAAGATACAAGTTACTTCACTGTTCTTCGCCTGGCTCTCCCTCGCACTTCCATCCGAGACATCACTTATGAAGGCGCCGTCATCCCCAAGGGAACAGTCTTCTTCTTGAATGCCTGGGCTTGCAACATGGGTGAGTCATGAAACCTGCCTTTATCTCCCTATCAACATATGAGACTAACAGACCGATAGACCCCGACGTATGGGCCGACCCCGAAGAGTTCCGACCGGAGCGCTGGCTCGAGCAACCCGACGCACCGATTTTCACATACGGTCTGGGATACCGCATGTGCGCAGGATCCCTGCTGGCAAACCGTGAACTGTACCTGGTGTTCATGCGGACGCTGAACAGCTTCCGCATCGAACCTCATGATAACACTGACTGGCATCCTGTGCGAGGTAACTCGGACCCGACGAGCTTGGTCGCTATTCCGCAGAAGTACAAGGTACGGTTCGTGCCTAAAGATGCCGCTGCGTTGAAGAAAGTCATCGCACAATCTTCTTGAACGGAATCAGATTGGTGTATAGTAGAATGGAAATTACGGGGGTTGTGGACGAAGGACTTTGGTCCAAATGGACTCGCCGACCTGCCCGATTGAGACCGTATGCATGGCTGTCCATGGAATTCCGCAAGCAAACTTTATTCTGGCGGAGGCAGTCATTCCCAGTGAGCATACTGGGAGAATCGACATATTGTGTCAAGGGATGCTTGATATGACGCCCTTTGGGGCGCGAAGCTACAACACATTACGGCTTCTTGCATTTTAGCACTATCTTACTATCATGTCATGTTATGTTACTATTCTTACTGGCAAATATCAAAAAATATTTGTTCACCTCTGCCATTCTATACTTCTCTGTGGAATACTTGCATGACCACGCTTCATTAGACAGAGAACCAGTTGCTTCTACGACACGTACGTAGTGCGGCACGTCGTAGTCGGTGGAGTTTCCGTCATGGACATGTGTCCGACACTCTTAGATTGTCGGGACCTACGAGATTGATACCGCAAATGACATGTTCTAGCACTCCAGCTGATTCACAGTGTCGATGTAAGCATCTTCCACCCTGAACTCGCTCAGGATGGTTCATATCTGATCACAAACGTGGGCACCCTGGACGTTCAGCCCGTGTGTGGTGAGCATAGGTCTGGCTCAAGAAATGAGAACATGACAATTGGTACTGACCATGAGCATTAGACAAAGCTGAATGGCAAAAAGGCACTATGGCTCCCTTCCGAGTATCGTCCTAGCTTTTCCGCGGTTAACGGCAATTGACTTGTCCTGGGACACGATGGGATCTTTATCCGACTGCTAAATTACCACCTAGGCATGATAAATAGCGCACATGGCAGCGAGGATTCTACGTAAAAGGAAACGTATTCTTTTTGCAAATACATGCGTAATGCACAATGATTATGTATTCTAATTTGTCTCACTTCGTTTGTTCAAGGGTACAAGTACAGAAGAGGTATCGAGGTCATATATCATTAAGAGTCCGGAACAAGGAGAATCAGATCGAGCTCAACGGAGAATACAGCAATGAAAAGGGGGGACTTCAACAAAAAAGTATGTACAGGGTAGTTTGGAGCGTCCCTTTACTCAAACGGAGACAATATCCGCAAGGTCCGGGTGTCCAGGTGGAGACGCACCGTTGAGCTGATCAGGACTGCGGCCTGGTAGCCAGGCATCATGCAGAGGCAGAATCAGACTCGGGTTGACGTATTTCTTCAGCCGCAGGCCAAGTTCTTGGCTGCCGATGCGGACAGGAAGCGCGTCCCGATCCATTCCCGATGAGGGCGAGAAAGTGGATGAAGGGGATGGGGAGACATCACCATCGACCTGGTCACGATTGATGCTCTTCAGAGCGATGAACTTCATCAGTGGCTCATAGGTTCGTGCGAACCAATAGGAGAACCACACGGTGAATCCCAGAAGAGGAACGAGCAGCAAAGAGCGAGTAATGGCACCACGCAAGGCGAGTACTCCAATCATGGCCAGATGGTACACAACTAGACCGACGAAGAGCCGGTTGCAAATCATCGGCCACGCCCGACCGGTCGAGTGTTGCTGGTGGTCCATTGCATACAAAAGCTGATACTTGTAGATAAACTGGCCGATCGAAAAGTAGACCAGGCCGAATAAGCAGATCAACCACGAGCTGGGGAAAACGCTGTAGACGATACAAATGATCAAAGCCAAAATCGTCTGCGGAATCGAGAATCCGTAACTGAACTTTGGAGGCGTGGACAATTCGGCATATTCGCGGGGTGTTCGGGCACCGAAGAATCTCAAAGGGTATAATGCAACACTGCCAAATTCCAATAGTCGGAAGGGGAACAAGCCCAACCCTTGAAGAATCAGCAGATTTATATAGAACGGCGAAAAGCCCTCCAAGGAGGTGGCAAGGGCAAAGGCAATCGTGGTGGCATCTTTGAACGCATCACGGAGGTGTTCCCAGAAATCGTAAAATCCGGTGGCAGTACCGAAAACGGTGAAAAGCAGGAACAGATTGAAGAAGGAGAAGAAAAAGTTCTTCGAGATGACTGAGAGTTCGATATCGCCACGAGACATCATGCCTTGGTTGTTAGAGAGCCCTGTAGACCTGATTAGCACTTCCCGATTCTCTAGTAAGTTCTTTCATAACCAGCAGGGTGCACTTACATTCATAGACATATGGGACCGCGACTGTCAAGAGGGAGAAGGCCAAAGTTGGCAGACCAGTCGAAACCAAGGATTTCAAAATGGGGTGCTCGGCCAATGTCTCCGCTAGGGAGGGTATAATTTTGTGAAGAGTACCCAATTTCAGTAGAGTCGCGATTGGGAGCAAAAGAACCGACCAAAAGATAGTGAGGAACCCGATGATCAGCGTGATAAGCCAGGACTGGGTCATACGCCGACTGCGAGAGAGATAGGTGTTTTTCCAGACGACATCCGCTGGTGCGGGAGCAAGCCTAGCAAACATTTGCATCGGGTGCGGGTCGAGTGTAGCCTGAACGAGCATTTGAGAGGCGGCGATGGACTCCATAGTCACAAAGGCAATCTCCGTCGGGGGGTACTCTTTCTCGCGAGCGGTGGTAATTTGTTCGTCGATTTTCCGCAATTTCTCCTCATAGTAGTCGATTGCATCAATCATACGGAAGCGCAAGTTGAGGGGGCCATACCAGATGCGGATTTTGGGTCGTTGCTGAAGATATCCCGAAACATGGTCCTGGTCAACTCCATCTAGCAACTGGGATCTCTCGTCATCCTCCTCCAGAGGTAACCGAGCCCTGGTATATTGAGGCTGACGGGTCAGAGGCAGTGTATTCCCATCCCTTCGTGGGCGCTTGTATCCAAGATGTTTGGTCCAAGCGCGTTCCAACCCCCGAATAATTTCCATCCGCTCATCGATGAGGCGATCGAGTTCATCCCACTTGCGACACAGAGTGACGGATTCGACTTTGCCCACACGTAGTCCCTCCAGGAAGTCCTTGATCATCTCTTCGCTGGTCAAGTCCTGCGGGATTCCCGACAAACGGACTGTGCGGTCGGTGGTTGTGGTCTGATTTCCGAGGTAGGTTTGGCGAGTGCGAATGATCTTGTTTGTCTCCAGGAGAAGCAGGTAGATGGCCAAGCCGCTGAAAATGTACGGGAATATAACATAGATCCAAATGTATCCAGGGTCGGTCACAAGCTTGTCTTTGTCTTTGTCCTTGCCCAGCAAACCGATCGCGCTCATCGAGTTGTTGGTTGGCGGTCCAATATCGTCCCATCCAGGAACTCCCCACTGTCCGGTGTATTTGTGATGAAGTGGGAGTATTACAGTGACAGCGAAGGCGAAAATGTATAGTAGTAAGCGAATCGCAAATTTGAAGAATGAGAGAAACTATAGCATTGGACGAGTTAGTAGTAGAATTATGGGGTGGCGAAGAGCCGTAGCGGATCTCCTCCTACTCACCACATATGCATCCAGACCTGCAGAGTGCAAGACTTCCTCCTCTGTGATCCCGTAGAGTACAGGTATCCATCCAAAGAAACTATCGGGTAGCTCTGGTAGCCCCGACGCGGCGCAGCGTTGTCGCCTCCGAGCGGCATATAGCTCCGTCCATTTTGGTCGCAGCACCTGTATATCGAATCAGGGTTAGCGATTAAAACACATATAATTCCGGAGGTTAATTTGAGACCTACACAGAACGCTACGAATGCGCCCAGTCCCAGCGCGAAACTGATCACGAATTGCGTATACAAATCTCGGTACTGTGTCTGGTCTTCCCAATGCCGCCCCCGGTCGCCGTCATCAGAGTCATCGTCGAGGATGGTAAATAAGGCGGTAGTAGCCGACGCCGTGAATGACATTGTAGCGGAATCAAGCTGGCCTTTTGCGCTTGGCGTGCGTGAGGTAAAGGGTGTATTTGCGGAGCGTTGAAGCTACCGGTCCATGAGGTGCGTTGGAGCGCCGGGATCCGAGGAAGCAGCTAGCAAAGAATGTAACGGTCAGAAGTACAGGTATGCGAAACTGGGCTAGTTGAGAATGACGCAGTCGAGTCGTATCTTGTCAGAAGCGTTGGGTAGCGATAAAAGGAGCCTGCTTTTGTTTTTGTCTTGCGATGACGATGGCGGTGAAGGTTAGTCATCAGTATGCCTCATTACGCGTGCACTAGCCGAATCGGGTAGTCGACGTGCATTATGCACGTTATGCACTCACTTACCTAGATATCATTCGATACATTTGCTTGTGTCATAGTAAGAGCGGATCCTAAATTGTATTCTTAAAGAGCAGTAGAGGACAATAACTATATATCAGATAGACTGAAACCATTAGTGCTGGCTTAGCCATCATTCAGGCCCTTGAGAGAGCCTACGACCTGATATTTTGGGGAGTTGAAAGCCACTCGAGTCTCTTATTCCCGCATTGTATATCTTGAGTAGCTCTCATTCACAGAGGCTAGTTTGAATCTAATCAAATTTCGAAAGGATTGTCGTGAGCTGCTGGCAATACCGCCAGGCTGCCACTTCAAAATTCCCTCCTCACTGATCCAGGGACTGTATATAATCAAGGAGTACAGCCCGCAAGAGATCGTAACACCATTCATCGAGGTTACCGTGAATCTTGCCGGAATCCATTGGTGTCTTCCAAAATCTATATGAGCTCATCATGATTGAAAGTTCATGGAGTAGCCGCCAGTCTTAGGATCCTGGACAAAGTTGAAATTATCGGTCGACAGACCAAAGGGCCTTAGGATTCCGTTGCCCAGCTTGATTGATTCCAATATTAGCATCACGCCAATCGAGAATCTGGGGACAACACTTACGTCTTTCATCTTGGACATCATCTCCCCAATTTCCTTCTCCTTTGCCTCGTTGACACGGGCAGGAAGCTCACGAAGCGCCCTCTGTACGATGCGCTTCTCATCCGATGGGAGCGTTTCCATCGAGTTCAGAGCTTGGTAGTCCTCAATTGCGCCCTGCAGGTTGGCCCACCCACCCAGACTGGATTTCGCCTTCGCACGTCGCATGAGAGATTTGGCACGAATGCGTAGTACGTTTGTACGCTGTGTGTCCAACTCCTTCAAGTGTGCCAGCTGCTTCTCCTCTGCCTCTGCATCTGCCGCAGATAGTTCGACAACTGCCCCGCTTTCCTCTGAGGTAGTATTCGTGGCATTCGACTGTTTCCCGTCGCTTTGCTTGTCATCTGAGGCATTTGTGGGGATGATCTTTTCCAGTCGATCAAGAGATGCTGTCGCAGCGTCAATTGCGGCCTTCCAGTCTTCTAGTTTCAAGTAGCAAGCAGCGATGTTACTCCGGAGCACGGCGACGTCGTAGTCAAGATAGCTGGGACAGGAAGAAAGAGCGCGGTCGTAGAAAGAGATGGCCTGGTCGTAGCACGCGGAGCTAAAAAGCTGGTTTGCTTCTTGTTTGATGGCTTGAGATTCTTTCAGCAGTCGCTGCAGTCATTCAAATCAGAATTAGTACATCTTTCCAAGTGTCCGACTGTCATTTGAGCTCGACATACAGCTTCTTCCTCGGCGGGGAATCGCGCATCGTGAAACTCCTCCTCGTCGGTATCGGCTGCATCATCGGGCACGGTTGGATTTTTGGGGGGCTTCCGATCAGGTTCTGGGCCCTCATGGCTAATTCCAGCCATCTTGAACAGGAAGGCGAGCCAACGACACCTCAAGTTCGTGGTGCATGACGCAGGTCTCCGCGGGGGTGGTGGAGATGGACCAACTGGCACGTGATCAGCGAGGGTTTTGGTAACTAAACTGAAGCTATACTCCGTAGTTAATGTAGATATTTGTAACTTTACACTCTTGGTGGTCACTTTAATTATTTTCTTCCCCTTCGTGATGAATTTCGAACACCGGTCTTCTGAAGATCTCGCAGAAAGATTGGCAGACGATGTATTTGCGCATACTGACCACGAAAATATAGATCTACTGGTTGCATAAGCCTTTACGCAGCCAGGGCTTAAAAGACAGTCGTATGGGGGCCTTAAAGGTTTGTGTGAGTCAATCAACCAGAAATAAGCAAATCCAGGTAACTACTTTTCCATGCCAGAGCCGAGTCATTCATGATTAGAGCCGTGGTAGACCCAGCTTCGACAGACTGACCGCACTTTCCCTTGCATCAATTAATTAGAGATGAACCAATAAGGTCCGTCCGTAAATGTTTGGGTCGGGGACGCCGATCCTGGCCGATCCTCAGCCTGCTTGGCGTTGCATTTGGCATGGTAGTACAAGACCATGGCCAATCGTAACGGGCGATCATTCAACGGATTCGCGGGGCCAAAAGCAGCTCTATCAGCCCCAGACTCAGCCCAGTTGAAGGATGTGATCCTGATCAAGCTTTATAAATGAGCTCTAAAGGCGTTGATTAGCTGTTGGCCGAAATGCGACCGAGCGACAATATTTATCTTCCTATAATCTGGCCGCCTGCGAATCATGTCGACCAAGCCGGACTCTCAACCTACCATCTCCAAGACCAAGCGATCGCAGACTACGGCAAAAGCTGAGAATGATCAAAGAAAACCCCCAGTAGAATTCCTCTGGATTGATGCTCAAGAGGAGGACCCCCGAGATCGCGATGCCTCTCGGGAGAAACAGTCATTCATTAGGGCGAGGCATCATAGATTGAAGAAAGAATCCCAAATGCGGAGCTTGAAGACATCGATGCAGCAACGACCAGCTAAGAGCGATTTCACACCACCCAAGACGGCCAGCGATCATACTTCGGAGGACCGCTGCTTGATCGCCCAGTCTCCAATTTTGTGTCAACCTCTCGAAGCATGCATTTCAATGGCCTTTCCATACCTGTCCCGTCCCACTAATCAGAGTATGACGCTATACCTTCAACACTGTAAGTATACTCGGGCGACAATAACCAAGAGCCTTGCTTTACATGAGATCAAGAATCTGATCAGTCTATGTCACAGATCAAGTTCATGCCACGAAACTGTGCTTCCCCTTGGGTGACAGCCAAATTACATTCCGATATCTATCAATGGCACTCAATCACCCAGCTCTCGTGCAGATTCTTCTTTCCACAAGTGCCTTTCATCGGGCGACTGTACACTATGTCAGTGGTGCGCCGCCTCAGATGATTCAAAGCTCAACGCAGGATGCCATCCGTTTGCGATCAGAAACAATCAAGTCGCTTCAGGGGATCCTGATCAAGCCTTACGAGTTCTTTTCCGAAGCGACACTCAGAGTTATTGCCCATATAATGTGTGTTGAGGTAACGCGGCCCTGTTGATCTATTCTTTTGTGTTATCTGGTTCATGCTGACTTGATGGACATCATTAGGCAGCCGAGGCTAATGTAGTAGCTGTCCGCGCTCATGAAAAGGCTATTAAGAAAATCATTGATGCTCTAGGTGGACTAAACAACTTGGGATACGATTCACTTTCTATACTATACGTGTGAGTCACTACCTCATTGTGTCCTGGAAAGGTACCATCCATGTCTTGAACTGTCGTCATCTAATCTACTGGTCAGTTGCGATCTCATGAGAGGACTGATCAATGAAAACCCCGTCGTATTAAGTAAATCTTGGAAATGGGAGTTCAAAGTCCACAGAGAGTGTTCCTTCCTCCGAGGAGATTTTGATACCAACACGTCCTCGTTCGTTGGATACCGTTTCTTCAATTCTCCCTGGTCCTCGGATCTCCATCCAGAGCTCATCTTGACTTTGCGCTCATTGCAAACGCTGGTGTCGTTATATGAGAATGTGAACTCCTCCTCGTGGAAACAGACACGCATGGACAATGATGGACTACTTCTTTTGAATCACGAACTATTATCGCTAGCACACGACCGCTCCCTTCCTCCCTTCCAAGATACCCTCCGGCTAGCAGTCTTGATATATACTGTGATTCGAATACGGGGCTTTGGGGGAATGCCTTGTGCAGATATTTTCGTTGCTACTCTTCAGAGAAGCCTTCAAAAAAGCTTCGCCTCTCTCGAAAGCACGGCACCCGACCTACTTCTCTGGATTTTATTCATCGGCAGCCTGGCCTCAAGAGGACGAAACTGCCACTCTTGGTTTTTGCGAAACCTCCAAGAAGTCGCCACGGAACTTTCACTTGAGAAATGGGACTGTGCTGTTGTCGTTCTTCAGGAATACTTCTTCATCTGTAGATCATCCGATGGACCCGTGAAGGAAATGTGGAAGTCGGCATTCTCACAAAAATTGAAAGGGGTCGTAGAGGAATGATTATTGGTTCATTTCTGGCTGTATGTGAACTTGGCAACTCCAGGCTTCGCCAACGCTGTTCCATCAATGGAAGAATGTTGTATTGTTGAGAAAATAGTATTAGCTTGATAAAAGTAATGTGATCGAGAACTCAAGCCAATATGTAGCATTTATCATTAAACACGATCTGCCTCATCAGTAAAAGCCCTCTCGGTGTATTTGACTCGGCTGTACACTGGCAGCCTGTAAACCATTGACTACCGAGTCTGCAAACCCGTTAGGCCCACAAATGAAGAAATTCTTATTTTTGGGAGCAGTCGCCCAGTATGATGGCTCCACGCGCCCTTGGTGAAGAGTCACTTGCACATTTGAGCTGTTGATAACTCGCTTGTCGAAATCAAATTCCTTTGTGAAGATCTCAAGTTCCACTTTGAGTGTGGGAGGCATCTTTGCAAGTGATGGCTGGATTAAATGCAGCATGATCTCTGGCTCCCTCGTCGACAGAACGAGCGATAAATTGCCTTGGGCTGCAGGACCACGGTCACTTAGCGCTTGGAGCATTGCGAGGAATGGGGTTATTCCGATTCCCCCAGCAACCCACAAGTCATTAATTCTTTCGGGACTTAAGGAAAAGTCGCCCGTGATGCCCACTATTCCTGCACGCACTGAATTATCGAACTTGATCGGCTGCCCCCATTGAGTGAACGAATGGCTCTTCAAAACATCGAATAATGCACCCGTCACTGCCCCGCCGGGCATTTTGCGCATCGTGAGTTCGAACGACGTCACATCCTGCCCTTCATGCGCACTTGATACTGTCCAGGTGCGAACTCGGTCATCATTGATAGATTCAGGAGCAGCGTCTGCCATGTGTCGATACTGAGGAGGGCCGATCCAGTCCATGAAATCAAGGACGATGGCCTGTCCGGGACGTATGCTGATCCTAGGGGCGCCAGATTGTGCAGCGACTTTGAACTTGAATACAGCCAGATCGGAAGATAGTCGTACAGCTTCTTGAAGATATGCTTGATGGCCCTCGTTGTCGCCCGTTTCCGATGCTATCTCTTCCACCAGATGTTTGATCTTGGGGCTGTATGGGCTGCGTTCAACCAATGTCCCAGGCTGCTGTCTCACAGGCAGAGCATCTCTGACAAAGGTGTAGCCAGTCACTTTCAAGGTTGTCAGGCTCGCATGTCTGGCCATGATTTTAAGCGCAGCGGGGCCTACGTGATTCTCGGCAGTCCCTGTCAGATAAAGAATATCGCCCGTCGTGAAGGAAACGATGGTCAATCCTGCGAGCCCACTGGACTCAATGTTTCCCAAACTTGAAACGAAACGATTTCCGGAATAGTCAGGAATGACCACTGTGCGCCCGTCGGATGGGCGCACGCGTATGAAACCTGGCAAGCCGCTACGGGCATTCATTCCAGCGTGGGACGGATACTTCTTAGCTGTCGCTTTCTCTGACTTGTAGATAGATGCTATGAAAGCCGTGTCGGCCTGGAGGATGTAGTCTACTACCTCATCTGGCAGCCTGTCATGTGGTGAGAGTTGTCGATTTTGGTAGGCAACAATAGGTCGTGTGTGCGGATACGGGCCAAATTCGCGAACATTGATATACTTTGGACAATTCCTGTTACCGGGTTAGCTAGTTTTCTATCTCAAGAGTTCAAATCAACATCCATCTCCAAGCGTACCCAGTAGTCTCCGTGACTGTTAAGTCAATCTGATAATCGAGTTCTGTCACTTGCTGCACGGCTCGTATGTGTCCGGCGAATTTGTTGCGTCGCCGGGTCGAAAACTCGATACCGAGGCCAGCAGTAAGAAATCTGTCAGTGGTGGTATTCTCGCGGCCTTTGGGGCAGGTCCACGTCTTGATGGCATCCAAAAGTGGATCGCCCTCCCAGAGTCGAGTGAGAACTGAGAGAGTGCGCGCATCTGGGCTTTTGACAAAGCCGATCGACCCAGTCGACCCAGAGACGATGGATGCCCAAGGACGGTCTTCATCGTCCAGAATGGTAACGGGAATGAAGGGAAGCTTCGATGTATGGAATATCCGGTGTTGCTCTGGCATAAAGCTTCCAACAATTGACCAGTGATCCTTGACGGCATCGGCAAATCCAAGCTTGCGCTGGATTGCTTGCTCCCCAGGATGCCAGCCGTGTAGTGCTGCCATGGCCATTGAGTCTGTCGTTCTGCTCTTGTGGGAACTGGAGATGGGGGGAAGATCATGGTCGCAGCCTGTTATAAATGGGTGTCCAGACCGATTTGTCCACCACCTTCCCGATTTAGTGGTGGCTTTGGCGCAGAGTAAGCATGCTGAGTGGTGACCCGTGTTGAGGTTGTGCCATTGCGACGGTCGGAAGCCACGACCATCTGGCCGAAACTCTAAGTCTTTGGAATCATCGGCGGGTGGAATCTAGATCAGCCATGGCAGCTGACAAAGAATTCTTTCTGCGGTCATACAACGAGATGCACAAGCGATTTTGGCTTTCGGGATTTGGCCTTTGGAATCATTTCCATGCGCCTTCATGACTTCCTAATATTGTGCATGGCTCACGCAACCCCGCTTGTAACGCCAAGCCCGAAGTACATCGCTTGAGCAATCTTACCATTTTCCATAGTCGGTCTAGCTCAAGGTGAATGGCTATTTTTGAACAAATTAAGTCCCTATGGTGGTCGAGTATTACTCTGGACGTTCGTATCTGCGAGAACCATGAAAGGAACGGCACGTACAATTGGGCATTTCGAGTCGTCATTCGGCTTCTTGATGGTATATCGTGTACGCACTAATGATGCACGAATAGTTACACCCGGCGTGACATCATGCCGATTGGTGATTGATTCACCGCGTTTCCCCCAGAGGTATCCTTGGGTGTAACTGACCACCTCCAAAGTGTATTCGCTTACTATAAAAGCTAATCATGCCCGTGGAACACTATTCATCTCACTGCACTTTTCGGCTTCCAACAGAACTAATGAACACTGTGGGCAATCAATCATCATGACTTCGACTTCCCCTCGAGCTGTCTATCACTACCTTGATATTGCCCCTCTGGGTCGTGGTGAAGTTATCAAGTGAGTTCTCGCATCTCAACCTTTTCTAATTAATTCATAATAAGTATATAATTCATGAGAGCCACTTCTGACTAATTTGAGCAGGCTCTTCCTAACGGATACTGGTATCGAATTCAAAGAGGTTCTATACCCGTATGATCATACTTGGCCCCAAAAGAGCCAAGATCTGCAGCAGCAAGGCTTGACCAGGACGGGCAAACTCCCTACCCTCGAGTACCAGGGCTTGATTCTCACCCAGGTCCGCAAAGACTCACACATGGCTTTGGTTTAGAGAAAGCTGACTTTTCCTCTAGCACATTCCGATTCTGCGCTATCTCGCTCGAGACCTTGGTCAATATGACGGCGAAACCAATGCTGAGAAATATGCAGTAGACGCTGTAGCCGATATCTACATCGACTGGAGAGTGAGTGACCATCATCACAGGAATAAGTGTACTCTGCTAACTTTCTTGCAGTCTCGTTGGGTAGCCAATTTGGGAAAGAAGGAGGATGCCTACAAAGACGATTTTGTGCCCCAATACTACAAAGTCCTGGGCCAGTACTACAATGACCGTGGCGGCCCGTATCTCTTGGGTGACAAGGTCACCTATGCCGATTTTGCGGTCTATCAATCCATCGATAATGATGCAAGAACCGGCACTCTTCCGGTAAGTCTTTCGATGAACTTTCATCCCCTTTCTTACAGTCGTTTACTTTTACTTTTAGTCCACCCTCCCGGAGTCGCTCCTCAAGTTCAAAGAGACCTTTGAACAGCGGCCCAATATTGCCAGTCTCCTCAAAAGCCGAAAGCCAGTATCTTGAGCCCTGCCTTCTGCCTCCAATCAAGCAGTGTTCTTGAAGCAGCTTTCTATGCCGGCTTGATGGGGGGAGCATATAGACTTCGGTCCATCGACTACCTGGCCTTGAAGTGTATAGCCTGCATCCCCAGTCATAAGCGTGGGCAATTCTCCCTTGAGATCACGGAGGTGACTATGGAGATGGATCGTGCGGGTAAATTCATTGTAATTCAAAGGGCAATATCAGATTATCAATTAAATCTATGGAACGAAGATACTCCTGACACCACCAACGCCGTACACAGAGGAAAGAGCCACCGAAACGAACACATACAGCATCAGAACCGTTATAGCACATGAAGATCTGACCTTCCTTGAGCTAGTACCTAGTAGACAAAATCTAGGCAGTGGCAAAGAAGCGCTCTGCCCAGGGGCATCACTCATGTCCAGGCCATAAAGAGCGCAGCAGCTCTAAATCTTGCGCCACAGCAGGACTTGTTCGGGCGCAGTCATCTAAGAATCGCATCATCTCTTCATTCCAACGTTCCCAACCGCTAGGTAACGTGTCACGGACTCGGGCACTGGGCGAATGAGCAATGCAGTAGAAGAGAAGGATCTGTCCGAAGAATCTGGAAAAGAAAAAGTATTAGTGACAAGCTCGACTACGACAATTCTGGATTGCATGACATGGCCACTTACTGTGAACAAAATGCAAACTTGATAGGTATGCAACTCTTCATCTTTCGGAAGATGCCCTGTGTCACGGGCCAGTCCATCGCGTTATGGAGTCCACTTTTGATCTGCTCAAGATCGTCGTCCGTTAACAAGTTGGGGATGCGAAGCGCTTTGTAAAGATACGGCCGGCCAATGTGGAACTTTGCGATCATGTATCGGCCTCGTAGCATGGCATCGGTGACTGCTACCGCGGGTGATAGTGGACGGCTTGAATCTGCCGGGCGTGGGGTGACATGATTTGGAGATGCTGCAGAGGCAGGCGAGGGGTGGACGGATGACATGTCAGCGGCTGGGGTCGAGTAGCATGGCTGGAGTTGCGCGTCGGTGAATTGAATGGCAGATGGGAGATTATTGCGCCACTGTTCAAGCTGGTGATGGAGCTCGGTGTTGACGGCTGGGAGAGGAATAGTTCCAGAGTCGGCTGCATTCGGTTAGATTAACGTGGTGTATGGTAGTAGGGGGAGAAGGCAAACGTACAGTAGAAATATAGGGAATGCCGGATACGAGTCAAGATGATGCGATGTGCCACTTGTGCGAGGAAATGATACTGGAAATATGAATCATCGACGACCGTGGACGAGGGATACCGAGTGGACGAGTAGCCAGTCGATTCGAAGGCGATGAATTTCGGAATGGGAACTTGCTCCTCGAGACGAGAAAGTCCGCTAGGTGGGAGGTGCAGCTCTTGGACTAGGATCGTCTCATTCATGAGGCAATTCCAGTATACGCGAGACTTCATATCTCCCTCCCATTCATCGAAGCTTACGTCGTGGCTAGACGAGAGTCAGAAAATGAAAACCCCCATTGTTGATGACGCGGTAATACTCACTTGGTCAGCATGGAGAGGCAACATGTGGCCGCACGATGAATCATTGCCCAGGCATCCATTGGACGGGGAATCTGGCTGTAGTAGACACTGTTTGCAGTAAGCATTGGATGCTCCAAAGTCATGGCTATGGAGATGCAACGTACGAAGAAAGCAGGAAGAACTGGCAACTCTGGATGTCATTGTTGCACATCAAAAAGCCAATCCGACGACGGGCTTCATTGAAGAACCGCAAGCCAGGCTGTTCCTCATACACCACGTTCATCCACTCTGGCGGCTCGAAGCGATGGCTCTGCGTTCCCGGCAGTGGATAATTTCCTTCTTGATAGGCTAGCATACCCAAGCAACCAAGCGCCAGAACATTCAGAGCCAAACAGCTCTCCATGGTGTAGCCAAAGCCACTCTCGATGGCCGCACCGAGCGTAAACGAGAAAAAGAAGGATTTATCCATGATCGGCGTGAATGGATTGAACACTGCGAAGAATGCATCGGCCAGGCCTTTGATCATGGCCAATGGCAATACTTCCAGCCAATGGTCCCCCGAATGTAGCGGGAATGGGCTTGTGAACATGGGCAGAGGGGGACGCGTCGATTCCAGCTCGATCACGTAGTTCTTGCCCAGTAGCTCGTATGCCGAGAGTAGCTGCTCGGGAAGAATACTGCGTGCACCCGGCCATAGAATGACTCCATGTTGACTGAAAGAAATGGAGATACGACCAGAGGCATCCGGAGTGGACTGGTTCTGTTCCCAGTCAAAGTCGTCCCCGTTTCGAGCGGCTGGGGTGAAGCCAGGGGTCGTCGTGGACGGCATGATAGATGTATGCCGTCCTTCATCGCGACGACCAGGAGATGGATTCACCTCTTGCGAACGGTCGCCCACGTGGCGCAATTGGCCTTCTAGCGATTGAAGGTCGCTGAGAATAGATGACGGGATATTCTCCAGCTTCGTCTCCAACCGATGAAGAGTGCTCATGATCATCGTAAGAGATTGATCCCGTCTGCTCCAGTGGTCAGCAACGTTAAACCTCAACATAGTACCCCAATGGACTTTGGGTAAGACAGACTTTGAAGATTTTCGTTCATTATAGACACAATCCAGACCAAGGGACTTGCACAGCCCACACTTCGGTCGCGACTCATCGCATCGTGTTTTCTTCAAGCGACACGTCTCGCAAGCCTAGCCCATACATTAGCGCATGATTCCAGGGCCAACATCTACACTCTTTCACCCCATGGAGCTCCGCAATGACATACCACCGTGGCAATGAAGTTCCGGGGCTTCTTGGTCTGACCCGCGGGTGGAGTCGGGTCACGTTCCTGGTCGTCGGGCGAGAGCAGTTCATGAACGGGCAGCAGGCCATTGTGATCGGCCTCGGATGGCTGGCTGCCCCTGGACTCATCGAAAGAGCGCTTGCTCATGGTGCATCCTGGAGTCTGGCAGGCTGGGCCCCTTCAATGATTCCGAACTCCTTTGGGGGTTGATCGCGATGGGGTTGTCACTTTTTTTTATCGCCGGTGGGGCCGCGGCGTCCCCGCCAATTGGAGGTCGCGCTGGGGGGATTCGTCGACAGGGGGGAGGAGTAGGCCCAATGGCAATAACGAGGATTGCATTTGAGATGCGATTGAGGCTCTAGTGGAGGTTGGCGGCACCGTCATTGGAGAATCTCGAGTATATGTAGACATATAGATCAAATATTGTCTGCCAGGTGGGACTTTCCTTTCTCGGCTGCCGCCGCTTTTATGAGGGCGCTCAGACTCAAGACTCAGACTCAGTGAGTAGATGTCAACACGTGATCAGGCTCAGTGATCAAGTCAGCCGAGTCATGTGAGGGATGACTAAGGCATGCTGATCGCTCAGTGACCAACCAGGGCTGGGACGATGTCACTGAGAATTGCTTTTGTAAACGATATCTAATGGTATTCTTAGTAACAAAAAGTACAATTAAAAAAGGTCTAAATTCTACCAGTGAGTAGCATACCGTTAAGGAAGCGTACTTTTGGTTAACTTCAGACAGTGACCATCTCACGAGTTTAAGTTTAAGATACGAGAGACTTGACAGCAAATCTGAATATATGGTCTTATGATAATAAGATTTTCCGCTGGAGATATTTACTTTTGGTGATACGAATCTGGTCATGGTTCAATTTATAGAATCAACTTGAATCAAATAACATTGATTCATGATCTTGGAACTTTGCAAGTCACAATGTGCTTACTACTGATGTAGATATACTTAGGTACAGGTAGACATTCATATCTTGGAATTAGGATCGTTTGATCAATTCGATCCCAAAAAGGTAAATTGATATAGCAAACAACGAGAAGATCCAATAATAAAAACGCAGAATCCAAAGACGGTATGCAAATCCCGGGACAGTGGCTCATAATCCTTCATCATGTTCCTTCACGCGGACTGAGAACTTGGGGGCGTTTTAATCAGGGTCTTCATCGAAGAACGAAACCGGGGTTCGGGCTTCGCCGTGGCGACGGATTGATACCAGTGTGATTAGCGTTCCCGATGTCAATCACCCTTCAATCAAACAGGCACTTCGATAAGTACGAGATCTACTGACGTGAAACGCATCTGAGTCAGCGTCGACATTTGAAATCCAAAATCTACGATACAGTGCATCTGTCAAAAACACAATCTCGATACAACCCTGTCCAACAGACATCTGGACTCTCCATGGACCGGATCTCTTTGCCATTCAGATATCGTCTCCGTATATTCGAAATCAATCGGGCGCATTACGTGGCTCATGCAGGGCCGACCAAGTTCAAATTGAATGTCAGCCTCATTGGAGGAAAGCACGTATGGGAACAAGTCCGACGAGTTGGCTCTAACATCTGAAGCATAAAGGAAAGAAGCTATGTCGATACTCCCCAGACTACGCTTTATGCGCCAGTGTGCATCTTGCAAGATCTCAAGTGTGCAATTACTCGTCAAGTGCTACAGAGCTATGCCAACTTAAACTGCTCAAGTCTGAATTCATGTCAACTGGTGTTACTGGAGGACTGAAATTTCGATACTATGTACACTGTGTCGCTACCAGATGTGTCAAGCCTCAAATATGAACACTGGGAGCTTCCAACCCAAGATGATGAGCAATATCCTTCCCATCATTGCCCCAGAAGTGAACCATATCACCATCACAGTGCTGCACCGCGCTGCGGAATCCGAACATCGTTTGCGAGCGCTCCGACATTTCCCTAGCCAACTTCATGGGCACCGACAGCGAGAAAGCCTGTACGGGACGCAGTTCTCTACGAATGATCGACAGGGCAAGCGCACGACGCTGGTCCGTGGTCGTCGTATTGTGACCCGCACCGTGGACCACCTTTCCACTCATTAAGTAGCAATCACCGGGCTGCATGATAGCCGGGGCGGTCTCGATCTTGCCAAACTGCGGGCAATCGCGCTCGTTGATCTGAGTGAACTCAGGCCACAGGTGGCTTCCCGGAGCAAGGCGCGTGGCGCCATTCTCTTCAGTGAAGGGGGTAACAGCGCAGAAGAAGTTCATGATACACTCAGGCCCGGCGGGACCCATAGAGTTCCACCACGGGTAGAGCTCCTGGTCGCGGTGGAGTCGCTGGGCCGGGGCGCCTGGCTGTACTTCGATGACCATGGTGTCGTTGAAGTGGTAACCCATGCCCTCGCCGGGGTTGCTGAATATACGGTCGCAGAGTTCGTGCATGAGATCGCTCTCGATGATTTCATTTCGGAAGGTTGGGCTTGCGATGGCACACTTGCTAAAGCGCTTGGTGCGGTCGTTACTGTTGCCGTCGTTGGTGACCTCGACGGTAATCTTCTCCATGGCGGGATTGACTTCCTGGCTGAAGCGAGCTACCTGGTCAGGGGGAATGAAGCCTTCGATAACCACGCAGCCATCTTCTTTAAACGCGGCGAAGATTTGATCTGCGGAGGCCGTAGCGGGGAATCTCTGGAGGCGGGGAGGGTTCATTGGTGCCATTTTTGCGGTTCGAGGCTTCCAATGTTTTGAACAGAGAGAGACGAACTCAAGTGCTGAAAAACTGGAATGATAATATGTGAAGGAGAATCAGTCGATGATTTTGCGGGCAAGCGCTAGCGCAGAGATATGCGTGTAATTAATACCCATACTGGTACTACATAGTTAAGGTTGGATCAGGTGGAATCACCATGCGGAAATGGATGCATTTCTGCGCAAAGCTGCCTTCGGTATCCCATCTGCAAGGGTCAACTGGCGCATGCTTTGAGATACACTGAGAAGAGCGGTAAGGCAAGGACAACGACGTGGCACACCACTTCTGACCGAACTAGCAAATTACATCACTATGAATGCGGTAAGCAGGGTATACATCACACGCACCTAGCATTACATTCGGAGACGTACTTCGTACTTCTGCTCCAAAATTGGAAGAGGGTCCTTCACAACATGGAAGCATACGGAGTAGATGCATCAAGGGTAATCGAAAAGAGAGAGGGAAAACACGATCATTGAACTCTACACATGCGAGTCGCTGATCAGAACGCAAGCCACGATTTCCCATCTAGACATGTGAGTACTCGGCCTTGATCCAAAATATACGTACGTGTTGGGGCTCACACGACCCACACGAAGACCGTGTCTCTCACGCGAGACAAGCTCTTAGCAACAGCCGAGAGCTTCGTCTACACATTTTGCCCATTCGATCTGGAGGCGAGCCTCGCCATTTGGTCCCCAACATGCGTCCAGCACATGTGATTCTCTAGCTTCCAGGAAGGATATTTCCACTCAGTCGGAACTATGTGCGAACCTTCCACATTTTCGAGCAATGTTCAAGTAGACTGAGAAACAGAACATATGTGCATGTCATCGGTGATGAAGATGGCTGCACACGTGTCTATCTTCATAAGATTTCACATAGTGCATACATAAATCGAACTTGAATACCATAAAATTCCCCAGTGACTGATAAAGATCCTTACTAGTAGCCCGGCATATATGTTGCCGTTGTATTGAAGCACAATATAAGCATGTTTCCCTTGTACAAATTGCAAGATTCAACCAGAAAAGAGTATCGTGTATAGGCCAGCAAGAATTGAAAGTTCGACAGCAGCATATTCAATTTCCGTCATGTATGCGTAGCCTAGGAGGGGTTGCTAATCTAAATTACCCAGATACCAAGGCGACAAGGCACTCAACATTGAAACACATTAACAATTTTCCGTCATTTTTTGAGGTTTCAAAGATCAGTAGGCTTCGCCGAAATATTTAATATAGGATAAATTTCTATATTGCCAGGGCAATCCTTGTTGAAGGGAGTGTCTTTATGCAATCTTCCTTAAAATCATCTCGAGTTCACTAACTCAGTACAGCTTCCCGTGGTGTCAGATGAACCATTAAGGATGGCTTTTCCCACATGACCCGATGTCGCTGTTTCATCCAACTTTGGCTCTCTTCCGCAAGTCTCAAGTGGAAATGAAAGAAAATCATTTGCGGGCTTGAATTTACATTCTCAGGAATATTTTCTCTAAGAATATACCCTCCTCCCTTGGGGACCATCCGGGGGAGTCCGTTGCAAGCTGGGGAGTAGTGACGGAAAGTCTCATTGATATAAGCATTCAAGTACGGGAGTTGACCAACACTAGTGTAGGTGATCTCATCCACATTCTTGAAGGCCGAATATATTTAGTCAGAGAGCTAATCATAGACATGGTCGTGTTTGAGAAGGAGATATGCCACGCCCATAAGCAATGTCGCTGTGCTTTCGGCACCAGCACCGATGAAAATTTGAGCATTGGAGGCGAGATCCTCCACGCCTAGGCTCTGTCAGACAACATAGCTGTCAGCCTTGCACACATGTGCGTGATAAGCAAGACAGGGACATGACTTACCAATTGCTCGCTCTTTTGCAAGAGACCCTGGATAAAGTCAGGACGTTCGCCCTTATATTCGACTCGACGCCGCATTCTTTCCGTGCTGCTTCTGAGGTGCGCATCCCGATATTTCCGCATTGCCTTCGCGAAAGAACCAGAGGCCCCTTTATCCATGGAAAGAAGCCAATGCATTGAAAGATGACAGCTGTTATGCCCAGATTTGCCACCAAGGTGAGCCTTTTGTCTTCTTTGCCCTCCTTTAGGCAGCCTAAAGGTTCTCCGAACGACAAGTCACCAACAATATCAAAAGCCACGTATGAAAGCCGGTCATAGAGGACCACCAATTGACTTTTTGCGGAGACTTCTCGTGATCTCTAGCAAAAAAAATCCACTTATCCTCGAATAATTGGTCCTTGGTCTCGTAGTGACTGCTGGGAAAAGCCATGCGACATGGGTCGGCGCAGGCGAGCGTGGGGCTTACGGTCCTCGTTGATAATATTCAACGCTTCGTACTTGAATGTTTTATAAAAACACGGCGCCTTCCCCATTTCCTCCCAGTCAACCTTCTTGTGGCCCATGATTTGCTCCTAGGCGTCTGGATACGAGGATGAAAGCTCTTCGGAAGCTAGGCGAACGATATCACCGTATTTTTGGTGCATTGCCAGCACGCTGTGGTGGATGTTCCTTCCAAGGATCTGACAGATATATGTCAATCGCGTGGCTCTGATGGGTGGAAGTATGCTTTATAGATGACTTTAGTCACCACATAAAACACAACCTGTTTTCCTATTCCATCAGAGACCAACGTTGTTCAGAGAGGGAGAATAATGAGACATATTAAATGCTCACATACCGCCGTTATTACAGATCCGTAAGAACACATCTCGTAGGCGTCACGTATTCCCTCGAATTCAAGACCCGGGTGTCGTGGATGAGGATAAAACTTTAGAGAATGCGTGAAAAAATCGAGCTTCACGAGGTTGGGTGGGGAGCGCTTGCGGATCAATCCCTGACCCCCTGACATCTGCCACCCGCGGGTAAAAATAGCTCTGATATTGATCCCCCAGCCTTCCCCTGGACACCGGTTCCAGTCTTCACTGCCCTAGTGCATTTCCAAGCATTCTATGTGGTCGGGAGATAGTATGCTTTACTCTTGATCCACCAAACATTTAGGACATTCAGGTGGCCTTCAGGTGGCCTTCAAGTTTTTGAAAGTTACTTGCAAATCGTGCTTATCTCAAGAAAATGATTGAATAGCTATGCAGCAACCTTCGACTCATTGTTTGCTGGGACTCCCTTATTATCCGCAGAGGGCGTACTGGCACAACAACTATCAAGGCCCCTCGCTGCCTGTTTTGCTGCCAGTCGATTCATCAGGTCTTGCTTCCGTATAGCCTCTGGTACCTATGGGAGATAGATCGCACTTAAGATAATCATATATCTGGTCCCGTTCGACTTTTGAAACTACTGTGTGAGAAATGATCACTTGATGATCACCCTGCCAAGCGTGGTTCTTGTTTGCTTGTGGCGGACAGATCGCCTCAATGGGCAGTAGTTATAGACCAATCCTTTATCTGCTTTTTCCAAGGCCGGAGTATTGAGGGTCCACCACTGCCGCCAAGCCGATATTTAGCGGTTTCAAGGGTAGTGCCACATCAGTACAGCTATGCATGTGCAAACATCGATACGCTGTATAGGCCATCCAACTGTGAAGTAACAGGCAGACAGGGCTTGAAACGAAAACCTTGAAAAGAGTACCCCTATTTTCAAGCTATCGATTTGGTGAGGTAAAACTTGAGCACCAGTGCTATGAAAAACACCATCACGGAATCTTGGCTTAGACATGGGCAGGTGTGTACCTAGGTACGCCACATGCATAAATGGAGGCGGAAAGAAGGGACCCATCTGGGCACGCTAAAGCGGAGTGCAATCCAAATGTCAGGTGCTATGCACTAATGTATGGAAAGATAGTGTTTACCAGCCATGCGTAATCAAAAATTCGAGTGACTTATATTTGCTATACACATTTATATTCATGAACGATAAAAATGACCTGTATACAATTTCTTCGACTCGATGCGTTGCTGATCCGGTACTAGGTGGTGAAAATCGTGCATATGTATCATGCAGGTTTCCAACTTAATCAATACGGTAAGCAATCAGGCAGCAATGCCTTCAAAATTTCAATATTGAATGCAATGTGACCTTCCAAAATTGAGTGCCATACGTACGAAGAATAGTCACTGCACATGCATGTAACTCTACCGGTGCCTCCCAGGAAAAGAGATATAGGTAGCTTCGGTTTTTAAATGCCACAACATTGACAGGTGCATACTCGCCTTCCTATTGTAGTCTGAATATGATAACATACACAGCTGGACGTAAGGAGGCAGGTCTCGCTAGGACCGGCTCTCGAGTTCCAGACGGTCTGATGACGTATTGTATGTCTTGCCAACTACCTAGGTATGAACTCACCGTATTATGTATACATATGGGCCCAGCATAACTTGAAAGATGGTTCAAATTCAAAACGGCATTGAGCCATTGATCTCTGCCGGTGTCCGGTGCAGAAGGCATATTCTCCCTGGCACAGTATATCAAACCTACTTGCATACGGAATATCCAGTATTAAAAAGGGCAGAACAGCTCATATGCCAATCATCAACTTGGCCATTCAATGTTTAAATGTTCTTCAGGGCCAGTAACAATCGCGGGGACCCGATGTCCAAGAAAATAGCACAGTAGTATCATTTTATATGGGAAAGGAAGAGGATTCGAGTTCTACCTTGGGGGTATACAGGATCGAATACAACAAGTTGAGTAATCAGCATCTATTGATGAAGGCTGCCGATGCTCTATTTGACGTCCTAAAGAAGACTAGACATCTTGAACACATAAGGACGTAGTAGGTGGCTAATATCGTCCGTAACTGATATTAATATATAGAGATGAAGGAAGACAAAGGACAGCCAACTGGAGGCTTGATCAGAAGAGCCACTTGACAGTCACATGATATTATCTGGTCGTTCGATGTGACCAGCCTAAGTTATATTTTAGGTTGAGAGGCGGATCCCAAATGTGCTAAAAGAAAGAAGAAAAGATTTGATTTGGAAGGCGAAAATATTGAGAAGGAAAAGAGGAGATCCGTGAAAGAATCTTGGAAGCTATGAGTGTCCATCTGGGTCCCATTTCTTCCTTAACGATTATCTCCGTATTTAAACCGACTCACTCCAAGCTCCAAATTATCTACCTGGGTGTTTTCGACTGAATCTGTGAGGATCTGTCGTCATATTCAACTCCGACAGCCGTGTCTTGTTCACTTTTCCAACATGTGAATTTCACGGCCACTCAGCTCAGCGGGAACCCGGGTCTACTACTCCTTCGCTATTCGGTTCAGAACTGCTGCGTTGGAATAAACTGCTAAAATCGATGCCTAGGACCAAAGCAGAAATTCCAACTCCGATTTTGTCTCTACAAATGCTTCAAAGCCGCACACAGTACTCAAAAAACAAGCCAAATACTAAGAACACGGTTGCAAGCAGACAGGATGACTTCGCCCGTGACTCCACCAAGGCCGACTTGGCTCCATTACCCAGGGATGCCCGCAAGAACCGAAGGAAGCCAACGAAATGGCCCCCGACAGAGAATATGAGGAAAGGAATTCCAAGGCCACGCAAGATACCACCGGCAAGAAGCGAGAGTGTTCCAGAGAAGAATAGGCTGTAGGCGATCTGATCCGTGATCTCCATATATCGAACGGCCATGCTGCGCGCACCGACCTTCTTATCCTCCTCCGCATCCTGGCAAGCATACACGATATCGATCATGACAATGACGGAGGCGATGGAAAAAGACATAGCGAGTGTTGGAATGGGAAAATCGAGTGGGTTCATATCTAGACTAGACATTGCCATTGGGATGGCCCAGGCAATGTTAGTAAGGATGAGTTGCGGATGGTCGGAGAATCGCTTGCCGAATGGATAGAGCAAGGCAAAGAAGACGACAATAGCTGCCTCAAAGGCGCACTGCGAGGGCAGGAGAAGCAAAAGCGAGCCTCCGCACCCAAACATGAATGCAGTCAAAAGAGCCGCGCCAGACGGGGATACGGCACCGCGCGGGAGAGGGCGAAGCTTCGTGCGCGACACTTGACGATCGATATCCATGTCAATGAGATCATTCCAGGCGCATCCAGCGCTTCGGATGCAAAAGCCCCATAAGGACAAAATGACTAGACGGCCGAGCAGAAATGTCGCAGGAAGGGTCACTGGTGAAATAGCTGCAGTGTAGGCCACGCCAACAACATATGGCGAGATATTCAGATAATACCCGAGTGGCCGGTGAATACGCAGTAGCTCACCATATGGGACTGTTGACTCCGGAAGTTTGGAAAGTATCCCATTCTTTGGGGGCTGGTAATCCCCTTTGGTGGGCATTTCAACGACAGAGGGGGATGGAAGCTTGCGAATACCCGATCGAAAGCTTGAAGAGATGATTCAAGTTCAAAAGGTAGACTGGAGGATACTGGCTTGAGGCAAATATTCAGATATTCAAGGTTCCTCCCGTCGGATCGTCCCGTTAAGGGTTCCGAGGGTTTAGATCAAGTCAAGCGTTTACCCATACTTATTATACGTACAGTGACTCATCCCACTATCACCTTGCGACGCCTCTCAAACGCACGACGAGTCACTTTGCATGCGCATCATGCATATTCGATCACTCAAAAAACCAAGTTCTTGCAAGGAAAATCTTACAAATTGCTCGATAAAGCCAAGCTATCTGCTCCACGACTTGTATGCAAGGGGCATAGCCCTTGATTCCTTAGTTGCCTTATTTATGCACGTTCATGACGCATTTTCAAGACATCTGGAATCTTTATTGCATGCCATGTATGTCACACAATCGACTGATACCATATGCACTGGATCGATCCGATTCTAGCCCATGTCTCAACCTGCTATCCACATATGTAACTTGTGTACAACGATAAATTTCAGATAAAAGACCACCAGACATGAACATACATGCCGTCCACAAAGAACCGATCTCTACTTTCTCAAGCCCAAGATGAGTCAAGCAACAGTCGAGGAGAAATCAAAACTCCGTGTGATTATAGTCGGGGGCTCCGTTGCCGGGTTGACTCTGGCACATTGCCTGGCCAAAGCCAATATCGACCATATAGTGCTTGAAAAACGCGCTGAAATAAGTCCACAGGAGGGTGCATTTATCGGCATCTGGCCTAACGGGGCTCGGATCTTTGACCAACTGGGCCTCTATGAGGATTTTGAGAGTCTTACGCCGCCAGTTCATAGAATGAATGTTCGGTTCCCCGATGGCTTTACTTTTAGCAGCTATTTGCCGCGAACAATCCAAGAAAGGTGCGGGCGCCTACTAAATTTGCTTAGAAGAGTATATCACTAATCTATTCCCCTAGATTTGGGTACCCCATCATATCGATAGATCGTCAAAAGGTCTTGGAGACTCTGTATGAACGCTATCCGCACAAGTCCAACGTTCTTGTCAACAAGAAGGTGATGAATGTGCGCTTTTCAGGGAAAGGAGTCTCCGTAGTTACAGAGGACGGCTCGGCATATGATGGTGACCTTGTAGTTGGGGCCGATGGCATTCATAGCCGAATTCGGTCTGAGATGTGGCGATTAGCAGATGAAAACCACCCAGGTCTCATTACCTCACAGGATAAACAAGGTTTGTCACACCATCAATGCTTTGGTTTCACTATACTAAAACTTTCAACAGCATTCACTGTTGAATATGCGTGCGTTTTCGGCATATCGGAACAGCTGCCTTCTTTGCCAGCTGGAGAGCACATCAATTCCTATTCCAACGGGCTCTGTGTCATTACTTTCCACGGTGAGAAGGGTCGCATTTTCTGGTTTCTTCTTGTAAAACTTCCGGAAAAGACCACATACCCAAACACGCCCCGCTTCTCAGCGAGTGATGCAGCCAGTCTTTGCAACAAATTCGCCCGATTCCGTGTCTCCGAGGATATCTGTGTGTCTGATCTCTGGATGCATAAGTTATTCGCTTCCATGACAGCCTTGGAGGAGGGAATTTTAGAAAGATGGCATTACGACCGTATTGTGCTTCTTGGAGACAGTGTTCACAAAGTAAGTTCCTTCCAACCTCGTGAGGTTAATGGGGTTAACAATCCCAATAGATGACTCCAAACATTGGTCAGGGGGCAAACACTGCGCTTGAAGATGCTTCGGTCTTAGCATCACTACTCAACAACCTCTCGAAGTTGAGTACTGAGGATGGCACATCAGCGTACGCTATGACGAAACTACTTAATGAATATCAGTCCACACGGTACGAGCGGGCCAAGAACACACATGATAAATCGCGTTTCGGCGCACGCCTGCATACAAGGGACGACATGATCAAGACATTAATTGGCCGATACGTCTTCCCATACGCCGGTCCCCGTGTTCTGGAAAGGTCAGTGAAGTCTCTGGCTACTGCTCACTCAGTCGAGTATTTGCCCTTTCCAAAGAGGTTAGGACCTGCTTGGGGCGAATATAGCTCCCCGAACAAGTCCACTCTTGGCTCAACGCCAATTCATATGCTTACTCTGCTTCTTCCATGTCTGTTCTACTTCATGTACTCTAAATTGAATCTGTTTGTATCGCTTTAGCTAGCGTTTTTTTTTTCTTTTTCAAAATAAGAGTTTGCTAGCTGTTTTGCGATCGAGCTGCTGCCCGTAGAGTAGATAACAATGTGATTATTGGATAATCAGCGTGGCGGACGGTAGTATCTGCACTTGCATCTTGTGGCCACGCCTATTTTTATTTTATTTTGTGTTACCCAGACATTATTGAATAATAGTGTTTCCAGGTGTCAGATGATATCTGCACCTTGCATTTTGTGATCACTCTTGCGTTCACGTTTGAAGATCATGATCTTCACTCAAATCAATAGGAATTCCACTTGCTGACAAGGACATTATATGCGTAGGACGATCGTGTGGATCCGCAGGGCGGGGGCAACGCGTACCGGGTGTGATGATATCCGGGCATTCTTCACCTTGCCTCATACTGACACGAAATGTATGGCTGTCTTTCCCCTGAGACACGACGTAGTATGTATTTTCACCGAGCTATGTGATAATCACACACATTGCCATGCTTTTTCGGGTGCGAGTGCTTTTCTTTGTTAGTCTTATTGACTGTTCACTCATCCAAGTGCTATTTTCCTGGTAGTGCCGCCTTTACCATGATAACGGAAAGCCGTGAACATCTGGCATCTAAGCCGCTGAACTCAGAGTCAATAATTAGGCTTGATACTCCAGATGACAAACCTTCACTCGAATGTGAGAGCATTCCATCAGGAGGACACATCTCGGATGTCTCTGGTGGCCCCGTGTCTACAGAGGTGAAAGATGTGAATGATGTCTCCGAATTTGAGAAGTGTGCTATGGAGGAGCAGACACACGATGAAGTCCCCATCTCAGCATCGAAGATTACTGTTGTAGTTGCTGGGCTAGTACTTGCCGTATTCTGCATGTCACTGGTAAGTGCTTGTGTTTGCGTTTTATACCCTCCCTAACTAACATGGAGCCTTTTAGGACAGTACAATCCTAGCGACCGCGATTCCGAAGATCGTTTCCCAGTTCCACTCTCAAAATGAGATGGGCTGGTACGTTAGTGCATACTCCCTCACATTAGCCAGCTTCAGCCTGGCCTTCGGTAAAATATACACGTTCTATCCCGCCAAAATTGTGTTCCTTATCACCCTTTCGCTATTCGAAGCTGGATCTCTGATCTGCGGCGCTGCTCCCAACTCGTTGGCACTGATTATTGGGCGAGCAATCGCTGGTATAGGTGGGACTGGGATGTACTTAGGATCATTGCTTCTAGTTGCCGAGATCCTCCCCTTTGACAAAGTCCCAATCATCACCGCACTTCTTGCTGCTATGTATGGCATAGCTGCTGTCGTTGGACCATTGTTAGGTGGTGCATTTGCAGACTATGCAACTTGGAGATGGTGCTTCTATATCAATCTGCCCATGGGCGGGCTGACTTTTCTTTTTGTCTTCTTCTTTGTCAAGACAGGAAATGACAGAAAGAGGGCTCGAGAAGCTAATAATATAGTCTCTCGATTCCTCGAATTGGATCCGATAGGTGTCGCGCTATTGATCCCAACCCTCATATGTCTCTTGCTGGCCCTCGAGTGGGGAGGAGCGACTTATTCGTGGCATAGCTGGCGCCTTATCGTCCTTTACGTCGTGGGTGGCTGTTGCGCCCTGGGTTTTGTTGGAGTCCAGATCTGGCGACAAGATACAGCCACACTTCCGCCACGATTACTAAAGAATCGAAACATCTGGGGCACCATACTGTTTACCTTTTGCTTAAACGGCTCCTTCGTGGTTTTAGCGTATTATGTGAGCAAGCCTGCCTTCCCTTACAGCAGTGTGGGGCGTAACATTTGAAGCTTTGAACGCTAACAACCAATTTCCACAAAGCTTCCTATCTGGTTCCAGAGTATCAAGGGTGTCAGCGCGATTCAATCCGGCATTATGAATCTTCCTCTGATTTTAGTGATGGTTATATGCTCCTTGTTATGCAGTACACTTGTGACCAAGCTCGGGTACTACACGCCCTTCCTCTACCTTGCCCCTATCATCGCCTCCACCGGCGCAGGGCTTCTCTCTACAATGCATGTCAACTCTGGCTCTTCCGTCTGGATTGGCTTCCAAGCCCTTTTCGGAATCGGATTAGGCTGCGGTTTATCACTAAGCATAGTAGCCGCTCAAACTGCACTTCCACCGCAGGATATTCCCACGGGCACAGCCATAGTCGCATTTACACAGACATTGGCAGCCGCCGTGTTTAACTTCGTGGCTCAGAATGTGTTTCAGAACCAAGTGCTGAGCGGCTTAGCTCAAGCAGCCCCAGGTGTAAGTGCTGCAAAGCTCACCAAGGCTGGGCCTACCATGCTCCGCGAAATCGTCCCTGCGGACACGCTTCCCGCTGTATTAGAGGTGTATAACACTGCTATTACACGGGCTTTTTATGTTGCTGTGGGGAGCGCAGCGCTGGCAATCTTTGGTGCGATCCCTCTTCAGTGGCTGTCTGTCAAGAATAAGAAAATCCAAGCAGTGACTGCACATGCTTGAAATCAGACGGCAATCATGCTTCTATTATCTTTCTACATTTCTGGGACCTTTGATTGAGAGAAAATAGATGGGCTGCACTATAACATCCATCAATTTGCTCTCTATTGGCCTCCTATGGGCCAAACACTCATTGGATTACTTCTACCCATAGCTTCCCCTCCTCTCCCCGCCTGTTTGAGCAGTGATTTATGGTCCTGTATACGCTTCCCATGAGGATACATAGTTCCATCGTTTCGTCTTTCTGTGTTTTTCTTTTGATTGGGTTTTCTCTTACGAAGCTTAAAGTCAGACGGAAAGCAACATACTAATTGATATTCATATTTTTTGTGTGAACTGGACTGTAATCTACTTCTTAATTTAGCTTTCTTATTTGAAGTGACTACAAGTCTGCTCACATATACACTTACCAAATATTGACCCTTTCTTTGCCACTATAATGAAGTAAAGTAAACACAGAATATTGCTGCTTGTGTTCAAAATTCAGATTCATCAGTGCGGGACTTCCGGTGGGTGTGCTGCTGGATAATATTCGTGAATACCAACTTCGGTGAACTGTTATCTTATTCATTTGACAATTCTGTAGATAAATGGGCTCGTTGACCTTGTCTAATACCGAAAATACTGTAATACAAATGTACCAAGAAAACAGACATAAATTCATGAAAGCCAAGTAGCTCAAATTGTACCCGGCCCCAAACGGAGGGCATCCAGTCTTTTGATGCAACTTTCCCATATACCGTGTTCAGGATTGGAGCCCTGGAGGAGTGGACATGTCTACTATCACTGTTTTTTGATGCGGGCTTCCCTCTGGGGCGCAGGAGTTTCAAACTTTCGCATTGAGAAATACAAAAAGGGGTAAGCGGCGTCGAAGGAGAGCACAGTGACAATATAGAACCAACACATGGGACTATCTAGCCAAGGCGCTCCATCAACATTATGCTGGAAGCGGATACACAGCTTGATGAAGCCGGCAAATGTCGAAATAGCGCGCGCAAACCTGATATAATCATGTTAGTTGTTCAATCCGATTCCAGAGACATGTGACCGAGATTTAGAAGTCAATTTACCAAATCAAATAAGACGCTCCACGCGTGTGTCCGCGAGAAAGCAGCTGAGCGATACCACCCGAGCTAGATAGAAATTGACACAGTGCCCCGCCCCAGTGAAATCCCAGGGCTGGTCCAATCTCAGCCGCGAGGGCGTACTGTCCGGCTCCAAAGACGATAGTGACAAAGATATAGATGAAGACGATATGTCTGTGGGCCAGCGGGGTATTTGCCCAATCGTTGGGGGATACCTTAAGTGTAACTAGCAGGACGGCGGAGTGTAGGAAGAACCAGACTCGAACAACGCCTTGCCAGTGCGAACTGAAGTCTGGAAACATCCAGGCATAGACAAATTCCCAGCCAATGTCACAACAGAGAGGCAAGATTCCAATGCTGGGAATCTGGTCTTTCCAGGCACGGTGCACCATGCCAATATAGTTGACCGACCATCCTACCGCAGCGACTACCTTAAGCACTTCGGAAATCGCGAGGATGTTGAAAGGACCGCGAAAGATCGCGGCGACCGTCAATGGCTCCTCCATGGTGATCTGATATCCTTGAGTGGTGCCTTTCGCACGCGTGTGTGCCGAACGAAATTGGGCTTGATGGAATGTAGCGAGTCAGATAATTGTAGTGGTCGATCGAGTGCCTAGTGAATTAATTTGTCGCGAAGAGATCACTTTTTGAAGCATCATCCCTGCCTCCCCGGTTGGCGCTCATTGGAATGCGCCAGCCACCAGGATCCTGAAGGGCCACACCATCACAGATACGAGCTTCACCAGCAAGGGACTCCCAGCTGGGGGCACATACTAATCGTGTGTGTACACAGACGGCTCAATTCTGCAATAAAACCTGGGATAAAAAGCAAATTACCCGGCCACAGTATGCGAAGATGGCAATGATCGTCTACCGCATGCCAAGATGATAAACTTCGTCATGCTCGCGTCCGGAGCGGGACGATCCGAGTGATCAAATACAACAGATGCTTTATGCAGCTGAAAAAAAATGAAAATGAAAAAACGAAAAAATGAAAATGAAAAAATGAAAATGAAAAAAAGAAAAAGAAAAAGAATAAGAAAGTCATTTTCGGGCTGCGCTAGCTTCCGGCCCGTCGCGATATGATCTGTAAGGGGCGTGAGAGAAAGCAAGTATTGCCCCGCCGGTGTTTATTATCGAGGTCACAGTACGGGCACTACTGTTACTGTACACAAAAGAATGTAGCCGTGGATCTCATATTATATTTCTCTCTGCTTTGAATAATGCTGGGCTCAACATAAACTTCCTAATAGATATGTACTCCGTACGCCTTGTTTAAAAGTTGGGTTGAAAAAGAAATGACACATTTTTCTATTTTCTATTTCAGCTTCTTAACGATGGCTAACTGGTTAAATTAAGCGGTCTGGCCACAGGGCCCACCGTGTAGTGCACACCGCCTCCGTCTGCATGGAGGCGGAACCTTTCTGCCGGATGATGGTCAGGGATAGCCATAGATGCAGCATCTTTACCATCTTGACACCTCGGTCTCTCAAATCATGAGGAAAGTAAGTGAAAGCCAGATTCACTATGTAAATTCCGAGTCTGAGAGGTTAGTCAAGACCGGGAAATTGATTTTTCATGGCCAACGGCTTCATTGGCCTCAAAGACTCAGATTTCGCGGAGTTTAAGTCATCGGGGCAGGCAGGTAGTTCGATCTTGTCATTGCCAATTTACTCGCAATCTTTTCACAGCTTCAGGCATATGTTGGAGAAATGATCTTGAAATTTTTTAATAAAGCTAGTGGATCAATCATTGTACCGAGGCTCTAGATAGTCGACCAAGCATTGTCAACTGGAATTACAGCCCCGCTAATCCCTTTGCTGAGATCGGACAAGAAGTAGAGTAAGCTGTGCGCAAGATCCTCGGGTTGGAGACCGAGTCCCTTGGCATGATCACTAGCATGGGCCTGATGAATTACAGTCATCATTTCCATGGCCTCGCTGTCAAATTGAGTCGAGTCCACACCGTCACGAATTCCTGTCGCTGCCACGCCTGATAGACGGCAATGTTAGTGGGACTCATAGGACACGGGAAATAGATCATTCCGAGTAGAAAATAAAGGCAGATTGGGAATGTTCTCACCTCCAGGGCAGACAATATTGCAACGGATCCCCTCATGCTTAAACCTCCATGCAACGTTCTTGGTAGCTCCGACCAACCCGTGTTTGCCTGTTTGATGTTTTGATAAGAATGACTCGAAAGATGAATAGCGTGGCTTAGATGCAACGTACTTGCAGTATACGCAACTCCAGATACGGCGCCACTCATCGATGCCTTACTTCCCACATTCACGATACTCCCCTTCCCCCTTAGCCGCATAATTGGGATGACTTCACGCATCAACTTCACCGGTGCAGTCAGATTGATAGCGATACAGCGGTCCCACATATCATCAGTCACTGTGTCAGCGCTTTGATTGAGGTCCATCACCCCAGCGATGTTTAGCAGGCCATCGATCCTATTTCCATAAGCTGCAATGCAGGCGGCTATGGCCTTTTTGGCAGATTCGGGGTGTGACAGATCCGCTGCGAAAAAGGTGTAATTGGGGTTTGCGGTGAGAGATGCCGGCGAGTTTGAGATATCAATACCTAGGACCTTGGCTCCTGAGGCTAGCGCGAGAGTGCTGGCTGCGAGGCCGATGCCGGAGGAGCTCCCCGTGATGATGACGACCTACCCATTGCAAGGACACAGTATTAGTAGGGACAGAGTTGCTTGAATGTGATGCTGAGATGATTCCAACCAGAGATAGTCAAACCTACATGGTCTTGGATATTGTACATGGTCATTAGTATGAAGAGACCTCAAACATGGATAACGGACAAAGATGGGTGTTAAAGAGAGCGTGTAAATAATGGATCAAGTGGGTTGTGCTTTTTACTGCACATGTGGGTATGATCCTCGACAATAGTGGCTCATTAAGCACAGTAAAAGGCCCTCATTGGCGCTATTCCGTGCACACGTAGTCTTTAGATAGGTCTTATGCAATCGACCTTAGCCGGTATATATGTAGCTGTCAGAAAATGCCAAGGAGCGGTCAAGTAAAGCGCAGCAGGTCTCCCTTGCGTTCCAACCTATTTTTTTTCTCTCTTTTTTTTCGTTGCTTCATCTATGTTCTAGCTCCAGAGAGGTGCAGGCATACGCATCACGCGATTGACGTGGCCGATTTGAGAGAAAGTTGGAAATCTATGTGATCTACTTTGTTGACTGCAACTATCGAATCTGGGCTTGGATACTCGCAGAACGGATCGACATACTCGCAGAACGGATCGACTACGATCGAAGAGAATTCTGCATAGTAATCTCTGTTATGTAATGCCTTCAATTCGACCTAAGGAGAGACCACTGACATGTGTAGAAAGATTGGCTAAGAAACTAGTTAACTCATTCCGAGGTGCGTATTCAGCGAACAGTACGCTTACTAGCCCGTTGAAGAAGACGAGCGATTAACGTGATTTGATTCTACCTAGTAGTTTTATCCAAGCTCACATCACCGAAACAATCAGCCTGACAGTTTACACTTGCCAAAGGTGACCTTTACCCGCACAAGGTTAAAAACACAACTATGGCTATCGGTCCGAAACCAGAATCAATCATCGGATCCTACGACCACCCGCCCCAAGCAGAAGCCCAGACGGAGGTCAAATCAGCAGCCATCAATGGAGATACCTCTCCAGTCAGTCGGCTCAAAGACTTTGCCACAGACCCGTGGTTGACCTCCACTGACCAACCCCAACCCGACTCAACTACGAATGTTCCTTACTCCCTACCGGATTCAACCCAGGACGCCCGAATCCTGATTGTGGGTGCCGGATATGGTGGTCTTCTCTTCGCAGTTCGGTTGCTACAGTCAGGCTTTACCTTAGAAGATATTCTTCTTGTTGACTCGGCCGGGGGGTTCGGGGGTACCTGGTACTGGAATCGGTATCCCGGGCTGATGTGCGATATCGAAAGCTACATATATATGCCTCTACTTGAAGAGACAAAGAATATTCCCAGCCAAAAATATGTATCCGGAGAAGAGCTGCGCACCCATGCAGAGCGAATTGCAGAGAAGTGGAAACTAGGTGCGCGAACGCTGTTTCGGACAACAGTAAGCGACTTGACCTGGGATGACAACAAAATGCAATGGATTGCAACAGCCTCATTTTCGAGCAATGAAAAAAAACAAGGAAGTTGTACTTATACAATCAACGCCGATTTTGCTATTCTTGCAAATGGAACTCTCAGCAAGCCAAAAGTCCCTGACTTACCGGGTATTGATGACTATACCGGTCGCATTTTTCATACTGCACGATGGGATTATGATTACACCGGAGGATCTCCGGCTATACCTGCAATGGATCGACTGAGAACCAAAAAGGTTGGAGTGATCGGAACTGGCTCAACAGCGGTGCAAGTAATTCCGCAGCTTGCACGCTGGGCTGGGGAGTTGACTGTATTCCAAAGAACACCAGGCGCAGTTGGTCTACAAGAAAACCGTGAAACGGATCACGCATGGTGGAGGGACAATGTCCAGCTAGCTGGTCCGGAGTGGCAGCGGAAGCGATGCGAAAACTTTAATGCCTTCATCACAAATCCGTACCGGGCGAGTCTGGAGGAGGAGGACCTTGTTAAAGATGGATGGACCAAACATCCCTCTTTCTCCGTTGCATTAGGAGGCGCTCGTAACCTTCAAGCTGACTTCTTGGATTTGGCCAAAAAGATCGACAAAGAGAGGAGGGAAATTGGCCAACAGCATATCAATTCCACAGTCCGTAATCCAGCTACAGCAGAGGCACTGTTCAATCCGACTTACGGCTGGTGCAAGCGACCATGCTTTCACCAGGGGTACTTCGAGACCTATAATCGGGAGAATGTGAGGCTTGTCAGCACACCCGGTCAGGGTATCACAAAGTTTACAATAAATGGCATCATGTGGGGAGACAAAGAGTTCGAACTTGACCTCATTGTGCTTGCCACAGGGTATGACCTAGGAAGCCTGTGTCCAGCGAATAGGGCTCGGCTATCAATTCACGGTCGCGGAGGATTATCAATGAGCCAGAAATGGGCCTCGGGTCCAGCAACTTTGCATGGGGTGATGACACGGGGATTTCCGAACCTCTTCTTCCCAGGGACCTCGCAGGCAGGTGTCACAGCGAACCAGTCCTATATGTTTGATCGAGCGGCAGAGCATATCGCTTATATTATTCAAAATGCGCGCCCCCGTACTGCTGCTAGTGCAGTCAACCTCAAAGTCCTTGTTGAACCGAGCTTGGAAGCAGAGGAGTTGTGGGCGATGGAGACAGTTTCACGAGCTAGGGCATTTGCCGCTACCAAAACCTGCAGCGCTGGTAGTTATACAATCTCGGCCCGCCTTGGTGAAAGCGTCGATGAGAGCCAGATGGCAAGGCATATGCCGTGGGGGGAGGGGATGGCTAGCTATGTCAAGATCCTGGAAGAGTGGAGGAAAAAAGGAGATATGGATGGACTGGAAGTTGTTTACGACTAGATAGAAGAATACTTCATTTGGTCTTAATTCTAGATATCTATGCACTTTGAAGCAATCCCATTGTTGAAGAGATCGGGAGGATTATTGATGCATTCTTCCAATTTTGTTAACATATTCATACTACTCATTTTCGTACGGATAGGATCGAACTTCAGTCATTGCCGTTTAAATAACTAAAGTCCGAGTTCTGGCATCAATTCGAATGTTTGGAACTGGGCAGGATAAACAACCGTGTGCCACATAGTTCCAAAATTTGTAGGCTCTGCGGGTACTTCTGCGTAATGCGAATTAAATCAGTAAATTCGAATGCTCCGATCTGGCCCTTCCTGAGGTAGTCCAAGTTTTTTGACTATAGAGCTCCTATTGGGCGCTCGCTCAGTGGAGTGCTACGCGAGGAGTAGAGGCCCGGACCAAGATATCGACCCCTAATACCTACAGATGTGCCTCCTGCATGATTTCTCTCAAATATTGTAATGCGAATACACGTAACATGTACGTGGGTAGAACCAATACTATTGGCGGCCGAGCGAAAGATCATCAAGAAGGTGCATAATGAGACTTCATGTACGTGAAGACGCGAGATTGGTGTGACGCCCTTGCTTCGTGGGATGCTGGAGGGAAATACGAGCAGTAGGTGTGAAAAGAAAAGAAAGAGTACCAAGACTAGTTGATTGTAGTTTTGAACATTCATGCATGCGTGGATAGGTGGGTAGTGCAGTTTGTCCCGGTCGATAACCTGGATGGATGTGTGAAGGCCCTAGATCACTCAGCTACGTTTCGTTTTTCGTATATTCTAATCGGAGAAGACATTACACATAAAATTTGCCAATTACCTCGCTTTCTTCTAAAACACCAACGTTTGAAAAGCAGACGACCTTCTACGGTGGTCTGTGGCGATTCATCTCAGTACCCAGTATGACCATCTCGACGACCACTCTCGGGAGCGGGGCGACGACAGCAACTCGCAAAGAAGTTGAAGCTAAATATGAAGAAGAGCGTCAAATTCAGCTTCAATCCCGGGGAATGGTGCAAGACATCGAAATTACCCGCAATGCCAGCTTCGAGCAATTTGCAAAGGACCCTTGGGCGGCACCAAAACAGGTGGATGTGGAAACTCAGCGAGAAAAATTACTTCAGCAAGCCCATCACAAAATCGTCATCATCGGCGCCGGATTTGGGGGACTACTTTTCGCCGTGCGCTTGATTCAGACTGGAAAATTCAAGGCAAATGATATCATCCTTGTTGATAGCGCCGCTGGGTTTGGAGGCACTTGGTACTGGAACAGGTATCCGGGTTTGATGTGCGATACAGAGAGTTACATCTATATGCCTTTGCTCGAAGAGACCGAATATATGCCCCGAAACAAGTACGCATCTGGAAATGAAATCAGAGAGCATGCGGAGCGCATTGCAGAGAAATACAATCTTTCTGAACGTGCCATATTCAGGACTGTGGTCCAAAGTTTGGATTGGGAGGAGGAAGAAAAGGTCTGGAAGATCGCAGGCGTCAAGCTCGGCAAGGATGACGAATGTCAACAGCCATTCCAATTAATGGCGGACTTTGCAATAATGGCCTCGGGAGCGTTTGCCAGTCCTCGAGTGCCTAATTATCCCAACATCTTCGATTATAAAGGAAAGCTGTTCCACACTGCTCGATGGGACTACAAATACACCGGGGGATCCATCGAGAACCCAAAGATGTCAGGACTGACGAATAAACGTGTAGCCATTATTGGCACAGGCGCGACTGCGATCCAGATTGTTCCCCAGCTGGCAAGAAACAGCCGTGAGCTTTTTGTGTTTCAAAGAACTCCAGCAGCCGTCGATGTGCGCAACAACTACCCTACAGATCCTGCGCGTTTCAAATCAGAGATCCAAGGCGATGGTCCCGGGTGGCAGCGTCGTCGCCAAATCAACTTCAATGCGTTTACATGCAATGAAAAGACTCTCCCCACTGACAACAAGGTCGGCGATGGGTGGACCAGAATGCCCTCATTCAGCGTGCTGATTGGTGGGCCCCAGAGCCTGGAGCCAGACTACATCGATGAAATTCGACCAATTGATATGGCACGTCAAAGTGAAATACGGTCACGAGTGCATAAGCTCGTTCAGTCTACTGCGATCGCTGACAGCTTGACACCCTGGTACCCCGGTTGGTGCAAACGACCTTGCTTCCACGACGAGTATCTTCAGTCATTCAATAGCTCCAATGTCCAGCTTGTCGATATTCGGCACGATGGTATTTCTCGCTTTACGCCCAAGGGCTTGGTTGCTAATGGGGTGGAGTACGAGCTCGATGCCATTATTCTGAGCACTGGTTATACCGTCCCAGTGACTCGGGCAAGCCCGTCGGGGCGCGCTAACATCGCCGTTACCGGTCGGCGAGGGGTAACAATGGAGGAGAAGTGGGCAAATGGACTTGCAACCCTCCACGGTGTCATGACTCGTGATTTGCCGAATCTCTTTTTCGCGGGAACATCTCAGGCTGGCGCTTGTGTGAATCTCACTTACGCCTTGGACCAGAATGCCATTCATGTTGCTCATATTCTGTCGGAGGCCGTGAAGAGACAGCCTTCAGATTGCACCAAGCTAGTCATTCAGCCGACCCACGAGGGAGAAGAGGCCTGGACGATGGAGATTTTGCAACGAGCGGCAGGATTCCGTGGTATCGCGGGTTGTACGCCGGGATACCTGAATGGGTACGGGATGGATGCATCTTCACTCAAGCCAGAGGAGCAGATGAATATGGCACGCCTTGCTGCATGGGGGCAAGGAATTGCCAGTTATGTTGATGCGCTGGAGGGATGGAGATCTGAAGGCCAGCTGGAGGGCGTTGAGATGACATTCCTTGCGTAATACGGCTGTGTGCATGTGCGACGTACACTGGCATTGTCAGTGTTCAAAGCCAATTGTCGTGGGGCTCGGTAGCATCAGGATAGTATGTGTCGTAGTTCATATCAAATATTATCATTCAGGTGAACGTAATTTCCTGCCGAGATCATTTTCGTATTGAGTGCGTTGTCTGGTTAAACCGCGTAGAGACGCGGAAGGAACCATGGAACACTCGAAAGTTATTTCAAGGGAGTTGGCCGAGGGCCCGTTCCCATCACACCAAATCACAAGGCTGCCGTGCCCTCAGGTGCAATCGCGCGTGGAGCAAAGAACTGCTCGGGTAGGTATCTGAAGATGAAGGCCTTCTGCAGAGCCATAATGTAAATATGCACATGTGCGTTAAAGTACGAATGCCATAAATGGAAAAGGGAAAGAGTCTACTCAAGGTCATTCTGAAAGTAGGCCTGAGGGACTCGCTCAACGCTCGGGTTGTCTCCTAATGCAAGTTGTGACGGGCCTTGGATCCAGTGCTGTTTACCGCTATTGAAATTCATAGCAGAGGGGAACAGACTGTATGCCTAGGGGTAAGGTGCCAAAGCCGACACTGCATTGATTCACACAATCAAACAGTGAATGAAGGTGATTCACACACAGTTGATAGGACAAACGTATGTCAAGATATCAGATGTACTAATCATCTAATTTGGCGCAGGGTATTTATTGGGAGAAAAGCATTCAATGGCTCCACAATTACGTATTCTCTTGTCTTGATATTTGTATGCAATTCCCGAAAAGAAGACCTTGTGAGGAAAGAACATATAATAAGGACACATGAAGTAGGATAAAAAAACGCAATGACAAACAATGACAATCTTCAAATATTATAACCCAACATGGCTTCGAAGAAACTCATAACCATCAGCAACAGCCCGACAAGCATCCTTGTTGTTCTTAAGATTCGGGCTCATATCAAACAAGTGTGGTGCATCAGCAACGACCCGCAGTTCGGACTCAACACCGTTAGCCAGCATCTGGTCATGTGTCCGCTGCGACTGTTCCACGGGGATCAGATCATCCAGCGTGCCATGGATAATGAATGTAGGAGTCTTGTATTGACCTGCATACACATGGGAAAGGGGACAGGCTTTCTGGATTTCACTCAAGGTGGGCTTGGGTAGAATGACATTATCATCCCCACCGGCAATGGCAACAAGAGACTTGTACTTATGCCCGTTGAACAACACAGTTAACGTCTGGCCTGTCCAGTTCATGTGCAAAGCTATCCTGCTTCGTGGGTCGGTAGGTGACATCCATCCACCCAGAGCTCGCTTTCTTGGTGCTGGGTTGTAGCTGGTAATCGCTCTATCGTTTATTCCAAGGAAAGGACTTTGCGTGGGGACATCTTCAATAGACACATCACCCTGATACGGAAAGTTTGGCTTCGTCCAGAATGGGTCTGTGTAGTCGGTAGCACAATAGAATGAGAGGACCGCTTCAGGTGCTCGCAGACCACGGGCAGGTGCTGTCCAAGCTAGGGTCATGGCAAGGTGTCCACCGCTCGACCAGCCGACAGCAACCACATTGTTGCCATCGGGGCGGATGTCCGGCCGCTGGAGGTTCAGCTGTGGTAACGTGTTTTGCGCCCATGCCAAAGCCTCACAAGCATCCGCCATGGGCCCCTCCAGGAGTGACACTTCTGGGCATAGGCGGTAATCAATACTAACAGGGAGAAACCCCATATCAATGAGAAGCTTCACCTGTGGGGGACGAACATCTTTGCGCGAAAGCATGATATGACCACCGCCGTGGATTAAGAGCGCTGTATTCTCGGATTAGCTACTGAACTGGTGACAGTGGTTTTAAAATCTCTGGACTCACCTACAGGTCGGTTTTTTCCCTCGCTGTCCAATATTTGAGGGTAATGGATGTCTGCCAGTAGGTCAAGACCGTCCTTTCTGCCGTAGACTACAGTTTCCTCATGAATGGCACTGGATTCCGTCGTCGCTTCCAAGGAAAGAGCTGGCCGAGTAGGTGATGCAACTATCAGACGGAGAATATTGGACTCTTCCGACTGATTGTCAGTCCAGTCTACCCAGTTAAACCCAGAGCTGCGGAGGGTCTGGTCCCAGAAGCTCTCATGAGCCAATGCATGCGATCGTCCATCATTGAAAAGCCACCAGCCTTCCAAGAGCCCGAAGACAAGGTCAAACCAAAACAGGTTCCGGGTTAGCTCGATCAGGCACAGAATACCGTGGGGGCGCAGGAGCTTTTGAATGTTGGAACAGGAGGTGGATAGACTCCTCGTAGCGTGAATACAGTTGGATGATACGATAATATCGTATTGCCCCAGCATTTCTGATGCGGGGCCCTTTTCAATATCCAGGGTCTGGTAGTGGATGAAATTGAAGGTCTTGAATCGCTTCCGGGCCAGTGTAACTAGCGACGGGGAAATGTCCGTGAACGTGTATTCAAAACGTAGCCCTGCGACTGATGACAGTTGCTTCAAAAGGTAGTCGGTTGTTCCTCCAGTCCCAGCACCGATTTCAAGGATTTTGATTGGCCTCGGGGAGTTAACTTGCCTGAGCAGGTTTTTGAGGTACTGGGCTAGATGCATTGTGGCTGACTTGAACATCGGGGCATTTGAATACACATCCTGCATCAAAGCTCGGGCCTGGGCATCCTGGAAAAGGAGCGACAATGGATCGGCAGCTCCGGTAAGACAATCCGCGAGCCGTGGTCCGGTAGTATGTAGAAGCTTATGTTCCGACGTGTGTTGAGGATGGTCATTCAAAATTTTCTGGTGGAGTACTGCCGTTGCATCTTGATTCACCTCACAATGGCCTCGACAGATACTTGTTCCACTTCTATCAACGAGACCCGAGTATTCTAAAACAGCATACAGCTGGTTCATCACCTGGCCGTGCTGGGGAAGAATATCAACAGAAGGAATGGGCTGACCGGCCTTGAGCGACTGCAGATCAACACCCAATACTTTAAATGCCTCCACCACATATGCCGTAACAAGCTCCATCTGCTGGGGAAACACTGTATCACAAAAGCCTAGGAATTTGGTGGCCTCTGAATGCTCGTTGCTCTTTCGTGAAGCTGTGAAGAGCTCCCCGGCTTTATCTGCAAAGCCAGATAGGTCATCTCCAACTTTTGAGGCGGGAACTGGTCCCCCGGACGATGGCTTTGAACCCCCGTTTATAGCGGTGATTCCAACGGCCGGCTGGTCGTGGTTTTCAATGTGGACAGTAGAACGGCCTGGAAAGATGCGCTGCACCAAAGCGCCTACATCTTCAATAGCCGTTAGCTCAGATTTGGTGATGACGACTTGGAATCTGTTCTTAATCTCAGATAGAACTTCAGTATTCATCAAAGAATCAACACCAACATCTGCCAAGGACGCAGATGCCGGGATTTCGCTGGTTGGGATTCCCAATAGTTCACTGAGCATGGCCTGCACAGTGCGAAGATCATCGCCATTACTGGAAGCGCGAGTGGCGGTAATCGAAGAAGCGGCCGGAACAGCAGGCGTCACTTCTGCAGCAACAGCGATATCTACCGGCACCGGACTGACACCTTTGTTGGTCAATCGTGTCAATGTTCGTCTCAGGGACTGGATGGAGACACTTGTGAATGTGGCAGCTAGGACACAAAGGGCGAGAGAGCCAGTTGCTTCGTCTACAACAAACACATCGCACAGTGCCTTTTTCTTTGACTCCTGCTCGTAATTTGAGTAAACAACCCAAGGAGCCGCAACACTTGGGTCACGTTTGACGAAAGATTCACCAATGATGACGTCCCCTACTGAGCTGCAGACAAAAACCTCGTCATCGTGAGTTTCCGACAGACAGTTGACATGTATTCCGGCGACCTGAAGGAAGTTGTCAATCAGGATAGGGTCACAAGGACTATTCTTTGTGGGTGAAGACGGTAAGTGGACACGCCCAGTGGCTTCGTGGCCGAGAGCATAGACCGACTCAACACCTCGGTAGTATTCAGCATATGTCACAGCTCTTCGAAAGGCTTGGTAGACGGTCGAGCGTTTCAACCCACTGGAAGATGGCGAGGTGGCAATAGAGTCCCAATGGGCGGGATTGAGAAGCCGCTTTAGAGAGCTGAAGCGGGAGGATATTCCAGTGTTATCAGCCCCCGGCGATAAGGAAATTGTTCCTGTAGCATGAGTGACAGATTGTAAAGTATCCTCACGCGTAAATAGTACAAACGTCCACTGTCCCGGCGTCGAGTCCCGTTGGGTCAACTCTAGGAGCACTGATCCAGGCATGTCTAGAACAAGGGGTGCGGAGATGTTGAGGTCGGCGAGATGGTACATGGTTGGATCAGTTCCCTTTGGTAGAGTTGTAATAGCTGCCCGAACTACCAATTCAAAATAGAGAGAGGCAGGGCACAGGTTCTGTTCCACTACCGCATGGCCGGCGGTGCACATACGGAACATTGGATCATTGTCATTGATGCGAAAGAGAGAGACCTTGCCTTCGTTTTTCAGCAGTTGGACTAGTTTCAAATCCTCTATCGGCGGCTTTTCTTGCTTTGACATTTGATAGGAGAAGGCAGTCGGGTCGTATTCAATCCAGTGACTGGTTTTCGCAAACTGGTACGGGGGCAAGTTGATCCACTGGTATCCACGCTGGGAGCCGTGGAATGGCCAGAATTGAACTGGCACACCATTGGACCACAGAGAAGAAGTTACCTTTGCGAGATTTGACTCTGCTTGAGGGCCAGAAAGATCCATCGGGCAGAAGACATGGCCTCGGGCGGAGGACGGAGTGTCCACGGCGCGACGTACCATACCAATAATCGGAGACATAGTCCCAGCTTCAAGCCAGATAGCGGGACCCTGAATGCGAGAAATCGTCCGATGGACTGCTTGATGAAAGTAAACGGGCTTGCGCGAATGTTGCACGATCTTCTCCCAAGTGGGGAGCATCCAGTCCTCTTTGGACTCGGAGCATGCCTCCACAGGGATACGCAGGGGTTTGTAGTTCAAAGAGCTTGCCACCTTGGCCAGTCCTGGCAAAATCGGGTCGACAAGTCGAGAGTGGAAAGCATGGGTGTTGTCCAATCTCTGCGATTTGATTCCTCGCTCAGCGGCATTCTTTTCAATTTCGTGAATGGCCACCTCGCTTCCAGCTGCCACAAAGCTATCTGCTCCATTGACGCACGCAAGATCAGCTGAGTCTGGCACAGAATCGAGTAGGTCTCGCACTGCGTTCTTCTCTCCTTTCAAAGACAGCATCACTCCTATTTCGGATGTCCATTCGCTCCGGATCAGATGCGCGCGTGTTGAGATGAGGCGCATCGTATCGATGAGTGAAAGACCACCCGCCACGCACACAGCTGTTAGTTGGCCGAAGCTGTGACCAATCATCCGGTCCACTTCAAGTCCAGAATCAATCCAGGCTTTGGCAGTGGCATACTGAATAGAGAAGAGCACGCAGTGAAGATTCACGATGTCTTTATTTGGTGACGAGTCAAAAATGGCAGGAAATAAACTTGGCAAACCAAGTGCTTTGCAAGCACTCTCACATTCATCCTGTCAACCAGTCAGTGGATTTTTCTTTGCATGGCTCGGATGTAAGGAGTCAGAGCGGACTAACCAAGTGGAGGCGTATTAAGGCAGAGCTTGCAACGAGACTCTCGGAAATACTGGCCTTATTCCCAGTCTGTCCCCCAAAGCAGAGGACGACAGGATTGGAGGTATGAGTTTTTTTTACAATATTCATTCGACCAGAGATAACATCGTCTAGGCGCTCGCGCAGCTCAGTCACGCTGCTTGAGTTGGTGAAGCTCACAGAGAACTCCATGGACCTGTTTTGCTTTCGGGCCAAGTTGAACGCTAGATCTTGAACAGCAATGCTTTCAAGATGTGCGCCATTGAGTAATCTTGCCTTCAGAGCCTGGCAATATTCGCGAAGCGATTCCTCAGTTTGGGCTGCAACGAAGAAGGGAACGGCGGATAGTAAACGCTCCTTCTCGTCACTGCATAGTGCTGTGGGTGTGGGGATCGGTTCCTTGAGCACAATAGCGGCGTTACTACCAGCAGCCCCATAGTTGGTGACCATAGCTACGCGCTTTTGCGTTTCCCATCGGATTAAAGATGTAGGAATGGACATTTGGTCCTCCTGGTTCACAATGATCTTCGGGTTCAGCTGCGTGAAGTTGGCCTGTTTGGGAATCTTTCCCTTCTGCAACATGAGGATTGTCTTGAGCAGTCCGGCGACACCGCTGGATGTTTCAGTATGTCCAATGTTATCCTTAATCGATCCAACATACAGCCTCTCTGTTCTAGAGGGTACCGCAAAGGTTTTCCGGATACTTTCGAACTCGATCGGGTCTCCAACTTGTGTTCCTGAGAATAAATTAGCACATTGCCGGCATGCAGTCTTAAGAGCCTGAATGGCAATACGCACCGGTTCCATGCGCTTCTACATAGCTGACAACTTCAGGCTTCAAGCCCGATAACGACAAGGCTTTCATGTAGAGCGATCTTTGAGAGTTGGAATCCGGAACTGTAATCGGCGAACAGTTGGCTCCCTGGTTCACCGAAGTGCCAGTAATGACGGCATGAATTGGATCCCCATCGCGCAGCGCTGCTTCTAATGGCCGGAGAACAACCAATCCAGCTCCCTCACCACGACAATATCCATTTGCATTAGTATCAAACGCTTTGGAGGCGCCAGTTGGCGAGAGAAAAGAGGCAGCAGCAAGGTTTTGCGACCACCGGGGATCTGTCATCACGTTCACTCCACCCGCAACGGCAACGGAGCAATCACTGGTTTGTAGTGCCTGGGTTTCGAAACAAATTTCGTCAGCATGGGTTGTACTAGTTTCATGTCGATGGAGATACTCTTACCTGACAGGCAAGGTGGATAGCTACAGCGGCGGAGGAGCATGCCGTATCAACCGTGACGGAAGGTCCAGTCCAACCAAAGTGATGACTAACTCGACCACTATTAAATGCTTGAAGTGTACCTGTTGCTGAAAAGGCAGTGGCGTTACGAGAACCAACGTTCTCACTGTAATCTTCTGTACCGACTCCGACATAGCACCCTACGTCTTCTGGAAGATTGGTGGCACGTAAGCCGCAATATCCGGCAGACTCCATCGCTTCATATGCGACTTGCAACAACAGTCGTTGCTGCGGATCCATGGACTCCGCCTCTCGAGCGGAGATCTTGAAAAATCGATGGTCAAAGGCATCTGGACGAGAAATGAAGTTTCCCCAGAATGGTCCGTCTGGCTTTCGCTGGAGTCGATCCGGTTTGAGTCGACTCTCGGGCATGCGGCTAACTGTACAGAGCCCCTGCTCCAGTATCTTCCATAATTCTTCCACACAGTCAGCTTGCGGGTATCGGCATGCCAGCCCAGTCACCGCGATAGGGATGCTTGTTGGCACTGGTGCCGTTCCATTGACCGAACTCGCAGCGAAAGAGGTACCATTTGTGATGGCAATGTTATCGTGGTCTCCGTTCACAAGGTTATCACCACGAGACGAATCAATGGCGTTCAGAATTTGACTTCTAGCTTGGCGTGGGAGAAACTGGCCTGCTCCAATGGAAAGAATGCACTTGGCGTCCGATGAGTCTAAGCTGTTCAGGGTATTCGACACGGTCAAGTTCCAGTCTGCTTGGGAGATTAAGATAGACTGGATCACCACAGAGAGTACCGATTTGAGCGTGGGCAAGTCACCATCTGCATTAGACCTCGGGAGCTCTCTTGCGGGACAGGTATTTGGTAACTGGAATCGAGTATCTTGTTGGCATAGCTTGAGGATATCCTGCGCGGCTGATAAGTGATCGGCGTGATGAAATCTGCCCCTCAGTCTGGTGTCCTTCACGAGCAGCCCATTTCCCTCCAGCTCTTGCACGAGAGCGGCTGCCTGGTCTTCCCACACTGTCACGGTAACGGAACTTTCGTCTGTAATGCATGCTATATATGCCTAGATAATTCTCTGTTACTCAATGGGCCAAATATTTTGAGATCAAACTCGGAATAGACGCTACTCACCCCTGGGTAGCGGCCCAAAGTCGCTGCAAAGGGCTTATACGCCTCCGCTGTTTTCCACCTGACAGCTATTGATGTTGCACGCTGTGTGGCAAGCTCGTCTAAATCCACTGCAGCACCAATGAAAATAGCTGTCCGCACCATGGTGGCCACAACCTTTGAAAATTCAGACTGATCCTTCTCCCAGCACCCTGCTACCGCTGCCAGATAGCCAGCACAAAATCCCTGCATGGACTTAATATCACAGTCACTGCCTGCCTCCTTGAACTCATGGAAGTCCACCAGATGTCGTAAAACAGTGATTGGCATGAGTAGATAGTTCATCGGATCTTCCATATTCAGCGGTAGTTCTTCGCCGCGCAAGAAGGCTGAAAGCTGCTGGAGTCCAGCCTCGCCATGAATTCCCTCCCCTGCTGGCCAGACTTTTGTAACATCTTGCCAGACGGACGGAAGGTCTTCAACTGCATCTTCAAGCCATGTTGCAGCCCGGTGGGTCGAGAGATAGCGACGTATATGTAGAGCTGATCGATCAATCTCTGAGTACTTAGATCCGAAAAGAACTGATATGCGGTTCAAAGGCAAGTCCCCAAGTGAACCCATGTCTGAAGGAGAGCTGGTAGTATCTGGTAAGGGTAACCTCGCAACCTGATCAACGAGTGTGCAGAAAGTAAGCAAAGTAGATATATCGAGACGAATTCCCCTTCAGGATAACAACAGCTTATTAAAGGAATGAACATCAACATTCCAAATCAGGTATAAAGTTTAGGCCATGTTATCTGTTTCAACTTCAAAGACATGTCATATAAGCAGGCAGACTTCTATTTGCCTTGAAGCAGTAATTGCATCTACATCTGCCGCCTATAACGCATCCAGAATCCACACTCTATCGCTCATATCTGCACAGGCAGGACAAGGAACTCCCAACTCGACTTCTTTTTTTTTCTTTTTTTTTTTCTTTTTTGTGAAACAAAGAGGTCGGGGATTCGCCGTATGGCTGGCAATTGTGTCATGGTAACTGCCAACAACCCCACTGAGGTTACACCAAAGGGCGCCAGCTACATATCCCTGTATCCATATATACCAGGGACTTTTGCCTTGGCTGGTTCTGGACCGTTGTTTGAGGGCATTTACCACTCGTGGCTTTATTATAATAGCCAATGAAGAAAGCACTTGATCGACCCGCCGGGAAATGCCGCTGATAACAAAATGGTAAAGCAATATGCTCCGCCGATCCCCCCACTCCTTTGCATTCTCCTCACATTTCAATTGCCTCCAAGTCTCTCTGTGTATTGATGCAAGGAGTGCGCAAGCCTTTTTGCACGCATCAGTAAGATAGCTTCATCTTGGCGAAATCACGTGGGTATGTAACGTCGTGGAGATTGTTGAACTTGAACCGCACTCAAATGTCGTAATATCCATCGAGATCCACGATAGCACCCTCCCAATCTATGTCCACCGGAATTTGCTTTTTTTTCTTTTTTTTTTTCCTCTCTTAAAAAAACAAGACCTTCGAGTTCAATCACCGATAGCGATGGATTGACAAGAAAGTCCCTTACCACGTACGTATCCAGAGCGTTCAAATGTTCCTGCAGCTACCTACAATGTAGGTGACCACCGTTCCCGTAGAGATAAATAAGCTGCAATATCTAGCCACCCGGTCGATCTGCCGTAATCTTTAATATCACCGTGTTGACTGCATGTGACAGATCGGCCAGGCGTCCAAAAATGCATAATGGGACAAGTTTCCTACTTGACCGCCATTGCCTCCTTGCCAGATTGCATCAATTGATCGCCCAAAAATAGATCCCCTCTTCCTTAGTAAAAATTGAGCTCAGCTGCTTTACTACGGACGGTTTGACTTAAACATAGACGGACGGGCTTGCTCAGGACCGTGGTTAGTATCGAACAGTTCACCAACTTCAGCCATGCATCCTGACGCTCAACTCAAGACCGCACTTAAAAATGGGTTCGACCCAAAGCTCCTGTACAAGGAACCTTTGACGACCGTGAAGGAACCCGTTTGTTCAATCCTCGAGAAGCACAGCAAGGTTCCTGTAGACAAGGTCGTAAGCCATGTCAATGAAGTTGTGAGTAAAATGACCAGCCTCTTAACAACATCGAACTATTATATCCTAATTTTCAATAGCGAGACCGCGCATTCGCAGTAGTGAGTACAAGATTAGTCCTTTAGGTCAAGCTAGACCCGTCGTTCTTCGTCTAATCCTATATAGTTTCCTTACGCTTGCATTGGACAATTCTCCTTTGTTGAATTGAGCATCGCAGACTCCCCATGCTATCGTGAGATGCTTGAGCGCACCAAACAAGGGCACAAATTGCTCGATCTGGGCTGTGCATTTGGACAGGAGCTTCGCCAATTGGTTAGTAGTGTATCACCAAACCACGAGCACACGGGTTCCTTACTCGAAGGATTTGAATCTGAACATGGCTAGATATACGACGGCACACCCCCTACCAACCTTTACGGTTCCGATATCCAGCAAGACTTCCTCAACCTAGGCTATGAGCTCTTCCTAGATCGCGCAATTCTCCCCGACTCCCAGCTCATTGCTGCAGACGTTCTTGACAAACAATCCGCCCTCTTTGAACGTCTAGCAGGAGAGCTCAATATCGTCTATATTTCGCTCTTCCTTCATGTCTTCGATTTTGAGAAGCAGATTACAGTAGCACAGAACGTTTTGGATCTCCTTAAGGCTGAACCTGGGTCCATGATTGTCTGCCGGGTTACGGCTTGTCGGGATCAAGAAGTCCTAGCTGCAACCCAGGAGCGTATGCCTTATTACTATCATGACCTTGCAAGTTGGAATCGCCTTTGGGAGGAGGTAAAGAAGCAGACGGGCGTAAAGCTTTCTGTCGAGTCATGGGAGCAACCTGATGAGTTGGTTAAGAAGCATCCACTTCCCGGTATCTATATTCTAGGGTCGTCTATCCGGCGATTGTAGGTGTCGTCAACTACTAGGATGTGGTGCTTCAAATGTTGATGAGAACACTTGAGCCTTTTCGGTCTTCTGTATCTTGAGAATTGAGATGATTTACTTTGAAGGGGTTTTTTGTGCACCATCGAGACTAGTTATCTTTCCGTGTAGTTAATAGGTGCCTAATGGCAGTCCCGTTCAACGTTGAAGGCCAATGCTCACCTCTATGGCTGTGCATATGTCCAAGGGAATACGTATGTACCTTTTATACATTGGAAGCTTTGTATTAATATCACTGCTGTGAAATCTCAGAATTTCGGACATTAGGATATACATCTACGTCGGGTAGTATGTAATGAGGTATTTTTGGGCACACCGCCGGCACTGATATGAGAACCTAATTTACTAGTAGATACCACTGGCAGCACTGGGCTCATTCAAAACCGAACCCTTGGACCTCGAGACAATAGTGGATGCGGCTCTAGGGACCAGTGAAACATGTGCACATCACCATGCTCCTGAAAATTGATACATACCTACATAACCTAATTTATTTACTTGCCCGGTGCAGAACTTGATTAAACTAACTGGTTCAACTTGGAGGGGTTGTATATTGAAGACTTCTCGAAAGCGTCATTGGTAGCACTCAATTGAGTATGTATATGATAAAAACAAATGAAGATTCGAACTATTCAAAATCCTTACCATATGGGCAATTTCTTGCATCTGGAAACCACCTATTCAGCCATCATCTTCCCAATTGCCTCCACAAATGCAGACCTGTCAATGAACGCCTTCCAATAATGCACCTTGAGTTCCCCAGTTCCGTCTTGACTAGGTGACATCTTTACCCAACTCGCATAATCAGCCGAAAACTTCTGTTCATTCTTCAGGTACTTTACAATGAAACCGTGAAAGCTGATCTCCGTCTTCCCGCCTTCGAGTATGTTTGGTAGCACGAAGAGGCTGTTTACGTGGTGTTGCGCCTTCACGACAGGCCCGTCGCCCACCTGAGCGCGAAGAGCGTACATCTCATCTCTTCCCTGCGCGGGAGAGGTGCTAAGATCCATTATACCGTCGTGATTGAACATATTGATGGATTCGTAGTCGGTTTTGGGCATGTCTCAGGACCTGAGTACGCCGATCACGACACGAAGAATTTCCGATGGGACGGAAGGTACGGTCATTTTGAATGGTCCTGTGATTGAAGCTTCTCAATATGTAACATATGGTATGTGATGGCTCAAAATTTGTGAATGTTTTGCAGATGGGAAACGAAAATGGACTTGAAGATCTGCAAAGCGTAGTGGATGAAAGCTCGACGCATTCCAATTGTAAGATATGGAAGTGGCTAGCTGAGTATGCATCTATCATACAACCCCTTCAGGAAGGGAGAGCTTCCAAGGTTTAATTGCCGGGTGATTGCACGATTTGAGGACAGGAACTACTATGTAATGCCGTATGTACAATACTTGCGCATGTATACATATCAATTTTTGACCTGTCAGGTCTGATAAGAGAGCACTTAAGGTAGATGATGACCAGTAGTGGACCACTTCCAAAGTACTGCGTACCGAACCAACAATCATTACAGTGCAAATTAGTTTCGCCAGACGCCACTGGAGACAACATGTGAGCGGCATGCATAGTATCGATCAGACCGATATACTCGTAGTTTGCGTCTCAGATCAGATTGGCTGCATGGTCTCATGCAATATAGCTATCATAGTATCGTCACTTTGGGGCGCGTAGAGCCATGCGACTCCTGGGAGGCTTGCTGGCTCATGAATCGTAGGCATGAGACTGCCTTAGTATCCCTGCATTCCTGTACTGTAGCGAGGGCAATGACACTCGTTACCAAGTCATCTTTCACTTGCAGTGCTTACAACTGAAGAACCCGCACTAGCCGCTGCCTTTCGATATCACTATGGTACTCTCCGATCTATGCTCCCATATTCTTGTGGCTGCCCTTCTCTCTGGATATCACCTTGGAATTGCTGCCAGCCTTTGGCCACACGCGTGACACTGCAGCTGTGGGTCACCACCTGAGCACAGCTGCGAGGCCTCAGGTCATAAGTGCCCCTGGGTGGCGCCATCGACAAAGCCCAAGTTCAGATGCCGTAACTACAGCCTTGATAGGGCCAAAATCAAAGGGAGATTTTTTCAAAAAGTTGCTCAAAATAACGGTATCTACGTTACATTTCTATATGTTATCAATGGCCCGCAGATTCAGTATCTTGTTTCTGCACGCTCGACTCGATCCACGCATACACATTATCCATGCCAAGGCTTTGTCCAGCCCATAGTAGGTGGGGAGACCTGCGGGCCGGCGGGCCGGCCTAAGGGAGGCGGGAATGAGCCTAATCAAAGATTTCAAGACCCGAAAGATTGCAGATCAATTGGCCGTACCACCCCCTTGCTTCATCGAGCAAGCTCAAGTAGCCTGCAAGCGCACAACTTGTGGAGCTGAAACTTGAGACACCGAATTTACGAAAGTAAAAACAAATAAAGGATCTTCTTCTTATCACACGTGTGTTTAGCAAGGTGTCTCTCAACGACGAAGGGAAAGTTTGAAGGCAATAATGATGTCGATCATGTTCGATGACCCGGCTAGGGCTTTATCCGGGGCCCTTCTGATCGTGAGTATACTGCTTCTTCAATGAGCGCTTTGGCGGGCACCTTCTTCTCACTGGCCTTTGGCCAATGGTAAACGGTGGTTTGAGATCCCTACCACCAAATCGAAGGATCGATTTGTAGCAAATGGGATAGTCATTCTTTTGTCAAGCTTTAAGCGGGTGAGTTATCATCTTGGGCTCTGACAGTGGTATGGAGATTTATCACCAAGGAACAAATTTGCGGATAGCCCTCCAATGGGTTCCGTCTAGGGACTGATAATGGGCCTATAATCATACTCTCACTAGAATACGTGGATCAGTTTCGCAGTGGAAACCGCCCTAGTCCAGTAGAATTTCAAGCCGAGCTAAGGCCCCAGGTGCCAATCATGTCTACGTGTGAGAACGAATCTATGACCCCGGCACCAGGTTTCCCATGCGCACCTTCCTGGCTTTGAGATTTTCTCGGCCAAACATGTTCCTATGAGTGTGTTCACAGACTTCATCTTGAGAGAGCTGACGCCCGCGATCGGCACACTTGAAACCTTTGACACTATTCGCAAATTTCCAAAGCTAAGCAGATTACGCAGATTCCTCGGCTTCAGCATCAATCACACGGCTCCAGGAAGCGCTAGAGTCTACATGGACCAACAGCTCAGGTAAGAATAGCCCAGCCAACCGTCAGAAAGACTACCAAGTGTAACTGTGAAACACAGTGGCACCAGATCGATCTTTACAGCAGTGTTCAGACGCTCAGTCATACCACTACAAGCCCAATCTTTGGGGGTCCAGAACTATCATCCAGTAAAGCTTAGGAAGAACTCACTTATCGATATGTGAAAGATTTCCCTCTCATTGCCTGTTCGCCGCGCTTGTGGCCAAAGTTCTCCCAGCGTTTCGTGAACATGATTCTACCAAGCTGCATGTCCCTTCGCAAAGATGTTAATCGGGCAGGGCAAAGAAATGGTCAACGAGATCTTGCAAAAACGAACTGCCTCCTAGGCTGCATGTATCAGCCAGGGAGTCGACCCCGAGAAGTTTGTTGATAGCTTGCAATGGTGGCAAGAGCTTTCAGGCCCACCATGCGACCCAGCTTGCTTGCAGCTTGCGCTTATCTTCTCTGCGGTGCACTCGACCATCGATCTCCTAAGCCAGACGATATTGAACTTGCCTGAGAGGCCCGAGTTAGTGGACCAGCGGCGACAGGAATACATCGCAGTCGGAGAAAGTCAACCTTGGGGGAAGGCTACCTTCTACAAACTTGGTTTGATGGACAGCGTACTGAAGGAGACACTCAGTGCCTCAAGCCAGTTACCATAGGTAGGCACGTACATCGTGATGCCCGTTTTTCTTACGCATCCGGACTAATATCCTGTGTCTCTAGGTCTTTTCCAGCTCCCTGTAGACGTATAGCTACCGAAGATTTATTTTCTCTGACGGCCTGGTGATTCCCAAGGGATCCCTCGTCCTGATGTCCTGTGCAAGAGGACTCAGTCATCTACCCAAAAACTCTTGAATTTGACGGACACAGTTTCCGAACGATGCGCGAGAATCCAACCAACGGAGCCATGGCACACTTGGTTTCCTCCAGTCAACAGCACATGGCATTCGGCATCAGCACCCAAGCTGTCCATCCTGGCCGATTCTTTGCTGCAGCAAGCCTGAAGTCAACTCTGTCGCAGTGTCTTCTTAATTATAACCTTCGGCTAAGCGACCCGTCGGAGAAGTTTCGCAGAACCGAGGACAAATTTTGCTGCCGAATTTCGAGGCCAAGGTGGAATCGAGACGCAGAGAGCCAGAAATGGAACTGTGTGAGAGCTGATTTCATGTATGACGTTTGTGCACCAACCAAGGACTCCTGTGATTTAGTATGTTTGCCTGTTCACTGTCTCGAATCGCTCGTTTGTCCGAGATTGGCTTATTGACTTTGCTGGTTGATTGCTGGTAGCGAGGTAGACATGGAAATCATCTTATTTCTTTGCGCAAGTTCTTTATCCTTTGCTAGTAGCATCCAGAAATCCGAGTCGTTCTCGGTTTTTTGTAAGGATATACTCATTAAATCTTTGTGTCTATGTAGATTTATCTGTGTGGCCCTTGATTCCTTGGGACAAGAACTTGAAGTGTAGTCATGGAGAAGGTGGTCCTTGTGCAGGAGATATATAATCCCAACCCACCTAACAGCATGCATTGTGTTAACTAACACACGCATCTAAATGTATGCTAACACACGCATCTAAATGTATGATAGTAATAAATTATCAAAGTTATAAGGGGGTACACCGGCGAACATTATGCGCCGATGGTCCGCCTGGGCGGTTGTACATATGCAAGACTAAGTCGTACTAAACAGGCTATATACAACCAGACTATGCATCTCATATGCGCCCATAATCGGCTTCAACACGCAATAACCGGATATACAAAAACTCCATAGAGTGCAGAGAAATATGAACGACCAAGTGCCCAATATATACACATATCACCCAACGCCAAAACTCGCTAACAAAACATCATAGCCTTAGGCAGACCCCAAAGGATATCCAAAAGTCATCAATTCATCAACAACCACGTCTCAAACGGCGTGCCTCGTGGTGTCAACTTCCCATCGCGACCAGTCGCGAAGAGCACAGGTTCAAAGTCCAACACCGAAGCATACTGCCTGACAAGATGTCTCCAATAACAAGACTCGGCAGCAGGGGTCAGGTACCGATCTCGGAACGTTCGCACTGCATTCTCAGCAATGCGCTCTGCGACCTGAGGGTTATCGATCAGAAAGTCCACTTTCCGGGGTAAATCTGCAAAATCCTGTTCCACTTCGACATAGTTCGCGTCCGGACCGGCCGATACCAAGGCGGCATGGTGCGCTTCACGCCAAATGAGCGGGTGCGAAATCACTACGGAGCGACAGTTGAGTAGATACTTGCCGCGACCGGAGAAACTGCGTCCCTCGGTATGAGCGAGGAACATGTAGCGACAGTGGTCTTCGATGGGGAGGAGATTGAAGCGGATATCATTCTCGTCATCCCAGTCGATTACTCGCACGCTCGCCCAGCTCCGGCTTTGGGCGGATTTGAGCAGTTTGCTGCGAACGGCTGGGTTCGTGGCGAGACTGCCACGCCAGACAAGCTGTTTCTTCTTATCTTGAAATTGCAACCCTGGTATATGTGCCCCATCGGAAGCTGTTTCACCGTCGTCGATCGCGGCGATGCGGCGCCGGACTTCATGGTACGGTCCAATTTGGACCTCTGGCCAGGCCCAGTATCCAAAGTCCGGCATCAACCAGACCGAGTCATCTGCATCACGCTTGGAATAAGCCCAGACGGGCCCTTTCCCGGTGGGATCGTTGGCGAAATCCTCCGTGGTGAAAATAAATTCGATGCTCGGCAGAAGATGTCGGTCGGGGGTGGCTGTCAAGGCACGATGGAGGGAGTTGAGTGTAGCGCGGGCACGCGAGGCTGTGACGGGCATTGGCGCATATTCGACAATGTAAAGCTATGATGGAAAGAGACGTTAGACTAGATATATCATCCCAGTTGAGTCAACTTCAAGCGGGCCAGCTGGCTAAGACCTACCTGGCCTCGATCAATGATCGCGCGAACCATGCCATCCTCCACCTCTCTTGAGTCCAGGTCCTTATAAGTGATCCTATCATCCTGCCTCAATAGCACAGACTTCTCAATCTCCCCAAAGAGCTTTGGAAAAGCAAGCTGACACTGCTCATCCGATAGTCCATGGTTCAAGGCATCGCGCTCAACAACAAACTCCCAGCTGCCGTTCAGCGGAGTGGTATATTTCTCCTGCGCACAGTGTGTTTGTGAGGACGATTCGGGACGATATGTCTTCAGGATGAATCTCGATGCCGCATCGCGTGACGAACGTGTGCCGAAGATGAGGAATGTAAAGGCGACAATCGAGACGATGGCGCCCGTGGCCAGGAAGCGGAATGAGGGTCTTTGCGCCAACATTTCGAGCCAGAATTCGCTGGCCTGCACAACCCTGCTGGCAGAGAGACGCGTCCGGATCAGATTACAATCTCGAATTTTTAGAGAACAAGATATCACCTGTCAGCTTCATCTGGTGAAACCTCTGCGTCTGATGTCAGTCGCACGGCTTTGGTGTCATCGGGATTGGCGATTGTTTCCAGGGCAACGGGGTGGCGGGACTTAATTTACCTGCTGCCATTTCCATAGACAGCACCCCCGGAATTAGTTAATAGAACCGTAGTTTTAAGATAGCCATGAATATCCATTGTGAGTCCTGTTTAATCTAGACAATTTTCAACCCTATCATAGGCCACGGCTCAAAATTCAGTATGATGATGTCCATAGCTACCCGCGGGGAAATCTACTCCATGTATGTTGAATGACTTTTACCAAGATCTGAGCAGAGCAGTCTGATTTGCATTTGATGAAATTGAGAAGGTACTACAAGCATGCATGCTCGATGGAAAGTCCTACACATATAGAGCAAGAGATTTCTTTGTTACTCGCTGGCCCGACTCCCTGCCAGACTATTGCGGGGCTGTCTACCTGCGAGAATCAGTACCAGCCAACGTCAAATCCAATGATTGGTATTCATTTTGCGCCGTCTAATTCTAATCTCACTCCAAAGTAGTAATCTATCAGCCGATTCCGCACAAATGCCGAGGGCAAGCTTGGCTTAGGGATTACATCTCATATATTGGGTGTCGGTACCTTACATCATCTATCCAGATACCTCTCTCTAAATTTCCAGCAGCGTACTGCCAATCTTTATGCAATCCTTATTTCCAGCCTCGTAACGGTCGTCCTGCGCTGGACCGCTTCTGAAATTGAGTACGACAAAGCAGACTTCGAAGCGCAAGGTGGGAGCCGCGTGCCTACTGTTGCCGGATCAGTTCTGCAGCGGACGCAGTAGGGTTCAATATATAGTAGTGTTTCTAGACTAGGCTTTGTTTATAGCTGTGATGACATGAGCCCCCTCATCCTATGATCGATCCTCCAACAGGATCAAATTTGACGTACTTCATCCACGGGTGTTAGGATAGTTGAAGGGGTACACTCGGGGGATCCTTGTGAATCAGAAGCCGAGTTCGGTCAAGTGGGGCGGACCTGGCGCGGGGCAATTACCCCGGCTGAGAGTTTGGGTATGGGGAAATACCAAAGAGTTGGTTCTGAATAGCAACGAACAATTTCAGATCCTTGGTTCGTACCAGAGGAAAGTTTATTTGCTTGCTCATGCAGGACGGCCCAACACGAGTGTCGAAAATCATAGCATTTGGACAAGGTATGAATTGAATTATCATACATAAGTTCCACCCGTTCATAGACAAATATAGAAAGAAGGAAATGACATTTTAGCCACATAAAGGATCAATCTATTGGAATCGCGGGTGTGTCTCATTAAAGGGGGGTCATCAATGGTCAAGGGGCAAAAGACAAGAGAAGAAGTGTAGAAAGCAAGAATCCTCTATGCCTCATTCACTCCCAAATTCCGCCGCCAGATTTTCACTGGCATCTCCCTCAATAGTAAATTCATTGTCTCCAATCGCTTCAACTCCCAACCCGGATGAGGTAACGAAAACTCATACCGGTGTACCATAGATGCAATCGCTTTCGTCTGTTCCAGGTAGGAAATGTTGCGACCGATGCAAGAACGAGCACCCGCCGAAAAGGCAATCAGATACGGCTGCAGGGCTTTACCTTCTTCGCCGAGCCACCGTTCGGGGATATACTGGTCGGCATTGGGGAAGACACCTTCATCACGGTGAGCAACCAATGCTGACATGCTGACGGAGGTATTCCCGGCAACCCACTCGCCCAGGATATTCGTGCCTTCGGCGGGGGTTTCACGAGGGAGACCGTGAGAAGTAGGAGGGAAGATACGCAGAGACTCGTCAAGACAAGCGCGGAGATAGGGGAGGTGCTTGACCTTGTCATAGTCTGCGACGACCTCATCGTCTTCGAGGACGGCGTCGAGTTCCTCGCGCAGCTTGGCCAGGCAGCGCGGGTTGCGGAGAAGTTGGTACATGACATTTGTGATGGCGATGGCCGTGGTGACGCTGCCGGCGTTCATCATAATGTTACACTCGGCGATCACCTCGCCCCATTCCAGGTTGTTCGGGTTACCATTCTTATCCTCCATCAGGGCCTGGAAGAAGTCGTCCAATTTCTCGCCGGCTTCGTACCGTTGTAGTCGCTGGCTGCCCCGGCGCCACATGATGTTGTCCCAGTCAGATGCTGATGTGGCCATACGCCCGAAGAAAGGGATGACATTGACCAACTTGTCAAGCACGGGGTACCATTCATAGTTCCACACAAGGAGGGATTGCTTGCGGGCCGTGGGATAGAGGGCTTCACGGAGACTGGTCTTGTACGTGGTACCATCCCTCCGCTCGGCCATGACAATATCATTTCCTTGGTCCAAGAAGCCAAGCTTCTCGGAGAGACCAATATCGGCAATCGCATCGAGGGTAAAGAAGTTGTTCCAGGCACGCAGGTCCAAAGTCAAATCCTTGGGATCGGGGGCCACTTTGCCCGAGGCAACGTCCTCCTTGGGTGCAAGAGTGCAAACCTCATCAAAATGCTTGAACATTCGTTGGACCTTGTCGGTGACCTTGTATTCCCAGCTCTCGAGGTTCTTAAGGGCATAAGCTGACGAAAGGACCTTGCGCTTTCTAGCATGGTCGGGCTTATCAACGACATCCGCTAGATTGAAATGAGTGCCTGCCGTGACTGCGTAGGACGCATCCTTGGTACACTTCGTGTTGTGTCCGTAGATGTCCTTGATAGCTCGGACGTCACCGTAAGACAGCATATTGGGTCCTGTGCGAATCACGGGATGTTTCTTGTGCAACTGAGCGAGTTCCATAGATCGGAAGCCCCTCGAGGCCATGAACATGAAGGGGAGGGCCGAAATGCCCGAGAAGGGAGAGAGATTGGGGTATTTGCGAAGTCCTATGCAGGAGTGAGTTCTGGGGGTCCTTAATCCAACACGGTATCCTGTATGTCATATACTTTGGGGATAACATACCTTTAGGATCACGAAGATATTCATAGTAGGGGTATGCCAAAAAGTAGACGAAGGAAATAAAGACCAGCCCAACCGCATACGGGGCAAGAGCAATAAGGGACCACATTGTGCCGAATCTATAAGTGTCCCGCTAATAAGAAAAGGACAAGTAGGAAAAAAAACGGGAATAGAGATCAAGTTCGTCAATTATAGACTTGATAAAATCACTCCTGCGAACCAAGCCGCTTAAATTGGAGGTTGGACTCAGCGAGAGCAGGACTGGTGATGGATATAATCAAAGCGAAAAGGTTGCCCGGGCCATGGTATAAATATCTTTTGACATTGGATCGTGGAGGCATCACAGCCGTGCCTCCTTTCCCCCATGTTTCACGGTGGAGGGGAGCAAGTTGCCCCGCGTCCAAGCAGGAGCTCCTCAAAACACAAGGAGCGACGAGAATTACCCCAACTCAGGATCAATGGTCGAAGGGACTGATTTCCACGGTCTGGCGGGAGAATAGCAGCGTCCAATGGCTGATTCGATCTACGATCTTGGGCGCGGACCAGCGTAGGTGTGGGGCATCGCAGAAGAGAGAGAGGGACGGGGAATATTTCCCTTGTGAAATTAGGAAATCCTGCCCGACAGCCATGCGGGATGTGGTCCGGGCGCTCGATGAACAGAGATGCGGGGGTTGGGAACAGTTTGGTGGACTAAGTTTCCATTAATAGGTGGTCAACTGGCGTCTTTTTCGCCGTCCGCCATGGAACCCTATAGAGTGGCACCGTGCCTTGTTTCCAGGTCGCCTTTGTGAATATGCTCTCCGTTTTAGCCGCACGATAGGTGCACCTTTGTCAGGTGCACCTTTGCCAGTCACACAATTGCGACCACTGCTCGGCAACACCAGATGCCAGAGCTAGCTTACTTCTTCCTAGACTGTCCTTCAAATAAAACTAGGGAGTACAAAATGTAGGTTCGGTTACATACTTGATGTTTCGACAGCGGATACACTATGGTCATTCTATTCTGTTAAGACTTGACTCGATCTACTACGAGCCTAGGCCAGGTTCATCATATCTCTCGTGCGCATAATGTCAATGTGAGTGCCATGCAGCTCCAACACTTTAACATGCCAGGAACTCCCACTAAGATCTTAGATTCCTGGAAAAGCTTTACACGACGAAGATTCCATATATTCTTGTATCTTGACTCCGGTTTAAGCTCTTTGATGCGCCCCGCGGTCGCTTATCGGTGCCCCTCTTACCATACCATACCGCTTATCCGCACTCGCCCGCACTCACCTGCACCTCTTCCTTCGTCATGATCTGTGTAACATTGAAAAAGTACTGTATTTCACCCGGAGACAGCCGATCACCGCGGATAATCGCCTGTCACGAAAAAAGAACTGGCCTGCCCTATACCACCTTGTTAGAACTACACATCTTTCCCTCGTGTCAGCCGATCCTACCGCAGAGTTGCCAGGTCTCGAATTCAGCAGGACCATCCCTAGTGTTGTAGCATTTTCCGCCCATACTCCGCATCGTGCTGGGACTTCCTGTTCGGGCAGATCGTTATCGGGTCCTACTCAGGGGGAAAAGTTATATCAATAAACCCTGCTGTCTCCATGGATGCTTGATTTTTGAGGATTTGGTGAACTCGTCTTTTGAAGAGCGTTCATAGTCCGATACTGTGTGACACATTCCTTAAAACTGGACTGGCCTGGCACTGGATATCGCCTTTCACTCTTTATCCACTTTCATTGATCGAGTTGCCGATCCCCCTCGCTTACAACACGTCATGGCGCAAGCATACGCATATACCGTCTATCGCGGCACTTTCATTCAGACACTTCGTCTACCAGAATCTAACCCTCGGCCCAAGACCGAGCTTGTGCGCAATCGCGGCGCTCTGTGGGTGTCTTCTGCAGACGGCCGAATCAAAGGATTCGACTGGCAGGCTCGCGATGATGCCTCTTTCCGGGAACTGATGACCCGTAACGCATGGGTCGATGTGGATGCACCTGTAACAAATGGTTATGGTGGAAACGAGGTCAAAGTGAAGATTGTCCTCGCGAGCGAGGACAATAATGAATTCTTCTTCCCAGGTTTCATCGGTATGGTCCCTCTGTCCCTATCATCACGCACAAGTACATGTCTAATATGGACTAGACACACATATTCATGCACCGCAATTTCCTAACGTGGGCCTGTTCGGCTCTTCGACTCTGCTGGATTGGCTGGAAACATATACGTTTCCCGTTGAGTCTGGCTTTGGCGTCCAGGGAGACGAGCCCAACGGAGATGCCAAACTTCCAAAAGACGCAACCCCATCTGCACTGCGGATCTATGACCAAGTCGTTGCACGTACCTTGTCTCACGGCACGACATGCGCATCGTACTTTGCCACGATCCATGTCCCGGCGACCAATGCACTTGCGGCACTATGCCACTCGCGCGGACAGCGTGCGTTCATCGGACGCGTGTGCATGGATAGCCCAGACTTCTGCCCTCCTTATTATAAGGACCTCTCGGCTGATGACTCACTAAGCGCGACGAGATCCACTATTGAGTATATCCATGCTCTTGACCCGAAGGGTAACCTTGTTAAGCCGATCATCACTCCACGGTTCGTGCCGACCTGCACGCGGCCTGCTCTAGAGGGACTCGGAAAGCTGGCGGCGGAGTTCAACCCACCACTACACATTCAAACACATATCTCCGAGAACACGAACGAGGTCAAGCTCGTCAAGGAGTTATTCCCTGAATCAAAGAGCTACGCAGATGTCTACGACAAGTATAACCTACTCACGAAGCGGACGATCCTGGCTCATGCCGTTCACCTCACCCCCGACGAGCGCACTCTGGTTCGTCAGCGGGACGCGAAGATCTCACATTGTCCGGCGTCAAACTCGGCTCTTGGATCGGGTATTGCCCCCGTTCGCGTCTTCCTTGACGAAGGCATTACCGTTGGCCTGGGCACGGACGTGAGCGGTGGTTATAGTCCCAGCATCCTCGAAGCTGCGCGCCAGGCTTGTCTCGTGTCCAGACTACTCGGCCATACTAAATCTTTCTGCCAAACGGGAAACAAGCATGCACATGAGAACGGATATGTCGACAAGCCCACCATCGGCCGCGAGAAACTGTCTGTCGAAGAGAGTTTGTACCTCGCAACCCGCGGCGGTGCAGCGGTCGTGGACATGGCAGATGATCTCGGTGGATTCGACAAGGGCATGATCTGGGATGCGCAACTCATCGAGCTCGGGGCTGTCCGAGAATTAAGCCAGAACCCACTCGAGGCGCAAACTGAAGGTACTTCCAGTCTGGTGAAGACTGGTCCGGTTGGTAACGTGGATCTCTTTGGAACGGAGACGTGGGAGGAGAAAATCCACAAGTGGGTTTGGAGTGGTGATGATCGTAATGTCAAGGCTGTTTGGGTCGCCGGACGGCTGGTTCATTCGAGATCCTAGGGATCTTTGATGAATGATTTGTTTTTTTGACTGTGTACTCTTAGCGGATGGTTGTACCCTCTTGGGCACCCCTTATTGACTGGGGATTATAGATTTGGAGAGCATAGAGAGACATGTTAATAATTTGTTGATTGTATATGCCAGTGATCTAACAAGTAATTTTTGATGATTCACTTCCATTCATTTTCGGCCCCCAAGTCTGCCCTGAGATAAAAGGAAGGCTGATCGGCCGGGTGTAAGCACTAGATGTTGACAACCTCCATGGAGTGGAGCCCCATTTATCTCACGTCATATTGTGTTTGATGTTATAACGAGCGCATCGTTGATGCTCTTCATTCTCCCCGTCAATCCGACTTCAACATTCAGACAGTTGAGAATGGCATCTCAACCAAAGAAATCTCACCAAGGCGATGGCCTGCTCCTCATCCACGCGGGCCTCTTCCGCACGGGCACAAAGTCAATGGCGCGCGCATATCAGATGCTCGGTCTCAAAACGCACCACGGACTCCTTGAAAAAGTCACCGACAGCCCATGGGTGCAGCTAGAGCAAGCCGCCGAGGCAACATGGCCCTCCGCGCCCGGTGCACGCCCCCGAGCGCCCTTCACTCGCGCCGATTGGGACGAGCTTTGGGGAAATAATTACGACGCCGTCACTGACCTAGCATCTCCCTTTGCCCTCGAGCTTATCCGAGCCTATCCCAATGCCAAGGTCGTGGTGGTCCAACGCGATTTTGAGCGGTGGTGGACAAGTTTTCAGAGCCAAATTCTCGATAAGGTCATGCTTCAGCCTATGGCGGCTATCAATGGGGCTATTGCGCTGTATTTCATGGGACTTCCAGCCGTGCAGGCGATGAGAAAGATTCATTTTGGTTTCTTTGGTGCACAAAGTCGGAAGGAGATTCTGGCAAATGCGAAAGACGTGTATGAGACATACTATCGCAGTGTGCGGGCAGCCGTCCCACCAGAGCAGTTGCTCGAGTACCAAATGGGAGATGGTTGGGGACCACTTTGTGCGTTCCTGGATGTGGCAGTGCCCGATATACCATTTCCGAGAGAGAATGAATCAGATGCTCATGATAAGGAGTTGAAAGCACGCCAGGGATTGCTTTGGACGGCGGCTATCAAATTTGGAGCGCCCGTGGTACTTGGGCTGGCTGCCATATGGGTGGGATTTGCGTTCAGTCAAACAGCATGAGATCAATCTTAAAGTACAGGGATTACAAAGATCTCGGAATAGCTATCTCTAACCTTTAACCTAGTGGTATGAAACCTTGAAGCTGACGATCAACGTTTGTGAAGCTCCGAAAAGTGCGCAGACTGCGATAAGTTTTCCATCCACACATCTCTGTGCTTGATAAACCCGCTGCAGACCCTGAATATTCGTATACTGCTTTGCGACAGTCCTCCAAAGATACACATTGCCTATCGTTGGCGTGTATAGGTGTAAGTTCTGCGCATCAAGCTTGGCAGATATGGATGCCGTGACCGAAGTGTACCAATCGGGTGGGAAGCGGCGATGTGGTGCTGGAGACATTTGTGTCGTTCTGGGGAGGCTATTATGGAATCGTATGTGGATGAGAGTGCCCGAGGGAGCTGCAGGCGTTGGTTGACCCGAACTGAGTAATATATGCTGGCTGATTGACTGATGGTGGATATCAAACGGCCATGGTCCAGACAGCGGATAGTCCGGGGGAATGGGCCTACTCAAGATATATATAGGAAAGATTGCCTCATTTGGGTGGCTAGAATGTTGAATATGGATTTTTCGCGCAGTCACGATGGTGCTAACACGCATTGGGTGATGTGAACTGGTCGGATGCGATTTCATTCAATTTGCGCAGATTAACAATTTGCATGGAGTTTTGTGAAGGTTTTGCGACCTGCAGTAGATCATTTCATGAAGAGGGTATGGGGCGTGGGGTTAAAAACTTATGGAATGTCACTGTATTCGTGCCTCTCTGCCCACCCACCACTTTGATAGGCAGCTTGAGAAATTACTCACCGAAAAGGATACCAAATTGCCCCGATTATCAGTCGCAGAATGCCCGAGTTCGGAGTACATACGAGTCACGTGCTCGGCTCCCCCGAGTTGCCCGCCCCAAGAAGCGGGAAACTTCCCGACACTCCGCCGATGACTTCCCACCGATAAGGCTGTCTTCCACCTCGGCTCAATGCTTCCTTGATCATGACTTGAGGGTTGACGCCCATTACACAGCTGGAGGAATGATCGAGTTAGGCCTGAGTCGCGTTGCGCGTCTCCTCCAACAAACCCCGCTGACATGGAAAGCTATTCACATTGCCGGCACCAACGGTAAAGGCTCCATCAGTGCCTACCTTTCCCATTTGCTGTCTGCAAGCGACGTTCGATGTGGCCGCTTCACTTCGCCCCATCTGATTGACCGATGGGACTGCATTACCATTGGCGAACGGGTTGTTCAGGAATCTCTCTTTCGCCAGATCGAGTCCCAGGTCAAACAGCGAGACCAGAAGCTAGGCATCGGTGCCTCCGAGTTCGAGCTCTTGACCGCTACCGCGTTTGAGATTTTCAATCATGAGCAAGTGGAAGTTGGAGTGGTGGAGGTGGGCATGGGCGGTCGCCTCGATGCGACCAACGTCTTGAGTGACGTGTTGGTCTCGGTCATTGCGAAGATTGGGATGGACCACCAGGCATTCCTGGGGTCGACTATCGAGGAAATTGCCCGGGAGAAAGGTGGAATTCTCAAACCTGGTGTACCGTGTGTGATCGATAATACCAACGAAACTGCTGTGCTTGAGACATTGTCGAGCCGCATTCAAGAACTCGGCATCGAAGCTATGTTTGTCTCGCCGGAGAAAGCTGACGAGCAACTGCCACCTCTTGCACAACTGTTCCGGAAATTGGACCTCGAACCTCATCAACAAGAGAATATGTGTTCCGCCGTATCTGCCCTACGTCTCGCTCTGGCCAAGATCCGACCTGAAGCGGATGCCTTCTCTCTCCTGCCCCATCTATCCGATGTCAAATGGCCTGGCCGCTTGGAGAGTATCAACCTTCAGCCTCTCATCGAGCGCGCGGAACCAGTTCTTCTGGATGGTGCCCACAACCCACAGTCCGCCGCGGTTCTCGGACGGTACATTGACCGCAAGCTCCGCCCGACCTCGAAAAACGTGACGTGGGTGATTGCTGCGTCGAGCGGGAAAGATCTAGCTGGCGTCTTTTGCTCCATTGTTCGGCCCGGGGATAATGTTGCTACGGCAGAATTTGGCCCAGTCGATGGCATGCCCTGGGTGACACCAACCAATGCCACTGAACTTGCCTCAACTGTGCGATCTATCTCGGAAATTGGGCAAGTGGAGAGCTTTGAGGGCGATCTGCTCCCTGCGATTCAATGGGCCAGCAAGGTCGCTCAGGGCGGTCCGATTGTCATTGCTGGCAGCTTGTACCTCGTTTCTGATGTTCACCGTCTCCTGCGTGACGCACGTCAATGATACCCTTTTTGTGCTTTGACTTGAAATCCCCTTCAATATAAAATGACATTTATTTTCGTATATAATTACCTGGTTGATAACATGATCTTCAAGATCGTTACACAATATTGAATCATAGAAGTTCTGTAGGCATCCACGAACCTCAGGGGGCAGACGCAAGCAGTGGGCCGAGCCAGATCGTGGACCCGATGGACACGAATTTAGTGACTGAGATTCTAGTGAATAGCACGCTTAGGATGGCGCCATGGGTAGCCGTTTTACGGGAATTTTACCGTTACTGTTTCCTAGCGTTGTAATATAAGAATGTATCATTTTGAAATACTCAATTAACAAAGTTAAAAATAAAACCTCCAAGCGCCGTTAATGCAGTCATTGCGCAAATATGACGCCGAGCCCGTGATCCCTAGAATGAACAGTATGAATGACAATAGTTTTGAAAAGCGCCCGGGTATCTAACCATCGACCGAAAGAGCACCAGAAAGAGATGAAAAAGAAAGTTTGAGGGCGGGTGGAAGGTGATTAGAGGGGATTAGGTTCGAAGAGTGTGTGGGGGGGGGGGTGATAAAAGAGGGGGTTTATGCCCGGAAATCGTACATGCGGACATGGAAGTCGTCACCACCAGTGATGAAACGACTGTCACTAAGTCCGATGCAATTGACCGCGGCGGAGTGGCCCTCGTAAGTGTCCTGACAGGTTGGAATGCGAGGATCCCAGATCTTGACCATACGGTCCATTCCGCCCGAGGCGATGCGCAGAGTATCTGCTGACAATGCCCAGATACCTTCCAGGTGACCGAAGAAGGTCCGGAGGCATCGGCCGGTGTTGGTTTCCCAGAGACGGATGGTCGCGTCGACACCACTGGTCATGATGTAGCGAGGAGGTTCCAAGCGACCCTGATCTTGGTCGAAGGAGCCACCAAACGAAGACGGGGGGGCGGAGAGAGACTTATGTTCGAGGAGAGGGGAGAGAATGTTGACGGCATCACCATTCTGGGAGGACGTGCTGACGTGATCGTTTTCGCAGTCGGCGAGATGACTCTCCAGTTCAATCTCGCGGGGCAAAGGAATGACCTGTTGAACTGCACCGATATGATTGTGGAAGACACGAATGCAAGTCTTGGTATCGAGATCCCACAACCGTGCTGCACCGTCATCACATGCAGTCAGAACGGTGCGGGAAGAAGTGTCAATCTTCACGGCGTTGACGCCCTCGGGGTGAGGTAGGATAAAGGTCGACTTGTCCTTGAAATTCCAGATCTTGACCGTTCGGTCGACGGAGGCAGAAGCAAGGAGAGTAGAATCAAAGTGGAGGGCGATCACAGCCTCGGAGTGTCCGTTGTATCTGGAGATGCATTCACCAGTACGCCAATTCCACACTCGGATGCTACGATCCAAGCTTCCCGTGATCAGTTTGGTATCGTCAAATTGTAGACAACGCACGCCAGCGGTGTGTCCCCGGAGGGTGCGCAACTCTTCTCCAGTCTCCATGTCCCAGATCTTAATAGTTGCGTCATAAGAGCCAGTCATGAGGATATTATCCTCAAACTGCAGGCACATCACACTGTCGGTATGTCCTCGGAAGACCTTGACGGAGCAGCGTCGGTGCTTCCAGTTCATGCCGACCACGAAACGATCCCGGTAGACGTCCTTCCATGGGCGATAACGGGTCTTGAAGTAATCATCGTCCGGCTCGGGCTTGTAGGCTGGTGAGACACAGTGACGTTTGATCATCGCACAGCTTTGATCATCCACGTCGATCTTGCGCTTTCCGCTGGCAGGAAGCTCCACCACCGAGCAGGTGCCGTTGGGCGCGCCGTCCGCAATGTTGTTCGAGGGCTGGTTGCCCCAATTGGTCGCGCGTAGCTCGATCTCGCGCTTCGCTTCCCGCAGCCGTTTCCTATCCAGCAGTGGCAAACCCCAACCGCACTTATTGCACTTCCGACGAATGTGTTGTTCGCACATCCGATGCCACACGACGTCATCATCGGCGAGAGCTCTCCATCGGTGGGAAACTTGTGCAGCACGGCAGAGGGAAGCAGTATCGAGGTAGCGGAGAATTTTGAAAGAGAGCTCGGGTGGAAGCGCGGTTAGGAAGTCGATGCGGATAAGTTCACGGACACTAGCGGAGATGAAGGATAGTTGGGGAAAGCAGCACTGAGCCAGAATACCTTGCAGCATCAGCTTGCGCTGCTTTGCAGGGGCGGCAGAGAAGAGAGACCAGACGTGGGCGATGCCCTGCTGATCACTTTGGGGGAGTGTCTCCAGTTCCTAGATACGTTTAGTAATGAACAGTTCCCGTAGTTGGAGAAACTTACTTGTTGTAGCTGATGCATGGACTGCTCGTCCGCCTGGCGGGCGCACTTGGAGTCAGGCTGGTGGCGATAGCAGTAGCCCGCGTTGACCGTACGTGGCACCGAGGTTGTACCATCTTCCGATCGAAGGGGCGCATATTGTCGTGGATGATATTTTGCGAGGAATGGTGCGACATTCTGCTTTGCCAGTTCCGTCAGTGCATCACTGGCATCGCCGGGCGATGCTCGGTTGGCATCGGCTTTCTTTGCGTCTCTTTCGACGTGGGTTGTTGGGCCCGTCACGGCCAGGGAGGGCTTTGTAGTGGGCTCCATGGCGAATGAATGAGATCTGATTGTTCACGCAGGGACGTTCGCGTTCGCCACGAGGGTCAAGTCCGGGTGGGGTGGGCGCAGGCTGAGATAAGAGAAGTCGCAAACTCTTTGTGTCACACGAGCGACAGCTACGTAGAATGGCCAAGGGAAGGGGCGATGCTTTCTTCAGGAAGGTCCTCCACCAAGGTGCCAGTATTGGGGCACAGGAAGTCACCGTGGGAGTAATCGAGGGTGACGAGGACCCTGGAGGATACCTCGAGGGCCGAGATAAGGATTTGCCAGAGATCTGTGTTGTCGATGGTCGTAGGAGGTGAGGAATCGGAGGCTGAAAGAAAAGTCGGCGGCAATCAGGGAGTTGCAATTCAAATAGTCGGTGACCGAGCAGATTTGAACGGCGATTGCACAATCCCGACAGGGTGGTTGTTGGAGGTGCAGGGAAGTGGATGAGTCCGATGAGAGAGAAATGTCGAGGATCACGCAACCTTACCGGAGGGGCGATATCCAAGGCGGTGAGACCAGGACAGCGAGACGATTGGCTAATGTCAAGCCCTGTCAGACCCCGTGATCTGCTCAGCGTGGGGATTAGCTAAGGTGGATCCACGTGATGGCGCCATCTCCGCGGTGAATCACCTCACGGAGAACGATGGAGCTGCGGATGACGAAAAATGGATATCCGGAGTCCGCAATCTTGAGGATGATTTCACAAGTCACTAGCTATGTATGGACTAGTTTGCCGATGACTAAAAATAAGAAATGTCGCCATGGCTGGGGATGTTGCGATCTTCCCGATGCATCCGGGGATTTCTAGACCGCCGCTTTGATAAGGGTGGCATCCAGACCAGAATCACATCATCCTGCCGCTCCTGATGAGAATGTTTTTTTGTTTCAAGTGCAGCTAGTTAATTAATAATTAAATAGGAGTCATGAGTCATCTAACTATTCATGATACTAATTAAATTACGACCGTTAAGTTGGTCCCGAAGAAGACCATCCGAGTATTAGGTAGCTCTATACACTTCGCAAGAAATCTGATATAGCTCCCCCGAGACGGCTGACCGATATTACACTGCAAAGTAATCAAAGACAAAAGTTGGAAGTGGAAATTACTTCTTTATCTCCGAATCTCACCCCCGAGCTCACATTCCCTATGTACTTCTCAACGATGCCCCCTCGCCATCCCGTGGTGCCGAAGTACATATTTAGAGTCTGGCCCGATGCCATAAACAATCTCTTCTACGCCACTTAGAACCTTAATTTTGTGGTATAATATTATTGTATAAATCATATATCAAAAATGAATTGTCTGAAAAGAAGAGGAACGGCAAGTAAGATGAGCCACCCTAAATCTCCCCCATCCAGGGATATGCCTGATAACCCACGGGAGACCGGTACTTTTATATTTCCCGTCACGGAGCACACCCAAATGGCCAGATAGTGACCACCTAGGCTATATGTGGGGAGGTAGTATCTGGAACACCTGGAAGTTGGTGATAAACCTTGTTATTGCCAAATTTGCAACGACAACAACCTTATTCAATTCCCAGGAACCTACCCTACTTCGGAGCTCTGGAAAAGTCACCTGACGAAACTCCCTGGGCGTCGTCACCGTTCTCAACTTCTCAATCACCACGTGATGATAAGCAACGGTCTCCATGTTTCGATGAGGATGCCTTTGCCCATCGTTTCCCTCGACCCTCCAAATGGCGATCAAAAGCTCCTCATTCCCCTATCGCCGGGGATCCAATGCCTCGGAGAAAGACTTCTTCGACATCCCTGATGAACCATGTTTCTCAGTCGTGAAACGGGAGCTCCGTCGAGTCCGCACATGGATCGTTCTCCTGGTATTATTCGTGTTGATCAAATGGATGCGCCGCCCTGGACCTCCGCCGCCACCACTCCCGCATATCCGTTACGATAAGGTGGACTGGTCGCGCTATGCTTATACGCAGTATGCGACTAGTGAGACTTATCTGTGCAACTGCGTGATGGTGTTTGAGGCTCTACATCGACTTGGTTCGCGCGCGGATCGATTGCTGTTTTATCCGAAGGAGTGGGATTTGGTTGTCGACAGCGATTCGGATCGTATCAGTCAGTTGCTAGTGCTGGCAAAGGATGAGTATAATGTACAGATGGTGCCGGTCACCATTGAGGGTATCATGGCGGAGATGGGAGGTGCAGGAGGTGAGTTGACTGCATATGGGGGGATGACATTTGGAAGTCAAGGCCGATATAGTAGCTAACATTTCGTTGCTTCGATTATCAGAGTTTGCCGAATCGTCTTGGGATACCAGTACTGCCAAACTCTACGCTTTCGGCGTGATCCAATACGATCGAGTGATCCATCTCGACTCGGACATGATGCTCTTCCAGCCTATGGACGAACTATTCTTCCTACCCACCACCCCCATCGCTATGCCTCGGGCATACTGGCTCTTGCCCGAGACGCGAACCCTCTCATCCCTGCTGGCCGTCATCGAACCATCATACCGTGAATACACCCTGCTAAAAGAAGCAATCAAACCCGCGATCTTCGGTCAAGTCGACCTCAATCTCACCAACAGCCGGTACGACATGGAGATTCTCAACACCAATTACGGGGACAGCGCACTCGTTCTCCCGCACCGACAATATGGTCTGGTCTCGGGCGAGTTCCGCACAAAAGATCACCGCGCATACTTGGGGAATGACCACGAGCAGTGGAATCCCGAAAAGGTCATTGCGGAGGCGAAATTTGTTCACTTTTCGGATTGGCCATTGCCTAAGCCTTGGGTGATGTGGACCCAAGAACAACTGATGACGCTGCAGCCTGCATGCGATAATAATCCCGGGACGCCGCAGGAGAGTGGTTGTCGTGATCGGGAGATTTGGAAACAGATTTATGATGAGTTCCGGCGCAAGCGCAAGGTATGTCATAGATGGGAGGGGAATGATGTTGGAGCCCAGGCTGACCATGACTGCAGGATATCTGTAAACTGTTGAGTTTCCCAGCTCCAGTCTGATTTGGGGATATATATATATTCAAGTTCTCCTCATACCCGCAAAGACATTGTGTCTCGCGGTTTGTATAGTATTAACATGAGGGGCGGCATAGATATGACAGGTGTCGTGGCGTTTTTGGTCATGATCTCCATTCGCGATGCGAATCCATAGAGCTGTATATTCGTTACAAAATTATTCATACCGTGATCATTCCTCGTGTAGGTCATAGTATCACAGACAAGGGCCTAAACCAGTGACCATCGTCAAATCCACCTCTTTATCCAACAATGAAGAGTATATCCTCCCCATCGCCTGCACCAATCCAGATTGACTCGAATCAGTCTCAACGATAATCGCAACTGACAAGATCAACGTCACCAAAAATATCTATCCCACAATTAGCCACTCCGTCCAACTACACCTCGACACTCTTATCAACAAAAAAGACCTCATAGTACTTACCGCACCAAATAAAACCCCCACGGCATTCAACTCCCACCCGCCAGCATGAACCCTCCCCACCGAGATCGCCCCCTGTTGCCTCCAAAACCGAAAAGCCCCAATGAGCGCAACCAGGATAGCCACGCAGTGACAGGTCACTGCTAAAGGTTTGCCCGCGACGTAGAATTTGAGTCGGTCACCTGGTTCTTGGAGACGGAACAGTTGGGATATTAGTACGCCTTGCATGGAGATTACTCCGGAAGTGCGGATGTATGCGAGGAGGGTCCTCTCTAGGGCTGAAGATGGTCAGTGGTAAGTATGGCGAAGTTTTAAAGTTGACGGTAATGGTGGAGTGCCAAGAGATGCCTAGTATGGAGAACCGGAGACGTGCAGGAGGGGGGATGATCGCATATTTGATACGCTGAAAAGGGCGAATGACGCACCGAAATGGTCCCGATTACTTCGTTGAGGAACTGTCAGAGTGACATGCCGTGTCCAGAAGCGAGCAAGCCTGCTGATAGGATCTTTGCCTTTCCGTGGGGATTGTGCACGTCGCACGGTCGTTGACGTTGAGGATCGTCTTCGGGTGGTGACTCGGTATTCCTCGCCGGATGAGGCGGATGGGGAGGAGTACCCCAGTTGCTCTTCGTCTTCTCGGGTCTGCAGTTCCCGTAATTCGAGAGATTCCCGCCCGTCGGGGGGTTCGGCGCGTGGTGTTGGCGATTCTCTGGCATTCGCCATGCTTGCGCTGACTGGTCGCTGGAGATCCTGACCGTCGTGGTGGGGTACGGTCAGGGTGGTTGTTATCGCGGGCAAGTTTTCGAGAGAAGCGGGCATTGCGCTCGGGGTTTGGCGGGGGTGAGAGTGGTCAAAGCAGGATTTGGGCTAGTGGCCGCTCCGGGGCCAGTCGTGCCACTTCGCTCATGGAAGAAATCCAGGGACCGTCATCCATGGCGATGGAACAGACTGGGAAAGTTGATGTTCATGATAAGCCCCGCATGGCCACGCGGAGGTGGGTTGGGGTAAGTTCGAAAGAAGGTTCAAGTGGATATCAAGCCGATGTGAAAGTTCGTTTTGTAGTCGCGAGGTGTCAAGTCCGAGGGTTCAATTAAGCTTAAAAGTCCACCCGCAGAGGAGGTGCGCACAAGACAGGGTTCGTTGTCAAACAATGAAGAGTAGTACGGAATATCAGTACGGTTGCCTCATACATCCAACTAGCACCGTCGGCAATCGACCCATTAGTTTATGGATCAATGGGTCCCCCCACTCCGTGCAAATTGCATCATTTCAGGTTGGGATGGTGGAAGATGTCGCGACTCACAAGGATTGTTAATCTCCACTATGAGACAGCCTTCCTGCCAGGTATGAGCATTCACCGGTCGCTTCGAAGGTGAGAACTAGCTCGGCGCTTACCTTGTTCATAATGGCGAGTGAGTGGTCCTTAACCCGGGCTGAAGAAAGGAGGCTTTCGAAACTATGGCAAGTCTTGCAGCCAGGATGTACCTTTTTGCGCTCGTCAACTGGATAAGGTGACCTAATTTCATACTTGTACAAAAAAGTATGGATGTCAATGTAAATATGTATTATATAGATCTATCTATACGCATTATATCGCTGAAGTTGTACTATGCAATGCGCCCGTGTCCACCCCGAGCCTCGTCACCAGCATCGCAGTCTATTGAGATCTCTATATTGAAAGCAAGGAGCGATGAACTCGATCAGCCCAAAAGTCCGTCACGAAGCAACAAGTTCCCCTCTCAAATCCCCCTCTTTCGCCCCTCCCCCTCTATTTAGGGGCAGCAGCCTTCCAGAAGAGCCAGCTAATCGCCGACACGAGCTTGATACCAGCAGCCATCCACAAGGCCGACTGCATACCGCCACTGCTGCGACTCAACCATCCACCGACGATCGCACCGACCAAGAGGAACACGACACCGCCAATGCGACGATTGCGCTTGACATTAGACGTAGGCTTATCCGTGATCTTCGGATCGGAAGCAATATCAAAGTAAACACTGGTCAACACCACGGTCGGAATCTCATTATAACCCAGCGAGCGACTGCAGGTCATTCCGCCCGCGGACTGGAATGCCAAGAGGCCGATCGGGATCAGCTCGAGGAAGAGGGGTCCGCCGTCGAGGGACTGGTCGCTCGAGCTGTGCGGGATGAGATCGGCCTCGATGAGCGCCACGGCGATGATGATGAGAATGGCTTGAATGAGGAAGGAGAAGAAGAGGGTGCCGCGGCGGAGAGCGCCGACGCGACGCATGATGACTGAGAAGATCATGGCGCCGGAGAAGAAGGAGGCGATGGAGACGAGGGACTTGAGCCAGCCCCATGGTTTACTGGCGGGTTGGTTTGAGGCGCCGAGACCAAGGAAGATAGTGTTTCCTGTAGGAGCAAATCTGATTAGGATTTCATGTCTGGTGTATGTGACCGGCGAAGGGGGGGGGGGGATTGATTCGAGTCATACCGGTCTGCATGCCCAGGAAACAGGACCAGGCATTGTATGCGCTGCTATCGCAGAGACCCGTCAGAAAGCAGAGTATCAGACACACCAGGTCGGCGTGGGTCGGGTCCAGGGTTTGCTTCCATCGTCGCGCAAGGGTTGACTCTTTCGGGGACTCTGGTGTTGGACTGGCCTCGAGATCGGGCGCGGCCGGGGATTGTTGAGTGGTTTTCTCCATGACCGGATCTGTTCCGACCGAGAGTATGGGAGGGAGTCACAATTGGACGTCACCACAACGGAGAAGGAACAGACGGGGGATACACCCTGGGGTCGAAAGTTGCGACGGTGAGAAGAGGCAGGGAGAGAAAGAGAGAATAGGAGGGAAGAAAGTGCAGTCTAGTAGTCCGCGGGACCAAGGAAAAACCCCAACTCGGGGCAATTAATTCACTTTTGGGGTCAACTCGGCGGGCGCGGCCGACCTCCGAGAGGCAACGAAGTTTTTTTTCGTTATGCCGATCTTTGGTCTGACTGGAAGGGCCCACTAGACTGGGGTCTCCTCTCCGTAGGGCTGAATTGTCCAGGAATTCATTGGTTGCCCGGAAGAAAAGAGAGTGCTGGTAATTACCAGTCATTTTTCATTCTTTGGTGACCGAAACACTAGAGGTGAGTGAGCACTTGGATGCAGGCATCTATCCAACAGTCAGTTTGCGTTCTATCATACCATGAGAAGTCGGATAGGATAACTGAACATATGATGAAACGGGACAGTAGCATAGGGCAAATACTATGAAAAGACGGTCTGTAGGGATATTCTGAATATAAACAGACCCTGCCATATGATCCTGTTGCTTCGGTCGTCCACTGTATCATCTACAAAGACTATCCACAACCAACGACTACAGTGTGTCCAATGCAGTCAGCAGTATGTCTAATTTATCGGCATCGAATCCTTCCATAGCTCGAGTGAGATCGTACCTACAGTCATCGCTCTACTGATGAGTATAGCACCGTATCTACTTGTATGGTCTCCACTGTCGGTGGTATACATTCAACCAGTTGGCATACCAACTACATTTACTTCCTCAAAAACGTCAGCGCTGCCAAACACAAAGCATCCACACCGACTCTCATCGTCGGTTGAATCACAGGTGAAAATCGCGCCGAATGATTCCCCGCAATCTCCTCACTGGGATTCTCGTCTCCATGTACCCGATCCCAAAGCTCCGGATCAATTCCTCCAAACAGCCAGAAACAGCAGGGAAGATCTCTGCATCGGCCCAGGTTGGAAAAGTCCTCACTCACGTTAGTGCGAGGCGTATCATTATCGAAATCCTCAAAATGCTGCTCGAACGATGCGGCGAGTTCAGTCGCGACTTGCTTCTCATTGTCCGTGGGCGGAAACCGGCGTGTGGGCGTGAAGACCGGTGGTTTGGGTGAACCACTAGCAAGGCATTCGGCTTCGACGATGCGCTGGATTGCAGATAAGATCTTCTGCCGAGTCTCCAGTTTCACAGTTCGAAAGTCGAGTCCGATTTCCGCTCGGTCTGCGATGATATTCTCGGCCTGTCCGACTTGGAGACTTCCTACCGTGACGACCCCCAGGTCACTGGGGTCAACCTCCCGGCTCACGATGCTCTGCAGTCGGACGACGATATGCGCCGCGAGTAAAGCCGGATCAACCGTCTGATGGGGCAGCGAGCCATGACCACCACGGCCAAAGACGGTGATTTTCATACTGTCAGCCGCCGCCATGATCGTGCCCGGTCGGGAGCCAATGCTCCCCGCACGCATACGCATAACGTGCTGACCGAAGAGGTAATCCGGCACGGGAATCTTCGAATACAATCCATCATCGACCATAGCCTGGGCCCCGCCGCCTCGTTCCTCATTAGGCTGGAAGAGCACGATGAGTGTGCCGCTCCAGACATCTCGCATCTTTGCGAGAGTTTCGGCCGCAGCCAGGAGACAGGTCATGTGCATGTCATGTCCGCAGGCATGCATCACCGGCTTCTCGTTACCATCGGCATCACGCATGGTGACCGAGCTTGCATAGGGGAGACCCGTGAGTTCCTTCACGGGGAGCGCGTCCATGTCAGCGCGCAACAGGATCGTTTTTCCGGGCCCATTTCGGAGGACTCCCGCGAGGCCGTAACCACCAATGTGGGTATGAATTTCATAGGCGTTGAGCGCGTCCAGATGGGCGGTGACTTTTTCAGAGGTAGAACTCTCTTGGAGGGAGAGTTCGGGATTGGCGTGGAAATATTTGTAGAGATCCTCATAGGGGGTTAGGTCGAGGGAGCTTGCTTTGAGGATGTCTGATAAATCATTTCGAGACATTATTTGGTTCGTCGACATGGGTTGCAACGTAGAAAAATCAAAACGAGAATATCAATAGCAAAGAATAACCCCTGCATGTACCTAGTGAAGTTAAGTTAGTTGGTGATCCTCATGAGTCAGACGGTCAGCATAAGCACAGCGAGAGTAACCTTGCCCGGGCACGATGTGGAGGCGTGAGGAGACCCCAACTTACGGAGGGGGAATTTGATAGGCTTGGCGATGTGATTAGTCTCCACTGGACGATCATCACTGGGTTTTTTATTTGGAGACGAATATACAGAACGATTGTATGATGTTATAGTTGACATTGCCAACTTATTTACGAAACGTAAATTCAACCCAGTTAGGACCATCGGGCATGTCCAGACCCTAAAAATCGGCAAAGGGTATGGATAGACCCTCGGAAGGGTATTAGAGTAGCTCCGCCCTCTATCCTGCTGTCCCACTCCAAAGTGTGAATTTCACCTCCATCGTTGCGGCGAACTAAAGGGGAAAGACTTTTGTGTGATAAAATGCCCACCGAGCGGCCTGAACCCGCGGACGATTCGCACTGGCCGCGGTTCGAGGCCATTATCAACAAACGAATTACATATAAGGGAAAGCGAGTCCAGTACCTTCTGCGCCGCCGAGGCATGGGCCCGGCCTGGGACGAGTGGCACACCGAAAAGAACGTGCGCCTACACTGCCCCGATCTCCTGGAGGCCTTCGCCTCTTACGAATTCTTATTCTCCACGGCGCCTGAACAACTATTTCTGAACGACGCCAGATGCTAACGCCTGGTTAAAATTTTAGTTCGGCTATCACCGCTATCTGTGAATGGTGGTAGTTAAGGAGCCCCCCCCCCCCCCCCCCCCCCCCCCCCCCCCCCGGAACTCTTGTAGAGCAACACATTTGAACTCTCGCTAGGTCTTCGGTAACAAGTGTCCGGGTAACGCCCGGGCACATAGTCTATACAGGGCAGACAGGTAAGAATCCGAAATGGAAATTTCGAAGACAGGGCCTCTTGTGGGCTGAATGGAAGGTAATATTTTCAATTGAAATGTACAGGTGGGTTAAACAAGTGTTGCTATCGGCCGCTCGTAGAGTCCAACACGAACCACCACGAAAGTAGATGGAACTGAAGTGGTGAACGACATGAGTGCTCCCCCCTAAAGTCAATTCTCTCGTTCCTTCTGTTGCACGCAGGATCAGGCAAAATATGGTTTTGCATCTGGCTCCGGGGACCAGTCGGGCATGGATTCATCATCGGACGAGTCGGACGAGTCAGAGTTTGATGCCTGGTCCTTCAGCGCTGCCTGTCTCTCTCGTTCGGCGGCCGCCTGTCGCAGTCCCGCCATCATTTCTTCGAAGGAGCCAGAGGTTTGGATGCCGTTCATGCGCTCGAACAAGCCCGTGCTAGGCCTTGAAGATGCTGGTGGTTCGGGTTGACCCGATGGAATGACGTTTTGACTGTGGTCGCTATTTCTGAATGTTAGCGCGGTTGATGGGGTAAGAAGGAGGAGATGTGTAACTGACCCTTCTTGCTCCGGGCCCATGTCTCCCGTATTGCCCGTATCTTCTTTATCTTGATCATCTTGCACTCCTCTCAGACCTTCACTACTCTCACTAGCTTCCTCGTCCTCCACCTCCACCTTGATTTCAACATCGCTGCCTTCATTATCGTCCTTCTCACTTTCGCTATCATCTTCATCCTCACCGGCTTTCACATTGACTTCTGCATCGCTGGTTGCACTTTCATCCTCGTCATCGGAGCTATCCGTGCCGTTGGAGCTGTCACCCTCATCGGAGCTATCATCGTCATCCGTTTCCACCTTGATTCTCACGTCGCCTTTTTCTTCTTCATTTTCTGAGCTGTCTTCAACCTCCTCGTTATCAGAAATGTCGTCCTCGGACCTGGAAAATGAAACTTGGTTAACCAATGGGGCCGAGTCGAGGAGAAAAGGCATCACTGACTTTTGCAAGGGCGTCTTCCCTGGGATCTCCCCAGCATTAGGGCTAATGGGGTGCGTCGTCTTTTCCGCCGCTTGGTCAGATGGTATGCTGACACTGGGTGCAGCTGCCTCCGTCGTAGTGTGTGTTGAGGTCCGTTCGTGAAGCCTTGCTTCAGGCCGGTCTTCGTCATCACCCGAATCCGGCGTGTAGATTGATCGACGAGGGGCACGAGCAATCCTACGATTAGGTTTTTGCGCGGTGAGGAGAGCGGGTCTGTCCTGTGCCAACTTTGAAAGGGATTCAAGCTCTCGGGCCACCTGCTTTTCAACAGACGCTTGTTCTTTATCTGAGTCTGTATCGGCATTGCCATTTGCAACAGGACTTTCCGAGATATCTTTGTCTTCCTTGACATTGCGGCTTTCCACTTCCTGGGATGGTTCCGGGGGGACGGAAGGCGACATGATCGACCGAGCAACAGTCCGGCCCGCAGGAAGCATAGGCTCACTATCGGAGTTCTCTGCCATTTCACCGGTATCACCTTCTGCCTCTGCTTGGACCGCCATCGACCCGATAGGAGATGGCATTGAGGACGTGTCTTCCTCGAATGTGCTTGTGGTTGTGGGTAGGATATCAGGCTCGGTGACGATTTGGGCCTCTCGAAGCCTAGCCCAGGTGTACCCAATCCTTCTGCGGGCCTTTCTAATGTCTTCGCTCAATTTTGCACGTCTTGTCTTCTCTTTGTTCCGGGAGGATTTGACGACACCGTCCTGGTCAGAGCGTTGGGGGCCGCGCTTCTTGGGGTCAATCTCCCTGCGTTCCGCCTCAAGGTGCTTGATCAGTTTATCTTCCTTCAAAATCTTTTGCAGCAGCTTGATGGCCTGTTTTGTAGTCATTGATGCCGATTCCGAGGTGGTCTCCGGTGAGCTCCGTGGATCTGCGTCTACACCCGGCTGAAGATTATCCAGCTGATTCTTCACCACGCGAATCCGATGCGCGTCCCTCTTTACATCTTCGTGGTACCGATCTAGCTCTGTCCTGGTGCGCGGGCCGGACAGAGGAGTGGAAGTGATGGATATTTGGGTGGACGCCGGAGTCCTCTGGGACCCTGTCGATGGGAATGGTAGAATCCGGCGTCGCTTTGACGGTGTAACTGGGGAAGAGTCAAGAGGGCGCTTTTGCGACTGCTGTCGGACGGTTGTAGACGGGGGTCCCATAGGCGTCGCAGACTCGTGGGGCTGCATGATTGGGAGGCCAGAAGACGAGGGGAAGTGGGATTGAGATGGAGCGCCTCCGTTCGAATGCGCAGAATGGCCGGGTGATCTAATTAGATGATCAGTAAGACACAATTACGATTGGCGATTCCTCAACTTCGTCCGAGCGCTGAGGACTTACGGTGAACGAGCATGTATTGCGTGAACTTCAGTGTGTGTTTTGATGACCCAGCCGCTGTGTCCCCGAGGTCATGCAACAAGAGTGTGAGCAATGAGCTCCAGGTCCGAAAAGTTTGGTAAAGACTGTTCTTGGTGTAGCTATTGGGGCGGGATAGGTGCTGCTCGCGCGGAGGTAGCGGAGTCGGGCTCGGATCAGGAGCGGTACTCAACGCGTGAACTCGGCAACGGATGAGCGGAGTCCGGACAGTGATTCAGGCGTAAATAAAGAGTGGCCTGGCCATAAATCAAGGACACGATCCTCATAAGTGAGGCAAAGTGAGCAACACGGGGCTTGCATGCGGAGTGAGTGCGGTACAGGCGAAGCAGCGAACGCGAGAACCAAAAAACTGCGGAGCCGCGGAGGTCTCTCGATTGGTGCCTGATTTCTCGGGCACCAATATTCTGGATCTATATCGGACACAACTCGGGGGAATTTTCTGCGTGCTGTGCTGAATATGCGCAGCTCGAGGTTGCAATGATATCTGCACTTGTAAAATCCAGTTCCATGAGTGGTTCCAATCTCTGATAACTCAGTTCCTCTTGCAAAGTAGTACTTGGAGAGGTTTTCAAAGGCTCTGGTCGGCAGCTTTTGGAGTTAGACTTCTACGGTAGCATGGAAAGAAGTTTGCAAATACTAGTTTGAACTCTATTGAAGACTCGAATCATAGTTCGCAATGTAATCTCCACTTCGACACTCGAAAGAAGAACAACTACCGTGTCGGTATCTTCAATCCTCAAAGACACCCACACCCGACTAGCATGGATCTGGAATATTCGAAGTGCATTCGTTTCATTTGGGTCCCAAGAAGTCAATAGTGATATACAGCATCTAAAGAGAACAGATTGAATAGAGGTGAAGGCTCTTAGGAAAGAAAGGGTACAGTAGCCCGGATATTCAGACAAGATAAGGAAAACATCGAAAAGAAAGAAACATTGATTCCAATCGTAAGGGAAAAAAACAAGTTATGTGGGTATCCGGCTATTGACATTCAATCAAATGACAAAAAAAGTTATTATATGTAAATACGGATTCCTCTTCAACTTCCGTAGATGGGGGAGCGCACACAGTCACCTGGCGCAAAAGAAAGGTAAAGGATTAAAAGAAAACACTACACCTGAAAAAAGGTACAGGCTCGTATCAAAAATCACTCATGAGTCGCTCATAAACCTCCTAGACAACCTCTGCCTTGGCCTTCAGGGTCTCGAAAGAATCAATCGAGGTCCTGCGATCCTTGATGAACTTGGGCCAGGTGTTGGTGAGGACGAGGTATTTGATGCTCGCCTCTGCGTCCTGGAAGACGGTCGCGTCGAATTGTTCGGGAATCTCACCCCAGTAGTGAACACGGTTTCGGATGCAATTCGTTATGCCCTTCTCAGAGCTCGCGGAGACGGTGGGCGACGCAGGCTCAAAGGTGAACTTGTCGAAGGGGCTGACAGGGTCAGCCTCACGCTCCTCGCCGTAAAGAAGACGAGCGGGCCGTTCGAAAATATCCTCGAGTTTCTTGAGGTCACTGGATGAGATGTTCAGAGGGAACTCGGCGTGACGGACACTGATGAAATCGGCATAGATATGCAGAGCACGGTTGAAGTGTTCACGGAGGAGGTCTTTGGAGCTGCCATCCCGAGGAGCAGTGGGGTCCTTGAGAACCGTCGGAAGCGAGTTCTTCCACTCAGCAAGGCTGGTAAGGAAGGCAATGTTCTCTCCCGAGAATTCACGAAGCGCAGAAAACTCCTGGAGAGGGGTGGGATTACGCTCCAGAACGTGCTCGAGAGCGCTCATGGTCAGAATACTGTCGCGCGAGCCAGTGGTCTTGATGGAGGCATTGGTGGATTTCCATCCTGACATCATGGATTCGACCATGGTAGTTTCCGAGTTGAGGGACTTGTCCTCGGAGTTGTTGGATTTCACCTTGACCTCCCAGCGAGCAATGGAGTCAAGAGTCTCCTGACGAAGGGACTGGTGACGCATGACTTCCCAGCAGGGAAGGAAGACGGTAAAGATTTCGATGATCCAGATGGACAAGCAGATCCTACAAATCACGGGACACGCGTCAGAGGATACAAAGAGGATTTCAATGCCGACCGGAGGGTGCGCACTTACCATTGAGGGGGAATGAAGTACTTGTTAACCGGCGCCATGCCAGGGACGTAAAGAGCGATGAGCCACATTGGGGTAGCATGAAGACTAGAAGAGGCATTAATACCTTGTCCTTTTCATGCGTTCGCTCGTTAATAATGCTCCAACTCACCTGCCAAGAGCGCAGCCAATGGTCTGCAGACGCCAGCCCTGAGTGTCGTGGATGTTGCGCGACTTCCAAAGAATGATGGGAGCAAGAACCCAAGACCAGAAGAACTGCCAGAAGACGCCGGGCCACCTGAATGATTCAATTGATCGTTAGCCGTTGTCGCTCATAAGAGATAATGCGAAGCATAGGACTGTCGGGTTCTTACCATTCCCACCCAGAACCTTGTGCCGCCTTTTGAGCCATTGCGCTGCCATGGACTTCGGTACCGGGGATTCCCCAGGAGCTATGGAACTTGCGAGAGATAAGGTAATTGAAGATAGTGAGGAAGACCTGGACAAACATTCCAATGCCCACAGTGATGAGGATCTTGGTCGTATAGTCGAGACGACGGAAACGATTGATCAGCCCGGTCTTGGGCTTCGCATCGGGCACGGCATCGACAAGACGGTAGCCATGCTGGGCATACTTGCGCTGAAGCTTGGCGACGTGCAGGAAACGAGTATTGGAGGCGTGGAAAAGAGCGATACCGCAAGGGAGATAGGTTCCCATGATCCAATATTGGGCATCTCCGGGCAGAAGGGCGCCAACCATGTTGCCAAATTGGCAGACCCACCAATAAAGATGGAGAAGAACGATTGAAGAGAGAGACAAGCCGAGGCCTCGAATTCGAAGAGTAGGCATGTCGCGATGGATGATCAGATATGCCATGCCGGCGGCCACGGCGGCCGTCCAGACGCATCCCCAGACGACCCACCAAATGCTGACCGGCGACAGGTCAAGAGCCGCCTTGGAATCGGCGGTAATTCCCAACTCTGACCCCATGATGAATGTTTGGGATGGGTTGGTGGAGCAGAAGTGCTGAAAGAGAGTGACGAAGTTGGATAGCGCTTGCCCATCGAGAATGGGGTCGGGGGTCCGTTGGTCTTTTTAAACGGCCGGAGACTCGCAGGATTGTCTGCGAAATGAATGAAATGTAAAGGATTCCGTTCAGGCCCCAGCATGCGCGACGGCAAGTGGGACTCCAACCAACTTCTGGTGCGTGCTGAACCAAAGAGCACGAGTAATCGCCGACAATCCCCTGTCGATCCCTCGATGCGATGGTGGGCCAAGACTTGGAACTAGTGGAGACCGGCCAGGCCAGATCGGGTTCAAGATGGGCGCCAGTCGGCCTCCACTGGCATCCCATTGGCCTTATTATGACCGCAGACTCCGTACCTGCAGGTATTTGTCAACCTCGTCAGTGCCTGATTGGGCATCTGGGAGGTTACGAGAGAGTCGCTTGCGGGCCCTCGCGGGGTGGTTGCCGGCGTTCATCGTCCGATTTCAGATCGCGCGATAAGAGCCCAGGTATTCTCCTCGGAAAGCAGTTGTATCTGATCGGCAGAGCTATTGATTCCCAAAACTTTGCAAGGCTCCATTTCCCCTCCACATTCGCCAACTTATTTCCTATCTGCATCGCTGCAGAAATGCGGCGGTACCAAGCACCATGTCCTCGGGGCCCGCGGGCGGATCGATGGACGCCTTTTGGTATCCGTATATCCAACAAGGCTGGGTCAGTGAGTGATGCTTTGTATAGATGATGAAGTTCGTTAGAATGGAAGAGAGGCGAACCAAAACAGACGGATGATCAGTCAAGGTCGACCGCTAAGCAGAGGTCTCACGGAGAAAATACTGTAGTTGGCAAGATGATTCAATAATTGATCATGCTGAGTGAGGTGGGCGAATGTCCGGTAAACAGGCTGGAGGGCGAACGTGACCAGTATTGAGTATGATGGTATGACAGGATGACAATATGATTCCATATTATATGAACAGACTCGGTCGGACAAGCAATGCCATGTGGTGCTTGCAGACTCGACTGGCCAGCCCCCCAATGGCAGAGGCAGGGGGTTCCATACGGGCATGAAACCCCTTTGATACTCCAGACCTTTGCCATCAATTGGGGTTCAGGTCTAGATCGTCCGTTTCCATTTTAAAAGTCCCATAGGATGTGATGCATCCTCCAAAGCTGTCGTGACGGTCATTCTTGAAGCATACGATGAACCATCACTAATTGGTACCCCGGATGAAACTCTCCCAGGGTGAGCAGGTTATCGCATCCCTCGGCTGGACCAGCTTGAGAGAGACAAGCATCCTTCGCGCCGAGTAGGCGCAACGTACCAATGAACGCGTCGCTGGCGGAACATAGTAGGGCACGGAAATTTGGCCGCTACCGGGTTGCTCAAAAAAGAAACAAACTCGGACGGATCGACACGCACTAGCAGGAAAAAAATCGAGCAACGCGCCCCTGGCGACAAAAGCAGCCCGGGCCGAAGTGGATCACCCTCACAAAGGATGACTTCATTCGCACGACAACGGTGCTAGCTTCTTTGGATGGTGTCGTTGGTCAATCGCTTCCTTGTTGTGCCAGCTCGGAGGAGCGTGATATTTGGCCTCGGGGGTACTTGCCATCATGATGGTCCACTGTCGCTGGCGAGCTTCAGCGCGGTTTGGGTTGAGACCGACTGACTATTGGCGTTGACCCGCGACTAGACCGGAATTCCAAGACATCGTCTTAATTATCAGTCACCGGATCTTTACGGATTCAGGAGCAGACACCGAGGCAGAAGAAAATAAAACCACCCAGTTGAGAGGAGGACATCACGGTCGAAAGGAAGCTATTCCGCTGGTCAATTCGGAAAGCTCCTTACTCTATAGCTTCGTCAGTCGTCTAACTTAGAGTAACTTAACCAAGAGGCTGCGTCATCCAATGGTGATCATGAACACGATTATCATATGAAAACGTGAGTTGTGCGCAATTTCAAGCCATTCAAATGGAGGGACACACCCTCAGGTCCACTGGACTGTCGACAAAATAGGATAAAGCCGTTCTTTCCAAAATGCCACCCCATCTGCGCTCTTATCCCCAAATTGCGTTGAATATAGGAATAATCATTTGGGATGAAAATGTTTGACCAAGACTGTGGTCCATGTTGTCTGTACGCATGTATTCGGATAGCGTATGAAGGCCTGATGGCAATGATAGCCTTGAGGCCTTATAGCCTTGCTGCCTTGATGCCCTAGGCCAATTATGTCCACGTGCCATCTCATCGATGCCCGAGGCACTCGCATTGAACCGCCGAAATTCGTTGGCTTAGTCAGTCCAAGGTCGAATCACACCGCGAGAGACGCGACCTCCGAACTCCACCGCCAGCAAGTTCCCCCCGGAAGTTGGAACTGCCCCTCGTTTGCCATTTGCAACCGGACGCTTTTCTCCGATTTCCGGCACATAAGGCTACATGAGCACCACGCTCATGGTGTATGGGGATAGTTTATATCGGGCAAGCAGAGGCCGATCTTGATGGACTTTGGGTATCGGAACCTCCTGGCACCGGATGGGCCACACTTGATCTCCCCGAGCGACTTTCGGTCCCCGCGCCTGCCACGGCTACCGCTCGTTGACGAGCTACACAGGACCCCCGATTCTAGCGAGATGGAGAAGGTCCCGCCTGTCACGGGAAAGCGCCGAGGCGGCTGTCGGAAAGCCTGCAATGAGTGCAAGCAGCAGAAGGTAAGAAAAGAGTGTGTGTATGTGCGCCACTCCCACATGCAAACATCCCAAGCGGACCTGGGCCTGCCAGTTGACGCTCCGACGTCCTCGCATTTAATTGTCGCTCCTTCTTACCCATGTGGGTACGCCGTGTGCTGATAAGCTGCTGATCTGGGTGTTGGACAGCTACGATGTGATATTGTTCAGACTCCCGCCGCGGCATGCTCTCGCTGTCGTAGGCTAGGGATTGACTGTAAAGTCGAGCCATCTTTTAAGCGCATCTCCAAACGAAGGTGATTCCCATTCCATTTGAAACAACTGGCATGCATATCCAGTACTTATCATTGTCGCTTTCTATGCAGACGCAATGCTGAGATGGAGAAAGAGATTGCGGATCTTCGCCGCCGTCTCTCGACCAATCCAGAGCTTCCTCAAACGAGAGAGCCTCGTGAGGGCGACGACATTTCGCAATGCTCCGACGAGGCCTTTGCCCACCGGGACTCGACGGTCATCGATCGATCTCGCCCTGTCTCAGTACCGGCCGAGTCGCATCCGTCAATGGCAACTCCATTGACGATGAAACGGGACGGGTCTATCCTGTCTCAAGACGACAACACGCCGTGGAGGCTTGAAGATATCACCCTCTCCCGGTCGCGAGTCGCCCGGCTCTTTGAGCAGTAAGTCTTTGAGGTACTCGCTTACTTCTCTGGGATTGGAGGCTCATCCGATTTCTAGTTATTTCAATTATTACCACCCCTTTCTTCCTCTCTTGAATCTTCCCAAACCGCCCGAGGTCTATCTCAGTCGATGTCCCCTTCTCGCCTGGACAATCGTCTGTGTGGCCTGTCGTCGGTCTCCATCAGACCCGGGACTCCTAACGGCCCTCTCAGGGCCATTCAGTCGACTGTTATGGTCAACTATTACGGGCGTTCCCCAAGATTACCGAGTGGTCAAAGCATTATGCGTGCTATGTACATGGCCTTTGCCGACCACGAGCCAACGGACTGATGCAACCTTCATGTTGAGTGGCCTGATGATGCAGATTGCCATGCAGCTTGGAATGCACCGTCCAGTACAAGCCGAAGAGTTCACGACATTCCGCATCGAGGCTCAAGGGGCAGCGTTGAAGGATCGCCTGCATACATGGGTTATCTGCAATATTGTAGCACAGAAGTGAGTATCTCCTGCCTTGTGACCTGCGAACCACCATTGACTTCTTTTTCCCAGCGTGGCCACTGGTTATGGCCAGCCTCCCAGCACCATCTACGATTGGGCTCTTGAGCCAGCTTCACTTAAAGATGCCGACTACCACCTTCCAGAAAATTTGGCTATCCGGCTGCGTATTGAAAAGTTCTGTGATCGAGTCACCAAGTCTTTGTATAGCAGCAAACCCGAGCCGGCCGAATTCGTCAGTGCGGAGAAGCTTGTCATCGTGCAGATTCTTGAAAGTGAATTAAAGGAGATGGAGCTCCAATTCGGTCAAGAAATTTCGGGTATGTCTATCGTTGCCCTCGCGCTACTGGCCTTCGTCCTCTAACTTAATACCCTCAGCCATCAACATGATTCACCTGCGTGCCGCAGAGCTACACCTTCGGTATTTCGTATTTCTAAGCTCCAATCCACGAAGCGACGACCTCACCAAGCTCTTTATTGCGACCACCTCCTTTTTGGGTCGAGTGCTCGATCTCGAGACCTCACCGGGCGAACTCATCGGCCATTCTACGAATTACATCCTCCAGATGATCGTGTCAGCAGCGTTTGCTCTCATGAAGCTGCTGAAGAGCAAATTCAGCCGACATATCGACTTCAATCACGGTAAACTTCTCTTCAACGGGGCCATCTCGGCCATCCGACGAATCAGCGTCATGGATCACGATCGCCCAGTCCGACTTGCCGACATTTTATCTCAAATGTGGAATGCGACCGGGCCCGTAGCCACCGAAGAGGATAGTCTTCAGCTCAAAGTGCGCTGCCGAATGAGCATGAGCCATGTCTACGATACAGTTTGGCGGTGGCGACAACGGTTCCGGCCGGCAAAGAGTGTAGAAGAACTTCAAGGTATGGCTTCAGGGGCTTCCGCTCCATTTTTTACTATCTTGTCTAACATATTGCTTTTAGCGGCTGCGGCGAATCAAGTCGTCATGACCACTAATGGGATGCCGGTCCCCGATAGCGCATTGGATAGCACGGGACTGATGCTTCCTACTCAATTCGACGAGAGCGGGGCTTTCTTCAATGAGGCCGGATTCTCCGAGGTATTTGATTCCTTGAATTGGGTTTTTGAGGGGATCCCGGACTCGTCCTTCGTGGCCCCGGTAGTACTGTAGCTTTGGGTTCATGATAGGAGGATAGGCAAAGGCAAAAGCTTGGGATTGTCAGTTTCGATGTACATTTTGCATCGTATATACCATCAATTGAATTAATTTCTCGTATACTCCAGACTTTCTAGTGCTACCAGAAACGATCAAGTTCCATTGGACGTTCGTCAATTCCCAAGGTGACCCTATACCGCCCTCAGACGGATATATCTTCCCGCTCCACCACACTCGTGGTCAGCCCGGCAGCCTTGACTTTGGAGTCCGGGATTCCGTGTGCATAGCCGTGAGCAGCTTTGCTTTTGTAAACCCTTGTCCATAACCACTAATTTAATTCTACGATTGGATTCAATTCCAAGGCACTCCGTAGATGCCGACGTATAGCTGCGGAAATGGCCGAGGATCGCGGAACGAAAAGTGGGCCCGCTCGATTGGCTCGCCCCTGACGAGATCCGCTTTGTCGGCTGGGCCATTTGGACCATAATACGGAGTACACGGGAATGTAAAATAGGATTGTAAAAATGGAGTACCAAGTATAAATCACGAGTTGTTGTGCTCAAGGTTGTCGGCATTGCCTATCTTTAGATACATCTAAAAGGAGTAGCATACGCCAAGTGTCGCCGGGGTACGATATCAGAGGATATATGATTAGGAAGTAAGCTTAGGTCCTTACCCTGTATTCCTCCTTGGTACATTACTCTCACCGCCGAAAAGCAAGGAGTTGTTTGTCCTGGTCATTATGCCCGGAGATTTATAGGGGGGTGAATGCACATTTTTAGCAAGATTATGATGTGATTGAGCAATCTCCAGCACCCTTCGTCATGATTATGGGGCCATGCCAAGAAGCTGGGCAAACGTGATGATGCAGGCAGCATCATAAGCCACCACCGCCAGCGAACCCATTCCCTTCTATGAGCCATGTGAAAGCGATAAGACAGCATAATCGATCCCTGCAGGTATCCCCCCATGCATCATCTCGCAGGAAAAATACCTGCCGGCCCAGATCTCAACGGGAAAAATGATCCGACCGGGTTTCGAGAGAGGGTCGAGACTCCCGCGGAGTCAAAAGCTTGGCTGTACACTAGTCCAGTCGGTGTGGAGGTGTTCCGGTCTCTGGTCATGGGGATGAATTCGTGAACATTGAATGATGCAGTATATAGCTAGCACTAGTATGTCCGGTGGATAATTTATAGAGAGAGTACTTCGCTCGGGTCTATAGATGTGGAAGTTAATTATTTAGCGTTTTCATGTTGAGTGGCTAACGTTTCCAGAGTTACTTTGTCGGCTGGGTAGATTCGGCTGGACATTCGTTTAGACATGGATTTTGGGTACAGAACCAGGATGTATGCACATCGGAACCTTCTTTTTCAATAAACATCTCTATATCTATATATACTCACCAAGAATAATTTTCCTTTGATTCTCGTACGTATGACCTGCTTGCTGGTTGGCTGGTAATATACCGGCAGAAAGACGATCGGCAGTGCACGTTTTTGGCATCTGGTGGGTAATATTACCGCCCCGTTACCGTACCCGCTGGCCGTTTGCGCCTTTTTTTTCTGGTTTTCAGTGGCCACCGTCAAGCTTGGGACTCGCCCGTTTCCTCGACTATTTTCTCTCTCCTCGACTTTCTCTTCTCCCAATTCCCTCATCGGTATCATAATGCTTTCGTTCTCTCCGATGCTTCAGTGTGACCCAACGCTGCGCGGCTAACACCGGCCTTGCACGCCTCGTGCTCTGCACAAAAAAAATAAAAGCAAGTCTCCGCTGCCCAGCGATCGACAACCTCCCACATGTATGTGCCCCCCCCCGATCCGTGCGATGCGCTCTTTTCATGGGACTAATCAGGGCGAACTCTGGCAGTTTTACTTTTTGCCTTGTTGAGCGCGAAAACAGGATCGCCAAGCTCCCCTCCTTCGACAAACCAAGCTTGCCCTCGTCATCACTTCTTCACCTCCCGCCGATTGTGCCCTTCGTGAGGGAACGACGGCGCCATCGCCGCCTTCCATTGACCATGTTTTCGGCTCTCATCCACCGGCTGAATGATCTTAAGCAGCGAGTCCCGCTGCTAAATCGGCTCCATTTAAACTTCATATTCATACATTATACCTATATCATATCATGGGCGATTATCGGCTCTATCTTCGTCTACCCCGGTGGTAACCTCTCCTATACTGATGCGCTCTTTCAAGCCGCCGGCGCCGCCACCCAGAGCGGGTTGAACACGGTCGATCTCAACACGTTATCCACATATCAGCAGATCGTGCTCTATGTGGTCACGATGCTGTGCACGCCTATTTTCATTAACAGCGGACTGGTATTTATTCGACTCTACTGGTTTGAGAAGCGGTTCCAACATGTGGTGCGGGATGCGCGTGCCTTGCGCACGACTCGATCTCGCATGGACACGGTGACTCAGGATAAGGAGACTCAGGAGGTCAATCGTGCTGAGTTAGGGGTCGGAGGCCGTTCGATTGTGGTACTACGGAACAATGCGGGCGATGCACGAGGGAATCGCCTTCCCAACCCCATGGCCCAGGTCCCGGAGAACCACACCGGTGGAGAGTCTCCCGAGAGTCGGAAGCCTAGTGAGCCGTCTAGCTTGGAGGATACGTCAGATTCCGTCGTAGAGCGTCGATTCGGGCTGGGAAGCTTGCGGGTGCCGACCCAGCTCAGTCCTGAGCACCACATCGCCTTCCTCGAAAATCAGCGCAAGACCAAAGGCGCCCTGCGCATTCCGAGTCCCCGCGAGTACGATCGGGGTGGAGTCCCGGAAGCATTGGACGAGGGTGAAGATGATGAGCGCGACCGGGCACAAGACCCTCAAGACCCATCGAGTCCGCAATCCGACAGACGACGGAGCTCGGCAGATTCGGGTGAGAACGACCAAGTTGGTCCGCTGGAAGGACCTCACATTACCATCAATGAGCCGGATTTCACACGCACCCGCACTCGCGGCAACACCTTTTCTCGCCTGGACACGAGGCCGACCATCCGCGATACCATGACCAAGGAAATAGATGAGAATGCACTGGCTTCCACAACGACCAAGAACACTTTCCGGGGTATATTCCGATCCTTCACGCAGGAACAAGAACGACCGACCCAGCCGTACTTGAGCTGGAATGCCACCGTGGCACGCAACTCCAACTTTGTGGATTTGACCGAGGAGCAACGCGACGAGTTGGGTGGAATCGAGTATCGCGCGTTGAAGACCCTGGCCGTGGTGCTGATCTCGTACTATGTTGGATTCCATCTCATCGGCTTGATCAGCCTGGTCGGTTGGATCATGACGGTAGACACATGGGGTGACATCGTGAGAGCCGATGGCGTTGGACGGCCATGGTGGGGAATTTTTACATCCGGTTCTGCCTTTAACGATTTGGGATTCACCTTGACCCCAGATTCGATGAACTCGTTTCAGAGGGCGGTTTTCCCGCTGCTTCTGATGACATTTTTGATCGTCATTGGTAATACTGGGTTCCCGTGCATGTTGCGACTTTTGATTTGGACTCTGTCGAAGTTTGCACGACAAGGTACCGCCCTGTGGGAGGAATTGAAGTTCCTTCTTGATCACCCTCGTCGATGCTTTACTCTGCTTTTCCCTCGAAATGCGACCTGGTGGTTATTTGCAATCTTGGTGGCGATGAACGCTATTGATCTGATTTTCTTCATTATACTGGATGTGAGTGGTTCTGCCTCTTTTTTTTGTTTTTTGTTTTTTTTTGTGTGACTCTGTTGGGTAAATGATGCTAATCTCTCGCATAGCTGAACGACTCGACTGTCACCACCTTGCCACCCGGTATCCGAGTACTCGACGGCCTTTTCCAGGCCGCGTCCACTCGAACCGCCGGTTTTGGCATTGTGAGTCTGTCGGACCTTCACCCGGCCATTCAAGTATCCTACTTGATCATGATGTATATTTCCGTCTTCCCCATTGCCATCTCCATGCGTCGCACGAATGTGTACGAAGAAAAGAGTCTGGGAATCTATGGCTTCGAAGAGGAGACGGACGAGGAAACCCAAACAGCCCCCAGTTATATCGGTGCTCACTTGCGACGTCAGCTGAGCTTCGATTTGTGGTATGTGTTCCTGGGACTATTCATCATCTCCATCGCCGAAGGTAGCCGCCTGGAGAGCACGAGTGAGTATAGTTTCCAATTATTCAACGTGCTGTTCGAGGTGGTGTCGGCCTATGGTACCGTCGGCTTGTCATTCGGATACCCGGGTGTCAACACGTCGTTCTCGGGTCAGTTCAACGTGGTTTCCAAGTTGGTCATCATCGCCATGCAAATTCGTGGTCGCCACCGTGGTCTGCCATACTCACTGGACCGTGCCGTCCTCCTACCGTCCGACGCGTTGAATCGCCGCGAGGCTGCCGAGTCCGAGCGACTGATGCGTCGGCGTGCATCCAACCTGAGTGGCGCCGAATCCATCGGTCGGCCACGATCACGCAGTCATTCGCAGTCGCAGGTAGACGGTGGCCTTTCGACGGGCCTCCAATCGCATGATTGGCAAACTCATCCAGCGCCGAATGGAGATAATCTCGTGAATCGCTCGTCGACCATTCGGTCCAACCGGTAGAGACTATCGGACTGGCTTGTTATTTACTTTTAGCATCTCTTGTACATTCATCCATCATCTATAGAAGACTTGGCGTTTTTGTTGCTACGGTGATTTGGGAATATATACATGTCATGGCTCGTGAATCTTTGTTCGTACATGTGGACTTTCCTGAGCTTGTAATCGGGCAGTTGCCCATGGCCTTCATATCGATAGCGCGTTCGTCGAGTCCCGTACCTGGCAGTTGAAATGGCATGACGTGCGTGTTTTTCCACGTGCGGGTTATCCACTTTCCTGGCTGAATGCGGATGTCCAGCTTGCTCCTGTCCGTCAGTCAGAGACTCAAAGCAACAAGGGGGGTCTGTGTATATTCTGCGGGGTGTTAGCACTTCTGGTTGCTTGATTCGAGTGTGATATGATATAATTCACACGCCGGTTCGCTACCAGGACCGCGACTTGTGAGTGTTTCGACTCAGCCACATTATATTACTGTAGGGAAGGTGTCTACATAGATGGATGATCGGTACTGGAGGATCCTTCAGGCACTGGTGCCGAGCATAGTTTGTCTAACACTTGGTCACTTGGGTTCTTTTACTGTATGTCGATTATGTGCTTAGCTTTCCATTCTGGCCGACTCCCAATTTTACGTCGGAGTGTCGCAAAAATCGGGTCCCTCCGAAAGGATCAGCACTTGCCCCTTTTGGGTGAATGCTGGCATTGGCATTCCAGAGACGCCCATGATATTATCGTCAAATCCACTTTTGACACCATATTCTGCCTTCATCTAGACATAATTTTCTTTCAGATTCAGACCGGTGGGTCGATCAACAACGAAACTTGCGCAGTTCGTCCTATTCTTCAAACTGCCATCAGCACCAAATATGGATGACCGGCGTCTCCCACCAGAACATGCCAATCGCTACAGCGGGGCTACCTCGCAAGTTCCCGAACTCGACGTTATGAGTATACCCAAATCGCCGATCGTGCCAACGGTGACCAGTGCAGCCCAATCGCCAGAGCGGAAACCTCGCGTCTTCCCGTGGTATCACCCGCAAGGACGGTCACGGCGGCGACGAATCATCATCGCTGCAGTGGTATCAGCAGTGCTGATCCTCGCCACAGTTTTAGGCGCAGTCCTGGGCGTTCGAGCTAATCGATATCCAAACTACACGCCTCTAACCTACCGACTGGTAGATACATATCAAGGGACATCCTTCTTCGACAAATTCAACTACTTCTCCGACGAGGACCCGACAGCTGGCTTCGTGATATATGCGAACCGCGACGCGGCCCAGGATCTCAATCTCACCTATGCCAGCGGTACCTCGGCCGTGCTGCGTGTGGACTCGTCTACGCCCCATGCCGTTGGGGGTCGTAACTCGGTTCGCATCGAGTCAAAGGCTACCTATGACACGGGCCTGTTTTTGTTTGATATCATCCACACACCGTACGGCTGTGGGACATGGCCAGCCCTCTGGTTGACGGATGGCTATAATTGGCCGCTGAATGGGGAGATTGATGTCCTCGAGTCGAATAATGAGGGCTCGAACGGTAACGAGATTACCTTGCATACGACCCAGGGGTGCAATATGGACGTCAAGCGGAAAGAGACGGGCTCTCCTGTGCAAAAGTCATGCGACAATAGCACCGGAAACTCTGGCTGTGGCGTGCTGGGTGATTCATCCACGTATGGACAAGAGTTTAATCAGAACGGTGGTGGAGTAAGTACAATCCCCATATTCCTTAGCTGTCCGATGTCAAAGAAATGATCAATTCACATAAAGGAAATCCAGATCTATGCTCTCGAGATCCGCCCCGCAGGAATCCGCACCTGGATTTTCCCTCGAGCAGCAATTCCACTGGACCTCTCCAATTCTACTAACATCCCCAATCCATCAACCTGGGGCACCGCTCTCGCCGACTTCCCCAGCACGAACTGCGATATCACCTCACACTTCCGAAACCAGAGTATTATTGCGAATATCGATCTGTGCGGGGAGTTAGCAGCGCAATCGCAGTATTACACTGAGTTGTACCAGTGTCCTGGTACATGTTCGGATTTTGTGGCGAATAATCCAAGTAGTTTTGACGAGGCGTTCTGGGAGTTTGGCGAATTTAGGGTTTATGAGGCTATTTAAGGTGGAGGTTGCTTTGGCTTGGATGATGTGTTTTATTTTGGAATGAATGTCGGTTTGAACTATTTTATGATTTGATTGGCCCCAGGGTTGGAGGTGCTTTGGCGTTGGAACTACTGGTACCTTGTGAAACTCTTACGACGAGTACAATACACCTGGCAAAACTATGTTAATGTGAATTGAAATAATCAAACTCATTGAATTGAATTTGCTTTCTCAAAGGGCCATAACCAGGTATAACTTCGGTGATTGCATAAGTAAAACGGACTCTATGAGTAGTGGAGGCAACACTTTATCCACACTGATTGGCTAGAGGATGCATATGTAAGACTAGCTTGGAGTCGAGAACAAACTGAAAAAGTAGGAGACAAGCTGGATAATGGCTGCTGACCGTATTGAAAGTCCTGAGATTCCATAGTCGCGTATGAGGGTTTTCGAGTTTGAGAATCTCGCGAAGCGTTTTATCGAAGCGGGGTTCGAAGCCGGCTTGTTGGTTGATTATATTGATGGAACTCGGGCGGAAGATGACAGCTAGGGTCTTTTAACCAATTCCATGGCGAAGCTATGCCTTGCAAGGGGCCTTCTGGAGCCTCGAGCCTAGTAGTCGTGTTGAATACTTGCCGCTGTATCAAAGTACCCCTTCATCCAAATCACATCGAGGTGCAGCTCACGCGGGATCCGAGCGACATCTTTGCATGCAAAAATGGCTGCAAATCAGTGATCTGAATCATGAGTGCGGAATTAATGATCACATCTAAGATTCCATCTGCCCTGGTATGCATTGGTTATGCAGATCAATGTGTAGATCAGGGGTTCCTAGCGAAGCGGGTCGGGCGATCGGATCATCAATATGGATCTGAAAATTGAAGATCCCGGGCCAATCAAGGGATCTCGGCAGCTACAAGGTAAATTTGTGCCTTGAGAAGGGTATGTGAAAAAGAAAAAAGGGATTTTTCTTAAAGCTGCTCGCTGTCGCTGATGAGTAGCTTTTGATTTTTGTGAGTTAATGAGGCCGCTTTATAATGTTTTTTTCCGGTCGTTCTGCCTTTGCATTTTTGCCATTATTATGCACACATGTCATTGCCGATGATGCCCTGGCACGAGCGAGGACTGCTCTAGATGCTCTTCAGACATGGTATGATCCTTCGACCGGACTTTGGACTACTCGACAATGGTGGAATTCAGCCAGCGCAATGACAACGGTCGCAAATCTTGCGACAGTTGATCCATCAGTGTTGGAGACTGCGCTCTATGTATTCAACACCACCTTCAACCTTGCACCAGCCTCCAATCCACATCCAGGTCCAGAAGTGAAGACCGTCTTCCAGCGAAGAGATCTATTCTCGAGAGCGGGAAATTCGGGAAATGCTTCGCGGTGGCTGGACTCGGCATACGACGATGATGGATGGTGGGCCCTGGCATGGATCGCTGCGTACGATGTCACTGGAGATGATGACTATATAGAGGTGGCTGAGGGGATCTTCGCAGCGCTGGTTAGACCCCCGTATACACTTCAAAACGACTGAATGCTAATTTGTCAACAGGCTGCCGCATGGGGTACAAAGTGTGGAGACGGTGGTCTCCCATGGAACCCCACGAGTACCTACGTGAATGCTATCACAAACGAGCTCTTCCTCTCAGTTGCTGCGCACCTGGCCAATCGTGTGCCATCCAAACGGAAGGAATATATCGACTGGGCGCAGCGAGAATGGGACTGGTTCTCTGCCCAGGGGTTCATGGGTGAGAACCATACCATCAATGACGGGCTCTTGGATAATTGTCAAAATAATGGGCAAACTGTGTATGTTCTTTGCAAATCGCTTTGATATTATCGGTCTAACTTAACTGCCCAGGTGGTCTTACAACCAAGGGGTAGTGCTCGGCGGCCTTGTCGAATTGAACAAGGCTGCACCGAACGACACTCTACTTGCATCCGCTAATACGATCGCTCAAGCCGCCATCAAAACCCTTGCCGATTCCAACATGGTTATTCATGAGCCATGCGAGCCCAATAATTGTGCTCCAGATGCAACACAGTTCAAGGGCATCTTCATCCGCAATTTGCACATGCTCCAGAGCGTGTCCCCTAACATTATTTATAAGCAAGTCATTGATAGCTGTGCAAGAAGTATTTGGGTCAATGATCGCAACTCACAGAATCAACTGGGTGTTGTTTGGGCTGGGCCCTTCCAAGATCCGGTGGATATGTCAACTCACAGCTCGGCGATGGACGCATTGGTTGCTGCAATTGGTGGATAATAAGGTTATATTTGCCTTACATCTTGATTGATCGCATAGTGTGGCATTTTGGACGGAGCCTAGAACAATAGACATAGATAATGCTTCATGAATACCATCAAGGAAAAGAGACGCTGACCATCTATGTATGAGATTGCATGCTGCGGAAGAACAAAATTCCGCTTATTTCTTTCAGGAACTTTGATGAGAAAAATATTCCTTCAGGGTATAAAAATCCATTTTCAGATAACAAATTTCTCATTATACAGAGCAGAAAATAAAGTTGCTTTGATGAGTTTACAATGTACTGTACGTTGTCAATTGTCTCTTCTTATGTTATCTTGTATCATCGTATCTTATCTTATCGGGACAACAACTCTATTTCTGCTCTGTTTTACCGCCTAATCACCCCCTAATGCCTTAGGCAAGATTCTGGGGCTGACACCCGAAGATTCACGGGGGAGCTTCCATCGAGCGATCTTCACAACGAGGTTCCTACCACCGTGTCCACCGAAGATATGGGTTGAACACTGATTCTTATCTTAATTGCATTCCTTTGTATCCCCTCACGCGTCTACCATGTCGGCCCGTCTGCTACACCCGGACGAGTACGAGCTCGGCTCGCGGTCCTCCGCCGACTCCGACGGCACTTTCAACCTGGACGATGATGATTTCGAGTCCCAGATGCCGTCCACATCCAGGCTTAGCACGCGGCGACTACCTTGGCTGTCTCGGCTCCTCTCTTCCTCCGGATACCGGCGCTTGAAATCCAATGCACGACCCATCTTTACTAGCTCCACTCGCCCGACTTGCGCGCGACGCTGCATTCCCCGTCGCCGATGCTGCCAGGTCCATGTCATCTTCGGAATCGTGCTCGCCCTCGTACTATTTGCTTCCATATTCACGCCTTCTTATACCAATCCCCCCGCGCATTACGCTACTCTACGAAAGTCGGCGTTGGATGGGAATGTCGCCGGCAGAGGCAACCCACACCATAAGAAAGTGTTCATTGCAGCAAGTCTATATGACCGCGGCGGGGATCTGGCACGGGGGAAATGGGGTACCCAGCTGTTACAGCTAATTGACCTCCTGGGAGGTCCCAATGTGTTTGTGAGCATATATGAGAACGACAGTGGGGAAGAAGGACAAGCTGCATTGCGAGAGCTGGAGCAGCAGATTCCCAGTGCCAAGTCAATCGTCTACGAAGAACATATAGACTTTAAGACGATTCCCTCCGTGGTCATTCCGGGGGGAGAATCGCGCGTGAAGCGCATTGAGTACCTGGCGGAGCTTCGAAACCGAGCGCTCCAGCCGCTGAATGACCACCCCGAGATTCGGTACGACAAACTTCTTTACCTGAATGATATCCTCTTCGACCCTATAGATGCGCTACAACTACTTTTCTCCACCAATGTCAACGAGCAAGGTGAGGCTCAATATCGTGCCGCATGCGCCGTCGACTTCGACAACCCCTTTAAATTCTACGACACCTATGCCACGCGCGATCTTGAGGGGTACTCGATGGGACTACCATTCTTCCCCTGGTTTTCCACCGCCGGAAACCACGAAAGTCGAAAAGACGTGCTGCAGGGCAAAGATGCGGTTCGGGTCCGTAGCTGCTGGGGCGGCATGGTGGCTTTTGACGCCAAATATTTCCAAGACCCACTACCCGGAGGCACCACCCCGGCGCGCTTCCGCTCTGGACCCGATCTCTTTTGGGAAGCATCCGAGTGCTGCCTCATCCATGCGGATATCCAAGATCCCCGGACTGGGGACGACGATACCACTGACACGGGGATCTATATGAATCCCTACGTCCGAACGGCTTATGATGGCCGAACTCTATCTTGGCTGGGCATTACCCGTCGGTGGGAACGGTTGTACTCGCTCATTCACAATATCTGCAATCATCTCGTTGGTCTGCCGTGGTACAATCCCCGTCGAACCGAGACGCCTGGCCAGCGCGTGCAAGAGACGGTATGGGTCCCCAACGGCAGCCAGGATGGCGGGGGCTCTTTCCAGACCGTCGAGCGCACCGCAGGCAATGATGGCTACTGTGGGCGGCGAGGTTTGCAGGTCCTTGTGGAAAATCGCAAGCCTGGGCAAAAAGGGTTTGAAGGCATCCCCGTACCATCACTTTAAGGTCGGATTTTTTTTTGGATGTGGACCGGCCAATGTAATGACTTGGCATGCTTTTACATAGCCTCATGAATATAGAACAACATAATAGTGATTGATCGTCCACACCGGCAGTGCTTTTGTGACTGCTCGTGTCCTCGCCTATTGGCTGAAAGTCGAGCTCGAAAGTTCCACTGCTGTAAGTCGAGACTACTAACGCTTAAATTAGACAAGACCTGTACCATCTAGGAGCGTACGATGGTCCGTTCAGTTGTCTATAAAGGAGGGATTGTGGGACATGAGCCGTTTTGTTCTGTCGTGTATCACTGTTCGTTGACGGAGATTAAAGAAACGGTCCACTTTGATGGGAAGTAAGCGCCCAATACTTTGTCTCATTGATAGAAAGGTAGAGATGATGGAGACGAGCATGCTGCTATACCTCATGCTCGAAACTAGTTAGAAATCACACCATTTCTGCCTTAGGCACTAACACGTTATCATATCGCGGGGCGCATTACAAACCGCCGCGGGGCTCAAAAGAAAAAAAAAAGAGAACACGAAACAACTCAATTCGCACACCGATTGCAACCATGTTACAAGCCATCAAGTACAGCCAGGGTCACCTGGAGATCCTGGATCAACTGCAACTGCCCTTCGTCGAGAAATACATTCCGATCGAGACCGCCGAAGATGGCTGGAATGCGATTAAGGAGATGAAGGTTCGAGGCGCACCCGCCATTGCAATCGTTGCCATGCTGGCGCTCGCCTCGGAATTGCATTCGCTCCAGGCCGCGGACAAGATCCCCACGTCGGCCGAGGAAACGAAAGCGTTGATTGCGCAGAAGCTAGAGTACCTGGTTACCAGCCGTCCAACGGCCGTGAACTTGGCTGATGCGGCGCAGAAGTTGGGGGCCTTGGCGACTACGCAAGCTGGCCAGTCGAGCGCTTCGGGCCAGAGTGTCGTGGCTGTTTTCATTCAGGGTGCGGAGGATATGATGGGCAAGGATTTGGATGATAATCAGCGCATTGGTCACAATGGCGCAGAGTGGATTATGGCCAATGCCACCAAGCCTGGTGTCGCCGATGTTGCGGTTTTGACGCACTGCAACACCGGGTAAGGGCTTACCTTTTTCATTTCGATCTTACGAGTGTCTTGATCATGTATGCTGACCATCGTTACAAGCTCCCTTGCCACGTCCGGCTACGGCACTGCCCTAGGAGTGATCCGCTCGCTCGCATCGAAGAACGTCCTACGTCACGCCTACTGCTCCGAGACAAGACCCTATAACCAAGGCTCCCGCCTGACGGCCTTTGAATTGGTTCACGATAAAATTCCTGCTACACTGATCACGGATTCCATGGCAGCGGCACTGCTGGCCGATGCCCAGGTCGGCGTAAACGCCATTGTGGTGGGCGCAGACCGCGTGGCCGCCAACGGAGACACGGCCAACAAGATCGGCACCTACAGTCTGGCCGTCCTGGCCAAGCACCACGGAGTGAAATTCTTGGTCGCCGCGCCCCGCACCACCATTGATATGGCTACCAAGTCCGGGAGCGACATCGTCATCGAGCAACGCCCGGCTTCGGAGATGACCAGCATCAAGGGTCCTCGCGCCGGGGCTACCGCTGTCGATGGCAATTTGACTCTGGAGACTGTCTGCATCGCTGCGCCCGGAATCAATGTGTGGAACCCTGCCTTTGATGTCACGCCGGCGGCCCTGATCGACGGAATCATCACCGAGGTGGGGGTGGTCGAGAAGGGACCCGATGGTCAATTCCACATGGAGGGGCTATTCAACGGCTCTGCTCCTCAGGCTTGACCTGATCCTCTTGTGTCTTTGAGTTATGCGGTGCTGCATCAGCCGGTTCCTGCTGCGACGAATCCTGTTTCTCGAAAAAGGCTAGCAGCTCATCCATTTTGCCTTCGAGAGCGTTAAGGTGGGTTTCCAGTGCCGAGGCGGTTTGTTCCCCCCTGTTGTCCATGTCAGATAGCGAAACTAGGGGGGTTGAGCATTATGTGATATACTTTGCGATGTCGGCCAAGGCCTAGGAGGTTATGAGTATTAGCGTGTGTCTCTTTGCTGTAGAATCTGGGAGGTGAGCGGGATCACCCCGTCACCGGCATCGTAGACTCCTAGACTCACCTGGGCGAGCCCCAATTCATCCTTTGGAGGCATATTGACTGTAGGTGTTTCACACTAAAACCGGCGAATCTCGAGTGTGCGATGATTGAACGGGTGAGGTGTGGGGGAACGCGGGAATGAGCCAATGTTGGGGGGGCCGTCGCAGCAGTGGGACAGGTGGATACCCGGAGAAAGGAGATACAATAGATCCGCCAAGATTAGTCACGTACAATTACGGCGGACGACAAGGAGAAGGCCATAACCCTGAATTTCTTCATACTTACTATATCACAAGGAGTTCGACGTAGAGATAATTTAGGAATCGTTTAGGAAACCGTCTGGGAAACCGTCTGGGAAAGCGTCCAGAAAATCGTCTAGGAAACTGTCTGAGAACTGTTTAGAAGACTGTTTAGAAGACTGTTTAGAAGACTGTTTAGAAGACTGTTTAGAAGACTGTTTAGAAGACTGTTTAGAAGACTGTTTAGAAGACTGTTTAGAAGACTGTTTAGAAGACTGTTTAGAAAACTGTTTAGAAAACTGTTTAGAAAACTGTTTAGAAAACTGTTTAGAAAACTGTTTAGAAAACTGTTTAGAAGACTGTTTAGAAAACTGTTTAGAAGACTGTTTAGAAAACCGTCTAGGAAACCGTCTAGGATCATACCACTGTCCAAATCCAAACCATGGCTGATAAGATGGTTAAGAGAGACGATGGTCATCCAGTTGTCGTTATTCGTGTCTTCTCGAACAAGGTCGAAAACAAAGTCTTGCAGCACTCGTCACCGTACCCCGTCCCTGGTCATCCTCGTATCGTCGATGGCATCTGTTCTTTGTGTCATAGGGGCGGTAGATAATCGCTGCAATATACCCGCGACAGACCGTGCGTCATAGGCAGTGAGATTCTTGTCAGAGAGAGAAGAGGTTTAGACAGACAGGGCGGAGAACAGAGGAGGTCTCGACAGTAAGGCCCGCCGAGCGAGGAACGAGAGGGGGGAGGAGGGCGGAGGAGGCAGAAGCAGAAAGACAGAAAGATGAAGAAGGTGTAGAGAAGACCGAAGAACAAGTTGGGTGACCTGGGGGTGGGGTGTTTGAATTTATACCCAGCCCTCCGCAAGAAAGTGGAAACTTCCATGACAAACTTTTTTTATTCACAAGATAGCCATTTAAGAGACTCCTCCCTGTCCGGGCAGACAGGCTATTCCAAGGCCATTGCTCCTTGCTATGGAATGGCCATCTTTCTGGATGTTCCAGGTTGAGTGATTGACTAACACTCCAGTCTTGCAGGGTCTCCAATTCATTGACGTGTATTTTCCTCTCCTTCGAACACTAATCCCCTCAATTTTGGCTTTTCCTGGGTGGTGTTGGAAAATAGTGCCAACACGAAGGATCATGTCCATTCTCTTCCGAGCCACCCAAAACCATCTTTCCTTTTCCTTTCCCCTTTTTCTCTTCTTTTTGTTGTCTTTTGAACCTTTGAAGAAAGTTCTCGAGTTTAGTTAAGGTTGACTCAAATTTTCTCAGAACCACTCATCGCCTCGGCTGCGGTCAATTTCATATCAAAAAATGGTATCAAGCTGTGGGATATCGGCACTGCAGACCCTTCATGATGAAAGAGGTAACAGTAATATCGGTCGGCACTACCATCTCATGTCTCGGAACTGGAATCCGTACCATTCAATTATCTTCGATGTCGAAAATTGAACTAACCAGCGGTCTTCCCAAAGTGCAGCGATTTAGAAGATATAGTGTAGTAAGCTTGGAGAATATTCCACCGCTTATATAGGACTCGAAGACATGGTAAATATACTTATATTTCGACTACCTTATGCCAACCTAGAGACATTGTACCCTGGTCCTACAGCAGAGAAGGACTCTAGGGCATTTCGCGACACTGGATTATAGCCTCTTCGATCCATATTACGTTCCAGATACCCGGAGAGTATCCGTGGTCGCTCAGCCCTTGGTGTAGGATCCCATCGCGCTTCTCCTGGTGGCAGCCACCTTCGCGGCGTGGCAGGTGAGTCGGGCCTATCCTCCTGGCGTCTCCGTCGGCCAAGCTCAGGTTCTGGTGCTGACTCCTCCATCGCTAGCATCATCTCACGTAAATTTGTGAAATCGCCGGACTTAGACGCGTCAACGACATCCGCCCATTCTTGGGCATAGCTTTCTTTTGCTCCCGCTTGCATGATCAAATGCTTCTTCTTGTGAGCACGAATTGCTAGCAAGAAGCTCTTTCGAAGTTGATCTGCTTCTTCTACCATCACAGCTGCGCGATCTGCGACGTCCAGCATTTGCCGCAGTCTTGACTCCTGGTCGTATGCGGAGATGTCATCCAGCTTAGGTATTGAATAAATGGGGCCTTCCGGGGCCGTTAACGTGCGTGGAATTCCAAAGGAGAAAAGATGACATGCTTTGACGGAGAGACTTAGCCGTATGTCAAACTCGGCCTCACAGTTCACCAACAATAGCAGGCGAACGATTTCAGGTAACCCGCTCTTACTCCCCGGTTCCTCGTACAGTCGCCAGGAAGCATGTAGTCTGTCTCTGATGGCTCCGTGGATGATTCGGACACCTTTGAACGTCGACTTCCGAGTCTTCGAGCCTTCCATACTGATGTTCACATTCGATGGACCGCCGCCGCCAGCAGCCCCAACTGTTAACTTTTGACCGGAAGTGATCTCTTGATCGGAGACCTCCATTCGATCTGCCTGGGGCATAACCTCCCGAATGTGAGGACTCTTGGCGGCATCATTGGAGCTGACAATAGCGTCAACCTGGGCATACCGGATGCGATGGCTCATAGAATATGGTCGCATGAAGTTGAGCTTGAGCTGGATCTCGTGCATCTCTCTCCCTTCGTGCACGCATGGCCGGATAGACTCCAATTTTGCATCGAAGCTGATATCGTGTTTGTTGTAGCTGGCTAAGACGAAACCGTCGCCGTTGTCGCGACGTACTCCGCTCCAGAGATTGGGGTCGAAATCGGGTGTCAATTGCATCCCTATGCTTTCTTCCTCGGGGTCTTCGCTTGCCTTTTCAACCGAATCAAAGACAGGCCGGTCCACTGAATCATCACTCACAGGTCTGGTGTATGCCAAACGTTGTGCTTCGAGTTCATCAGAGAGCTTCGAATATTGAGCAAGCATGTCCACTATCTCCTTCATGCGCCCCTGCTTGGCTACTTGCAGCGCCGATACTCCTTCAGACCCTTTCATGTCAACATCTGCGCCATACCTGAGCAAGAGCTTCACGACATCTTCCCATCCATACCGGCAGACCTTATGCAGCACCGTATTCCCATCGTGATCGACCAAATTCACATCCGCTCCATACCGAAGCAGAACCTCCATAACCCCAACACTTTTCCCACTCAAACACAAATGTAACGCCGTCTGTCCCCAATGATCAACCGCATCAACAGCCGCCTGGAACTGAAGCAATATCTCAGCCGTATCCTGTGAACCCCCTATCGCCGCTTTATGCAACGGTGTGCGCCCATCATTACCTGTAGCATCAATCTCCACACCGGTCTCAAGCAGCAAGCGCAGGATCCCGACCTCCCCGAAATTACTCGCCACATGCAGCGCCGTCTCACCGGTATTCATCATCTTGTTAACATCCGCCCCACCCTCAATCAACAACTTCACAGCACCCTCATTCCTCGTAGAGCAAGCAACGTGCAATGGCGTGTTTCCGAGAAAATCCCGAACATCGACATCCGCACCGCGTCGGATAAGAAACTTGACAATCTCTGAATTGCCGCTAGAACACCCCTTGTGAAGCGGCGTTTGGCCGTCTCTGCTGTCGACGCAGTTGATTGTCGCTCCTTGCGACAAGAGAGCGATGGCTCTGTCCACGTCGTTTTCACCGGCAGCATAGAGTAGCCGGTTATTGAGCGTGACCTGTTCCAGGTTACTTTAAATCCTCGCTCTTCTTTGGTTACGGTATTGGTTGCGCACTCACGTCCCCGTTCATATTCGTCGACGACCCCTGAATTTCGCCATCTTGGGCAGACGAAGGCCTCTCGGACTCAACGGAGATCACCTGGACTGGTTCAGTTCGGTATCGACTGACTCGATCGTCCATGGAGTCCAGAAAATTGGTCACTTCCGCGAGAGTGAGACGCTTGCGAATGTTTTGTTTTGGGTGGTGGGGAAGAAAGTGGAGATTGGGGTCGGGCTCAGCCGCACTTCAGGGCACTTAGCCCATCAATGTGTCCCTGGTACAGTAGTATTCAAAGCCCCTCATGGGCTCGCACTGGGCTGCAGTCCTCGCCGCTGGCTATCGGGACCATATATTGAGACATTCTCGTGGTGTCTGCTGTGGATCACCGCTGGCAAGGCCAAAGTGAGCGCCGTGATTGTGCGATACATAGCATGTCAGAGGGTAAGCTTAAGGCAGAACCAGTCAGGCAGAAACCTAAACTCCTACCTTTTATCATGAGTTTAGACGGATTTTTGCGACCCTTTAATATTGACTTTTGGCAGTCAGAAGGCCATAACCCTGAATTTCTTCGAGGCCCTTTACCGCTTTTATTCCGCCCTAAATAGTTACATTTTCATGCTTACTAAATCACCGGGAGATCAACGTAGAGATTCGTTAAAAGGCTGTCTAAAAATCCGTTTGAGAAACCGTCTATGAAACCGTCTAGGAAACCGTCTAGAAAACCGTCTAGAAAACTACCTAGCAGGTGATAGCAGATCAAACTAAGGACTAGTTGAATAATATCACCGCCGAGACTCCATGACGGTATTACTTAAATTTATAAGATCGTGGTCATTTATAGGCCTTAGGGCCCACTCCTCTGTCTTAACTACGATTGTAATGATTTTAAAAAAAATTAGGTAAAAGGTCAGGTTGCCATTCAATGGCAGACTCCGAAATATATCTACATTATAGCTACAGGAAATCCAATAGTCAGTTAATCTGAATCGATTTCAATCGTTTCGATGCGGGCAATCGCACCTACAAAGGGTATATAGATATTCTGTAGATAGTATGGGGGAAAAAGATGCCTGAAAATGAGATTGTGCCGCGAATCCTGAATTGCGGACCAGGGGTTTATGGCCTTCTTCTCCCAATAGTCCGCGGCAATCCAGTTTCGGCATTCAAGCAAGATGGCCTTGTCGATGGCGTGGAGGTGTACCCACCGGCCAATCTTACCTTTCCGCACCTTTGTGATTGTGGAGCTAATTACTCTGTGAGCCCCGATGTACGTATCAAGTATTGCTTACTCTAATGGCACTCCGAGTCTGAAGAGTCCTCTGCCGTATTTTCATTGGTTCCAGAAAAGTTTCCGTCCATTGTTCATCGCTCGGCGGACACAAAACTTAGGAACTACGGTGAGTGATCGCAGAGAATCTATTTCTAGTTGTAGTTCGGCGTTTGCTCTTGTATTCAGAGTGGCGCCGGCTGCTTACATCGCGGCTCGTTCAGCAGCCTCTTTGCCACGCTTGCTCAGGGGCGGTCGAGTACGTTGTTTAGCCTGGTTCTCATCGTAATGCTGCGTGTAGCTTCAAATACAACGAACTGTTTCTGTATTCAGCCCGAATCGGGCTCATCACTGCTGAAAAAGAGACGAGTAAACCACATATGTGCACTTGTAGGAATCATAATGAGTCTGAAACTTTATGAAGCCCCTAGCTAACGATTCAAATGGGCATAAACATGACTGATCTTAGCGAATCTACAGTATCTCCATTCCCTGGGTATTCGCTGCTCCGGCAGATGCTTTCACTATCACCTTTAGGGAAGAAAAAACACAAATGCTGCCCCCTACGTCAATATTTGTTGTTCAGGTCTGCCGGACGTGTCGCTCGTAAACATGTTTTTCTCCGAAACGCGGCTATGATGCGCGGTGGTTCCAGACGCCTCGTTCTTGGTACTAGTCGTATTCCTCTGTTTGTGGAGCCTTGCTGTGTGGTCAGTGTTAAACGACCATCTTTAAGGCCCGGGCCGCAACGGGGAGGGCTTTTCGCCCCTCAAACCACGCGGGGGCTGAAAGCGTTGTCTGCCTATGATTGGTGGATGCCAAGCCTGGCGAGATCATTTGATGCAATATGGTCGAGTCTACGGAAACGTATACCCGTTCGAGCTGAACTTGCTTAGTTTGCTTCTGTGTTTACTAAGGTCTCACACACATTAGGTGCGTTAGTACTCTGTATGGCCCATGTTATCCGTGCCTTCCGGTCCTCTGGCTTCCTATAACGCTTTACGCGGATAATATTTCCTACGGAGGATTGCCCAAACACTTTTTTCGTGCTATCCTCCACCACGTTCAGCTGATGTGGCCAAGTACTTGTACCACTGCCCCTCTTTAAGATTTCCATTACAAAGAAATCTAGACGTAGCAAGTCCTTCGTTGCCTATTCACCAACTAGTCTACAATGTCGACCTCTCGTATATGGACAAGAAGGGCCGAGACCTCTTACTATGCTAGGCGATATTGGTTCCTTTGAGCGCGGCCTTTGTATTATCTTGGCAGCTCAGTCCAGACATAAACAGCTTTGGGCTATGAATTCTTACACCACACATATCCCATTAGAAACCACTTTCGACTGAGCAGTAGTCAAACTTACGAACACTACTGTTACCAGGGATCAAGTTTCATCTCGCTGTCGAGTAGACTAAAAGTCTCTGGTGAAGCGGCGCGTCGTATGCGTGTGGCTTTCAATACCTGTATCTACCAATAGCCTCTCGTGACACAATGCACTAAAAGGGCTACGTGTATACTCTACGCACCAGTCAGGGTATTGGGCAGAAGGATAAGAAGAGCCAAGGGCCCCCAAGTTGGATTTTCAACGAGAGTCTTCCGTCTCATTGAAAACTGGAGATTCAACACAATTTTAAGTTTCAATATGGTAGCTTCTGCTTATTTTCCATGTCCTGGGTGTGAGAGGACAAACTTTGGGAGTTTGGCTGAAGTCAAGAATCACTTCTCTCAGAAATCTCACCCTTTGTTTTGTCCCATATGTCGAAAAGTCTTCAAAGATGCGCTGGCGGTTATACAACATTATCAAAAGTCCAAGTGTGCTCCAAAAAACACGTCGATCATCACGCAATATGTACCACGACCAAGTCTACCCCCAAAGGACGTCCGAAGAACTTCCCCTGAGAAGGCGCTACAACCTTATGAACATAGAATGAGTATTTCCGACGATCATGGTTCGTCCAGTTTCTCACCTTCCGAGACACCAACTGCTTTCCAAGAGAGCCGTATTCCAGGTACTTGGTCTAAAGATATATCACTGGCCTGTCCGAGGCTTACATTCAATGCCACAGAAGCCCTACCGGGAGTGAAATTTGGAGTTCCAGGTTACATCATTGTTCTAGATCCCCTGGAGCAGAGTCTCATTTTGAGATATCTGCGTTCCAGGTGCCATTCATGGAGTCGTCTTCAGACCGAAAAATACATCATAGGACCGGGTTCCATAAGAAATAAACAGCGCCCATCTAAGGGTTCCATTCCAACCTATGAGTTCCGAGAGACACCTCCTTTAGACCGACAGACAGGAGGCTCTTGCCAGGCTATCGCTATTGACTGTGAGATGGTCGCAGTGCGACATGGCCGCCAAGCATTCGCGTTTCTCAGTGCTGTTGATGTTTTGACCGGCCGATTGCTGATCAGTCGTTATGTTGTACCATCGGAGGAAGTGGTCGATTGGCGGTCAAAAATCAGCGGAATAACGGAGGATGTCATGACCCGTGCCGTTTGCTCTGGAGCAGCATTTAATAATTGGCGAGAGGCGCGCGACAAATTATGGGAGTTGATGGACGACTCGACTATATTAGTCGGTCAGTCTCTCAATTTTGATCTCGAAGTCCTAGGCATATGCCATGCGAAGATCGTTGACACCGCTATTTTGACTGCCGAGACTGTCTTCCCTTCGATTATCTCTACCGAGCCATTACCTCGTCTGTGGAGCCTGAAGAGCCTTGCGAGGGAGTTCTTGAGCTTGGAGATACAGAACAGCACTCTTGGGCATAATGCTGTAGAAGACGCATATGCAGCACGAGACATTGCCATCTGGTGTATCAGAAACCCAGAGGAACTGAAGTTGTGGGCAGAAAGTGCTCGACGCCAGGAGGAAGAACGTAAACGCAGAAAAGATCTACAAAGGCATCGCAAGGGCAAATCTAAGCAAAATTTGCCTGCCTCGCGGACTACTCGAGTTTGGAGGTATGATGCTCAATATGATGATGATATTGATGATTTCCGGCTGTCCGACCTTGCGGAGGAACTTGGATGGCCTGAGGGTTATGATCCTTGGTCTAATTGATTCAGGATATGTCTTAACCTATCTTATGGATGATGCATGTCCCTGGAAATCCATGCTCCCTTTACTGAACAGATTTCGGCTCTTTCTTGTTATAGATTCCAAAACCTCCTTTGTTCTTGTACTTCGGACTCATCTCAGGTCTTCATACGAATTGATCCTCGTTTTCAACTGACATGATATTCATAAAATTGAAAAAAAAAAAAAATTGCGAATGGCAACTATTCATGCGCCATTTTTCCCGTTAAAATGCTATTTTGCATTGTCTGACATGGCCCCTCGTCCAGTGGATGCGTCAGTCTGCTTTACTGCGCGTCCCCAGAAGAATACGACTCGTAGCGCGAAAATAAGCGCCCTGCAAGGTTGGACATCGTCATATCACAGCGTTCTCGAATTCCAAGAACTTTCGTGCGCCGAACGGCTCCGTAAACGAATGAGCAGGTGAAACAAGATCAAGGTGAATGCCTCAGTCGACCTACAAGCGAGGATGATTACCAGACAATTGAGGTTATACAACTGATTGGCCATTAGCGTACCACGCAAATTAATGCTATCCCTCAGCCTTGGTCGCTACTGCAGCATATGGCATCCCGTCATTGGTTAAACTAAGGGGGTTGTGCAGCCGGCGCGTATCGTTGCTTGGCCAATCAGTCTGCAGTAACGTACATTCTATTTCCTGTTCGTGGATCTACGATCGATCGATGATGGACCGCATGATCTTGGGCTGCTGCATGTCACTAGCTGATGGCGCTAGTCCGTATGGCAACCGAGAAGGTTGCATCCTTGAAAATGACAACCGATTTGCGGCAGTCACGTCTCTCCGCGTGTGACTCTTCCTCTTCCTCTTCAACAGAACCAAATTGCACAAGTAGGGAGCCTTCTCCATGTAGGCCGTGGAATATAATGGCAGTGATGGATGAGTTGAGAGGGACCGGCGAGACTGTCTATGCGGCCCTAGAGGACGGACGCGCGTGTCGGTATGCAAATAGACCGAAATAGCTACCTCACGCGCATTGGAAACCTGAAATTGAACAGCCGAAGCGATGTCGTCTAGTAAGTCAGGTTCGACCTATCCTTACTATCTCACTCGCACTGAGAACCTGCGGCTGGGCGATGGAGGTAATGCCGGTTTAGCTGAGGCGCTGATGATGCATGCTTAAGGAGCAAACTTGGATATAATACCTGACGTGGGAGGTTATTGCCGGGGCCTCAATCTCTGGATGGCGTCCACCTGATCGAAAGATGCGCGTCCTGAAAACCGCCCGGGGCAGCTGCTCATACAAGTGGATAAATCTTGGGCAAATCCATGGCTTTTACAGAAACGAATTCTACATTCATTCTATGCTACAATTACATGAGGGAATTCGGGCCTGGTCATATCTTAAGTAAGAGGCTGAATCACAGGGGGATGCTCATAACATATATCCCAACACAAGGAGTCGTCAAGCCGCAAATATCGAGGCAACTGTGAATGACTTCAGTCTACTTTCATCCGGCCAACATCCCCCGTCTGATAATAGACATTATGTATAACACAAAGGAGGACCCAATCCTTTTAGATAAGAATGTGGGCCGGAAACAGGCCAGCAGGAGAGCAAGAAAGACACTGTCCGCGAGATAGTAAAAATGCAGCTGTGAAGCTGGGTTCGAAATAACCTGTCACGTCAACGCACCAATGGTAAGTGACGCATGTCACTACTAGCATATAAATGAACGAGGAGCGCTGGTTCTTGGTGAGTTGATTAACCAAGAAATATCCGGTCGTGCGGAATGTAGGGATGGCTCTGGCCAACACAAACACCGGTCGAGACTCGGGAATGGAATGTAACATCAACAATGCCAGCATGGGCTATCAGACTCCCTGACATGGTCATTTATATAGCCTGCGGGCACATCCCAGGCTAACCTCTCCGCTCATCCTCAATTCATATCTGGGTCCGGCTTGTTCACGATGCATTTCCACGCTACCTGGATCGGTCTACTCACTGCTCTCCCCTCGGTCTGGGGCTTCGGGCCAATCGACGATACCGAGACTGCCGGTTTCTACCCCAATGATGCGCCCTCTGTGAAGGTCGAGACGTTGTTTCAATTCCCCAACAATGGCTCGTGGATCGACAACTTAGCTTTACGCTCTGACGGGAGTGTCCTCCTCACACGCTTGGATACGCCCGAAGTCTGGTCGGTAGATACTACCACCGGAAATGCGACACTGGTTCACTCGTTCGCGAATGCGACCAGCTGCTTTGGAATCAGCGAGATTGATGATGATGTCTTTGCCGTCGTCGTGGGCAACTTCTCCACGTCGACGTACCAGCCGACCCCTGGGTCCTTTTCAGTTCAACAGCTGGACTTTAAGAATGTTCAGTCGACCAACAACGAGGAGGGAACCCAGTTGGCCTCGGTCTCCCACATTGCTGCTCTCCCAGAGGCCCAAGCTTTGAATGGCATGGCCACCTTCACCAAGGAGTCGCATCTGGTGTTGATCGCGGACAGCCCCAAGGGCGTGGCGTGGAAGCTCGACACCCAGACCGGTGAATACTCCATAGCTCTCAATGATACCACCATGCTCCCTGCCGAGGGCCAGGCTCTGCCACTAGGCATCAATGGCCTTAAACTGGTGGATGACTATATCTACTACTCGAGCACGACCCGCATGCAGTTCGGCCGTGTCAGGGTCAATCAGGATGCATCCCCGGCCGGCGACTACGAGATCATCGCCAGTGGATTCCTCCCGGATAACCTGGACGTGGCCCCGGATGGCACTGCATACATTGCGACTGATCCGCAGAACTCGGTTGTTCGCATCACGCCGTACGGTCAGATATCTCTCGTGGCTGGTGGTCAGCTTTCCACTCAGATGCCGGGTCCTACCTCCTGCCGGTTGACCGATGATGGCAAGACGCTGTACGTCGGTACGAGTGGAGGTCAAGTTGCTCCCGTGCTGGGTACGTTCATGGAGCCTGCCAAGGTGGTGAAGATTACGTTTGAGTAGATTGGTTATGTAGATACAGAGGGGTTAGATTGATGGGTGTCACATGTATAAGTGAGCAATAATGTCAGCTTAGGAAGTGATGCAGTCGGAATGATCGTTGTCACAGTTTGATGGGCTTTTACTATGTCGTGCAATAATTGAGCAAGGGTGTTTCTGATTTGGCCGGGATAACTATGCGTTTCATAAGAGTAGTCGCGTTTCGTGTATGAACTTAGCACTGTAAAAAAGAGTATGAACCTTCTCGCGGTATGGAAAAAATTGTTATGATATCTATAATACAATGCTGGGACTCCGACCACACAAGCCAAATCCAAATACGCCAAGCCAAACTCATGATGGCCAATGATACATATTTCAAATGCACGAACAATGTCCAAGATCTTGGCAACAGAGATTCAAGGGCATTTACCGCACAAACTTCTCCAGCCACTTCGAATCGTGGGCTCTCTGCTCTCGTTCACGCGCCCTCCGTTGCTGGACCAACGCATAGCCACACCCAGCACCGGTGAAGTAACCGCCCAAGTGAGCCGCATGGTCCATTTTGGTGAGTCGGGACAAGGGCCAAGCCCGCAGGAAGCGCGCCGGTGTCACCATACTGAACACTTCGGTGGCAACCAGACAGGCCAGGAAAATCCAGCCTTGGGTCCAAAGCGTCTCGCGGAGATCACGTGGCAGAATCCACATGGTGATTTTGTCACTGAGAGACATGCGTTAGACTTTGATGGTAATGGGAGAGGGAGTCAGAATGGACAGAAAACTTACTCAAAGTGATACATGCACCATGCCGCAACGATACCACTGGTAGCAGCACTGGCACCAAGAGACGTCATACCAAGATATCCGAGGAGGACACTGCGTGACAACGAGACCATCGAGCCAACTGCTCCGGAGGCTAGGTATATCGCCAGGAAATTTCCACGGCCCAATTCATCGTGGACTACAACCGAAATTAGCATGCGGGTCTATAGTCGATCACCGTCCCGAAGTGCTTACCTCTGGTTCCCATCAGACCCAAGACCATCATATTGGTCGCCAAATGTCTCCAGGTTTGGTGGCTGAACGTGCTACCAAGAACGCCCAAGGAACTTGGATAGAACGGAACGATGACGAAAAACCGGTTGAGCAATTTCCACGACGGAGGGACATACTTCCACAAGAAGGTAACGGCGAGATTGGCGCCGATGATAGCTCCAACCGTTGCTGCAGCGGGAGGAACATCAGGCCACATGCGATCTTGTCGCGCGGGAGCCTCGTAATTCTGAGCAAATACATAGCAAAGACCCAAGACGAGAATCGTGAAGATCAGAGGCGCCAAAAGGCGTTGTGACTGGAATACATAGTTAGTCAAATCCGCGCAGAAACTGAAATAAGCCATTCATACGGTAGTAAGGTTCACAGCCTCGGCTTGATTAAGAGTTCCCGCAATGTGGTGTTTCTGAACCCAGGCAAGATACGGACGTTCGTTTGGATCCGCTCGAGGACGAGCTGTTCGAGTTTGTGAGCCAACTGCCAAACTTTCATTTCTCGAATGCGCATACCTTCTGTCAACGCAGCTTCTTGATATTTCTGCAACGCTGTGTTACCTTCCATCTGGCGCTGCAGTCGCTCGACCTCATCATTTTCGCCTTCAAGCCACTGCTGACGCTTGCGCTCCTTCTCCGCTAACAACCTTTTCTCGTTCTTCTCCCGTGCCTCTTTAAGAACACTTTTCCCGTAGACCGATTTGTCTTCACCAAGCTCTGCCTCGTAGGACCCACTCTGAGGCTTGTACAGACCGAGCTGTTCAGCACGTCGCACAAGCTTTTGTTCTGCCTCAAACTCCTCTCGTTCAATTCGGGCGAGGATTGCAGCATCCTCGTCAATAGGATAGTTTTGACGGAGCCACTCCAACGCGGTATCGAGTTGTGATTGGGGCACGCCACGGGAAATGTCGGATGGTAGGTCGAGGTCGAGGGTACCATCTGCCCGACGAGCTTGGAGAACTGCCAACGTACGGTTGCCTAGCCTGGCGGAGATCTTGTTGGAAGCGAAAATCGACTTGATCTGCGTATCCGAGTATGGTCTCTCGCCTGGCAAGCTCTCGATGCCCTTTGAAGCAGCTGTTGTGGCCGCGGTGGTCCGCTTTAGCCTCCGCTGGATGGGAGCATGGCTAAAAATCTGATAGATGATTGTGGTGGCATTGGGCCGATGTCTGCACGGAGACGTGGGGTGTAAGGAACTGAAAGGACGGTTGACCGGGCTGCTGGACAGGCTCCATGGCGTCATGCGGAGGTTACGATAGATCGGACGGAACGAGACTGGTGGCAGGACGCCAGGACTTCGGAGTCCCGAGCATGGTATCCGCCATGCGACCCAGAGCACATTGCTCATGACCTGGGATTGGCGAGGAAAAACCTCGTGGGACGGGAAAACACGAGTGTTGGAGAACAATGGAGACTCCGAGTCAACTTTTGGACGGCCGATGCCGATGGTTCGGAGTAAGAGTTATTCCGAGGCCCGGGGGTGTTCCCCGATCGATTCGCATGTGATCGATGCCGAAATATCGTTAAGCCAAGAATGAGACTCCAAATACTTGGACACTCGAGTATTCGTACCAAGTTCAATTGATTTAGCTATGCAATAAGTAAGACCCCCCTCATGTGCACATCATTGATCGACCGTATATTACCATTTCTAACACAAGATAACTCCCAGTCAATGCAATATAAACCTTACGCACCCCCAAATGCAATCCATGTATCAAGTAATGCTGACATGCCACAATAGAAAGTGAAGAGGAAGAAAAAATTTGTCCAAAGTAATCAAACCCAATCAAAGACTGTATGCGCTCAAATCTAGATCATCCACATCAACAAAACCAGTAAATGCTCGCATGAGGAACGTGCGCCAGGCTTCGTTCACCTTTTTCTTTTTCGTGACCGAAGGATCGGGGGAGAGGGCCATCTCCGTTGCGGCTGCTCCATCTTCACCGATTCGAATGGCAAGCTCCAAGAAACTACGGACCGTCAGGTCCGTCATCTGGCACACGCCGTCGTCATTGGTGGAATACTCGACTTCAAAGTCGAACTTGGGGGCCTTGTTGCCCTGGGAGGTAGCCTCATCGTTGATTCGAGTGAGGTTTGCAAAATATTGGGTGTAGGAAAGTAGGGTGAATGGTTGATTGGAGTATGCAGGGCCCGGAGGTGCCGTGGAGGACGGAGGATCAGGTATCTTGAAGCTTGGTGGCTTGTTGTCCTTGCCCTTCTTCTTCTTCTTCTTCTTCTTCTCGATCTCGACCTCGGAAGTTTGAGCCTCGTGCACAGGTGCTCCAACCATAGACGAATCGGAAGAATCTTGATCATCACCATAGTTGGGATCGGCGTGGACCGTCAAGGCCTCCAGCCCAGTGATATTGTATTCAATCACCCGCAAAGTGGGGAAATAGTTCGGCACCAAACTCGGTGACACCAGCGAAAGGCTGTATCGCTCGGCAAATGGACCGCCAATCTTCTTCAAGTACTTCCTCTCCTTTTTCTCCTTCTTCTTCTCCTTCTTGCTCTTCTTTTTGGTCGAGTCAAATTCGAAAGACTCGGACGAACTGAGCAGCTTTTCAAAAAGACCGGAAGGAGGGGACGGGAGCGAGGACCATTGCTTGCGAAGCGAGACGAGATAGTCCTCTTTCGACAGCGTCGTTATCGCGTCACTTGCGGGCTTCTCCAGAACAGTGTCAATGTCAACCTTGTGACTGTCTTGCAGGATAAAATGGTCGATGTTCATGTGGCCGTAGAGACCGGTCACGACGACATCACGGTACCGATCCATCCACAGCGTATACTTCTGCCAGCAGCTTTCATCCCAGTTCTTCTTCTCTTTCGACCGAGCGGGTGCGACATGGCCCATCAGGATCGCCTTCATGCCACGGCTTCGTAACAATTGCAGCTGAACCCGCAGCCACTCCAGGTGCTCGTACCCGGGCTCGGACTTGACACTGCACCCATCCACCGCGCTGTTGGACTCGAAGAAGTACATGGTGTTTAAACTGATGACGGCCAATTTGCCGGGAATCACCTCGGTCGTGAACCATCCGCCCTCGACGAACGTGTGGCGTTGATCTTCCGGAATGAAATGGCGCCAGATTTCGGCAAACTTCTTCGTCCACGTATTGGGACCCTCTCGGAAAATATTATGGGGCAGGATGTCGTTGTTGCCAAAGGTGGGAATGACCGGTATCGACAGCCGGGGGATGGCGGCAGGACTTTCGGTGCGATCGCTGACTTCAAATAGGTCCACCCATTTCTGGGCCATGAATTGGTTGAGTTCCACGATCTCGTTTGCCGTTCGTGGGCGTTTTTCATCGTTGTCATGGCGGACCGAGTCCCCGGTCCAGATGACGAAGTCAATCTTGTCCTTCAAGTTTTCCTCAATCCACCGAAACGTTTCATTGACCAGAGACAATGGAGAGTCGCAATCTGAGCCTTCCGCGCCAAAGTATCCTGCTGACCCCTTGCCGCGATGGCATGTCCCGCCTTTCACATCGAGCAGGGTGCCCGCTTTGTAGTATCGGTCGGGGTGGAAATCTGTTCTCGTAGGCTGTTGTCAATATCTGTCCGCTTCTCGTTAATTGCTTTTGGATTATTCGGCACGCACCGGTAATATGCAAGAAGCGACCGTGAGGACTCGAGGTCACGGCCACTGCAGGAAAGTTGGATACATCATTGGAGACGACAGGGGCGCTGGGATCGGTGCTAAGATCGGCCAAGGGGTGCTGCTGTTCGAGTGGAAATGCTGAAGAGACAGCGCTGGCCCAGAGGGTCAGCAGTACGGCCGTTGCGACCATCTTCATGCAGACTGCTCGTCCCCAAAGGTGTATCGCCCAAACCGATGAGGATTTTTGGGGATGGAACCTTATCGCAGTGCACGTCACGTCACTGCGCGGCGAAGGCTCCCGGGCCAGAGACCGCCAATCAGCGAGCGTACCGGTGCTGAGTCACCTCGGGAGAGATTTGCGGTCGAAAATGGGTTCCGAAAGATTGATGATGGTCACCTCTTGATGCTGGTATGTGCTGGTATGTGCTGGTATTTGAGAGATGAGAGAGACGGTCCAAGAGGAGGGGTACAGGAATGGACCCCGTTGACTTATCGCCTGCGCACCTGCCCACTGGTGACTTGACGCCGAAGTTGGCGGCCCCGGATCGACGCCCAAAACACGTGCCGTCCAATGGTCACCGCACGTGCCGGCGATCATCCGCATGGTCGTGGATACCGGATACCCGGAGGCAGATATTGCAGAGTACCTTGGTCGTCAGGAGGGGTGGTTCAAGAATATCGACATTCATGAGTTCCGGCCAGCGATACTGAAGTATGTGATAAGCGTTCAGGCCAGTACTTCGTTATTGACTTTCCAGCAAAGCCCTTGCCTCTAGATTGGACTAACAGTCATACCCTCTTCCACTAGAACTCTCAACAGGAATATCGAATTTCAACTGTCCAGGATGTGAGCCAATATTATCCAATCCCTGGGGCCAGACTGTAATCTAGCATTTTTCCCCTTTTGGGTAACTTTGGTTGTTCGGGACATAGGTATTCGCGAGGCGTCAAAACTTCACTCGTATACCTTACCACGAGGGAACCATGCCCACAGTCTTGAGTTTTGCAGTATTAGGGAGAACTTTAGACTCTAACCTGGAATGACAAATTCTATTCTTTAAATGTCAACATAATGACGATTTGACTATAAGCATGGGGGCTCCAATACTTACAAGATTGTATAGCGAGCCTACAGTTCGGGGTATGTTTGAGCTAGAGGAGGCAGGTTCCGCCTTTTACCTCCATTCACACTACGGCCTAATGACCGTGATAATGATAGGGCCGAATGAATGACTGTAGATTGCTCGCTATGAGCCTATCCACATTAGAGGATGTGCAAGGAGGCATCGAAACATCTCGTGATGCAGACAGTGGCAATGCTGCCTAGAGAATTACTAGATTCTATCAGATTGGTAGCAAGAGGTATTCGGAACATCATGCCATATAAGGCGAACGTCGAGTACTATATATTACCCCTTTTAAGCAACACAAGAGCCACTACCTATAGCAATTCACAACCGAGTACTAAGCGCTGGAGTTACCACAATATCCCTTCACAGGATACCAATGGGGAAGTACAAGTCAAGTGTGCAAAGTTCGCTATTCCCATACACATTTATCCAGACGATATGATATGCCACTATTCGTTCATAGAATCGTCCCCACCAAACAGCCAGTGAAGGGCTTCATAGGAATTCAGACTCATCGTGATTTTCCCAATAGTGCACCGATATGCGTGAATTATCTCTGTTCCGACACGCATCTACATCGTCAGGCAGGTATCATGTTCGGTCAGTTGAATACAACTATCAGTTAACGATGACCACCGGACATTGACGATCTGAATGATTTAAGTTAGTATTATTGGTGTTTTCTGGATATCTATGGCAAAAAAAAAGCAACCGTCATGTCATCATGCTTCCAATGCAAATCGTTCTCGTGAGAAACTCCTGTTGTTCTTCAGTCCTCGAGAAATTCGTTCATCATTGGGCATAATCATAGCTCATTCCTCGGCATTTCAGCCAGAAGGCCCGAATAATCTCCATCGATTGCTGCCTGGCACCCCGGGCAACCACCAGTGACTGCACCAACCGAGACTTATCTTGCTGAGAAAGAAGTGGGACCCGATTCGCAGTGTCATCCACGGTGTGAAGGTCCAGCGCGTCAAGGGCCGCATCAATACTGGGACGGGCGAGTGCCATTTTCTTGAAGATCAAGCGCCGAATCACATCGCTGAGGGAAGCCAGATCTGACCGCGCACAACGGCCGGCGATCTGGTTGACCAAGGTCTCGCTGAGTCGGGGGATAAACGACTGGAGGACTTGATCCAAGGCGGCCGTTTCCTCCGGAGAGTTGCCGCGAAGGTCCACGAGGGCGACCCAGAATGCAGATGCCGAGCGGAGAGTCAGTGCCTCGGGCCGGGTCAACGCGTGGAGAGCAAAGTCCAAGGGTACGGTATATGCCGGGGTGCTTTGATAGTGTGCTTGAGCTATCAGGGATGGCAGGGGCTCCGTCAGGGAAAAGAGCACCGTATAGTATTTGGGTATCAGGCGGCCGAAGAAGTCAATGCCGGCATTGGCCGTCTCGGGATCGTACAGATCTGGATTCTCGAGCATCGATGCGAAGAGTCGGGCAACATGGGTAATTAACGCCACCGCCTCGTCACGTACATGTATGGAATGGGATGCATGGGAGGCCAAGAATGCAGATGCAGTGCCCATGATAACATCAGTGCCGGAAATGCCCAACGGGAAACTTTTGATAAAGTCAACTGTCATAGAGGGAGGAAAAACGAACAGTCCTGATGACTCGGTGTATCCCGCTTTGAGGATATCGCATGCGGAATCAATCATGTTGCTATCCACAGGAAAGTCCACGATAAGCAGACGCATTGATTCCATGATGAACTGCTGGGCCCGTGAACCGGGGCCCGAATTCCAAAAGGACGGGGGATAGGGACTTTGTTCTGGAGTAGCGGCATCGACATCAATCACCTCCTCTGCGTCCAAGCGTAGACCCTTTCCAATACTGGCAATACAACTCAGAATCAAGTGGCCATGTGAGCGAGCGATATCATAGGCCGAGTTGGCAGCTTCTTGTCGCGCCTGAGTGGCTTCTTGCACAAACAAACCTAGAATTCGCTCCAGCGTCTGCACTTTCTCTTCATCGGACGGTAATCTCTGGACGATATTCGCAATGCCTTCGAGAACCTTGGGCATCGTGGATGAGGTCGCTGTTGGTTTCGTGCGGAAGAGATCTAATTGATCAAGGAAGATGGGTAGCTCCGAGGTCAAGACTCGGGAGCACGATTTCGAAAGGGTCAAGAATGATCGGGAAGCCGCCTGGGCGCAAGACTCAAAGTTCAGGGACTCGAATAGAATGTTGAGAACGGCTGGCAGCAACGAGTTATGCCGCTCAAAGTATGATTCGTACTTTCCGAATGTGTCCACGAGAGTCTGACGGGCCTTGAGAGGTATGCCCGTCTCCCCACCAGCGCAAAGGCGTGCGAAGGCTCTACTGCCAAAGATAGCGTCTAGGCATTGGTCTGCATGTCCGTTCTCATCAACGGCCTCGGAAAGCTGGGCGATACAAAACATTGCAGCCTCGAACCCACGCCAGTCACCGCTTTGGAGGTGGCTCGTTGCACTTTCTTGAAACACGCTTACCAACTCGACACCGAGAATGGGATATGCCGATAGCAGATAATCACAGGCCTCGTGGCGGAACGAATTGAACTCACTTCGTTCCTCATCGCTCCATTCAGCCAAGTCATCCGGTGTAGGATACAACAGCTTGTTGAACAGGCCGAGCACAACTTGTGCCAGCTGCGTTTTGATCATCTGCCATCTGGGGTCGTTTGCCTCTAACTCATCGAGGACACCTTCCGCGATCTCATTCCAAAATTCTAGCACACGAGGCGTGGCTGGGTCATCGATAACGGCATATGCAGGTGTTTTAAAGAAGTCGTGGGCGAGATTGAGAATTTTGGCATTCTCGGGCTTCATGGGGTCGCTAAACACTTTCAATTGGAGATGTGATAGATAAGCCACCAAAAGGTCAACATAAGTCACGCTTTCGGAGCCCTCGTGGCCCTCTGTTAGGGAGATGATGTGTGCCGTCACGATCGAGTCGGCGAGTGCTCGAGAGAGAACCCAGATAGAAGTTTCATCGAAAGCCGAACGGCGACTCTCGAACACATGGGTCAGAGTAGAAGCAGCGAGTTCACTCAAAACAGGGACTCGTAGGGTCTCTATAATGTTGTGGCCGCAAGAAACGGCGAGTCCATGAACTTCATCTCCATTTGGGAGCGAGCGGTTTGAAGCAACACTGAGCCATCCTTTCCAGGAGTTCATAACCTCACTGCCCAGGGTCTGATGAATCTGCTTATCTAGAGCCGCTCCAGACTGCCCTGAGATCTGTGGCAGGATGTATTGCACCAATAAAAGTCCATCCCAGGCATTGGTGACCGCTCGTCGGAATGCTGGTCCCACCAGTTCTTGGGGCTCGTCTTCAAGTCGTAGTGTGGCCTCGGCAAGTGTGACCGAGAAGAATAGCAAAGCTGTGGCTTGCTGGGTATCGAGGCTTGGTAGCACGCCCGTTGCAAAGTCCACCGTTTGGGCTTGCTGTTCCGAGACAAAGCCCCCATGGGCCAAGCTGGCTGCAACCTGGCGCAGTACTCTCTCACAAGGACATGCTGTATGCCTGAAAAGAGTCGCCAAACTTGATGCCAGCTTTCGGACCACCATGGCCTGCTCACCCTCCTTGACGATAGTCACAAAATGGTGGATCAGATGCTCCAAGACCTGAAGGGTCGTCGCCTCGTCGATATCGTGAGTGGAGACATTCACTTTCACTGTAAATGTAAGAGCACCCATGAATCGATGATGGGCTGAAGGTCCTCTCAAAAGTGAGTCGGCAATTTGCCAGGCATGATTTCCTCTCTGGAGGTACTGCAGACGCGTTTGAATCTCATTAATGCGTGCTGGATTTCTTTGATTGGCCGGAGAGTACAGCTCAGTGACCAACGTGTGAGCCTCTGAGATTGGATCTGCAGAGTCCGAATCCATGACTGCGGGTTGTGTCGTCATGAATTTCCCACCACAGGCTGATTGAGATGTGAGCTGGCTAGCTGGCTCCGAAAAAGGTGTTGGTGGGTTGAGATCGGCACCCACTTGATACACACACAACGGAGAGGGTCTTATGTCATCCCTGCCAAGTCCTGGGCTGGATTCCGGAGTATTGTTCTTCCGATCTATTCGGCACGATCACCCCGAGTCTCTTCACCCGAGCCAGAAAGGGCATATCCAACATTCATTTTTAATTACTTCGCTATGATAATGAAACTGCTTAAAATGAGGACAGGAGGGTATGTAATGGCATAATAAGCCTTCCCCCGCCCCGGAAAGGGCCACCATCACGTGCTCAAATGATCATCTGAAGGGCTCTAGTTTGTATAAACAAAGAAATCACGACATAAATGGAACTAGATTATTCTAGGTATATTTTGGTACCCGGCTATCCTCAACAGTTCTGTATCTAATTTTACCCTCAGAGATCAGACACAATCACTATATGCCATGGGTCCCAAGCAGCCCAACAGGTGCTAGGAAGAAACAAACCGTCGGAAAGAAAGCCTTCTTAGGGGTAGTGCTCTCCAAGACATCGTCCGTCTCGACTCGGGGTAGATGAATTAAATAGTTGCCAATATGATGTTATCATCGGTGGCCCTCGGTCCTTCGGAGCTTCGGAGCTTTCGGACATACTACTGATCACACAGTTACTATTGATGTGCCGATGTGCCGATGTGCCGGATGGGCCATTGCCTCTTCCACGCAAGACTCGGTTCTAATGGTAGTATTGACTCACCACAGCTGGCCAATATCATTCCCAATACCGGAAAAGCGTTTGGAGGTGTAAACATGTAACTACGTATGTAATAATGTAACATCAACTACTGAGCTTGTATTCGAAAATGCCGGAGAATGTCCCGGTTTGCAGTCTATCTACCGTTTCACTGCTCCGAAGGAGGTTTTTGTTATTATTTAATTCGATGGTTTTACCTCATTCTATTTCTCAAAGATTTTCTTCTTCCTTTGACTTGGTCATCTGCCTCACACCTACAAGATGTTTTATCAGCCAGGAGTTACCGAGCATAAACTGCCTCACGACCCTTTTAAGGTTTGCATCCATCTACATCCAAGTCTTTCGCCCACCCAGAAAACCAGCTAATGGGGAATCAAATAAAGGCTTGTGTGGTTCCTCGTCCGATTGGTTGGATCTCTACAAAGAACAAGAAAGGCGAATGCAACTTGGCGCCCTACTCGCAGTTCAACAATCTGACCTTCGACCCGCCGTACGTGATGTTCTCTTCCAATCAGACGGCCCAGGGTATCCGTAAGGACACAATCATCAATGCTGAGCAGACAGGTTCCTTTGTATGGAACCTGGCGACATGGGATCTACGCGAAGCTGTCAACATCACTGCTGAACAGACTCCCTATGGCACTGACGAGTCCGAGCTTTGCAAAGTGACCAAGGAGCAAGCTACACTGATAGACGTGCCTATGATTAGGGAATCCCCTGTCAAATTTGAGTGTGAATACCACACCACCGTGCGTTTGCCCGGGCACCCGCCCATGGGCACAGTGGATATCGTGATTGGGAAGGTCATTGGAGTGCACATCGCCGACAGTGTACTCACTGACGGCATTTTGGACATTAAAAAGACCCAACCTATCGCGCGCTGTGGTTACTACCAATACACAGTTGTGCGGGACACATATGAGATGATCATTCCCAACATGTCGCAGGATGTGATTTACGGACTGGAGGGCAATGCGGCCAAGAACCGCAGTAAGAATGAGTCCAACACTAAGAATGCGGTATCCGAGTCTACAGAAACGGCAAATTAGGAGCACTTGGCGCAAATTTCAGACAGAATGCATGATTTACGGGATGCATTTGATCGCTCGCTCGAAGGGGCCAAATTCAGCGTAAAGCTATACCGACAGCATCCCGTGTTTCCTTATATCACACGCATCAGGCCACCAGCACTACTTTATCTGAGAAGAAGTAACAATAGTAAGCGGAGGCTACGTATGACTGTAAATTATTCGCCTTCGCTAGGAAGGGGTCTCTAAGACTTCCCATCAATTGGAGAGTGACACAATTTCTTCCTCGCTTGTACCGACGCTCTAAAGAAAAGGCCACCCCTCCCTGCAAGGCTAACGTTATATTACACATATGGATTCTTGAATTACACAGGCGCAAAGCTCGGCAAATGCTTCACGGATCTGGTGGGTAAGGGTCCATGAGATGCTTTTTCCTTCATGATAACCATGGAACTCTCTCTTTTTCGGACAGAATTGTGGTCACAGTAGATATTGTGGTTTTCGATCGGCTAGGGAACATGCAAGTATCACAGATCGCGGATCTGGGCAAGATTCTGATCCAGAAACAGCATACATAGCGACATAGAGACTTTCTCGCAATGCCTTTGCATCGATGGTGTCTATACCATCCATGATGATAAACCCAAAACCACCAATCCCCGCAAGTGAATTCGCGTTGAGGATAATACGAAATATTTCCGTGCCAACGCTCGTTGTCGCAGAAATACCGAAGTAAGTCAATTCTTTCATCCTCTGCTAGTACGACTTTACCAAAATTTAACAAATACGGCCTAAGACACCAAGTTGAAATCTGCTCCAACCTGCCTGATGAATATTCCTATGTGTATGGGTCCTGGGAATCGAGTACAACGACAAATTCACCGTTTCCTGTAAGTTTCAGCTACCGAAAAATAATTTTGCCTCGTGTCCTACAATACCCATCACTTAAGGAACTCGCTGAAGCTATTGACAGCTTCCTCAACCGTGCTGCAATGCAATTGCCCGTCTAGCACTATATTCAATCACGCGGCTCTCCGCTCCATAGAAGTGAAGTTCCAAAGCGAGCGAGGTCAACGGAGGCCCAATTCCGAAATGAAAGCCACACAACCACGATTTGCGGTTTTCACTTAGGCAACCTTGAGTAGATGCGCAATGACAGGAATGGAGTTTGAATATTTCGGAATTGTTAGGTAAACATTTCGATGATAATCAGTGGCTAACTTATAGGGTAAAGTGGGTAACACCTCGGCTTCGGTATGGTACTCCGAGTATTCGGTTACACCACCCAGGCATGGTTCAACCCGGCCATCTCAGTTCAGTATGTTAAGATTTCCTCTTCAATCAATCAATAAATCACTTATGTTCTGATGATTCCGGCAGTTCCCCGGATTCATAATTCATACTATTCTATGTCCCATTCGGTCTTCCTTTGACAACTTATTACTATACGAATTTATATGGAACCATTGGAAAGTGGGGCGGGCCACTTAGTATTAAATTTATCTAGGCGGTCTAGGGGTAGCTCTCGGGGCCTCGGAGGTTCGGATGACGAGCCTAACCATGCTGAGGCCTATTTTAGGTTTCCTGCTAATCGGTGGTATGAGGCTGAATACACTGGCCTCTAGGCAGTAGTAATTCCTGAAACTTTCAATGCTTTTCAATGTAATCTTTTTGGTCGTCTATCAGACCCAGCTTCAAGGGACAGATCGCGAGATACTACGCTAGGGTTTGTAGCTCTCGCTCACAGAAAAGCGCTGTAGTATCCAAGCTTACTTACAAATAGGAGCTACCTTGCCACGTTCATCTAGAATAACTGATGAACTTCGTTCGACTACCGGAAGTGCTCATTCCACAAGAAATCCCTTCAGACCTACACGCAACATGTCCGGTATCTTCAGTTGGGAACGACATGGTGCCCTTTTTAAGGATTGGCCTTAGGCAGGAATTATTTTTCTCACAATCCTATATTATTCGGGTTCTGTTTGGAAAATGCTTTTATCGGATAGGTATTGGGCGACAGAACTCGAACTTAACCGGTATTAGGTGTTGCGTTGTAGCGATATGGCGATGATCAACCGCCAGCTTATATACAGGTCATTGCATGTTAGGCAGTTCTAATACAGGTCGCTCTAACAAGGAAATGTAATAGCTCGAATGGAAAGAAGCTCTGTTTAGATTCCCGCTTCTCGTTGTAGGGTTTAATAATTCGCCTTCGGCTGGGTACATCTATGGAAAAAGCAATATCATGTGCAAGGGGTATTGCTTGTTTCAACTTAGATATCATAGTCCTGAGACAGCCAAAGCAAGAGATATCGGGATCGAATGATAAAATGCGCTCTACTGTCACAGACAATACGCGAAGTTACTATACAGGTTAGGATGCTTACACTCCCGTATGGCAGTCCTGCATCATGCTGTTAGCCCTTAGGGGAAAGAATTTCTAAATGAAAAATGTGCACTTCATAAGGCCTATGATGCTAGTGATGTAGAGGAAAGGAGAATATACCAGGCTTACTTAAGGACTAGATCCTTTCTCATCGTATATGTACGATTAACCTCTGAGGGTGGACCGCCGGCATCAGTCCGATATCAGATCTGGCTCAGTATAAGCCGATCACACTACCGTCTTTCGTCCCAATCTTCTACTGCGTCAATTATCTCTGTACCCTACAAACTAGATTATGAACTCTCACCATCGCTACGTATAATGCTGACGATTTAATTTTGTCAATCTCATGAATCATAATCACCCCGTTGGAATATGGTTCTAGATATAGACCGAAAAGCCTGACGCTGCTTCTGTCTGTGATTGGTACCATTGAACCTTACAGTACCCCGTTGAATAGTTTCAAATACCAGAGCCTTGCTTTGTGTAGATGAAACTGCCCCAATTATATTAGCTACCAGCTACTACACTCAAGCCAGAGGAAATTTCATAAAGTGTTAAATGCTTAAGAAATTCAACCTTCTAGACTAGCGCTCTGTGTACGCTTGCGGTGCGCTTGTTTCAAGGACCCTTTGTTGACCTCTCTGGAATGTATTGTCCAACTAGATATAAATGAACAACGCCAATCCAATATGCTATAACTCCTTTTTCGCTCTTTCCCCTGAAATCAGTAGATCCTGTAAAGGTGTTCAACACTAAGGTTTCTGCCAGCCTTCCCAGCGCTCAAATTCTCCGGTGTCCAAGTCGAATAAATCCAACATTCGACCCACGCTCTGGTCAACCAATTCTTCCACTGAGGCGGCTCGAATGTAGTAGGCGGGAACAGGCGGGAAAATGACCGCTCCGGCGCGAGAGACTTCGAGCATGTTGCGCAGGTGAATATCGCTCAAGGGGGTCTCGCGGGCCACGAGGACAAGCCGACGTCGTTCCTTCAGCATCACGTCGGCAGTGCGGGAGATTAGGTCGTCACAGAAGCCACTGTGGACAGCTGCCAGGGTTTTCATGCTGCAAGGTACGATGATCATGCCATCAGCCTTGAAGGAACCACTCGCTATGGGTGCAGCCATATCGTTGATGTTGTGGACGTGATCGGCGAGGGCCTTGACATTTGAAGCGTGATAGTCGGTTTCGTATTTGATTGTCGCCTCGGCCCATTTGCTCATTACGAGATGAGTTTCGATATTCAGCTTGCGCAGAGCAATCAGCACTTTGATGCCGAGAATAGCGCCGGTGGCCCCAGTCATGGCCACCACGATCCGCTTGCGGTGGTGAGCGGGGGCGTTTTCTGACTTCGTGGCAGTATCAGCTGACGCCATGGCGTTCTAGTTGGACAAAAGCAGATCTAAAGCAATGTTTGCGCTGTTGATCTTAACGGGGCTTATATAAAGTAGTTCAGAAATGTTTGCAGAGGTCTGAGGCATCAAAGTAATGTTTCACACCATGCACCATGGCCGATGATCTTATATTGAGCCGCCGAAAGAAAATAAGACCGACATAGGGCTTTCACCACATTCTTGCGCCAATGGTCGAGGGGGATTCTTTGTTGACCGACCGAACGAGACTATAGACTGGATCGCCGAGGGTCCCGAGATCCGAGTCTCCGAGGCCACTTTGGACAAGAGCGGCATCTTCTTTCCGTTGAACGCGCGGAAACACTAATAGAATGCTCCACAGCGGGAGCATAATAGCGTCACCACCAAATAAGCTCCATAGAAGATTGGTGGCATTCGCTATTTCGGCAGGATGTGCCGTCTGCTGCGGAGTACGAAGGGCTGATTCATACGGCTTCGGCGCTACGTTCGGACTCGGTGCGGCTCGGTATACTAGCGCTGCACGGCACATTCCGAAGCCAGCCGTGGATAGCTCGGTCCAGTTTGTTCACCTAGAGAGGCGTGTTCTCCTCTGAGTATGTCGGGCTGGGGCATGCCAATTTAGAAGAGCAATATATAAGATGCGAAACCCAGACTACCACGTTTTGTGACTATCCCTCTGCACTCGGCTAAGGATATTATTGAAGTCTATCTGTTTCTCATCGTCCACTAGTCGGCAACTCTCTCCACTGCGCAACCAGGTCGTTCCAATGTCCTCCCAATCTAGCCATCAACCTCACCTCTGCTTCCGGTCCTTTGTCGAGGCTCTCAAGGTCGACAACGACCTGGTAGAGATCAACACTCCAGTGGATCCTAACCTCGAGGCCGCTGCCATTACCCGTCTTGTTTGTGAAACCGACGACAAGGCGCCTCTGTTCAACAATGTCATCGGCGCCGAGAACGGGTTTTTCCGCATTCTTGGTGCCCCGGGTTCTCTCAGGAAGTCTCCTAATGAACGCTATGGCCGTCTGGCGCGCCATCTCGCCCTGCCCCCGACCGCATCCATGAAAGAAATCCTCGACAAGATGCTCTCCGCCAGTGAACTCTCTCCAATCCCACCACAAATTGTCCCTACTGGTCCTTGTAAAGAAAATATCCTTGAAGAGCACCAGATTGACCTAACTAAGATTCCCGCCCCTCTGATTCACCAGGCTGATGGAGGCAAGTACATCCAAACCTACGGCATGCATGTTGTGCAGACTCCCGACGGCTCGTGGACCAATTGGTCCATTGCTCGAGCGATGGTCTCAGACGAGAAGCACCTGACTGGTCTCGTTATTGAGCCCCAGCACATCTGGCAGATCCACCAAATGTGGAAGAAAGAGGGCAAGGATGTTCCCTGGGCCCTGGCTTTCGGTGTACCCCCTGCGGTTATCATGGCGTCCAGCATGCCTATTCCTGACGGTGTGACAGAGGCTAGCTACGTTGGTGCTATGACTGGCTCCGCTCTGGAACTTGTCAAATGTGACACTAACGGCCTGTACGTCCCTGCTACCTCAGAGATTGTCTTTGAAGGTACCCTTTCCATCACTGATAAGGCTCCTGAGGGTCCCTTCGGTGAGATGCACGGTTACGTCTTCCCTGGCGACAATCACCTATGCCCAAAGTATAAGGTCAACCGGATCACCTACCGTAACAACGCTATCTTGCCCATGTCTTCTTGTGGCCGATTGACTGACGAGACTGTGAGTTTCAATCAAAATTCGTGGCCGAATCCTTTCCCGCCTTTTCTTACAATTTCCTATAGCATACCATGATTGGCTCTCTCGCTGCTGCGGAGATTCGTAAGATCTGCCAGCTGGATGGGCTCCCCATCACCGATGCCTTCGCTCCCTTCGAGTCGCAAGTCACCTGGGTCGCTCTGCGTATCGACACTAGTCGTCTTCGCGAGATGAAAACTAACTCTAAGGAGTTCGCTAAGCGAGTTGGCGACTTAGTCTTCAACCATAAGGCCGGCTACACCATCCACCGTTTGGTGCTCGTAGGCGACGACATCGACGTCTACGATGCCAAGGATGTGATGTGGGCTTTCTCCACCCGATGCCGCCCTAACTTGGACGAGATCTTCTTCGAGGATGTGTGCGGCTTTCCTCTAGTCCCGTACATGAGTCACGGCAATGGCTCCCCCACCCGGGGTGGCAAGGTCGTCTCCGATGCACTCATGCCCTCCGAGTACACAACTGGACGGGATTGGCAGGCTGCTGACTTCAAAGGCTCGTTCCCCGAAGATCTCAAGGACAAAATCTTGCGCAATTGGACTAAAATGGGATTTTCTGAGCTGTAAGCTTCAGGAACGGGAGTACAGGATCTTATGTCCAACATATTAAATTCATATGATTCTGTCTTTCATCTTTCCTTTCTTACAGGCAGTGGTGCACTTCAGATTCTTAGCTTTACCCTACAGTAATCACAATATCGAGGGATATTTAGTACAGCGGGAAGTGGTCTTCTAATAATTGCGAGTCTGGTCCGCACAAGGTGTTTGTAAAACCTACATTATAATGAAGTGCTTTGGTGCAATTCTCTAATGGGAGTGGGGCCTGACGACTACTCTGTAATGTCACATAATCGGTCAAGAAAATCAAGATTATGCCCGGATCGAACAAGATTCTCATTAATCATTCCAAGTGAGTATGTGGCTTGGAAGACCTAAAAATTCTACCAGGCGCGCTAGTCCGGTCATTCCTTCTTGTAGATGGAGTTTTTTTCTCCTTCTCCGCCAATGATATGTTGACAAGCTATCTTCTCAAAATTTTACTGTTATCCCATCTATACTTACTTCTCTGGAAGCAAGTCCCGTGGCTGACTTTGTCAATGCTAGTCCCCATCGCCCACCTCAATTCGGAGACTAGGTCATAGCAACCTCGAGCAATGCAGGGTGTGAAGAATTTTTGTAACGAACCAATTTAATGCTTCACCCTACTCAGCAACTGATGTCACAAGTAAAAATTATTGCCACGAATACGACCAGCAAGTCCCTGCGCTCCTATAAGATGAGATGCATAGTGGCGGATTGCCGACTCTATCTTCTCCTTATCGTGTAACAAACACAGCTTGATGGCCCCATTCTCTCAATGTAGCTTCCTAATGCTTGAACCATGAATATTGGCAGGGAAGGGCCTGCGTTTGAACCGTACGGTTAGACCAGTGAATATCAGGGTGCACAACGGTAGTCGATTAATAGCGAAAGCACAGAAATCAACTGAACAGAAGGAGAAGGAGCACAGGAACGACGTCGATCCCATTTTAAATTGTCGGTATATGGAGAACAGCAGAGTATATGAACGAACAGGTACATAATGTAACCACAATTGCGAGAAGAAACAGTGACATAATTCAAGTTCATATTAACGGGCTTCAGGACTTCTCGCAATCGCGAATGAGCAGGAGTGCGCGTGCGGTTGGGGTAGAGAAGCCCACATGATACTTTTTTCAAATACGTTTTTTCTGTCAGCCCGGGTCAACAAAAAGATATGCAATTACTAGCTGCGACTTCCTTGACGCATACGATAGCCTTGTTTATAGGAAGCAGTCCTCCGATGAAAAATCGAACAACGGTACTACAAGATGTCACTAAGAGTTTATGGGTTGGAAGAAAGGGGACATACCATTCATAATCGAATCAAGATACGCGACTGGTGAAATATCCAGAGGGTTTAGCATGTCGAGGTGTGACTCCGGCCTGTTCAAGAGCTAAGAATAAGCCGGAAAAGAAATCAGGATCTGGGAGGGAACCTACCAGTTTTCCAGTTGAGGCATAGTATTATTGATGTTGAACACGACACGTTCGTCATTTGTCAGGTTTGCAGTACCTCCTTCACGGTCCAAAACACTTCGCAAAGTAACCAGAGCCCGGATGTGCCGAGCGGACAGCCACTGATTATCTTCATCCATGAATGAACCGCTGTCTTCGGAATTCCGGGAATCAGATGATGAGAAGACATCAATGACCCTTTGCTGTAGGCTGCGGCACTCGGGATCATTGCGAGTCTCTTCCCATATACAAAGAAGTAATGTTGAGCTAAGAACAGTGTGCACCATTGACCAGCTCCGTAATGGGACGATGCTGAGGGCCTGGAAATTTAAGAATGATTTAGAAGCGTCGACCAGGCTAGCTTTGGCACGCGCTCGAAGAATGTCGTTTTCTGGGAGGACGGGTTGTGGAGGGGACCGCCTCATAGCCGGGCGACAGATGACGGAAACACAGAAAGATGTGTGCATCTTCCAGGCTAAATGTTCAAGGTGTTGCTGCAATGTTGCACACTTTTCTCGGGCCCGGAGGTAAGAGAGACCGTGTTGACCTATATTGTCTAACCGTTGCAGGTCGTCGATAGCGCGTTGTACCTCCGCAACACCGAGAGAATTAGGTCGCATGATTTCTAGGCCTAATCGGCAGATTAAGTGCATGACCTCGGTGTATGAAAGATCTTGCCGTTCAAGGAACGAATTTTCGAGGGGCCATTCCATAACCGACACCATGGGAGGGCGATCATAGCAGAGGCAAAGAAGGCTGTCTTGCCAGACTATTGCTGACCTAGAGCCGGGCGACCATATTGTGAGTAAACTGACCAACCGTGCCATTTACAAACAAATAAAATAGTAATAAGGCGGTATTTCAACGTACCAAAGAGCTCTTGCTTTTGTTTGCACATACTCCGGCCAGTGAACAGTGCTCCGCTCTGTGTGCAAGCCCATGGTCTGAGCTAGGCGAACTGTCGTGCCAAGCAATGCCCAAGCCGCATCCGACTGCCCCATATTCTGCATAGTATTGCCTAATATCAGTAGGGCCTGGATGATATCCAGAGATGGTTGAAAAAGGAAGTTTGCTAGCCGTAGGCAATCAAATGACCGGCGGGCTGTATCCGGATTAGGACCGTCATATCGAAACCGCATATTTACACGTACCGAAATCGATAGTAATTTTCAAGCGCTGTGGATATTCCATGTCAGAGAAGTGTGCCCCTGCAGCTAAGGTGGCCAGCAGGAGACTGATATGGCCGACGGACTTGTCGGTAATCCAACTGTCGCTAATCTTCTTTGGGTCGCAAAATTCTCCCGTAGCGTGAGCATTGAGGTATGCGCACACCTCAGACTCGAATTTACCCATGTCTGCTACTATTGGGTTGAATGGGTACGCGGTAACCTGGTAGTAGTGGAAAAATCTAGGCTGGTTAGCCAAGGAGCCGGCGGATAGGCCCCGTTCAGGCTGCAGCTTACTTCAAGACCTCGGTTCTCTGAGGCAGTACCGCCAACAAAGTCTCCCATTTCTCATCTTTTGTTTTGGGATCCATGAATGGGTAGCTGCTGAGCGTATTCTGTAAACCGAGCACCGAGCCCAGTTCTCGGGCTACCGAGTCGTTGGCGTTGGATGCCTGCAGCCCTAAGATGGAAACAAACGAATTACCGCCGGAGTAGACATAATTGTTGGAGCCGCCGTCCTGCCGCGACAATACTTCATTCGTGACTGTGTCCCGTGCTCGTGTCGAAGGGGACGATGTTGATCTTGGTGGAGTTTTACGGGCTGCCGAGGCAGCCGACCTGCGTGGCGAACCGCCAGAGAAATCGTACTGGCAAATTTGGGGGTGTTTTCGCTTTTGACAGGTTGTGCACGGTTTACTCCCGTCGCATTTCACTTTGCGTTTTCTGCATGGGTAGCAGGCGTGGGATTCATGCGCTCGAGCTTTAGCTCTTAAAACCTTATCTGCTTCAGAATGGCTCGCGTCGCTCATAATGAGGGCTCTCACGCGGCGGAGTCGTGTCTCCAAACCAAGGGGCTGTATTTTCAGCCGCAACGGACTGTTTTAGAGCGTTGATCCAGTCCTCCACAGTGATGTTATAGAATTGTGACATGTATAGACAGAATCCAGATGAGAGTGAAGGCGGTCACGAGCTTGCGTTTGGCAGTCGGTCACATGAGCGGCTATCCGGAGCCCTACGGATCGTTCCATCCCCTGCAATATGGGGCCACTCCTTACCCGGCAGCCCTAGTCGTGATTAGCGGTAATTTGAATTTAGGTAGGATTCTTGGTCACATGGCTTCCACTAGCCTTAACTATATCCCCAAATTCCCATGCACTATTCTTCTCTGTAAGCTAGAACGCGCTTCAGTCAATTACGTGCTTACAGGTGTTTCTACACATCATGGATTCATAGGGTCCACCTGTAGGATCCTAAATTGCCTGACCCATTCCCTTCTATAATTGAAATACCATGTGTAGCAGATACCGAAAGCCCATATAGCATATGTACTTTGGTTTTCTCTGATGATTTGATTGCGTTATCGTCATCTAAAACCAACAAATATGCGAAGGCTAAGAACGCGGGTCAATCTGGGTGAGAATGGCATTGGATGTATTAGAAACAGGTCTGGTAAACTAGCGAGACTGGAGTAAGGTGAAAGATACCTAGCTTCTCTAAAATACCTCTAAGAAACACTGCGAAGTAGAACCAAATGGTAGTTATACTCCGAAGAAAAATATTATCTTCCTGCACCCTGCTGCAAGTAATTCGGTTCTGGTCCCTGTGACTAAAGAACTGATAATCAGGCCATTCCATCGCGCATAGACGATTGCAATCCGCAAGCCATCTCAAAGACCAGTGCGAAATCGAGGTATAGCAGCCCACCGTTGGGACTTTCCCTAACACCGTAGCCCCTAATGGAAGACTTTTGCTCACAATCCGGCAGTCTATCGAACTTGAAATTGGGATTGGAACAGATTTGCACGTGAAATAGCTATGTAGAGTTAGGATCAGGGAACTAGGGCCGAGGGGGTCGAATTGAGGATTTGTCAAGTAGCAGACTCGGCCCAGCTGGAGCAAAAGTCCTTTTCGGAGTAAAACATAATTTGGAAAACTCTTATTTTGTGATGTCCCTACTTGCCAGACAGGAGCCGACTTTTCT